ACGTCGACTACAACCCTCGACGCGCGCACCATCTGATCACGGCGGGGGACGACGGCGTCGTTCGCCACTGGGATGCCCGCGCGCACGAGGCGCCCGTCCGGGAGATCGCCGCGCATCGGCACTGGTGCTGGCGTGCGAGGTTTAACCCGGTGTACGACCAGCTCATCGCGTCGTGCGGGTCCGACGCGAGCGTGCGGTTGTGGAGGGACGTCGCGAACTCGTCCGTGGGCGCGGAGGCGGCGGGCGGCGGCGGCGGCGGCGGCGGGGAGGAGGAGGCGGGGGAGATCGCGTCGTACGCGGACCACGACGACAGCGTGTACGGGCTCGCGTGGTCCGCCGCGGATCCGTGGAGCTTCGCGTCGCTGTCGCACGACGGGAAGCTCGCGCTCAACGCGGTTCCGAGGGCGGAGAAGTATAAGATATTGTTATAGAAGAACGCGACCCCGGCGCCCGCGCGGGGCGCCGGCGTAACTCCACTCGCAAAAATTCATCCTGTCGTCAGACGACTGAGAGAAAATCCGCGTCGGCGGCGCGCGCGTCTCGCGTCTCCGTCCATTCCGCGACGCGCCGCGCGACCTCGGCGCACGATGCCGGAGCAAAACCCGTGCGAGGTGTACATGCGGTACCTCCCGCGCACGTGCACAGAGGAGGAGCTCAGGGCCAAGTTCGAGAAGTGCGGGCGCATCACGCGCGTGTGGCTCAGCGTCGACCGCGCGACCGGGGAGTGCAAAGGATTCGGGTTCGTCACGTTCAGCAGCAAAACCGAGGCGCGGCGATGCGTGAAGGACTACAACGAGCACCCGCGGAATTACATGGACGGGAAGCACGTCGTCATCACGCACGCGAAAGGGTGGGACGACGGCAGGAAGCCCGTGCAGGCGTGCTCGTTCGGGCTGTCCTGCGCCAGGGAGGATTGCTACTTCTCGCATCCGGAAGGGTGGGACCCGCTCAACCCTGCGGCGGCGGGAGACGACGGCGGCGACGGCGACGGCGGCGACGGCGGCGGCGACGGCGGTGGGAGGATAGAGGGGGACGTTGAGGACGGCGGGGGAGGTGGTGGCGCGTCGTGGTCGAGGCGAGAAGGGGGCGGAGGCGACGGCGAGGGACGGAAACGCAAGGCGAACGACGGCGGCGGCGGCGGCGGCGGCGGCGACGGCGGGAACCGACCGGAGCGACCGTTCCGTAAGAAGAAGTACAAGCACGGAGGGGTAGGGGCGAAAGCGCGTAAACGCGCGAAAGCCAGAGCGGCGAAGGAAGCTGCCGCGGCGGCAGGAGGTAATTAGATAGCGCCCGCGCCAAACGCGGGAATAGCGAATATAAGATAGCCGCGGCCGCGGCGGCGGCGACGAACCGATGCGTCTCTATACTAATCAGTCTAGCTGCTATGGCAACGTCTCGACGTTCGCGTGATCAACCGACGACACGTCACTTCGACGCCTTCATGGAAGCCATCATCCCCCGCAACGCGGACATCAACTTCGGCGTCTTCGCCGCCTCCGCCCCGGAGACGGCGGCGACGACGCCCCAACCTTTCTTCCCCGCCCCCGCCGCCGCCGCCGCCGCCGCCTTCCTCTTCCGCGCGGCGAGCATCTCCTCGCTGTCCTTGGTTACCTTCTCGTCCGCGATCCACGCCTGCTCGGTGACCCCCGGCACGAACCGCTCCGCCTTAGCGAGCGCGAGCTCGTACTTCTGTTTGATGAGATGCGCCAGGTGCGCGGCGTTGTCGGCGCTCGCGTCGACGCCGCCGACGAGACGGCACCAACGCTTGATCTTCACGAGGTCGCTCCTGCTCCCGGACTTGCTCAGCTTCTCCACGTTCGCGATGGAGAACGGGATCCCGTCCGGTTCGAGCGCATCGTCCCACATCATCTGCAGGACGCGCGAGGACTCCCAGTCGAGGGTCTCGCGCGAGGCGCCGGCAGGGAGCTTCGCTCGGAGGTACCCGTCCGAGCCGACGGCGACGGCGCGACGACGGCGGCGGGGGGAGGGCGCCGCGTCTTCCGTCTCCGTCTCCGTCGAGGCCGCGCAGCTGACGCGGCTGACGCGGCGAGATGGCGGCGCCGTCGGCGGCGAGTCCTCGGTCGACGCGCTCGCGACCGCGACGCGACTGACGCGGCGGGATATCGGCGCCGACGCGTTCTCCGGAGCCGCCGTCTCCGAGGCTTTCGTCGCCGCGTCGTCGCGCGGTATCTTCGCGCTCTTCCCCGCCGCCGGCGACGACCGCGCATCAGATATCGGATCCATCCTCGTCGGGGGTCGTTTTTGTTCCTTAGGCTTCGGCTTCGGCTTCGCTCGCGTCGCCGGCGTCGCCGCCGACGTCCTCTTCCCGCGCGCCGCCGCCGGGAGCCCCGGCTTGAACCTCACCCTGCCCCCCTCGTTCGCTCCCTCCGCTCTCGCGTTCCCAGCGGCGCCGCGCACCACTCTGCTCTCGATCAGCTTCCTCTCCTTCGCCGCCGCCACCTTCCCGCGCTCCCCGGACGCGTCCTCGATCTCCGCGGGAAGGTAAAATGAAGTCGTCTCGTGCGCGGTTTCGTTCCGCATGTCCATCATGCGTCGAATCGCGAAGTAGTTCGCGCCGTTGTGCTCCGCGAGCGCGTTCCTAGGGCAGTCCACGCTAGACGCGACCGTCCGCGGGGTCGTCAGCCACGCGTCGTTCGCTTCCTTCGCGGACGCGGGGTACGGAGGCGCGCGCGGGCCGGTCCGCCGCGCCGCCGCGAGCGACAACGTCGAGGAGGCGCCGTCGTTGTCGTCGTCGCCGCCGCCGCCGCCGTCGAACCGAACCATCGCGTCTCGATGCCCCATCCCGGGGAAGGGCCGCGAACGTTCACGCGATGCTACGATAGACGCGCGCGCGTCGTCTCGCCGCGCCGCCGTCGCCGCCGCCGCCGCCGCGCGGTCGATATCCGGCGCGGAGGGCAGGCGCGGCGGCGGCGGCGGCGAATTCTCGTCGCCGGTTTCCCGTCCAAGCGTCGGCGGCGCGTCCAGGAGCCGCCGTCGCGGCGACGCCGACGCCGACGCCGACGCCGACGCCGACGCCGACGCCGCGCGCGATGGGAGTCCGAGCAGACCCGCCAACGCCTCGCGCTCCCGCGCGCGCCGCGCGTCCCGCGCGTGTTGGACGACGCGTCGCCTCACGACGCTCTCCGTCGTCTTCCGAGAGCACGAGCGCAGCCGCGACGCGTCGCCCGCGATGCGAGCGTCGATCGCCGCGCTGGAGTGCGCGCGCTGGTCCGTCCGCAGCTGTCGTCGCGTCGGCGCGGTCGTCGTCACCAGCTGCGACTCGGCGCGTCTCGCGCGCGCGGCGGCGTCGTTCGCAAGTTCGGTGTCGTTGAAGGCCCAGCGCCACAACAGATCCTCCGCGTTCTCGTCGTCCGCTGCTTCCCCTCCGTCGAGCGCGACGGCGTTCCGCGCGGTCGTGGACGTCGCGAGCGCGCGGTCGCGCGCGGTGGACGGCGACGGCGCGCGCCACGACCCGCGCTGAGAGGGCGGCGCCGCGCCGCGAGACGACATCTCGCCGCGCGCGGGGATGTGAGGGCGTCGGACGACTCGATTCGTGACGTGACCAGACAGTGCTGACGCTTGCGTGAGAACGTAACAACGCGTCGACCTCAAAAGCGACCGTCTACGATGAGCTAAGCTCCTAATGGTAATAAATGAACGCCGCCGCCGCCGCCGCCGACCATCATCACACCGCGCGCTCCGCGGCGAGCAACCGCGCTCGATCGCCGCTCCTCTGCGGCGTCCGCGGAGACGTCGACGTCGACCCGAAGCCGACGCTCAAGCCATTCGCGTCGTCGCCAAACTCGACGCCGCGAACGCCGCCGCGAACGCCGCCGTCGCCGTCGTCGTCCTCGTCGTCCTGGTCGTCGCTCCGCTTGATCATCCCGAACGCCGCGCCGCCGCCCCCGCCGCGAATCATCCTCCCCTCCTTCCTCCGCTGGTCGTTCCGCCAGTTGATCGCCAGCGTCGCCACCTCGAGCGCGTGCAAAAACAACGGCGGCGCCCACGACGACACCCTCTCCTCCGTCACGAACACCTTCTGCGCCCACGCGACGACGCCGCTCCCGGCGTCGACGCCGTACGTGAGGTACGACAGCGAGTGCGACCCCTCCGCCTTAATGGACGCGATCAGCTGCGGCATGAACTTGCAGACGAAGTTGACGGCGACAACCGCGCCCAACGCGTTGCCGTAGACCATCAGCGGTTCGCAGCGCTGCTCGGACGCGAGGACGAGAAGCGCGGGGAACCACGCGAGGGAGATGATGGCCACCTGCGCGATCGCCCAGAGGCGCGTCGCGTCGCGGGTTCGGTACGCGATGTCGATGCCCAGCGCCTCCCAGGTGAACCTTCCGGGCTCGTCCTCTTCGAAGCGCGCGGCGACGAAAAAAACGAAGACCATGCTGATCGAGTTCACGAGCTCGACCCACACGAACGTCACGCTGCGCTGCGCCCTCGCCCAGTACGCGAAGTCGCCTTGGTACGACAGCACGATCTGGTTGTAGTGCAGGATGAGGAGGTTCAGGACGTATAAGAAGCCGCCGATGTTCCCGAGGCCGAGCGTCGCCATGGAGATCCCGCGGCTCGATCGCCGAGCGTAGATCTTGTACGCTTGGGGGATGCCGACGGTGGCGCTGAAACATATCGAGAAGACGCCGAGCGCGGTCGTCCACGGTCCCGGGTTCTCGAGCTCGTTCAGGCACGAGTACGTCGCCTCCGCCGCGGTCCCATGCGACATGGCGACGCGCGGGCGCGAGTGCCGCTCGATCGAGCCGCGCGGGAAATCGAACAGGTCGGTTCGCTGATGCTGTCGGTGCCAGTTGGCATTTTCATAACGTTTCGCGACCGGAACGGAAGAGCCGCCGTCGCCGTCGGTCGCGGACGAGACGCGATACGCGATCGCGCGCGCGCGGGGTGAGAGAGCGTATTACACGTCGCGTTCGCGTTCAAACAAAACGACACGATCGACGATCGACTACAGTTAACAGTACCCGCGTCGCCCGTCAGATGGACTTGAACGGCGCGTCCCGGATCGCCTCCAACGCCGCGCCGAGTCTCAGCGCCACCAGCGGCCCCTCCTCCTCGCCGAGCACCTCCACCCTGTCTTCTAACCCGCGCAGCTCCGCCATGAGCGCCGCCGCGAGCTCGCGGACGGTCATCCCGGTCGGCGTCGCGGGCGGCGGCGTCGGGGACCTCTCCGCGGCGAACGGCTCGGGCTCCGGCGTCTTCGCCGCCGCCGCCGTCGTCTCCTCGTCGTCGTCGTCGTCGGCGGCGGTTTCCGCGGCGGCGATGCCCAAGAACCCGAGCCCGAGCGCGCCGCCGATGGCGGGGCCGTCGAGCGAGTCCGTCGAGCGCGACTTGGCGACCGCAGCCTTCGCGGCGTCCTTCGCCTCCTTCTCCGCGTTCGCTTTCGCCTCCTTCTCCGCTCTCGCCTTGGCCGCTTTCTCCGCCTTGTCCGCCTTTTCCTTCTCCTTCTTCTCCGCGCGCTCCTTCTCCTTCTTCTCCTTTTCGAGCTTCGCCTCGAGGGCTCTCGCCTTCTCCGCCGCTGCCGCGGCGACCTTGTCCGCGCCGTCGAAGACGTCTAAATCCGCGCCCGCCGGTTTCGCGTCGCACCCGACGTTGAACGACTTCAGTTCGTCCACGGTGTACGTCGTCTTCGCCGGTTTCGTCGGCGTCGGGGACGCGACGTCTTCCCAGCTCTCCGGGTCCGCGCGCGTCGTCTCGTCCTTCGCGTCGACTTTGACCTCCACGGCGGCGGCAGCCTTCGGAGTCTTCTCGTCCTCCTCCTCCGCCCACTCGTCCTCGTCGTCGCTGCCGCCGGTGATGCCGAGGTACGATAACCCCAACCCCGACGCGCCGCTCCCGCTCCCGCCGCCGGAGTCCGCGCTCGCGTCGGATTTCCCCCGCCCGATGCTCGACGGCCTCGACGCCGCGCCCTTCGCCTCGCCGACCATCGCCATCACCTTCGCCTGCTTGTTGTTCGCGTCGTCCGCGTCGACGTCCTCCGCCGCGGGTTTCGTCGAAGCCCTGGCCGTGGAGCCCAACCCCGCGCGCGCGGGAACCCCCGCCAGCGTCGGAATCGGCACCGGCGCCTCGTCGACGACGACGCCCGTCGCCGGGTCCACGAGCGGCGTCCACCCTTGCTTCTTTAGCAGCCGCCGTCCGACATTGTCCTCGGGGAGCGGCGCGTCGAGACCGCTCGTGGTTTTGTACGCGGATTTTTTACCCACCAGAGGCTCGAGCCGATCGGCGCCGGTCTTCACCGCCTCTCGCAACGCCGCGGCGGTCTCCGCGTCCGCCGTCGCCGCCGCGGCATCGCGCTCCTTCTCGCGGTGTTCGAACCCGGCGCTCCACGGCCATTCGCCCTCGTCCGCGGCCGGCGGTTTCTCGTCTTTCTTCTTATCGTCTTTCTTCTTCTTGTCTTTTTCCTTTTGCTTCTTGCTCTCCTTCTCTTTCTTCTCCTTTTTCTCGCCGCCCGTCTCCCCCGCCGCCGGGGGCAGGTCGAAGTCGTCGATCCCGGTGATCCCCAAGAACCCGAGACCTAACGCGCCGTCGCCGCCGAGCGTATCGTCGACGCCGTCGTCGCGATCCGTCGCGACGTAGTTCGCGGACGTCGGCATCGGCGGCACGGGAGGCCCGGACACGAGCCGACTGGTCGCGCCGTTCGATAACATCGTCATGAGGTCGTCGCCGCTGGTGCCCCCAGAGGTGGGCTTCGACGCCTTGCCTTTGCGCTTATCGGACGTCCTATCGGACGTCCTCGCCATCGCGCGCGCTTCCAAGTCCGCGGCGCTGAGCATCGCGCCCGGTCCGCCGGGCATGGGGGGCATCGGCGGCGCGCCGCCGCCGCCGCCGCCGCCGCCGCCGAGCATGGCGAGAAGGTCGTCCCCGCTGGGCGCCGTCCCCGGTGGAGCGGACCCGAGAGGCGAACGCGCCGGCATGACGCCGCCATTACCGCCGCTCAGAGCTCCCATGAGACCGGCGCCGGGCATGGGGGGACCCATCCCCGGGGGCGGGCCGGGCGACGACCCCGCGCCGGCGCCGCCGAAGAAAGCCGCGAGGGGATCCCTGCCCCCCGCGAAGATCCCTGATGCGCCGCCGCCCATCGGCGACGGCGCGCGCTGCTCGTTCAGGCTCCCCGTGGACGAGTGCAGCGAATGCGTCATCGACGCCGGGGAACGGCGGCTGCCGTCGGACGCGTCGAAAAATCCGTCATCCGCGGAGCCCTCGCCGCCGCCTCTGATCCTGCTTCCGCCGCCGGCGCTCCCCCTCGTCGTCCGCGGCATGAGGTGCCGCGCGACGGGAGGGGACGGGTTCGCGGGGGAGCCGCCGCCGGCGCCGCAAGCGCCGCCGACGCCGAGCATCGCCATCAACCCCGCGGCGCCGCCCGCGGCCGGCGGCGGCGCCGTTCGCGACTGCGACTGCGTTTGCGGCGGCGGCGCCGTTCGCGACTGCGACTGCGTTTGCGGCGGCGGCGGTCCCAGCCGCATCCCTGGGGGCGCGCCGCGGAACCCTTGCTGCTGCTGCTGCTGCTGCGCGGGCATCCCGCCGCTCCCTCCAAACCGCGGATCCCCACCCGCCATCGAGCTCACCTGCTTCTCCTCCATGCGAAGCGCGTCGAAGAACGCGTCCGACGACGCCGCGGATGTCGCCGCCGTCGCCGCCGCCGCGTGTGCGGCGTTCGCCCCCGCCGCGCCCTCGAACGCGGGCTGCGGCGCCCCGCCCGGGGTGAGCGCGCACAGCGGCGCGGGCCTGCCGCCATGGCCGAGGTCTATCACCCGCGAGATCTTCAGAGCGCCCTGCGCGAGGAGCTGGTCGAGCACCCCCGCGGTCCCCGGTCCGAGCTTGAAAACGAAGGCGTCCTCGGGGAGATCGAAGCCGACGGACTCGTGGAGCATGATTCGCTCCGCGCAGTCGACGCCCATCATGATGACCGCGAGCTCGCCTCTGGACGTGACGCGCGTTTGAATCGTGAACGCCTTCGGGCCCTCGCTCGGGTCCGTCACGACGCGGTACGTCGCGTCGCCGCCCATGGCGAAGTCACGACGGGGGGCGTTGAACTTCGATCAGAAGAGATCCGCGTCTATCGAGATCCGCGTCGATCGAACGTTCGATCGATCGGCGACGCGTTGGGTGGATCGCGCGTCCCGTCGCGCGAACGCCGGCCGCGTTTGGGGCGAGGGCGAAAGCCCGAGGTCGTGGGACGTCAGCAGCGACCGCGACCGCGTTTGGGACGACGAACAGCACGCGTGTGGTGCGTCCGCGCGAATGCCTTCCGTTGGCGGCGGCAGCGAATCTTTCGAGTTTCGCGTCACGCATCGAACAGAACTGAAAGCGAACAGAAAGGAGGCTGGCGGAGGCCCCGATGCAAGTGGGATTAATTTTATTTTTTCATTTCACTCGTCGTCGACGACGACGCGGCGTCTTCGACGCTCGCGCCCGACCCCCACGACCCCGCCACCGCTACACGCCAAACTTCGTCACCTTCTCCCCCAACGTCACCTTCACGTCCACGACCCCGACGCCGTTCCTCCTCACCTTCAGCGTCACCGTCTCCCCCGCGCGTCTCGCGTCCAACGCCCGAAACAAATCCGACGCGTCCTTCACGGCGGCGTCGTCGAAACCGATGATCACGTCCCCCAACACAACCTTCGACGGGTCGACGACGTCCCGCGTCGTGCCTCTGATCCCCGCCATCGCCGCGGCGCTGCCATCCGCGACGCCGAGGATCAGAACGCCGTCCGTGTTGTCCGCGTTGAAGCCGAGGAGCTGACGCAACGCGCCGTCGGGCGCGAGCACCACGCCGACGTTGGGTCGCGTCACCTTACCAAACTGTATGACCTGCTCGACGATGCCTTTCACGGAGTCGATCGGCAGCGCGAACCCGACGCCGCTGCTGCTGCCGCTCGTGCTCGCGATCGCGGTGTTGATGCCGACGAGGCGACCGTTACTATCCAGTAACGGTCCGCCGCTGTTCCCCGGGTTGATCGCCGCGTCGGTCTGCACGACGTTGAGGATCGGCCGCCCCGTGTTCCCGCTCGGGAGCTCCCTCCCCAAACCGCTGACGATCCCGGTCGTGAGCGTGTGGTCTAAGCCGAACGGGTTTCCGATCGCGAAGACTTTCTGGCCAACCTGTAACGACGACGACCGCCCGAGCGGTATCGGCGGCGGCGACGTCGTCGGCGGCTTCTTCACCGAGAGCACGGCGACGTCTTTGTCTTCGTCGTATCCGAGCAACGTCGCGTCGTACTGCGTCGTGTCGCCTTGAAACGCGACCGCGAGGTCGTCCGCGCCTCTGACGACGTGGTAGTTTGTCACGATGTGACCGTTCGTATCCCACACGAACCCGCTCCCGGCGCCGCGCGGGATCTCCGTGGAGTCCAACGAGTACGCGTTGACGCGCGCGAAGACTTTGTTGGTGATGAAGACCACGGACGGCGTCGCTTCTTTGAACAGCTTCACCGTGTCCGTCTCCTCGCGGTCGAGGACCGTGGACGCGCCGGACGGGACGATCAACTCGGGCGCCGCCGCGGACGCGGTGAGCGCGCGGTTCAAGACCCGCGGCGCGAACGCCGACGTCGCGGAAGACGTCGGTCGTCGTTGTTGTTGCATTCTCGGCGAAGTTTCCGAAGACGTCATCGGCGCGAGCGGCATCGCGACGGGGGACGCCGCGAGGAGGCCGGAGAGCGTCGCGGCGGTGAAGCGCACGCCGAGGGGCTTTGCGTGTGGAGTTTCTTCGTCCGCGTCATCGCGCGCGGACGCGCGCGCGTCGAGCGATGTCGGCTTTCGCGTCGCGCGCCGGTGGCGGATCTGATTCTGACGCGTCGGCGAGTCCGACGACGAACGAGATCCGACGCGCCACGGGACGCCGACGCCGCCGGCGGTCGGGCCGTGCACGCCTCGGCGAGAGTTCAGCAGCCCGAAGCTCGGGAGCGCGAGGGCCATGATCACGGAGAACCCCATGCGATGAGGTCGCGGGCGCGTGAGGTCAGCGGCGCGCGCGGACGAGTGACGTTCGTGAATAGTAAATTCGCCAAGTCAGCGAGAAAGCGTTTTATTTCTTCCAAAGACTTCCTCTCTCGGGACCGCCGGCCAGCCTACGTCAACGCGGAGCAACACGAATCGTCGATCGATAACCTACTTCTTTTTCCCCCTCCCCCCTTTCGCCTTCGCCTTCTTCGCCTTCTTCGCCGGCTTCCTCCCCGCGCCCCCGCCCGCGGTTTTCTTCTTCTTCCCGTCCGCGCCGAGCTTTTGCGCCGCGGGCGCGCCTTTCCTCTTTTTCCCGCCGCCGCCGCCGCCGAACTCGTCGTCGTCGGAGACGTCGTCCATCCCCCTGACCGCCGCCGCGGCCATGTTCCCGGCCGCGGCGCGTCCTCTCTCGTGCTGATCGTCGTCGTCACTGTCCACGCCGAGGTACCCTTCTAACGTCCCTCCCACGTTGTTCGCGGTGACGTCTCTGCGCAGTTGCACGTAATCGTTCGCGATGCACTCCACCTTCGCTTCCGTTTGATTCACCGCAAGGACGACGATGGACGCGGGCGTGGGGAGGATCTTCGCGTCGTAGATCACGCCCTTGAGGTCGACCTTCACCCCGGACGTGTACTTCGCGGACGGGTCGGAGAGCAGGCGGCCGACGACGCCGACGTCGCCTTCCAAGTCCACTGACTCGCCCGCGCCCTCGCACTCGAAGAAGATTTTGTTCCTGTTCACCGTCGCCGGCATGAGCAGCGGTATCTCCCCGATGCGGTCCGGCGTCGGCGCGCCCATGGCCCCGGGCATCTTCGCGGGCTTCGCCGTCGCCGCGGTAGTAGCCGTGGCAGTAGTCGCGGGCTTGGTCTCCTCCGCTTTCACCTCCTTCTCCACCTTCACGTCGTCGTCGTCGTCGTCGTCGTCCGCGTCCTCCTCCGCGAGCGCGGGCGGGGATTTGATCGTCGTCTTCTGCGGCGTCGTCGCCTTCGTCGGCTCGACCGGCTTCGGCGTCGCCGCGGTCCCGGCGGTCCGCATCGCCGCCGCGGACGGGACGTCGTCGTCCGAGCTCAGGTCGTCCACGATCTTCTGCACCGGGGACTTGAACGTGTTCATCCACTCCGGCTCGCTGCTCGACGACTCGTCTTTTTTCGCGATCGGCGGGCGCGGGCGCGCGAACAGCGGGACGTCATCGTCGCTGTCGTCGTCCAGAACGATCGGCGCCATGACTACGCGTACGCCGCGGGGGCGATACGCCGCGTTGGCGGGGGGGTGCGCGTGCCCCGAACGCGCGGGCGAGACTGCGGACGACCCGTCTCGTTCAAACGCAAACGGGATCTCTTCAATCATCAGCGTGACTTGGACGCTCGCGTCCAGTCAGACGTCAGTTGTTACCGCGCGCCGCGCCGCCCGCGATGGCGGGGGCCGAGGACGATGACGAGAACGTGATCATCGAGAAGGACGACGAAGGTAACACGTGGGTGATCGACTTAAACAGCGCGGTCGTGATGCGAAAGCCCGCGGGCGCGAACGCGGAGCTCGCGGTCGTCGGTCGATGGATAGACGGCGCGGTCGTCCTGAACGAGGAGCTGCGCGGCGCGACGAAGGGCGAGGACGCCGCCGCGGTGCTCGCCGCGGCGTCGCCGCCCGCGCCCGCGGCGCCCCCGCTGAAGCCGCCGTTATCCCCGGACGCGATGCGAGCGCTTCGCGAGCGCGGATGGGTCGTCGTCGACGTCGTCCTCGACGTCGACGTCGCGAGCGCGACGCGCGAGGAGCTCCGCCGCGAGGTCGTCGACGCGGACGGCGGACGCGCGATGACGCCGATGTTCCGGGAGAGAGGCGCCGACGGCGGTCGGAGCGACGCGGTCGCGTGGCTAGAATGGCGCGGCGGCGTCGGCGGCGGCGTCGAGGGCGGCGGCGCGCGAGGCGTCGCCGCGCCGCCGCTCGCGAAGGCGGCGGTGGCGACGCTGGCGGCGGCGGCGGCGCAGCTGTCGAGCGCGCGCGAGTCGCGCTTGCGCGTCCCGAACGTCGCGCAGCTTGGGGTGTACCGAGGCGTCGGCGCGAAGTACGAGCGGCATCTCGATAACGTCCGCACGCCGGTGCGCGTCTGCCCGTCCCGCGGTGCACTCGTCTCGAAAGCTAGGGCCCTAATTCTATTTGGCCGTCCGTCCCGCTACCCGCGGCGTCGCGACGGCCGGTACGCGCCGCGTCCGACTGACGCGTCCGTTCCGTTCCATCCGCGTCCTCTCCCTTCGTCGTTCGTTCGTCGACAGTCCGGCTGGTACGTCAACGCGCGCGCGTACACCGCGATCCTCTACCTCAACAGCGCGTGGGACGCCGCCGCGCGAGGCGGCAGCCTGCGGTTGCACGACGTCGTCGTCGACGACGACGACCGGTCCCGCGGCGGCGGTGGCGGCGGCGGCGGCGAGCCGTCGCGGAGAGTCGTCGACGTGGATCCGCGCGGCGGGCGGCTCGTGATCTTCGACAGCCGCGAGGTCGCGCACGAGGTGACGCCGCTGCTGGGTAGGAGTAGTGGTAGCGACGGCGGCGGCGCGGACGCGAGGTACGCGATCACGCTCTGGGTGCTGGACCCGAGCGTGCCCGTCGACGGCGCGACGAGGTAGCGGCGGAGCGCGGCGTGTCGAGAGCGATTCGCGTTCGTCTTCGCGGCTCGTCCGTCACCCGTGCACTTTGTTCACGCACCACCCCACGTGAGCCTCCATCTCCTCCCGGCTCAGCTTCGACGTCACGAACACCTCTTGCGTGGACTTCCCCTTCCGCGCGATGAGCTTGAACCCGCTCAGCTCGGGTCCGGACGCGCCGAACGTGACGCGGAAATCTCGTGCCACGCCGCGCGTCTTCGCGAGCCGCCCTGGCGTGACCGTGTCCGTCTCCGGGAGCCGCTCCGCGAGGTGTTTCAGCACCGGCGCGAGCCCGGGGGCGACGCTGGAGTGGTTGTTCACCAGCCGCGCCATTCGCGCGATCGGGGTGAGCCGCATCGTCCCCCGCGACCGCGCGATCGATCTGTCGGCCGGAGTCGTCCTGCGCAGCTTTATTTTTTTTCCGTCTGTTCCTTTTCGATACCACGCTGCCACGCATCGAATCCGCCATTTAACTCGAGGACGACGGTCTAATTCCGCCGACTCCGCGTCCACGTCGGACAGAACGAGTGTCCCCGAGCGACGTTTCGAGGACGAACTCGACAGCCAACGACTTCGTTCGACGCGGCCCGTCGCGCGTCATTCCACGCGCGCTCCCTCCGCTCGAGAGAGAACGCCGCCGAAAGCAACCATGGCCGCCGTCGCGCAGACCCCCACCGATCTCAAGCGCCTCGCGTTCGTCGAGTCCGCGGCCGCGAACTCGTTCGCTTACGTCACCGGCACGACCGCGTTCGCGAAAGCGTGCGGGTACTACACCTCCGCGAAGGAGACGAACGCGCTGAAGGTGCGCGGAACGGCGACGACGTCGCGCGCGAGTTTGCTTCCCGCGCGTCCGTCTTTACGTTCATGATCGTTTCTTGAATTCGCCCGCGCGATCGCGCGCGATACCGCGCGCGACGCGACGCGCGCGACGCCGTTCGCGCGCGAGATCTCGCCAGCTGTGTTCGTTCTCTGGAGAAACGCGCCTCAACTTCTCATCTTCTCCTCTTCCCCGCGTCGCGCTCCTTCTCTCGCAGGGCTCCATCACGAAGATCGAGGACCTCATCAAGTCGTACGGCGCCCCGGTCGTGTCCAAGGTGTCCGAGAAGTACCCCGGATACATTACCACCGTCGACGAGAAGGTGCGCGCGCCCTTCGAACGATCCGTCCCCCGGTCGCGATGAGATCTCGAGTGCCCGGCGCGAAAATATCGCGGAAAAAAACGAACAACCGCGGACCGACGTCTTCTCTTCCCCCCGTCCGTTCGAATCCACCCCATCCGTCAGGTCGACACCGCGGTGAGCATGCTCCAGAGCATCTGGGACACGCGCATCGCGCCCTCCGCGCCGGTCGCGTACGCGAAGAACGTCTACGCCGCCGCGCCCGGGAAGGTAGAGGAACTCAACGCGATGCGCGAGGAGTACTTCAAGAAGATCGAAGCGACGCTCGAGACGCTCAAGGCGCGCGCGGTGAAGCTCCCGACGGAGCTCACGTGCGCCATCACGGCCGCGATCGCGGAAGCGCGCGCGAAGATCGACGACGCGCAGCTCTTCGAGAGAGTCAAGGCGGCGTACGAGACGGTTCTGAAGTACCCCGCCGTCGTCGCCGCGGTGGAGAAGGCGACGCCGGTGGCCGCACGCGCCGTGGAGATTGGTACGCCGTACTACAACAAGGCTGTCGAGGTCGCGGGGCCGTACGTCACGAAGGTTGGCAACGTCGCCGCGCCGTACGTGAAGCCGATCATGGACCGCATGTACCCGCCCGCCGCCGCGAAGGAGATGAAATCCCCGGAGAAGAAATACCCGTCGCCGAAGAACCTCGACTGAGCGAACGGTCGCCTCGCGCGCGCGAACTTTAAAGAAAGAACAGAGAAAGGTAAAATAAATAAATAAACGGGGGGGATGGGACGACGATCATGCGTGAGGACGACGGCGCGATCACGGACGGACGAGAGGACGAGAAGAAGAACGGGGAGGAAGACTGACGCATGTTTCATTTTTTAGGCTGCGACGCGCACGCGCGCGCTGTAAAACACACGAGACGAACGAAACGCAACACACTCTTCCTCGCGTGCGGTACACGTACTGTAAATAAATCCTAGAAGCTATCACCGTCGCGCTATCCGTCGCTCAACCGAAGGAGTTGGCGAGGTACAGCGCGACGCCGAGGATGATGAAGATGAGCGTCACGTCGATGCAAAAGTGCCGCGTGCTCCGCATCGACGTGATGATCGACTTGAGCCTGCCGTTCGCGGTCCTCATCTCCGCGGTCACGGTGTCCATCTTCGTGTCGATGGTGTCCATGATCGGCTCCTGTCGCTTGATCTCCTCGTCCATCTCCCCCCCCAAGTTTTTCAGCACGCGAAGCCCTTTCGAGATCTCGTCCAAGCCCTCGTCTTGTATCTTTTTACTCTTCTCAAACTCCTTGTTGAACGCCCTCGATTCCTCCGTGTGCTCCATGTTAAACGTCGGGTTTTCCGCCATGGACGCCATGTCCAAGGTGACGTGCCTCGCGGCGCCGCCGCCGCCCTCCGAGAGCCGCGGCGGCGGCGGCGGCGGCGCCTTCGTCACCCCGTCGGGGACGCACTCGATCTTGTACTCAAAGTCCGCGACCTCCTGCTCGCGCTCCGCTCTCATCTCGTCCGTCACCCCCTTGCTCTTCTTCGACATGAGCTTCCGAAGCTTCGGGAGCTCCTCGCGAAGGTAGTTTTTCCCTCGTCGAATCTCCGCGTTCGCGGTCGCGATCGCTGCGCGGTTTTTCTCCTTCTTCGCCTCCTCCGCGCGCTCCATGAGATCTTCGAGCTGGTTGTTCATTCCGTACAGCATCTGCGTGTACGAATCCGCGTCCTTGCTCGCGGGCGCGGTGCCATGCTTCTCCTCGGGGAGGTAGTGGCTGTATCTGAGATCACGACGGCGACGGCGGGGTGGGGGCGGCGTCAGCGAGAGTCGAGGGCGAAAACGATGGCCACAACGGAAGGAAGAGTCGCGGTGCGCGGGCGCGGCGCGTACTTTTTAAGCAGAGAGCCGCTGCGGAGAATGATGTCCGAGGAGCTCGCCATGGTGATCGGCGACCCCGGCGCGTTCGTGCCTCGAATCGATCCGCGGAGTGACGTGCGTGCCCCGGGCGTCGTCGGATGGCGGAAGAGGCCGCCGTGCCCAGGCTTTTTTTAAACAGTCGGATGGCCTCGTGCCGCTCTCTTGCTGTGCGTCATTTTCTGAGATTACGCCGCCGCTACGTGTACCTAATCTACGCTCGTCCGTGCTCTCGAGAGGATCACTCCCGCTTCTTCGCCGCCTGCGGCCGTCGCTTAATCTCCGGCAAGAAATCCCCGAGCCGCTTCGTGCCGTCCAGCGGCAGCGTCGCGAACGTCGTCACCCCCCCCGTCTTCGCCGTCCCCTCCTTCGACAACTTACACCCGAGCTCCTTGCAGTGCGGGATCAACTCCTTCAAGCTCTCTTTCATCTTCTTCCCTAACGCGGTGACGTCGAGGGTCCAGTCGCACACGCGGAGCGCCATCAAGATGACGTGCATACACAGCAAGTCCTTAGACCTCTTCGGTCGGACGTACCGCTTCGCCTCGTCCGCGCCCGGAAGCGTCCCGTCCTCCGAGCGTTGAAGCTCCGTGAACGCGTCCACGACGCCGCGCTGCACGAACGGGTGCACCTTGCTCTCGTCCGTCCACAGCAATATCCACGGCTTCGGGACCGCGCTGTCGATCTCGATCTCCTCCTCGCCCTTCCTCTTCTTCTCTCTGCGCTCGACGACGACGCCCTTGTGGACGTAAAACTTGATCAAAAAGTCCAACGCCGCGAGCGACTTGGCGCGGAGTTTCCGCCGCCTGCTCTCCTCGTGCTTATCGCCCCCGGGCACCCCGGTGCCCTCCGCGATTTTTGGTACCAACGACAGCGTGTACGCGTCGAAGTGCCCGTCCGCCTCGAGCTCTTTCATCTTCGACGGCTTCTTCGACGCCTCGCTGAGATCTTTCCACCGCGTCCGGTCCAACAGGTCGAGCAGCGGGAACAGCTCGAACGGAAACGCGTCGCTCGGGTTGGTCGCGTCCACGTCGTGGCCCGGGATGTTCCTATTCGCGCCCGCGAGCTCCGAGAGCTGCTTCGCGCTCATCTCGTTCGCGGTCGCGGCCGCGAGCGCGTCTTGCAGCGCGGAGGAGGACGCGAACGTGGACGCGTCGACGGCGCGTTCCGCGCGCACGCGAGCGACTTTTCGCTGGCGCTTCTGCGACGAGAACGCCGCGGTCAGGCGCGCGCTCGCCATCCTGCGCGTCTCCGGGTCGTCCATGTCCTCGACCGGGCCGGTCACCGCCGGGGGGTCGTACTCCAGGGCGTGGCATCGCGTCTCGATGGGGAATATCGCGCCGCCGGCCACGGGGGCGATCGCCATCGCGTGCGTCGCGCCCGCGCCGACGCCGCCGCCGCCGCCGCCGCCGACATCATTTCCGGACAGCTTCCTCACGCGCGCGACGAAGTACACGCACGCGTCCGTGGGCATGTGGCACGGGTCCGCCTCGCGAGGCTTCTCCTCGAGGAAGTTCTTCCCGACGTAATCCACGCCGTCGGTCCTCCCGCGGACGATGACGTCCTCGGCGCGTCTATTCGCGGAATCGTCGTCATCGGACGGCGCGTCGCGCGTCCACGCCTGGAACGTCGTCCCCGACGGGAACCGTCCCTTCGGGAGATGCGGATTGTGAATCACGAACGGGCCGTCGCCATCGTCCCCGGAGGCTAAAGCCTCGATCTCGACCACCGCCCCGCGTTTCAACGCCATCGCGGCAGCGCAGACGCCGCGCGCGCGACCGAGTGCGACCTAGGGATCGAGACGTGTTTTTCTCGACAGCGATGAATCCCGAGTTTCACGCACCAGTCTGCTGTGTTCATTCACGAGACGCCGCGCGCCGCGCCGCCTCGCCTCACCTCACGTCGCGCGCTACATACCTAAGCAACACATACCTAAACTACGAACTCCCCCCGAACGCACGCCGTCGCAGCGCGCCGCGGACGTCCCCACGCGCGGCCGCGCGCGTCCAGCCCCCTCCCCCCCCGGCGTCCTCGCCGCCGAGCCCGGCCCCGACGCGAACCTCACCGCGCCGCCGCCGCGCACGCCTTCGTGACGCACACCCCGCACGAAAACGGCGCGGCGACGTCCTTCGCGTCCGCGATCGTCGTCCTGAGCGCCCCCGCGGTGAGCAGCGGCACGAGCAGCGCGCCCAACGCGATCATGCACTTCAACGCGACGCGAACGCTCTCCGCGCGTTTCCCGCGTTCGCCTTTCATCGCGACGAGCGCGTACGTCGCGGGAAGACACATCACGATGACCGGCTGGAACAGCGCCCCGATCGCCCCCACGAGGTTCTCGATGAGGTTCACGCTGTTGCATAAGACGTACGCGGCGCCGAGGACGACGACGGACATGGTCGCCCACTCCGCGCGCGCGCTCCACGACTTGTCGGTCACGTCGCGCGTCACGAATCCGCGCAAGAGCGCCGCGTTGAGGATCACGAAGGACACGATCAGGTGGAACACGAACAGCGCGTTTCCCGCGTACCGGTGCCCGTCGAACGGTAGGATGTCGAGCAAGAACCCCGGCGCGCCGGTGCCGTACTTGGAGTACACGTACGACGCGGTGCCGTAGTACAGCGCAATTAGAGTGGGCGCCGTCGTCGAAACCGTCTTTAGGTAATCCGCCGGCGTCTCCATCTCCGACAAGTACTCGAAGAACGCGCACTGCCCCCCGCCCGCGGCGAAGAAGAACCCCCCGATCCCGGTTAACACGTCCGCGACGTCGTTAGACGGCGACAGCGACGTGGACGTCTTCACGATGTGCGCGCCCGCGTCGTCCGCGAAGACGAGGAGGAGGACGCAGAGCGCGAGCGCGAGGAGGGATAACGACGCGATGAACGTGATGTCGCCGTACGCCCTCAACTGCGCGAACGGCAGCGCCATCGCGACCGCGAGCGCGGACGCGACGGGCATGCACACGCGCGTGTGGAAGCAGAAGTTCATCACCGATCTCCCCATGGCGTTGAGGTCCGCGGCGATGAGGCTGAAGAGGTACAGCTGCACGACGACGCGCGCGATCTTCCCCCCGCGCTCGCCCAGGAGACGCGTCGCGACGTCGCCCGTGCGCGTGAACCCCTCCCCCTCCACCCTGGTCGACATCGCGTGCATCACGCGCAGTGACAGCGCGTTCAATCCCACGAATCCCAAGCACGTGATCGTCCCGAGGACCCACCCGAGACGGCTCATCTGCTTCGGGAGCGTGAACGTGCCTTGCCCGGCGATCTCGCCGAGGATGATGAACGCGAGCCCGAACCAGTGCACGTTCCGTCGCTTCGAATGAGGCGCGTCGAGGGGTAGGATCGTTCCATCCTTCGCGAGCAGCGGCGAGCGCTCGTGTTGCTTGGGCGCGGTGCCCGACATCGCCGCCCGCGGCGCCCGCGCGCGGATGGAGTGCGAACGCGGGGGTGTTATGTTTCGCTGATGACGACCGCGCGCGAGTCTTTTTCGTCACGACCGACGTGATGACGTGAGCGGCTCGTCGCGTCAGTCCCTTCGCGCGCGTCGACGATGGCGAGCGCGTTCGCGCCCGTCGCCATCCACCGAGTCGTCGTCCGCGTCGCCGCGACCGCCTCGAGGAAGAGCGACGGCGGCGCGGAGAGCGCGTTCCCGGTGTCCCCGCACAAGGCGAAGCTCGAGGCGCGGAGATCGTACAAGACGGTTCGGATAGATCAGATCGCTCGACCGCTCGGGAAGACGCGCGCGAACGACCAGGAGAAGGTGAAGTGGCTCATGGAATCGATCGCGGACGTCGGGCTTCAAGAGCCGATCGACGTCTTAGAGGTGGACGGGAAGTACTACGGCTTCAGCGGGTGTCATCGCTTCGAAGCGCACGTCAAGCTCGGCAGGGAGACGATCGAGTGTCGCGTGTTGAAGGCCACGCGCGCCACGCTGCAGATGCACCTTCGATGACGACCGCTGAAGTCACGTGTACAGTAGATATTCTTTATCTCTAGGGTTTAGTTCGCACGCATCGCACTGCGTTCATCGATCATCGTCCATCGTCGCGAGGAACGTCGCGTCGCTCACTCGAAGAACGACGGCATGTACGACCGAATCAGCGCCCGTCCCTTGTCCCCGCCTTGCTTGCACATCAACAACAACACCTCGCGGATGAAATCCTTGAGCATCTGCTGGTCGCCGCCGATGCGCTTGTTATCGTACCCCACCCGCACGCGCGTCTTATTGTTCAGCATCAAGTTCGTCGCCGGGAGCATCCGTCGGAATCCGTCGCACTTCAACAACGCGTCGCACGCGCCCTCGTGCCGCGTGAGGAGAAACCGGAGAATGTCCAACATCGCGGCGACGGAGATCGGGTCCATCGTGTTCAAGCCTCTGCGGAGCGGCGCGACGAGCGATGGGACGAGAGGAATGATCCTCTCGGAAGGTAACCGCAGCATCTGCTTTGAGCCTTGGACGCCCAACAGACGCAGTGGCTCTTTCGTCTCGCGCGCGCCGTCGACGAAGAGCGGCAGCCACCGCTCGAGGTCAAACTCCGGATCCTCCGGTCCACCCGTCGTCTTCCACCGGAGGCAGTCCGTGCCCCCGAACGCGCCGCTGTCCTTCTCCGCGGGCAACGTCGCGGCCTTGTACATCCGCGCCAGGTCCGTGACGTCCATCGAGAGCGCCTTGAACCGGTCCTGGACGGTGTAGTACGCCTTGTGCTTCACCCCGCCGGCGACGTGCGCGCCGCGGCAGTGGACGCAGAACCGAGCCGCGAGCTCGGTCGCGGCGCAGAGGCGGTCCGGGCCCGCGCCGACGGACGAAGACGTCGACGCGAACGACGACGAGCGTCCGGTGTGCGAGAACACCTGCGAGATCTGCGACGGCGGCTTCGCGGGCGCGCCCCCCGCGGAGCGCGCGGACGACCGCGTCGCGCTCGCGCCGTTCGTCCCGAGCGGGGACGCGTCGCGCGTGGACGACGCGCCGCCGGTCTTGTTGAGCGCGCGCGCGCTCGCGGACGTGCTCGAGCGCTTCGTGCCCTCGCTCGGGGACGATCGACTCCTGCGCGATGGGCGGTGGCGTCGCGGAGACCGTCATTGGGAGCGTCGCGGGGGAGGACGAGGGAGGCGGACGGATGGAGACATCTGAGGCGGGCGCTCGCAGAGTGCTCTCGGGGAAATCGAGAAAACGGTCGTCTCCGCGCGGACGCGGGGGCGCGGCGGACGACGCGCGAGCGCGGGGGGAGCGTTCTAGGGCGAGACGCACCCTCTTCCGGTCACATTATGCGTCGACATCTCGCCGTGCGCGCGGAAGCGCCGTGGAAGTGGTCGCGGGGCCCGCGGCTCGCGGCGCAAAGCCGTTGACCGCCATTTTACGGCTGGCCGGCCGCGCGAGGGGGGCGCGCGCTGTCGGATATCGGACTTGCCCGAACCGCGTGAAGTGTGTGTCACCGGAATCTGGTTCGTGCGTCATACTTCGCCGCGCTCCCGCCGTCGTCGTCGTCGTCGTCGTCATGTCCGTCCACCTCCACTTCGAACCCGCGCACGCGCTCATCGGCGGCGCTATTCTCGGCGTCGCGACCGTCGGGAAGCTCCTCCTCACCGGCCGAGTCCTCGGCATCTCCGGATCGTTCAAGGGCCTCGTCACCATCGGAGACACGTCGAGATGGAGGTTCGCGTTCCTCGCCGGGCTCGTCGGCTCCGGGCTCGCGGACGCGTACATGAACCCGGACCAGGTCGCGGAACCCTCCGCGGGGCTGACGCGCACGGTCGTCGCGGGGCTCCTCGTCGGCGCGGGCAGCGGCCTCGGGAACGGCTGCACGTCCGGCCACGGCATCTGCGGCAACTCGCGGTTCGCGCCGAGGTCCATGGCGTACACCGTCCTCTTCATGGCGACGGGGTTCGCGGCCGCGACGCTTTTCGACACGAACGCCGCGCTCGGGGTGAATCCCGCGAGCGCGCTCGATCGAATGAAGCTCCCGAGCGCGGAGGAGATGATCGGGTACGGGAACATCATCGCCGCGGCGGCGGCGTCGTTTCTCGGTCTCGGCCAGCTCGCGCGCGCGCACGCGAAGAAAAACGACGGCGAGCACACGGACTTCCACGACACCTTGGGCCTCGTCGCCGAAGTCATCAGCGGCTTCGTGTTCGGGCTCGGCTTGAGCATCAGCGGAATGCGCCGCGCCGCGAAAGTGAGCGGGTTTTTATCCGCGACGGCGTCGTCGTGGGACCCGAGCCTGATGCTCGTCATGGGCGGCGCCATGGGGCTCGCGATTCCCGCCTTCGCGCGCAGCGAGAGCGAGACGAAGCCGCACTGCGCGAGGGAGTTCTCCGTGCCGCCGAAGAACAGAGGCATCGACAAGAACCTCCTCTTAGGCGGCGTGATGTTCGGCGCGGGGTGGGGGCTCGCGGGGATGTGCCCCGGCCCGGCGATCGTGTCGTTCGCGGCCAACCCGACCGGGACGGTGGGCGCGTGGCTCCTCGCCGTCGTCGTCGGGATGTACGCGCAACACCGGGTCTTTTAAGCGACGAGAGGGGAGGGAGGGAAAGTAGCCCAAGTGTTCATCAACAGAGAGTGCGATGCGATCGATCGACGCTCGTTTGTATATTAGAACCGTCTGCTAGCCAGCTTGTCGTAATATCATATGTATGACGAGACCCCACGTCGCCGCGAATATTTCCTCCGCGGCGCCGCGTCGTCTCTCTCCGCCAACCTCCTCTCCTCCTCTCTCGGCCGCCTCGAACGAGTGAGCGCACGACCGACGCCGTCCGCGATCGACGATGCGCGCACGGCACGACACACGCGATGTGGATGTGTGCATCATACATCACGTTACGCGTTCTCGTTGCCCGGGTAGAACGCCTCCCACCAGCCCGGCGCGTACTTGGCGTACGGCGCGGTCCACTTCGACGTGTCCGGCGCCGGGAACGCATCCGCGGCGATCGGCGACTTCATCGCGAGGCACTCCTCCGCGGTCCCCTCCACGCATCCCTTGTACACGCGATCCAAGCGGAGCTTCACGAAGTTGTTCCACACCTCGTCCGTGGTGACGACCGCGACGCAAGGCTGGCGCACCTTCTTCGCGACGTCCGGCATCGCGTCCAGGAACGCCGGGTTCGGGACGACCCAGAAGTCCTGATCTTTGTTCGTCTCGCGGTAGAATCGGCGGCGTTCGCGGAGGACCTCGGGGAAGTGCTCGTTGTTCTCGTCGTTCAGCATGAAGTCCGCGTTCGCGAGGCAGAAGTAGTACTTCTGGGACGCGGTCGAGGACGCGGCGTTCTCGGTCGCGGCCTCCATCGTCGCGGACGTCTTCACGCGCGATCGGAAGGGAACGACGGAAGCCCTTTGCTTCGTGGACGCGACCTTGCCCTTCGCCGAGGACGCGGTGACTTTCGCGGTCGCGGACGACGCGGTCATGACGAAAGCGGACATGATTCACGCGACGATGTGAGGTGATGCGTCGCTTGCGCGCTCGCAGTGGCGGACGACGGCGGCGTCGCGGTGACACATCATCCCTCGCTTAGCCAGAAAACGCGATTGGCCAATCACAGCGCGTCTCTGAGAGATCGCTCGTCGCGCTACCCTCGAATCTGTATGCGAGTCAGTGTGAAAATGTACTACGTACGGAGATCTGCTTTTTTCGACTGGCGAAACGAGCGGCGACGACGGTTGGTGGTGACGTCGTCGAGCTCCGACATCCGGCCTGGCACTGACCGAACGCGCGCTGTCGTCGCGCCCCGTCGTCATGCTCACCTCCACGGCCGCGCCGTCCGCGCGAGCGACGCCGCGTCTGAATGCCGGGCGTCGAACGGCGACGCGCGCGAGCGCGAGCGCGACGCGCGTCGTCGCGCGCGCGACCGCGTCCGCGCGCGCCAGCGCGAAGAGTGGGCACGCGCGGCTGGTGCCTCATCGATCTTCCGCGTCCGTCGGCCGCGCATCGGCGGCGGCTCCCTCGCGCCGCTCTTCGACGATCGCGAGCGCGTCCACGCCCACCGCGGAGACGGTCGTGCGAGGGATGTACGACGCGATCAACCGCAGAGACGTCGCCGCGGCGCTCGAGTTCGTGGACGACGACATCTTGTACGAAGACTTCAACTTCCCGACGCCGTTCAAGGGGAAAGCCGCGGTGAAGAAGCTCTTCGAAGAGAGCTGCGACGGGATCCCGGACGACATGCTGTTCATAATCGACGAGTGCACGGACGGCGGAGGGAAGTCCGTCGGGATGACGTGGTACGTCGAGCTCGAGGGCGAGCCGTTCCCGAACGCGCGCGGCGCCAGCCTGTACCGAATCTCGGAGACGACAGGCAAGCTCGCGTACGCGCGAGACGTCGTGGAGTCGCCGCTGAAGCTCGGGGACGTGTCGTTCTCGATCATCCGGCTCGTCGCGCCGCTCGTGAAGGAACAGCTGAAGAAGGAGAAAGAGAAGAGAGCCGCGGGGGGTGGGGGTGGCGACGCGACCGCGGCCACCGCGGCGGCGGAGAGCGCCGCCGCCGACGCAGCCGCCGCCGCCGCAACGACGACGGAGGCGAACATCCCCGTCGCGGCGACCCTCGCGGCGATGGGCGCGGCGTACTGGTTCGTCCTCCTCCTATCGCCTCCCGGGTGGCAAGGCCTCCCGGGCGAGCCCGCGTGGGCGGTCGCGCCGGAGACGTTAAACGAGGTCATCGCCGAGTCCACGGATTTCTTCTTCGTCTTGCCGCTGCTGAACAAGTTCGGCGTCGACCTCCTCGGCGCCGCGCCGCAGGTGCACCCGGTGACCCTCGGGGTGTTTAATTTCGCGGAGGCGTTTATTTTCATGCTTCTCCCCCCGCTTCTGATGGATCGAAAAGGCCGCGACATCGACACGACGAAAGTGTGGGGCGGCGCGATGTTCCTCACGAACGCGTTGATGCTTCCGTTCATGGCGCAGCGGTTCGCCACGCCGGCGCCCGCGGCGTGGGAGCGGACGAAATTGACGACGACAGACGGGCCGGTGGAAGTCACGAAAGCGGAGAAAGGGTTGTTGTCTAAAGCGTTCGGCGCGAGCGGGCTGCTCGTCGGGGTCTTGTCCGTGTGGTGGGCGCTGTGCGCGGACCCGGAGGTGGGCGGCGACCTCGCGCAGAGAGCGGCGTTTCTCGGCGAGCTCATGACGTCGGACCGGGTGTCGTTGGCGTTCGTCGTGGACATCGCGTTCTTCTCGGTGTGGCAGGCGTTTCTCATCGGGGAGTTGGATAAGGACGCGCCCGCGGCGTGTAAGTTTGTGCCGTTCTGGGGTCTCGCCGCGTGGTTGCTGTTGTGAGCGCGCGAGCAGAGGCGTGGAGCGTGAGAAGTGTAGCGAAATCAAGACGACGAAAAAGTTTAAGAAGGTTTCCTCGCGCGGCGCACTCCTCCGCGCGCCCCTCTCGCCGCCGCCCTCGCGCCCCCGCCCTTCCGTCCTTCCTCCCCCCGCCCCCGCCCTCGTATCGTGGACATGGACGCGAACACGCAGAGCTTCGAGGAAGTCGCGTGCAGCCTCGAGCCGCTCACGCAAGGCACGGACGCCGCGTTCCACGAGCACGGCGGTCCGTCGTCGTTCGAGCACCTCGCGGAGCTGGAGATAGACCCGTTCGGGGAGCCGCCCGAGGAGATCCTCCGCCAGATCCGCGCGCAGATGGATCGCGCGCCGTCAGTCGCGATGACGTCGCCCCCGCGAGCGCTCGAGTCGACGCCGCACAAGGTGCTCATCGCCGCGCACGTGGGGTCGGACGTGCACCGCGCGTCGCCCGCGAACGCGGGGGAACGCGAGCGCCGCGCGGCGAACGCGTTCACGTCGACGCCGCGCAGCCCGTGCACGCCCGCGACGATCGCGCGCGCGAGCTCGCAGCCGCCGGCGGATATCACTCCGCGCGGCGCTGAGGCTGCGGAGGTCATGGGCGCGATGCGGCACAACCCTCGGTGCGCGCGCGCCTCGACGCACAGCTGTGTCCCTTTTTACCCCTCTCGGACAGGAGTCCGCGCGTCGTGCAGTGGCTCTCGGTCGCGGCTCTCGGCTCACCTTCACCCGCTCCTTCGCAGGCCCATGCGCTCGACGAGGATGCGCCCGCCCGCCGCGACCGCCTCGACGGCGACGGACGAGAACGAGGCCCCGTCGCCGCGCGCGGTCCCGAAGCGCGGACCCGACGCGGCGCCGCCGCCGTCGACGCGTCCCGCTTCGAACGTTCCAGACGTTATTCGGGGACCGCGAACGAAAACGAAACGCACGGCGCTCGCGACGGTGAAACGCGAGGGGGACAACGACGCGGTGAAAAAGTCGCCCATCGCCGTCCCGACCGTGCCGCCGAAGAAGCGCGCGCAGATGACGAAGACGACGAAGACGACCACGCCGCCGCCGGCGACGAAAGCGGTTGCGGCTCCGAAGAAACCGGTTGCGGCTCCGAAGAAACCGGTTGCGGCTCCGAAGAAACCGGTTGCTGCTCCGAAGAAACCGGCGGCTCCGTCGTCCGAGAAGAAGAAGCAGTACTCCAACGCGGTCAGCGACGCGGAGCTCGAACGCTTGAAGACCGAGAACCCGGTGAAGTACAACCGCATCATGGCCAACCGAAAGTCCGCGGCGGCCCACAAGGAGAGGATGAAGAGAGCCCTGGAGGACACGACGAAGGCGTACGACGATCTCAATGCGAAGTACGAGAAAGCCATCGCGGAGCTGACACGCCTGAAAGAGGAGGCTGTGCGCGCGAGCAAGAAGCAGAAGACGCGCTGAGGGGAGGGGGAGATGAATGCCGTATTACGTGAATGATATTAAACGACGAAGAGACCGCCGCGGGCGAAGATTGATTGCAACTGTAATTTTACACCACCGAACTGAGCGACCTCACCGAGCGCGTTGTCGATCCGCTCACAGCTCCGAGGCGTCCTTCTTCGTCTTTTTCTTCTTTTTCTTCTTCTTCGCCTTCTTCTCTGCCTTCCGCTTCGCCTCCTCCTCCGCTTCTTTCGCGGCCGCGGCCTCCTCCTCGATCTCTTTCTCGATCTTCGCCTGGAGCTCTTCTTTGCTCATACCGGCTTCGCCTTCGACTTCCTCGTTCATGATGTCTGCGAGGTCGAACTCCTCTTCGACGATCACCTCCTCGATCACCTCCGGTTCTTCGCCGCCGGGGACGAGCTTCGGGATCTCCTGGATCATCTGCGTGCGCTGCTTCGAGTTCAGAACGTCCTGGAGAAACTCCGCGACGCCGTCCGCGTTGAACGTCTTCCGGTACGTCGCGAAACGGTTCTTCCGCATGCTCACGACTGTCACGGTCGGGACGTCGGACGCGGTCACCTCGAACGCGCTCGCGAACGACCGCTGCGCGGCCGGATCGACGTACACAAACTTGAACGGCTTCTCGACCATGTTTCTCGACACCGCGGCGATCACGGCCTCGTCCGTGTCTTTCTTCACGCCCTCTTCTTGGCTCACGAACGCGACGATGCACAACCCGCTCGCGCCGCACTTTTCGTCCAGCTCCTCCGGGGAGCCGACGAGCTCGACCGGCTCCGCGGTCTTCTTCGCCGCGCGCTCCTGACCGATGTCCTTCCCTAAGATCTGAATCTGCACCTGCTGAAGCCAGTGGTGCATCTCGACGTAACGCAGCACCGGAGACGGGTACGCCGCCGCGCTGTACTGCACGTCTTGTGTCGGCGTCTCGCCGTCTTTCATCGGGATGTACATCAGACGCATCGCGGGGACGGCGTCGACCTGGAACCGCGCCTTGCTCGCGGCGTCGCTCGCAGGGATCGAGGCGAACATGAAGTCCTCTTGGAAGTTCGCCGCGAGGGCGACGAACTCCCGCGGGGGTTCGCTCCCGGCGTGGAACAGCACGAGCTTCGGCTTCATGAGGTTTTGCTGCAGGAACGAGTCGACGAGCATCGCTTTCAGCGGCATGACAAAGTCCGGGACGGACTCGAACAGCCAGTTCCCGAGCGCGCTCTCCGTGATCTCGCCCTGGTACGTGTCCGGGTCGGAGTCTTCCTTCTCCGCGCCGTGCGGGAAGACGACGACGTCGAGGCACTTCCCGTCCTCGTCCTCATCCTCGGCGGCGGCAGCGGCTTTCACCGCCTCCGCGACTGCCGGGGCGTACCGCTCCGCGAGGTCAAACGCCGCCGGGTCCGACGCGTTCACCTCCCCGATCGTGACCTGGCCGTACATCTTCGTCACCGCCTTCGCGACCGCCCTCGATTCGTTCACGCACCGTGGGACGTTCAGGCGCGTGAACACGACCGCGGTCACGGGCTCGTGCTTCAGGACTTCCTTCTCGAAATCAGCGGGGGCGATCGCCCCGAACAGAGACTCGGTCTCCCTCTTCCGCTTCGCTTCCTCCCTCTTCTTCTTCGCGGCGGCGTCGTCGTCGTCGCCGCCGCCGCCACCGCTCGTTTTCCTGCTCCCCGCGCGCGGATCCCGCTCCTCCGGGGCGTCGTCCTCGGGAACGGCCGCCGCGTGCGTCTCGAGAAATTCGGCGATCTCCGTCGCTTTCATCTCGCCGTCGTGTCTGACGATCGCGTCTTCCCCCGGTTTCGAGATCATCAACACCGGCGCGTCCTCGGGGTCGACACCTAACCCCGCGACGACCTCCGATCCCGCGTGCGCTTCCGTGAACACGACCCTGCGCTTGAACTTCAGCGCGAGCGAGCGGTACAAAGTCGACGTGACGTCCTTCGTGGACGCGAGCGTCGCGATCGGGAGCGGCGGGGACGCGTCGTTCGCGTTCGCTTCCTTCACTCGCGCGAGATCGTCCGACGTCTCCACGCGCGCGATCGTTTCCTCCGCGGGAGGGAGCAGCGACGCGGCGAACTCCGCGACGCGCTTGTGCGAGGAAGTGGAGTTCTTATACGTCTCGTGCTGCTTCGACGCTTCGTTCTTTTTGTACGGATTGATCGTCTTGTGCGCGGGGAATCCCAACACCGCGGGCACGGAGACGATGCCGACGCCCCGCGCGATCGCCATCGTCGCCTCCGAGACGTGCACGTGCCCGAACTTCACGATGCCGTCCATGCTTTTCGCCGCTTTCGTGAACGTCGGCGCCATCTGCGCGCACGGCGCGCATCCGTCCGCGTGAAACGCGACGACCCAGACGTCTCTCCCGTTCTCCATCACGAGATCGGCGAAGTTCTCGTCCGTGAGCTCGACGACGGGGCCGTCCTCGGCGTACGGCGACTGCGCGTTCGCGCAGACGGCGAACGCGGAGAGGAGGACGAGAAGCAGCGTCGCGAGGAGACGCGTCGTCGTCATGTCGCCGTCGTCTCTCGTCTACCGCGGCCGGTGCAATCTAGAAATGACGTCGTCGGACCAGTAGAAACGCGGAGAAGGCTGAAAGCGAACAAATCGCGTAAGAACTTGGGCCTGCCCCCCGCGCCTGGCACAGGTTACAAGACTGCTCGCCATACGAAAACCGCATCTCGCTCCGCGATGAAATTTTTTACCTCAACGTCAGCCAATCAAGACGAAGCAATCTGCTTGGCGTGCCAGCGGCGACGACCGAGCGAGCGAACAGGACTCCGGAGCCGGACTCCGCGGCATTCCAGCACCCGTCGTCTCACGCGCGCACCTAAACACCTCACACAAAATGGCTGCTATCATGGCTTCCTCTTCCGCCTTCGCCGGCGTGAAGGTCCAGGCTCGCGTCGCCGCGAAGAACACGCGCGCGAAGACCGTCATCATGGCGAACTCTTCCGGCCCCAAGCGCGTGCGTGCCTCGCCCGCGACCCGCCTCGCGGCGCCTGCGCGACGCGAAAACGACGCGTACGAACGCGGTCGCGATTCCATCGTGGTGCTCACGATCGAATCGCGCCGCGCGGTCGCGCGTTCGCCGCGCGTCGCGTCGCGTCCCGTCGCGTTTTCGACGCGCGCTCACGCGCGAATCTCGGGTTTTTCGCGATCGTATCCAACTCTCATTTCACATCGCGACCGACGAACGACGACGACTGACGCGCCTCCGTCCTTCCTCTGAACGATTCACAGGGCACGAAGGCCAAGGGTGGCCAGGCTGGCGTCGGCTACAAGGGTTCCACCGAGGGCGGCTCCGCCCCGAAGACGTGCGTCGCGCTTCCCGTCGATATCGATCCCGCGCTTTTTTCCACCTGGACGGACGACGATCTACCACCACGAACGCTCGACCCGTTTCCGATCTGACTCGGAGCCTTCGATCGACGCGCGCCCCCGCACATCGCGCTGACGCCCTCCCCCCCACCCCGATCGCGTAATCATCTCACAGCCGCTCCGGCAAGGCCGGGTACGTCTACAAGCTCGGCCTCCGCAACGGCAAGGCGAACGTCGACGAGTACTCCCCCATCTACACGCCGGAAGAGTTCAAGACGGACGGCGACAAGTACGAGGGCGACCTCAAGCTCGCCGCCGCCGCGGTCGTCGGTGTCGTCGGGACTGGTGCGCTCGCTATCCTCCTCACCTCCGCGCTTTAAGCGGTTCGGTGAACGAAGAGAGTGGTGGACGCGTCCGTTCGCACGTCGTGCTATTAGCTATAGTTGTTGAGAGAGTCTCGATGCGGACGACCGTCGAGTTGAAATATACGATTCGATGATTCATAATACCGAACACCCCGAAACGTGCGTGAACGGACGAAACGAACGATATGACGTGATGTGCGTGTCATTAACTTGGGCTCCCAAGCCTTGCTTCTAAGTGTTGTTTGTTGTTTTTTTTCGCCGGCCCGCGTGTTCTGTTCCGCGCGCGCCGACTCGTAATAATTCCGATCCTTCCATTCGTCGTCGCCGCGCCGACCGTTCTCTTCCCCGTCGAGTTCAATTCGACGCGCGATTCGATTACTGCGCGTCGAACTCCTTCATCACCTCCCGCTGCGCTTCTATGTCCACGGTCTGGTCCATCCCGTCGAGTTCCTCGCGCGCCTTCTTCCTCGCCTCCTCGAGTGCGCGCTTCTTCTCCGCTTCGGCTTCCTCCTCGGCGCGCTTCGCCGCCGCCTCCGCTTCGACGGCGGCTCGGCGCTTCCGTTCCTCCTCTTCTTTCGCAGCCTCCTCCTTCGCGACCGCGGCAGCTTTCTCTCTCTCCTCTTCCGCTTCTCTCTCCTTCTCGCGGTCGGATTTCTGCTGCGCCATCGCTTCGAAGTCGGACCAGAGCGAGTCCGGGATGGCCTCCTTCTCGCCCGCGGCGGCGGTTTCGCCGTTCGTCGCGCCCGCCGCCGGCGCCGCGTCTCCGGGCTTGTCCGCGAGGTTGTTCCACCCAGCTTGGTTCTGGATGATGACCTCCTGCTTGCTCTGGTTCTGTTTCAGCGCGAGGCCCTCGTCGACCGGACGCGAGCTCGACACCTCCACCGCGGAGGCGCCGCCGGCCGGGGCGGGCGCCGGGGCGACCCCCGCGCCAGCGGCGGCCGCCGCCGTGCCGTCTTTCGGGTTCGATCCGCCGCCCTCCGCGGAGTCGAGGCTGTCGCTGTCCGAGGAGGACGACCCGCTGTCGCTGCTGCTGCTCGACGTCGCGTCCGAGTCGCTCGCGCGTTTATCGGGCGCGGGCGCGGCGGCGGGCTCGGAGGGCGCGGCGGGCGCGGCGGGCGCGCCGACGCCGACGCCGAGGCTCGCCTCCACCTCCATCAGCTCCCGCTGTGCCTCCTCCTCCGCGCGCTGGGCTTCGAGGAGAATCTCCGCCTGCGTCGGCTTCTTCTTCTTCGGCTTGATGCACGAGCGCGCGAACCGGTCGAGCTTCCACAGCGTCACGGAGTCGAGCTCCTCGATATTTATCTCGATGAGGTCGCCCTCCGCGTTGCCAAGCTCCTTCTGACGCTCGACGACGATCTGCACGACCTTCGCTTGCTTGTCCTCGGGGAGCTCGCCGAGAAGCTCGGTGAGCTCCTGTTTCTCCGCGTACGTCATGTCGCGCGTGGGGAGCGGTTCAGACGCCGGAGCGCGCGCGGGGGCTCGAGATCCGCCTCCGCCGCCTCCGCCGCCGCCGCGCGACCGCGACGCGCCGCCGCCTCCGCCCCGCGAGCCTCCGCGGTTGCGCGGCGCGGGAATGTACACGTCGTCCGGCTCCTCCTCGTCCATGAAATACTCGTCGTCTTCGAGGTCCGCCGCGGGTCTCTTGCGCTTCGCGCCGCCGCCGCCGCCGCCGCCGCCGCTGGGCGGGGTCATCCTGGTCCCCTCGGAATGCGCGCGTTTGAACTCCTCTAGCTGTCGCTGCACCTCCGCGAGCTGGCGGTTAATCTCGGACACTTGCTTGGACTCCTCGAGAACCTCCTCCTCGACGGGATCGTCCGGTTCCGCCGCGATGATCGCCTCCTCGGAGGCGCGGTATTCGTCCTCATCCGCAGCCTTCGCTTCAAGTTCCGCGGCGGCCCAGTGCTTCTCGAAATCCGCTCTGACGCTCTCGCCCATCGTGCCGACGACCGAGTCCGCTTTATTGTACAGCCTGCAGTTGTCCAGCGTCAACGTGACGTCGCGGTAGAATTCCATCGGGTGGTCGTATGCCGTCCCCGCTGCCTTCGAGTCGAGCCTCTGTTTCACCGTCCCAAAGTCCATCGGGTTCTTGATGATGTCGAAGTAGTCCGGGAGTCCCATCTTCATCGGGTCCACGGGCATGGCGAAGATCCTCGCGTCCTTGTTCTTTCGCGTCAGCGTGAGCACCTCGCGGCATTTTCTGATGAGAGCCACCCTGCGATCCTTGCGATCGACCATCAGCTCATCGCGCTTCATGTCCCTCATCGTGATGATCTTCCCGTCCTTGCCCTTCTTCGGCACCTTCTTCGTCTTTTTCCCCTCAAACTTGCTCGCTTTCTCCACCGCCTTTTCGGACGCCTTTTCGCCGACGATGAAATCTTGACCGTGCGCCTGCGAGGGCTTCGCCGCGCGTTTCCTTCCCTCCTCCCTCGCCTTCTTCTCCTCCGCTTTCTTCTTCGCCTCCTCCTCAGCCTCGTCCAAGGTCTTGTGCGCGTCCTGAATCGCACTGATCTGCTTCAGTAAGATCTCGCGCTGCATCCTCTTGAACTCCTTCTTTTTCGCCTTGGCCTCCTCGGGGGTGAGGCCGGTGAGATCCGGCATCTGCGGAATCACCGGCCCCTGCACCACCGGCGGCGTGTACACTTCCGCCGGCCAGTACTCCTCCTCCTGGTAAACCTTCTTCGGCGCGGCTTTCTTCTTGGCGGGGGCCTTCGCCTTCGGCGGCGGCATCGCCCTCGCCGTCACCTTCGGCCGGCGCTTGCGCTCTTCGTACGCCTCGACGAACACCGCGTACTCGCCGACGGGGACGTACGAGTGCCCTTTCGGCGGCCGCGCGGCCATGTTCGGCGTGAGAAGGAGCTCGCCCTTCTCGAGGTTGGATTGAATGATCTTCGTGGACGGCCAAACGTCCGCGTCCGCGGCGGTCATCTCGACGTCCGTCATGCCGAGCGTCTGTCGCGCGCGATGATGGATCGATCGATGGAGGCGGGTCGCGGTGAGCGACGCGTAGAGATTTACGCGACGCGATCGTATCGATCGCGATCGGCGTGAGGACACTCGCGAGGCGAATTCGCGTGTATACGCGCGCGCGAGGCGATCGCGAGGAACGCGAGGGGGTGAGCGCTCGCGAGCGCGCGCGCGCGAGGCGTTCGCGTCGCCGCGTCGAGGACAATTGGAAGAATTCCGAAGAGATCTGAGGATCGCGATTCCGACCTCGACGCACCTGCGCGAGCGACTCCGGAAGCTCCGACTGGTTCGTGTGATCGACGAGCGCGGACGCGCTGGGGGCGACCGCGGCTGGGTTCGCGCCCGTGAGCGGGAGGAAGCGACGAGCCGGTCGGGCTGTCTCGCGATCTACGAGTAATTCCCGATCGCCGCCGGCTGCGACGTCGAAGAGAGCACGAACGCCACTAATTTTCCCCCGGGGCGGGAAAACGAACGCCGCCACGGCGCAAACAGTCAGAAACGTACGCGCGAGCGTACAACTACTCGTCCGCGGCCGCAACGGTTCGATGAAGTCGCGCGGTTGGTAATGAGATTTCGGGAACGTTGAAACCGCGTTTCATGCCGTTCGCTTTGAAATTGACACCTGGCGAGTTCGATCACGCGAAACGTTTCAACGAACGCTCTCGCGCGGCGGCGTTCGTCGAGCGCGGGAGACGAGACGCGCGCGCGAGGCCGCGAGCGGGACGACGCGAGGCGACGCGTCCTCTTCACAACTCCACTAGCCCTACGCGCGACGCTCCCCCCGGCGAAATAACCGACCGCGTCGCGTCACTTCTCCTTCTTCGACTCGTCCTCGTCCCCCGCCGCCGCCGGCGCGGCGTCGTCCGCTTCCTTCCCCCCACTCCGCCGCTCGCCGCGCATCGCCGCTAACACGCCCTCGCCGCGAGTCGCGACGAGACCCATGACATAGTACTTCGCGAACCGCCCTGCGAACGCGGCGCTGAGTATCGAGAACGACGACATCCCCGACAGCATCCCCATCAACACGAGCGGATGCAACGGCAGCGGCGCCGCCAACGCCGCGACGCCGCCCCATCCCGACCTCGCGATCACGCCCTCCATGTATCCCCAGTGCGTGGACGCGAACAGCGACGGGTACGACGCGCGTATCGCGTCCATGCCGCGCTGCTTCACGATGACGATGAAGATCCCGAACCCCAACGCGACGCCGAGCGCATTCGCGAGCGCGACGTGCGCGAAACGGCCTTTGCCGCGCGCGACGCACGCGCTGATGAAGAGCGCCGTGACCGCGCCGGAGAGGAAGATGGCGAAGCACGACGCGGCGCTGAGCGCGATGATGACTAACGGGAACCACGGCTTCGCGACTTGGTCCCCGAGCCGGACGAAGACGCCGCGCGTGGGCGGGATCGACGGGGGCGCCATCGCGAGTGCGACGAAACGATTACAAATTGAGGTTTCTAGATCTGTGGGTTCATCAGTTCGCCGCGCGCCCGATGTGCCGCGCCGTCGCCGCGAGCCTCATCTCCCGCCTCACGATCGCGTGCGTCCGCACGAACTGCAGCAGCCGCAGCCTCCGCAGCACACCCTCGCGCGCTCCTCTCGTCGCTCGCGCGTCAGCCTTCGCGCGCGTCGGCCGCCGCCCCGCACCCACGTGGAACGTCGTCGCCCGCGCCTCCGCGTTCGCGACGTCGTCCACCGCGGAGATGGACTTCCTCAGCGAATCCGACTTCGACGCGATGCGAGAGGCGATGACGCTGTACGACGAGCAGCGGGACACGGTCATCAAGCGCAGCCGCGACATCACGAAAGCCGCGAAGGTGGCCATCTACTGCCTCCACCGCGGAGAGATGGACAAAGCTCGCGCGCAGATCGAACTCTCCGCGTCCATCGCGGACGAGCTCCGCCCGATCGTGGACGCGAACGCCGGTCTCCGCGGCGGGTCCTACAGCGGCGGCCTGGAGGAGTACGCGGAGGCGGTCGTGTTCGAGCACTTCGTTCGCACGGGGACGATCGCGACGAGCGTGGATCTCCCGCGGTGCGACCGCGACGAATACCTCGGCGGCATCCTCGACTTCACCGGCGAGCTGAACCGGTATTGCATCTCGAAGGCGACCGTCAGGGACGTCGCGGAAGTGCGCAAGTGCCGCGACGTCGTCGACGCGCTCATGGGGATATTCCTCAAGTTTGACTTCCGGAACGGCGCGCTTCGCAAAAAGTACGACGCGTTGAAATACACGCTGAAGAAGATGGAAAACACTTTGTACGAGCTGTCCCTGAGCGACGCGGCGAAGCGCGCGAGGGAGGACGACGACGTGGAGGGGGACGGGAAGCGCGCGAAGGGTGACGGGGAGGACGAGTGAGTGATGATAGAAGATAGACGGAGTGCGTTTCGTTACCGTACGCGTCGCGTCTGACGTTCGCGACGCGTTCGCCGGCTCTTTTCAGGCCCCGGTCAGGTGCCGACCTCTCTCCTTCAGTGAGTGCTCGCTGCTCAGCTGCAGCGAGAAGCGCCCCCCTTCCGCGCGAGTCCTCACTCCGACGGTCGCCGCGATGGCGACGGTCGCGCTCGCGCGAGGAGCGAACGTCTCCGCGCTCGCGCCGTCGTCGTGTTCTCGACGACGATGTCGACGTCGCGTCGACGCGCGATGGACGACGCCCGGACGCGCGACGGTCGCCTCGTCGGCGAGCGCGGACGACCGCGCGGGCGAGTCGAGCGGCGAGATTCGACCCAAGCGAGCGACGGGCGGGCGCGTCGGCCGCGCCGCGTCGACGCCCGGCGGCGGCGCCGCGGGCACCTCCCCCGCGCGCCGCGTCGTGCGCCGTAAACCGACCGTGGACCGCGGGAAGGCGCGCACGGACGAGGAGAAGGCCGCGGCGATGAGGGAGCTCAAGGCGAAAGCCATCGCGCCTCGCATCGACGCCCTCGTCGCCGTCGTGGTCGACGCGTGCGGTCGGGACGAGTACAAGCGAGCGAACGTCGCGTACGCGGAGCTGAAGAACGACTGCGCGGACGGTTCCATCCCCGCGGAGGTGTTCACCGCGATGCTCGAGCTGTGCGCGCGGCTGAGGATGCCGTCTAGCGCGGAGGGAATATTCGTGGACTCCGTCGCCGCCGGACACGCGCCCACGGAGACGATATGCTGGAAGCTCGTGGAGATTTTCGAGCAGGCGGGGGAGAAGACGAGAGCAGAGAAGGTGCTCGCGTACATGGAGACTCGAGGGATGAGCTGAGAACGCGGGGGACCGTGAGGACGTTGCGGGAAGAGTCTAAATTAGAATTGAAACGCCGACGGGAGGGTTACAGTAACATTACACTCACGATTCGCTCGCGGGTTAAAGCTTTCGCTCCTCGAACCGCTTCGGGTCTTGGTCGTACAGCCTGCGCTGGTGCGCGTTGCTGAGCGTCTCGTAAGCCACGGCGACCCGACGAAACGTCTTCTCCGCGACCGATTTCTGCTTCTCGTCGCACTGCTGCCACTTATCAGGGTGCCACTGCGCGGCGGCTTTCCGGTACCCGCGTCGAATCGATTTCGCGCTCGCGTCTTGCGTCACGCCGAGAAGCTCGTAAAACTCCGACGTCTTGACTTTACCCCCAGTCCCGACCTCATCGCGTCCGCTGCCGCCACCGCCGATCGCCATCTTCGCGGCTTTCTGCACGAGCTTCGCGATCCCGGGCGCGTCCGGGTCCGCGCGTTGCGCCGAGCGATAGTCGTTGAAATGCCTCTCGTACTCCCCGCGATCGCGCTGCACGGTCGCTCGTAACATGTACGCCGCCGCGTCGTTCGGGTCGATCGCGACGCACTCGTTCAGGTCCCTCAGCGCGTCGTCGCCGTGCGCGCCGTCCAGCGCGTCGCCGCGGTCGATCACGCACGCGGCGCGTCGGCGAAGGACGTCCGCGCGGAGGTGGTTCGGGTACGGATCGACCGCGCGCGTTTTCGCATCTCCAGCCCCGGCGGCGCCCGGCGCGAACGCGGACGCGGCGCCCCACACCCGCCTCAGCTCCGACACGTCCAGCGCGGCGGTGAACGCCCTGTGCGCGACGTCGTGTTGTCCGTCCTCCGCCTCCGCGGCGCCGCGGTCGACGAGCTCTTTTAGTTTCGTGAGCCTCGACCCTAAGCTCACGAGTTTCCCGGGCGACGACGCGTTCGCGTTCTTCGTTTTCCTCGCGCGCCGTTCAATCTCTTCGATCGCGGCGTCGATATCCCCGCCGCGCCACAGCGCTTCCGCGCGGAGATACGCCCGGTCCGCGCTGTCCTCGAGCATCGTCTTGCACACGTCGATCGCGCGCGCGATCCGTCCACACAAGATGGCGGCTTCCGCGACGGACGCTTTGGCGCCTTCCAGTCGCGGATTGTTCGCCAACAACGTCTCCGCGTCCAGGAGCGTCTCCGCGGCGTCGTTCAGCGACGGCCAGGCGTGCACGGGCGGGAGCTCCGCGCGCGCGCCCTTCCTCGCGCTCGCCGCCGCCGCCGCGGTCTCCGCGGCCTCCGCGCCCGCGGCTCTCGTCGCGTCCGCCTTGCCTTTCGCGGCGGCGACCGAGCGCGGGTCCAACGCGAGCGCGGCGTCGAAACGAATCGACGCGACGTTCGGATCCCGCAACCATAGGTACGCCTTCCCCGCGCGCACGAGCGCCTTGACGTGCGTCTTCTCGCGCTCGATCGCGTGGTCCGCGTCATCCGCGGCGACGCGGAAGCGTTCGAGCTTCAGCGCGCACGCGGCGCGGTTCGCGTGGTACCCCGCGCGTCGAGGTTCTAATCGAATCGCTTCGGTGTAAAACTCGAACGCTTCTTCGTAGCGCTTCTCCTTGAACGCGTCCATGCCTTTATCGTTCGCTTCCTCCGCGCGCGTCTCGTCGTACTCGCCGTCGCACCACCACGGTCGCGGCGGCGCGTCCGGCGCGCGTTGCTTCATCGCGAGCTCGTCCAGTTCGTTCGTCATCGCGGTCATCTCGTTGACGACGCGGATCACCTCCGGGTCGTTCTCCAGGCGCGCGCATCGCGCGCGCCAGATGAAGTCCTTGAGCCTCTCGTGTCGCCATTCGATCCCGGCGTCGGAAGGGTCCGCCGCGGGCTTGACCTCCGCGTACTGCGATTGCGATAAGGGCGCGAGCGTGGTCATGACGGGAGCGCCGGGGGGAGTGACGCGACGCGGGAGGCGAAGCGTTTTCCGCGCCGTTTCTGGGCGTGATCGAGATCTCTCTCGCTGCTGCTGGAAAGTGGGCGCCTGCCGTTGATGAGCGGCCGCCGCTCACGTCGTCAGACCCGGGCGCGCGGCGCCATGGAATCTCCCGAGACGTTCGCGCTCAGCTGTCGCGTATCGAGAACTGTGGCGGACCGCATGCGCGACGACGGGGACGTGGGGTCGCCGCCCTCGGAGGTGACGCGCGGGATGCGAGGTTCGTCGCGAGATTTGAATAGCGACTCAACGCGCACCCGGCGAATCTGACGCCGTCCCCTCCCCTCGCCCCCACCGCTCATCGCGTCATCAGTCCTCGAGGACCTCGTGTATCAGGAAGCCCCGAGAGAGTCCGAGCCGGAGTATCACGAGATCATGCGCCTCCGAGCCGAGGTCACGGAGCTCTGGACGAAAGCGCAGCTCGCGGAGCAGGAAGCGCAGCGCGTCGAGGAGGAGGCGCAGCGCGCGGCGACCGACGCCTACGAAGACGACTTCGAAGACGACGTCGACGTCGAGGACGCGACGCGCCCTCCCGCCATCGAACCCGAACTCACGGTCGCGCGCGTCGCCGAGCTCGTCCGCGCGCTCGGAGACGCGCGCGCGCACGCGGCGCGGCGCACCGCGGCGGCGGCGGCGACGACGACGCGGCGTTCGCGGCTCGCGACGCGCGCGTTCGCGCTCGTCGCGTTCCGCTCCTGGCGCGCGGTCCGACGCGCCGAGAGCGCCGCGTGGCGGTGCCACGCGCTCGAGTTCGCGCGGCGACGGTCGAAGGCGAAAGACGCGGACTTCGCGCGGCGCGTCCTCGTCGGATGGTCCGTCGCGACGCACTCGAGGTTCGTGGACGACGCTCGAGCCGCACAGCTGGCGACGTCGAGGGTTTCGCGGACGAGGCGACGCGCGCTCCGCGGCTGGCGTCAGGCCGCGACGCGCGACGCGCGCAACCGACGCGCGCTCGCCGCTGCGAACAGACGACGATTCAGAGTCACCGGGCGCGGCGTCGTCGCCGCGTGGCGCGCGTACGTCCTCGCGTCCGTGTGGAGACGGCTGGAAGATGAAAAAGGCGCGTTCTATACACTGGTCCCCATACGACCGCGTTGGCGTGGTGAACGCCGATCCTTAAGGACTTTTGCCGGCGTCTCTCTCCGCCCACCCCTCGCGTTCAATCCCCGAGCTCGATGCCTTTCAACTCCAACTGACGCCTTTCAACTCCACCCCGACATTCGCTTGTATGGAATGGCCCAAAGTCGCCGCCGCGCGCGAGAAGCTCCGCGAGCGGCGGCGAGCGACGCAGGGGAACGCGCGGCGGCTCACGCGGCGGGTCGCGCGGCTCGTGCTTCAGAGCGCGATCAGGCGGTGGGCGGCGACGACGGCGAACGCGAAGCAGCGCGAGGAGCTCACGGTGAAGATGCGACGGCGGTTCGCGATGCTGAAGAAGGCGGCGGCGACGCGCGCGTGGAGGGAAAAAACCGCGGCGACGGCGGCGGCGCGCGCGATTCTGACGCGCCTCGCCGCGCGCGTTTCGGCGACGCGACGATCGCGCGCGTTCAGGGAGTGGGAGGCGATCGCGAAGGAGACGCGACGGCTGACCGTCGCGCGGTGGCGCGTCTCCGCGCGGCGGGCGAGGAGGGCGACGACCGCGGCGCTGAACGCGTGGCGCGCGTTTTCGAAGCGCGCGGGGGAGAGGAACGAACACGCGCGCGCGCTCGCGGAAGTGTCCACGCGGCACATTCTCGCGGCCGCGATCGCGGAGAGGACCGCGGTAGAGGTCGAAGCCGCCGCGCAGGTGGAGAAGCTCAGGATGGAATCGAAGCACGCGAGCGAGATTGCGACGTTAACGCGGAAGCTCGCCGCCGCGGAGGAGCGGTCCGTCGTCGTGGTCGACGACGACGGCGAGAAAGACGCGGAGATCGAGAACCTACGACGCGCGCTCGGGGACCAGAAGGCGTCGTTCGGGGACGCGCTCGAGTTCCTCGAGCGCGCGCACGCGAAGCTCGTCGTGGACGAGGAGCGCGCGAGACGCACCGCGGACGAACAGCTCGTCTCCGTCGCGCGGAAGCTGGAGATTGCGACCGCGCGCGCCGACGCCGCGGAAGCCGGGGCGTCGGAGCGTGCGCGGGAGCTGTCGGAAGCGCAACGCGCGTTGGCGGAGCAGACGACGCGCGCGACGGCGACGCTGGAAGAGATGGAGCGCGCGAAAGTGAAATTGGATTCGGACGAGGAGCTCTCGAAAGGGCTCACGGACGTCGCCGCGGAGGCGTCCGCGACGCGGGCGGCGCTCGGCGTGAGCGAGAGAAAACTCGCTGCCGCGATGTCGTCCGCGGCGGCCGCGGCGGCGAGGGACAGCGCGAAGGACTCCGAGATCGCGCTCCTGAAGCGAGCGCTCGAGGAGACGACGTCGCTGCTCGTGGAAGCGGAGGTGGCGCTGTCCGCCGCGGGGATGGGGTCGCCCGAGTCCGCGCGAACGACCCCGCCGCCGAATCCGCTGCCGAGCACGATTCGCGAGCTGCGTTCGACGCAAAAGCAGGGAGGGAGCGCGCGGAAGAAGGCGGCATGGCGCGGCCCGGGGGCGAGGATGTTCGACGCGCCAAAGACTCCAGCTCCGGTAGCCGCCGCGGCGCGTCGACCTCCGGCGGCGCGGGCGACGCCTCCCTCCGCCGCCGCGGCGAGAGGCGGCGCGTTTGGAACCCCGGCGACGTCCGCCCGCGCCCCCCCCGCGCGAACGTTCGATCGCGGCGAAGACGAAGGCGTCCACGTCACCGTAGAGGAACCACAAGAGGACGACAGGAATTGGCAGGACGCGTCCGAGGATGACGACGACGACGAGGACGCGCGACCTACGCCGCTCGCGACGGCGCGCGCCGCCGCGCCGCGACGACGCGGGAACGACATTAACGAGCACCTCGCCGTGAAGCTCGCGGCGATGGAAGCGGCGAACCTCGCGGTGCGTCAAGCCTCCGTGGACGACACGCTCACGCCGTCGCCGTACGTCTCCGCGCGCGAACACGCGGAGACGTCGATGCGATGGCGCGCGTCGCCGTACGCGAGCCAGTCCGCGTACGGTCGCGCCCGACCTGGCGCTCGCGTCGCGAAATCGCAACCGGGACTCGAAGGTTCGCGCCGGCCGTCGCCGAACAGCGTGTTCGACGTCCTCGACGTGTTCCCATCGCCCGACGGGTACGATGACCCCGTGGACGTCGGTACCCCTGACCTCTTCGGTGAGTCGCGCGGCGTCGTGAACGTGCGGACGCCGGATGGCGAGTACCGGAGCTTGAGGACGCACTTGGTGTCGACGCGGTCGCGGTGGGGGACGGGGCGGTGAGCGCCGCCGCCGCCGCCGCCGCCGACGACTTCGACGAGTACGAAAAAACGCCCCGAGGGCGGCGACGAGACGACGACGCGTCGCATTAATACTAGCTAGCTCCGTATACGAATCTAAACGACGAACGATACGACGCGTCAGTACTAGCTAGGGATGAAACGCGTACACCGCGCCGACGAAGACGAGGCACCCGACCATGTTCATCGTCAACGCGTTTATCATTTTAAGCTTCAACTTGTCCTCGCCGCCGAGCGTCAGTTTCGGAAGCGCCTTTTGCACGAACTCGTTGAACTCGTTTATGCCATCGTTCGCTTCTTTGTCGGAGTTCCAATCCTTCGCGATCTCCCCAAGAACGTATTTTTTATCCTCTGGTCTCGTCGCCAAGCATTCGCGAACGTCGAAGAGTTTCTGCTCCCTACGCAAGATGAGGTCTATCAGCTTACCCAGCCTCAGCACGCGACCACAGCAAGCGAAGAATCGGACGGTCATGCCAATCACAAAAGCGGTTAACAAGAAAACAAAACAGACCAATAGAAGAATACCGTAATGTCCTTTTCTCTTTTCCCTCTTGCCGTCTTGGAAGGTCCACGCCATGGCCACTGCTAAAAATATCCCGGAAAAGATGAATAACCAGGGCATCCACCGGGATAACCGTTTTACGTTCGCCATGTTGTACACGTTAATGGGCGCTCGCTTACACCCCTTACATCCGATCTCGCTGTTGGAATGGACGTCTAGCGTGGCGTGTATCTTCGCCATGCCATTTTCGATCTCCGTGCGTACTTTCTCAGCCAACTGCCTTTGCTCTTTCGCTTCATTCTGCTTATCGGGTAGCCGCGACAAGTACTCGTAATTTTGCATCATCTGCGCCAACGTCCGCTGTTTAAACATGAGCTCCTGCTCGCGCTTCTTGTCCGCCCTAGCTAAATCCTCGTCCTTGTAACCGATGTAGTCCAGCCGCGGTCGCATGAACGTCGCGAGCTCGTACACGCACCACACCCGTCGCATGTAATTCGAGTCCGTGTGCGTCGTATCGTTGTGCCAGAGCACGGCGACCCTCCGAGAGCGTCCCAGCACGAGCGCGAACTGCGACACGCCCTTTTCACGCAGCACGTGCGCGTTTCCCCCGACGCCCTGATACACGCAGAACCTGTCCAACCAAAACGTCTCCCGACCGAGCGTCTTCCCTAAGAGATCGTACGCATACCTGATCCCGGGGACGTTGGCTCCGCGGAGATACACCGTCACCGCGAGCGCCGTCGCGCCGGCGATGGTGAACCAACCCAATATGTACGCCGCCTTTCCCGCGCCGAAGATGAGGAACCACAGGAGGCATCCGAAGGTGCTCGTGAATATCATCGCGAACGCCGCGGCGTACGTGTTATTTCGCAGCCGGAAGAGCGCGGCTTTCTCGTCCGTCGGGGAGCTCCAGCAGTAGGAGATGAACGTGTCGATGGCCGCGCCTTTGGCGAGCCTGCGGCTGTTTAAGAACAGATCGTCCGCGACCGCCGTGTCGCTCCACGTCTTCGTGAACTCCTCGGTCCACACGTGTTCGTCCGCGAGTCTGTCGCCGTTCGGCAAGTATCGAAGCAAGTCCGCGTCCTTGAGTTTCGACTTCCATTCTGGGTCGCGCGACGGTCTCGGTCTCTTCTTCGGGGATCGAATCTCTGGTTTCTTCACATTCGGCGATTTTTTATCCGCGCGCTCGGCCGGGGCGACCGCGTTGTCTTTTCCTTTACAAATCGCCAGCATCGCGAGCGGTCGGGCTGATGCGACGGATCGCTCGCCGCTCGATATGTCTCGCGAGCGCGTCCCCGGCGCGAAAACGAGTATCGCTCGGCCCGAATCGAAATGTTCGAGCGGATGTTCGACCTGCGATCGACTCGGCGCTCGTCGCGACGATTACCTCGGACGCGAGGCGCGATGGCGGCGAGAGCGAGGATCTCTTCGCCCCCGAGCGATGAACGCGGATGAGGGCGGGCGCGGGCGCGCGACGCGCGTGTGCGCGGATCGTTCGGCACACGAGCGAATGCGCGCGCGCCCCTTCGCGCGTTCGACAAAAGTCAACTTTACCTCTCGACCCCTCACGTGTCCCGAAATTTGCGAAAGGACAGAAAGTGTGATGACTGACTGCCGCCACGCGCGATCACTGCCGGTGAGAGAAAGCGAGCCCGGGAAAAGGGGCACGACGGAGACGACGACGTCGCGTTACCGCTACTGGTGCTAGCTATCTCTACGAATCTAACGACTTCACGACGTCTCATCACTCAGTTCATGAGCGCCTGTATCTTCTCCAGGTAGTCGATGTTCCCGCTCGGGTCCCGTCGCAGCGCCGCGACGAGCGACTGCGCTCTCTGCGCGGTGACCGGCTCCCTGCTGTACTTGACGATGCTCTCCTCCAGCGTCGTCGGGGATATGAACCCGCTCGGGAGCGACTTGTCCGCGAACTCCCTGAACGCGCGCATGATGTCTCTCTTCGTGAAGCTCCCGTCGCTCTGCCCGCCGGCCATGACGAGCAAGAACTCGTCGAAGTCCACGTTCCCGTTCCCGTCGGCGTCGATCTCCTTGATCATCGTCTCGACGGTCGACTTGTCCGCGGACATTCCCAACAACTCCATCAGCTCGGACACCTCTTCCGCGTCGATCTCGCCGCTGCCGTCCTTGTCCACGAGGGAGAAGACCTCGCGGAACGCGGAGATCTCGTCGTCGCTGAGGAACATCCCGCCGACGACGCGGCCGCCCTTCTCGGCGCGGCCGCCCTCCTCGGACGCCATGACGGCGCGCGCGAGAGTCCGTGCCCCACTCCGACGCCCGTTCAACGACCGAAAAGGTCATTTGGTCGGCGCCCGCGCCTCTCCCGCTCCCGCGCCGGCGATATTTCACGAGCACGTGGGTCCCGAAGCGACGGCGCGCACACCTCCGCGCGCGCACACGCTCGATCGGGAACGGATCCGCGCTCGGCGACACGTCGGAAGGCGGAAGGCTCGAGGTCGATCGCCATGGCCGCCGCCGCCGCGTCTCTCGGCGCGTCTCGCGCGTACGCGACGCCCGTCGCGCGCGGCGCGGCGATTCGATCGCGGACGCGCGCGGCGCGAAAGATTATTCCGGGACGCCGGTCCGCGAACGGTCTCCGCGTCGACGCCGTCGCCGCGGACGCCCCGAGCGCGATCGACGACGACGCCGCGATGTTCAAAGGCAAAGTGAAGAAGTCCGGGAAGCTCTCGATCTGCGTCTTCGGCGCGTCCGGGGATCTCGCGAAGAAGAAGGTGTACCCGGCCATCTTTTCGCTGTTCTACGACGGCCACCTCCCGGACGATTTCGTCGTCTTCGGGTACGCGCGGTCGAACATGTCGAACGACGAGTTCAAGGATAGGATCAGGTCGTCGCTGCCGTGCAGAATCTCCGCCGCGAAGGACTGCGACGTCAAGGTGGAGAAGTTCCTGACGCGGTGTTTCTACACGGCGGGGCAGTACGACGATCCGGAGGATTACAAATCCTTAGACGTCGCGATGGCGGAGCAAGAGCAAGCGCTGTGGGGGGATAAGAAGACGCTGAGGTTGTTCTACCTGTCCATCCCGCCGTCAATCTTCGTCCCGGTCGCGCAAAACGCGGCGAGGCACGTCAGCAGCAAGTCTGGGGAGACGAGAGTCATCGTCGAGAAGCCGTTCGGACGCGATCTGGAATCCTCCAGAGCGCTGACCGAGGCGCTCGCGCAAGACCTCGCGGAGGAGCACACGTACCGCATCGATCACTACCTCGGGAAGGAACTCATCGAAAACCTCACCGTCTTGCGGTTCAGCAACATCGTGTTCCAGCCGCTGTGGTCGCGGACGTACATTCGAAACGTGCAGATCAACTTCAGCGAAAACTTTGGCACCGAGGGCAGAGGCGGGTACTTCGACAACTACGGGATCGTGCGCGACGTGATTCAAAACCACCTCCTGCAGATCCTCGCGCTGTTCGCGATGGAAGAGCCCGCGTCTCTGGATGCGGAGGACATCCGCGACGAGAAGGTGAAGGTCATCCGCAGCATCCGACCGATCGACATGGACAACGTCGTGCTCGGGCAGTACAAGGGCAAACGCGACGGCGACGGCGTGTTGCCCGGATACCTCGACGACGATACCGTGCCCCCCGGGTCTAGATGCCCGACGTTCGCGGCGATGGCGCTGTTCATCGACAACGCGCGATGGGACGGCGTGCCGTTCCTCATTAAGGCTGGGAAGGCGCTGCACAAGAGGCAGGCGGAGATTCGCGTGCAGTTTCACCACTCCCCCGGGAACCTGTACAAGAAGCAGCTCGGGAACCGCGAGGAGAACTCGAACGAGCTCGTGTTCCGCATTCAGCCGGACGAGGGGATCTATCTGAACATCAACAGCAAGATCCCCGGCCTCGGGATGCGGTTAGACCAGACGGACTTGGATCTGCAGTACAAGACCAAGTACAGCGGCGGCGCGTTGCCGGACGCGTACGAACGTCTCATCTTAGACGTCGTGCAAGGGGATAAACGGCTGTTCATCCGCAACGACGAGCTCGAGGCGGCGTGGAAGCTGTTCACGCCTATGCTAGACAGGATAGAGGAGGACGAGATCGCGCCGGAGTTGTACCCTTACGGTAGCCGCGGGCCGATCGGCGCGCACTACCTCGCGTCGCGGTGGAACGTGCGCTGGGGGGACACGATGGAGTGACGTGATCGATCGCGTTTTGATCCCTCCTTCCTCGATGAGTTGAACTATTTTTTACAGTACGGAAGTACTTGCGTGTGACATTTGTAAGACCACAGAACACAGTACGTCTGAGAAAGAATCATGAGTTTTATGTACAGTGCGATCGCCTCCTATTATCTCCGGTCCGGCGCTTACGGCGGCCCGCGGGGGCGACGCGAAAAGCCTTCGTTCGATGCGACTGTTATTCTCGTCGCTCGGTCGAACATATACGCTTAAATCTCGTAGAGGACCTTGCCGCGGGACCTGCCCGCCTCGAGGTAGTCGTGGCCTTCCTTTGCCTGCTCCAGGGGGAACGTGCGGTCGACCTTTGCGTAGGGAACACGCCAGAAACAAAAGCGCCGTGGGAACCGGTTCGTACAAGTTTTCTCCGCGGCGACGGGACGGCGAACGTCGTAGCCTCAAACGACTGTTTAATATATGGTGAACGCGCATGTGTGACCACAATAGCGACCGATGTTTGTCTCATCGGCAACGCGCGCCGTCGTCGACCGCGAGAAAAGATGAGAAAAGAAAAGGGATAGAAGCAGAAGGGCAAAACATCAGATCGCGAAGCCTCACCACAACCTTGAGGTCGCCCTTGTCGATCCAACCGTAGATGTCGTTCGCGCGGGAGAGGAGCTCCTCGCGCGTCACGGTGTAATCGTTCAGCTTCGGGCGCGTGATGAACCCGGACTTGTTAATCAAACGCAGCGGCGGGAACGCGGGCACCGCGCCGGAGGCGTTCCCGAACGACACGAAGATCCCGCGCCTCGCGAGCGATTCGATGGAAGTCTCCCACGTCGCGAGGCCGATGCCGTCGATGACCGCCTTCACCCCCTCCCCGCCCGTGATCTCCATGACCTTCGGGACGAGATCCACAGAAGTGTAGTCCTCGTACGACGTTCCGGGCGCTTCCTTGTACACGATGAGCTCGTCCACACCCGTCGCCCGCGCGATGTCTTGCTTCGACTCCGAGCACGTGCCGATAACCTTGTACCCGCGGAGCTTCGCCATCTGCGCCGCCCACTGGCACGTCCCGCTCCCGGTGCCGTGAATCAGCATCCACTCCCCGGGCTTCACGAGTCCCGCGTGCGCGGAGTGCGTGAGGTAGTGCGCGGTCATGCCCTGCACGCCGCACGACACGGCGACGTCCAGGGGCACTTCCTCCGGGACGGTCACCACTTTCGACGCGGGCACCGCGGTGTACTCCGCGTAGGTTTGAAACACGGAGCTGTACGCGACGCGGTCGCCCACCTTGACGCCCTGGCTCTCCGCCTCGGGGGTCACCGCGGCGACGAAGCCGCCGCCTTCTTGGCCGCCGATGAACGGCAGCTCGCGCTTGTACAGGCCGCTTCGGTGGTACGTGTCGATGAAGTTGATGCCGCTGTACTTGTTCTTCACGAGGACGCCGCCGGGGGCGAGCTTCGGGACGGGGTAGTCGTTCTCGACCTTCATCACGGACGAAGGGCCGGTCTCGCGCACGACGGCGGCGCGCTGCGGGAGGGGAGGGGGGTTTAGGGGGCGAGAAGGATGAGATGGGTCAGAGGATGGGCGGGGAGGCGGGGAGGCGGGGAGGCGTCGAGCGGCGGCGGCGACCTTCGAATCGATCGGCTTTCGGAAGACATCGTCGTCTATCGACAGAAAATGATGACCGCGAGCGACGGCGGGCGGCGGCGGCGGCGGCGCACCATGACCTCGGGGACGGCGGCGTAGCCGCGGACGCCCGTGAGGACCTGACGCGCGACGCGGGATCGGAGAATAGCGGACATGGCGTGACGAGAGGTCTGAGGTCAGACGCACGCGCGATCGGGTCTGCGCTCGGCCGCCAACCTGAACCCTCATCAGCCCGGGTAAACCTCAGCCGTGAGCGGCCGTCCCCCATCCGCCGACCGACCGATTCGCGGTCGGGCGCCGCGTCGCGCCGCGGGAAAACCGCGCGACAGGACGAGAGCAGAGCACGACCGCGCCACCGCGGCGGACGCGAGCGGGGCGCACCCGGGCGCGCGCGCGCGCCACCGAACGTTTATCCTCTCGCGCGTCGTTCACACGACCCCGGCGAGGCGGCGCGTCGCGTCGGAGAGGAGGGAAGCGCCCTCGCGCGCGTCCATCGCCGGTCATCAGATCAGCGCGCGGCGTCTCGTCGGGGCGCGACCGAGAGGAGACGATGAGCTCGCTGCTGCAGTCCGTACTCGGCGTCGACCTGAGCGCGGGCTCGGGCTTGTCCACGGAGGCGTTCCGGAAGAAGCTGGACGTGCACATCGCGAACATACAGTGCGTGCTCGCCCTCGCGTCTCCGTCCCCGCGATGGGCGCCTCGAGCGTCGCGTCCTCGCGCCGCGCGTCGGTCAGATCCCTACCCCCGCTCTCCCCGGTACAGTAACGACCTTCCGCGAACGACTGAACTCACCCGTCGAACGAACGAACGAACGAACGTCCCACCACCCTCGTCGTCGCGTCGTCGCAGAGCCGCGAAAGCGGAAGCGCTCGAGCGCGGCGGGAGCCCGCTCCCGAACCCGGACGGCGTCCCCGCGAGCGCGCGCGAAGGCCTTCGGGCGTGGTTCCGCCCCGGCCGGCTGTGGCTCGGTGAGATTTGCATCCCTGGGGAAAACGGCGGCGTCGGCGGCGCCAAATACGTGTTTCAAGTCATCGACTGGAACCCGATCGCGGCGACGTGGACCATCTCGCACGCCGCGCACGGCGACGAGCAGCTGTGCGCGCTGAAGATTGGCGAGGAGGAGACGGGCGAGGACGGACGCGCGCGCCTGCCGTTGTCCTTCTCGGACGCGGAGACGCGGTGCGAGGGGCATCTCCGCGAGGACGGCGCCATCGAGGGGAGCGTCGGTCAGTCCGAAGCGCCGGGGGAGAATTTCGAGCACAACAGGACGGCGTCGCACACGTTCTCGCTGCGTCCGGCGACGCCGGACGCGATCACCGGGAAGTTTACGGCGGCGGTGAGGCAGCGGATATCGAGGCTCGCGCGGTGGAAAATCGCGGACGAGGTTTTGCCGGAGACGTTTCGAGCGTTGGAGACGATCAAGCAAAACGCGCCGATGACGTCGACGTGCCGCAGCGCGATGAAGCGTTTATACCTCGAGACTGGGCTGCTCGAGACGCCGCCGTTGACGGAGCGGATGCTCGCGTCGATTCAACGGTCGCCGTTTGAGCCCGAACCCGAACCCGAGCCCGAGCCCGAGCCCGAGCCCGAGCCCGAGCCCGAGCCCGAGGCGAAGCCCGAGGCGGAGATGGACGAGCCCGAGGCGAGCGCGACCGACAGGGTCGTGAACCAGCTGTTGACCGAGCGCGCGGTGACGCGCGCGACCTCGAGGCTCGCGCTGCGATCGTCGGGGCAGCCCACGAGCGAGAACGTCGCCCCGTCGACGCCCGCGGAGGAGGATGAGGAGCTCCAGACGCACCCGATCGAAGTCGACTCCGCGACGGAAGACTCGGACGAGCCGTCGCCGTCGTCGCCGCCGCCGGCGTTGGAGGACGTCAGCGACTCCGACGCGGACAGCGACGTACCATCGTTAGTGAGCGAGGTCAGCAGCATAGACGAGTCCGACGAGTCGCTCCCGGGGGGGGCGTCCTCGGACGAGGAACCGCCGCCGCTCGTGGATGACGACACGACGGACACGTCGGAGACGGAATCGGACACGTCGAACTCCGCGCGAAGCGCGTCCTCGGACGAAGACGCGAGCGACTCTGAGGATGAAAACGGGCGACGGCGGCGGCACGCGCGCCCGCACGGCTCGAGCCGGCGCGGACGAGCCAGGGCGCGGATCGACGACGGCGAAGGAGAAGGCGACGGCGACGGCGGCGACGATGACGACGTCTACGCCCTGAACGAAGGCTACAGCGCCGTGTTCCGCAGGCTCCTAAAACTGAGCAAGAACAAGTCCGAGCTCGCGTGGTGGCACGTGTTGCAGACGTTGATGACGCGCGTCGAGCGCGAGTGCTGCGACATGCGCGAACGGACGCTCGTCTTGCGAACGACGACGTTCGAATCGCGGGAGGACAAAGACGAACGCGTCGAGGCGTACAAAGAAAAGTACGGCACGCGGCACGACATGCACGAGGCGATGACGGCGCAGATGCACATGCAGCACGTCCTGCTGTGGCGATCTCTGCACGTGAGCGACCTCCCGCCGTCGCAGACGAACGAAGGCGTCCGTCTCGCGGCGATCATGCTGCAGCAGTCCGAGGCGCGGATGTCGAACAGCTATCGCGCCGTGGACGACGCGATGCGCGCGTTCGAAGCGCGGCTGCCGACGAACGCGTTGACGTCGATGTGCGAGACGATTCCCGCGGCGGGCGCGCACGCGATTCCCGGGTTCGAGAACCGGACCCCGGAGGAGCTCGTGTGCAGCATATGTCTGTGCCAGGTCGAGGAAGTGGGCACCGTCGTGTGCACGCTGACGTGCGGGCACGCGTTTCACCTCGAGTGCTTAGAGAGTTGGTTGCACGGGAATCCGACGTGCCCGATGTGCCGCCATCCCGTCGGAAAGGACGAGGAGGAGGAGGAGGACGAGGAGGAGGACGATGAGGACGATGGAGAGGTGGTCGTAGAAGACGAAGACGACGAAGACGACGATCGGCGTTCGGCGTTCGACGACGACGAGGTAGGAATACTGAGGTAAGACGACCTGCCGCCACTCGAGCGGCGCGACGCCGACGACGAGGCGGATTGAACTTAGCGACGCCGCGACTAGAACGGCGATACGAATACGAATAGACGCGATCGAATCTGTTACGCTTCCGTGTCGTCCTCTCTCGTCTGCCCCTCGAGGAACACCCCTTCCGGTCCGTGCGCGCTCGTGTCTTTCCCCGTCTCCTTCATCTCGATCCACCGACTGAAATACTCCGTGCTCCTCGCGGTGTGATGCCACAGCGACGCGGCGAAGTAATCCTGCCCTCGCCGCGCCTCCAGACCCCCCTCGCCTTCGAACAGCTCGTCGATCGCGCGGCGCACCGTCGCCAAGTTCCTCTCCGCCGGGAACAGCCGGTCGATCATCGCCGAGCAATCGATCCTCGCGTCGTCCCACGCCTCTCTGTTCTCGTGAAGCTCAATCGCGTCCGCCGCGAAGTCCTCCGCGGTGATGGACCGCCACTTGCCCCCCCACACCCCGGTGCGATCCTCCCACAGCCCTTCCGGCCACATCAGCGACATCCCCGGCACCGTCCCTTCCGCGCCGACGGGCGTGGTGACGACGGGGAGGCCTCGCGTCCACGCGTCGACGATTTTTCCCTTCACCCCGGCGCCGAACCGCAGCGGCGCGAGGAGGACGCGCGACGTGTCCATGACGCCCTCGATCGTGGGGGCGAACCCTTCGACGAGAAAACCGCACTCCGGCTTGTGAAGCTGTCTGATCGCCTCCGTGGGGTACGAGCCGTAGACTCGCATCGTCGCCGTCGGGAGCTCGGCGCGAATCAGAGGCCAAATAGCCTCCGCGAGCCACCGCACCGAGTCGACGTTCGGCTTGTGGTGAAACGTCCCGATCGTCGTGAACCCGTCGCGCGCGTCGAACCCCGGCGTCGTCGGCGGCAGCGGCGGCGGCGGCATGATCGGCGGCAGATCCTCGCCGTTCCGTCGCATCTCGCAGTGATTGCTCTCGCAGAAAAACGACGCGAGCTCGAGCTTCTCCGGCGGCACTCTGTACGTGTCCAGCATGAGCCGTCGCTCGACCATCGAGCACACGAGCGTGAGGTCGCTCCGTTGCACCGCCGCGAGCTCGCGGTTCAAACACTCGTCCCGCGCGTTCGGGATCGCGGACATCGCGGCGAGGATCGGATTCACCCGCGCGTCGTCGTCGTCGTCGTCGTCGTCGTCGTCGTCGTCGTCGTCGTCGTCGTCGTCGTCGTCCGCCGCCGCGTCCGCCGCCGCCGCGTCCGCCGTCGCCGCGTCTTTCTCTTTCTCAGCATCCTTCTCTCTGTTAAAACGGATCGCTTCCTTCATCGCGTGATGACGCGCGTACCGCAGCGAGTGCAGGTCTTGCATGTCAAGCACGCGCGCGGCGTTCGGGCACGCCGCTCTGACGCGGAACGAGAACGCCTCCTCGGCCATGAAGCGATCGAAGATCACGACCGAGGGGGCGGTCGTCGCGAGGACGTCCTCGAAGTCGGCGCCGCGATTCGGTAAGATCTCGGAAACGCCGATCCCCTCCGCCTCGAGCGCGTCCGCGTGGGAGTTCCGCTTCGCGCACGCGACGAAGTGCACGCGCCAGCCCCTTGACTTGAAATCTCTCACGAGCGCGCACGTGCGAACGCCCGCGGCGGAGGAGGACGACTCCGGCCAGAGGAACGAGACGAACACGACGGATTTCGCGGGCTTTTCGTCCTCCGCGGATGCCGATTTCGATCCGTCGTCGACCGTCGCGTCCGCGCTCGCCGCGGCGGCGACGTCGCGCGCGCGCGGTCCCGGGGGGGATCGCGCGCGCCATGGCGTCGGCGGCGTGCCGCAGCGGCACGACGCCGCGGACGCCCGCGGCGGGGCCGCGAGCAACGGGCAGCGGGGCACAGCCGACGCGCGCGACATTAATGCTCCCGCGAGTCGCGACCTTCTTCGAGCGACGTCAGCGTCAGGTCTCTTCGAAGCAGGTCGAAGCACGCGGCGAGAAGTCAGCGAGAAGTCCTCGTCAGCACCATTTTCGCGGCGCCCACCGCGGGCGTCGCGCGCGCGTCACCGAGCGCGATGACGCGCCGGCGGCTCGCGGTGCGAATATACGACCATCTCGTCGCGTACGAACGCGGCCTCGCGCTCCAGGTGCGCCCTCGCTCCGTCGCCGTCCTCCGCGCCGCCTTCGAACGCGCGCGGAGTCGGCACGAACAAAGCGAATTCACGAATCGCTCCCGTCGCCGCGTCTCGACGTCCGCCACCCAATTCTGACCCCCCCGCGTCGTTCGCACGCGTCGCAGGAATCGTTCGCGAACGCCCGCCGCGCGGGGATGGCGCCGGACACGCTCCTCGTGCTGCAGGTGCGCTTGTCGTCGCGACCTTCGACGCGCCGCACCCACCGCGCGCGTCTCGCGTCGCGCGTCCGTCCAACCAACCCTAGTAGCCGACGAACGTCTCGTGACGTCTCCCTCACCCCTCGTCCCTCCTTCGCAGCACTCGCCGGTGTACACCATGGGCAAGCGCCCGACGGAGCACAACATCCTGACCGACGTCGAAACCCTCGCGTCCCTCGGCGCGACCGTGCACAAGGCGCGACGCGGCGGCGACGTCACGTTCCACGGCCCGGGGCAACACGTCGTCTACCCGGTGGTGGATCTCCGCGCGTCCGAGCTCGGCGCGCGCGCGTACGTGGAGGGGTTAGAGGACGTCATGATCGACGCCGCGGCGAGTTTCGGCGTGCGAGCGACGGGGAGGGTACCGGAGATGACGGGGGTGTGGGCGAGAGGGAAGAAGCTCGGCGCCGTGGGGGTGCAGATATCGCGAGGGGTCGCGTCGCACGGGTTCGCGTTCAACCGCGACGTCGACTTGCGGTGGTTCGACGCCATCGTGCCGTGCGGGCTGAGAGGGAAGGGCGTGACGACGCTGCGCGACGAGGTGGAGGGCGGGAGGGAGGGGGGGGCGCCGAGCGCGATGGAGGTGGAGTGGCGGCTCATAGACGCGTTCGCGAAGCGGTTCGGGTACGTGGACGTGGACGCGACGCGCGTCGGCGCCGGCGACGACGACGGGTAGGATGCTGTGGCGACGAGAGCATCACGCGCGATATCTCATCACGCGTTTTTAGGGAGGGGTTCACTGCTGCCTTTCGCGCTGTAATTTGAGCGGGTTTTCTGTGCCGATGCGTGGGGGCTTTCCGGCGATTTGATAGGCTGGAGCGCGCTGCTTGACCGCTGCCCGTTTTTCTTTTTGCGCTGTTTTCGCGCTGCCCGTCGCGCTGCCCGCGCGCTGCCCGCGTGACTGGTGACCGCGTGACCGCGCGCTGCCTCGCGCGCTGCCCGTCGCGCTGCCTTCGCGCTGCCTCGCCGCTCAAGGCAGCGCGAAGGCAGCGCGCGCCAGCCAATAAGAACGCCGGAAAGCCCCCACGCATCGGCACAAAAAACCGACCCGAATTACAGCGCGAAAGGCAGCAGTGAACCCCTCCCTGTTTTTTAGAACTGAACGCGCGAAAAAGGTGACGCGGCCTTTTCCTTCGCGAGAGCTCCCGCGTCATAAGAAGACGCGCGGCTGTCGCGCGCGCGGGAGATTGCGGTATCGCGCGCTCGCGTACAGTACCTCGCCACATCGCGATACGCGCGCGTCGAACCTCCGCGCGCGATGGCACGCGCGACCGCGGCGCGCGTTTCGTAACCGCACTTTTTTTGGAGCATTCGTGTCGTTGTAGCCGTTCGAGACGCGACGAGATGGACGCGTCGCCGCCGTCGCCGCCGTCGCCGCTGCAGACGATGAGGGAGGATACGCTGCCGTCCTCGCGCGACGGGAAAGAGGCTCAAACCCCCACGCCGTCGAGCCCACCGCCGGACCCCATGGACGCGGCCGCGGGCGCGCTCGCGGAGACGGACGACGTCGACGAGAGTTCCCGCGCGGCTGCTCCGAGGGACGCGGGCATGTGGACGCCGCCCGGGAGTTCTCGCGAGGAACGCCCGCCGCCGCTCGAGCGCGGCGTCCGAGGGGGATACGCGGGCGTGAGCGACCTTCAGGTGCGCGGGCGGTTGCGACGGCGACGCGTCCACGCGCGCTCGACTCGACCCGCTGCCGTTACCGACCAAATCCGCGGACGCGGGCGAAAAAACTCCGACGCGGCCTGGCCTGTCTTTTCGTTTCCAATCATTCGTTCGATCCCTCTCCGACGCCGCCGCGACCGACGCCGCCGCACTCCCTCCTCCTTCCAAACCGCCCGCAGCTCGCCGACGTACCGCTGCGTAAGCTCACGACCGTGCACCTGATCGACGTGTACAAACGGATCAACCGGAAGTACTTCGACACGCGCAAGACGGAAAGAAGAGCCGACTCCCTCGGCGGCGGCGGCGGCTCGGCGGCGTTGCGTCGGTCGGTCGAAGGTCGCTCAGGGAGGACCTCGGGGTCGGGGGGCAAGCCCAAATCGATGTCGCCGTCGCCACCGAGCGCGTTTCGAAGCGCGCTCGAGCTCACGACGTCCACGAGCGTGGGTTGGAAAGGCCCGACGGACCCGCGGGATATCTTACACGACCGGTACGTCGTCGGTCGCGTCGTCGGCCGAGGCGCGTTCGGGTTCGTCATCGTCGCGTACGACATGGTGAACGACGTCCGCGTCGCGATGAAGATCATAAAGAAAGGACACGACTTTGACTCGCACGCGAAACGAGAGATCGAAGTGTTGCGAGTCCTCGGCGGCGGCGGCGGCGGCCGAGGCGAGGGCGAAGGGAAAAACGTCGGGCACCCGTGCGTCGTTTCTCTGTTGGATTCGTTCACGCACGTCGGGAGGGTAGACAAGGAGGAGGGCGGCGAGAAAGGCGCGTCGTCCGACGCGGCGTTGCCCGCGTATCGGTGCCTCGTCTTCGAGCTCTTGTCGCATTCGCTGTATAACGTCCTGCAGTCGACGAAGTTCCACGGCGTGTCCTTGGGGCTGATACGAAAGTTCACGAAGCAGCTCGTGTCCGCGCTGGCGTATCTCCGATCGCACGGCGTCGTGCACTGCGACTTGAAGCCGGAGAACGTCCTGCTGTGCGGCGTCGATCGAAGCGCGATCAAGCTCATCGATTTCGGAAGCAGCGGTTGGGCCGGGGAGACGGACGACAACACGTACGTCCAGTCGCGGTTCTACCGCGCCCCAGAGGTGATATTAGGGCTTCCGTACGGCTGCGCGGTCGACGTGTGGAGTCTGGGGTGCATCATGGTCGAGATGCACGGGGGCAAGCCGCTGTTCCCGGGGAAGGACGAGCGAGACCAGCTGTGGAAAATTTCCGAAGCGCTCGGGTCCGTCCCGAGCGAGATGGCGAGCCGCGCGCCGCCGGAGAAACGCGCCGTGCACTTTCCGGTCATGATCGACCGCGAAATCGGCGAGTGCCCCGTCCCCGGGTCCAAGCCGCTGCGCTCGACGATCATCGCGGTCGCGAAAGAGTACGACAGCTGGCGCGGGGAGAGTTTAAACCGCGAGAGGAGCTCCGGCGCGGACGCGAGAGGCGCCGCGACGTCGACGTCCGCCGCGGAGGCGGCGATGCTGTCCCTCCACGAGCTCGGGATCCGCGACGACGACGAGAGCGACGCGCGGGGCACAGACGGACGCGCGGCGCCCGGAGGGCACCACGCGCGAAGAAGATCGATCGAAAACCTCACCGAGGTGGCGTTATTTTACGACTTCGTCGAGCGCGCGTTGACGTGGTCCCCGAGCGAACGGTTGAAACCGAACGACGCCATCGAGCATCTGTTCTTAGGCGGCGGCGGTGGCGGCACGAGCGTCGACGCGACCGGCGGCGTGATGGATGTCGACGGTTCTAGGTAGTTGTAGACAGTTGACCCGGCGAACGGGTAGTACATATCATAGGCAGTTGGCGTTGTGAGTGTGAACAACACCTTCGTACAAACAAAAAGTTTGGTAGATCGAGACATCACTTCGAGCGACGCGATGGCCGCGGCGGTGGCGAGGCGCGCGCTGCGTCCCGTGCTCCAGCGATGGCGCGCGTCCAGCACGTCTACGACCAACCTCCCCGGGACGATGTCCTACCTCCGAGACCTTCGAACCGGGAACGAGGTCTACCTCATAGGGACCGCGCACGTCTCGAAGAAGTCCGCCGAGGAAGTCAGGGACGTGATACAGGCGGTCAGGCCAGACACCGTGTTCGTGGAGCTGTGCGAGAAGCGAGCGGCGTCGATCCGCCGGTCGATGCTTCAAGATGACGGCGCGAGCGCTCCCGGCGGCGGCGTGGAGGATAAAGTGAAAGAGTTCCTTCGCGTGTTAGGGTGCGTCGCTTCTCTTCTCCTCTTCGTTGTTACATCTCCTGATCTACTAGAACATGACGCTGACGTCTCCTTCCGCAGGGCTCCCGGGGACGTCGCCGAAAAGGTCCTCGGCGCGGGTTTGAAATCTATTTACCAGGCGTTCAGGACGTACGGCCTCGACCCTGGGTTAGAGTTCAAGGTCGCGATCGAGGAAGCGGAGAAGATCGGCGCGAAGCTCGTGATGGGAGACAGGGATCAGGAAGTCACCATCCGCCGCCTGCGGGAGGCCTTGACGATGTCTGACTTCCTCCGCGCGATGTTTTCGGGCGGCACCATCCCGACGGACCACATGCCGCCCGACCTCGCGGAGCGGTTCAGTAAGATTGACTGGAACGACCCTCAGGCTGCGGTGGAGATGATGAAAACGCGGCGAGCGGTCGCGGAAGTCACGCGGCATTTGCGAACGGACTTTCCGAAAGTCGCCGTGGCGATGGTGGACGAACGAGACGAGATGATGACGAACGGGCTGCTTCATAAGTGCCCCGGTCGGACGGTCGCGGTCGTTGGGATGGCGCACATGGACGGGATCGAGGCGCGGTGGAGAGCGGCGCAGGGAGGGGAAGGGGGAGTGACGCAGTTGTCTCAGTGATGAAAACGCTCCCGTGTTCTCGCTATTCTCAGAACGTCTAAGTTCTCTCTATCTGTGCTTGCTCTTCTTCCCGCTGCCGCCGGACTTGTGCGACTTATGGCTCCCCGGGGTTCGGTCCTTCTTATCCTTCTTCCCCTCCTTCTTCGCGCTCTTGCTCGGCGTCCGCTCGTCGTCCTTCCCCGAACCGGGCTTCCGCTTCACGCTGAGTAACCCCGACGACGGCGTCTTCCCGCCCTTCAACGCGTCGCCCCAATCACCGACGTCGCCCTCGATCGCGTATCGTTCCAAGCCAGTCTCCTGCGAGTACGTCGCGCGTGTGTTCGTGAAATGTGGACGAGAGCGTCGACGCGCGAGCGAAAGAAACCAGAGATACCCCGCCGAGAACGGCTCGGAAAGAACGCAGCGGTGTGATTTTTAATCACGTTGGATGAGTCAGCTACCTGGTTGACAACCAGTCGTCATCGCCGTTCCGACGGGGAGGGTAAAAGTCGTGTCGGGCGTGTATTCGGGTCGGGGACGCACCTCGAGGAGCTGCTTTTGTTTCAGTCGCATCGCTTCCGTGACTTTCGCGGCTCTGGGTGGGTAAAAGAAAAGAAAAGAGCGGCGTGAGCGGCGAAGCGAGGGAAACGTAAATCGCACGCGAGCGCGGTCGAGTCGAGCGACATCGAACGGATCAGTCCTGTTGAGCATAGGAAACCATCACGGTCCGAGGCTTCGCGGACTTATAACCCCGAATACACGGTGGCGCCCGCGAAGCCGTTTCTGGAGACATAGTCCTTGGTTGTATCCATCACTTCCGTTCGCCGTCGACTCGAAAAAAGGAAAAGAAAGAAAAAACGAGCGAGCGAAACAAACGCCGAGCGCGCACCCGTCTTCCAAATCCTCGTCCAAGCTCACCGCGTGCGGGTTGAGCTCCGGCATGATAGTCTCCCTCGGCATCGCATCCTCGATCTCCCGCTCTTTGCCCGCGCGTATCGCGTTGTGCATCTTCCTCACGAGCTTGTTAAACAACGCCATGATCTGATTCACCGGGAGACCGAGCGCGGCGGCGGCGTCGTCCACGTCCTTGTGCTGCAGACCGAGGCACAACAGAATCGCGGTCTGCGCGTACGACATCGACGCCGGGACGTTCCCCGCGAAAAAAGCCCTCGCGAGCGGCGGTATCAGGTCCGCGACGAGGTGATGATCCACGAGAGACTGCGAGTACTTCTCGATCCTTTTCAGATCGTGCGCGGTGATCTTTTCGCCATCCGCGCGCCGCACGACGGAGACGTCGCATCCGTTTTCTTTCTCGGCGTCGCTGAAGTCCACCCTCGGCGCGAGCACCCCGAGCGCGAGCCCCGGGGGCATGTCCCGGAACGGTCCGCCTAGTAAACTCGTGAACCGCTGACGGAAGTCCGCGTTGAAGGCTTGGAGCCACTTCGGCGCGGCCGCGGGGCCGTCGTCGTCGTCGTCGTCGTTTTCAATCGCGCGAATCACGATCGCGGAGTGTTCGCCCGTGACCTCGCTCTTCGTCTGTCTCAGATACACCGGCTTGTACCCCGCCTTGCTCCAGAAATTGTGCAGGCCTTGTGTTATACCAAACGCGGAGCCGATCCAGTGCACCTTCTCCGGCTTTTTCTCCCCCAAGGACGCCAACAGCGGCGGCAGCGCGCTGCGCGGCTTGAGCACTTCTTTCAACAACCCGCCCTCCTGCCGCGTCACGTCGCTCGTGCCTCGCGCCTCGTCCGACGGCAACTCGTCCGCCTCGAAGAGATCCGTGAGCTTCCCTTCGTAGAACGCGTGCAAAAGCGAGAGCGCGCGGCTGCCGTACCCTTGCCTCGGAAGGTCCGGGTGCGTCGCGATGCGCACGATCCTCGCGCCGTTGAGCGACGGAAATTCCGGGTCTTGAAACTGCGTCGCCACCGTCCACGGCACAAGGTCTCCCTGCGGCGCGTGACCGGCCGCGAGCGTCGCGGACGCGGACGCGCGCGTGATGGCGCCCTCGAGCGCGACTTGCACGACGCACAATATCTCCGGCAGCGCGTTCGCGTCCTTCACGATCGGGGCGAGCAACACGAACAGCCTGTGCGCGGGCGCGTCCGCCATGAGCTGTAAATCGTTCGGCGTGTTCTTGTAATGACTCGCGATGTACAGCGACATCATGCGTTTTAAGAACGTCTCCGACGCCTTGTGCGCGCTGAACAGCGTGTCGCGGTTGACTTCGAACATCTCGCACGCGGACGGCGGCGGTAGCGCGCCGATGAGCGGCGGCGTGGCGTCCGCGGCGTCTAAACACAGCAAGTTGTTCAACCACGCCTCGATGCGATCGCCGAACGAATACCGAATCGGCTCCGCGAGCTGGACTTCTCTGAGCATCCGTCCGCCGCCGCCGCCGCCGCCGCCGCCGTCCTTCCCCGGCGCCGCCGCGGTGGCGGACTCCCTGCGCAAGTTGCTGATCAGCTTCAGCGACAGCGCGCGCCCTGTGCCCTCGTACCCGTTCACGGTCGAGCACAGGAACACGAGGTACGGACCCAACAGTTTCTGAACCACCGGCAGCGGAATCGCCGCGGCTTCGTCGATGACGAGCAGCTCCGCCGTCGCCGCGCGCTCGTGATGCTGCGGAAGTATGTACTGGATCGTCTGCCGGTGCACCCTGGTGACGTTTACCCTGACGATCGCCCTCCCGAACGCCGGGTTCGAGCTCTCGACGATGTCGTAGTCCAGGTGCTCTTTGTACCCCAGCGCGTCGAAGCCCTTCAAGACGAATTGAAAAAACGTCTTCAAGTTTTCCGGCGACGGCGACGTGACGAACACGTTCGCGTACCCCATGCCGATCGCGCCCGCGACGGCGATGCCCATCGCCGCGGACTTTCCTCGCCCGCGCGCGGCGGTCAGCGCGACAGTGCTCCGAAGCGTCTTCTCGCTCGCGGCGTCGAGAAACGTCACGACCGCTTTCGCTTGGTCCAAGGTTTTGCACGCGGAGACGAGCGGCCCCGCGGGTTCGGTGTCCGCGAGGGATCGCTTCAGGTCCGTCAAGTCCTCTGCCTCAGCGCCGGCTTCGACGTCCCCGCCGACGGGTTGAATATCCCGGACGTGCGTGGATATCGGCAGGATATTTAACTCGTCGTCCATCATGATGCACGTCTGGCAGTGCCCTAACGACAGGATGAACCGCTCGTTGAATCGCGCGACGACGTTTTGATGCGACTCTGTTCGGAACCGCGAGTGCACGTCCATCGTGAGCGTGTACAGCTGCGACAGCGACTCCAAGTTGCTAAGGAGTAACACGATGATGCCACCGCCCTCGACCGTCTCCACGGTGCGCGCGAGCAAGTTTGGCGTCAGCGCTTCGAAGTCTTGCAGCACCGCCATGCCGTACGTGTTTCCCAGAACCTTTTGCGTGTCCGCGTAGTACGTGTACTTGATGTCCGTGCTCGCGACGAACAGCGAGAACGGGTCCTCGTTCTCCGGGTCCATCAGCCCTCTCGACACCATTTTCTTGATCTGCTTCACGCGCTTCTTCTTGTGCGAGGAGAGGTAGAGCTCCTTCTTGTAGCACCACAGGACGTTCGGTCTCGACTTCACGACCGCCTTGCTGAGCATGTAGTGCAGATTCACGACCTGCTCGCGCCCGCGGTCGCCGACGACGACGAACAGCGTTCGCTCGTTGAGCTTGACGCCATTCTCGACGAGGGTTCGTATGCGCGAGTCCACTTTCTTGCGCATCGCGCGCGGATCGAGCCTCGCTCCCCTTGAGCCACGCGCGCTTGATTGTGATCCGCCCGACGCGACGCCGCCATCTGTCGTGAAACAGGAAATTTTACAAGCGGCGCCGCCGTTTTCTCAACCAACGCAACGCCGCACCGGACGGAGGGTAACAGCGCTTCGTCGCGCGACCGCGGCGCCAGTGCACGTCGCACTCCCCCCGCGCGCCCGGTTCCACCGCGCCGTCGCCATGGGGAAGAGCAGCAAAGACAAGCGCGACATCTACTACCGCAAGGCGAAAGAGGAAGGATGGCGCGCGCGGTCCGCGTTCAAGCTCCTGCAGATCGACGACAGCTTCGACGTCTTCAAAGACGTGAAGCACGTCGTCGATCTGTGCGCGGCTCCCGGTTCGTGGAGCCAGGTCATCTCGCGGCGGCTGTGGATCCCCGCGCGCGACGCGGGGACGGCGGCGGAGGACATGCCTAAGATCGTCGCCATCGACCTCCAACCCATGGCGCCCATCGAGGGCGTCGTGCAGATCCAGGGCGACATAACCTCGCTCGCCAAGGTGAACGAAGTCCTGACGCACTTCGAAGGCAAGCTCGCGGACCTCATCGTCAGCGACGGCGCCCCGGACGTGACCGGACTGCACGACATGGACGAGTTCATGCAAGCGCAGCTCATCCTCGCCGGTCTGGCCGTGTGCGCGCACATCCTGCGCCCGGGAGGGACGTACATCGCGAAAGTGTTTCGCGGGAAGGACGTCGCGTTGCTCTACGCCCAGCTGAAGATGTTCTTCACGCAAGTCACGTGCGCCAAGCCGAAGAGCAGCCGGAACTCGAGCGTGGAGGCGTTCGTGGTGTGTCAAGACTTCCGCCCCCCGGAGGGGTTCGACCCGAAAAACTTGAGGGTGATATTAGAGGAGCGCGCGCGCGGGTTGCTCGCGGACGACGTCGACTTGGGGTTGATGTCGTGGCCGGACGAGTGCGTCGTCCCGTTCGTGGCGTGCGGGGACCTTAACGGGTACGACGCGGACATGAACTACGACTTGGACTTCGAGAGCAAGTTGAGCTTGGACGACGGCGAGGAGGGCGAGGACGGTGGCGGGAGAGTCGGGCATAAGCCGTACGTCCCGTTAGCCCCGATCGCGCCGCCGACGGAGCCGCCGTACAAAACGGCGATCGCGCGCGAGAAGGCGAAGAAAGAAGCGTTCGCGAAAGCGCACGAGAAGCCGGGGAAGGCTCGGAAGAAGGAGCTCCAAGCCTTGAAGAAGAAGCAGGAGGAGGAGTTGGCGGCGAGGGCGGCGGGCGGGTCGATAGAGTTATGATGATGACGTAGCAGCGGTAGGTTAGAGTATTTTTCGCGAAATCGAAATCGACGCGACGCGACGCGACGCTCGTCAGTTCTCGCGACGCGACGCGGAGATGAGCGACCCGCCGAAGAAGTACGGCGGGCTCCTCGCGAACGCGACGGTGACGTCCGCGTCCGGCGGCGGCGTGTCGCGCCTGAACGGAGACGAGGACGCGCCCGCGTCCGCGGGGACGCAGAGCAAGAGCGCGGCGGCGGACGGCGGCGACGGCGCGCCGAAGAAGATCCAGCTCGCGCCCGGGTTCAGCCAGATGTCGTGGATGCGGCTCGCGAAGACGCACCCGGACATCGCGGGTTTAAACGGCGCGTCGCGCAAGAGGAAGATATCCATGGAGGAAGTGAAGACACATCGCACGGAGGAGGACGGGTGGACGGTGCTCCGAGGGAAGGTGTACCACCTCTCGCCGTACCTGGACTTTCACCCGGGCGGGAGGAAGATCCTGAAGAAGGCGCTCGGGGAGGATTGCACCGCGCTGTTCGACAAGTTCCACCGGTGGGTGAACGGCGAGTTCATGCTCGAGCGGTGCAAGGTGGGGGTGTTAGACACCCACGTGGGAGGGAGCGACGACGACGACGAGGAGGACGAGGAGGAGGACGAGGAGGAGTTTTCGTTCCGGACGTGATTAGCGGAGACGTAGACGCCGGGTCTTCTTTAGCGGTAGCCAGTCAATCATTCATTTACAACGCCGCCGCCGCGAGCGGTTAGCATCTATACATGAACCCCTCACGCCGCGCGTATCGTGTTCCCGATTCCCCCCGTGGTACAGTACACGTGCCGCACCGTCCGTTTCCCCTCGCTCGCGCCCGCCTCCTCGTGAGTTCATCTCAGGCGATCGTCGACGGCGGCGCGGATGGCCCCGCGCTCCCCAAATTTTTTCCGAGGCTCCCGTCCGCGCGTTTGCTCTTCGGGACGTACGTCGACCGATGCACCCACTGCGTGTACTCCCCGACGGTGACGTCGTTCGAGTGCGTCGTCCCTATCCCCGCGGCGAGCGACGCCGGCCCGGCGACGTACCCCCACGCGATCAAAATCTCCGACTTCCCCGGGGTGTACTCGTCGAGCTTCTCCTTCACGAAGACGATCTCCATCTCTTTGCGAACGTACATTCCCTCCGCGGTCGCCTCGAGTAAGTCCAGCTCGGCGAGCGTGTCGCCGTCCACCTCCCAGAGCTCCCCGGCGACGACCTCCCTGTGCCCGTGCCCGCCGCCGCCCGCGTACGTCGTGTCCGCGCTGTCCGTGCTGCTGTCGATGAGATACGGGATCCCGTATCGCTTGTCCACGACGAGGCGCGTCTCTCGCAGCGTTTTCGCTTTTCCCACGTACACCGCGTTCTTCTCGAGCAGCAGGCGGTTGTTGTGGAACCCGCGCTTGAGGGTGCCGTACACGAACACCTTGTGCATCGGGGGCGGCGGCGGGGGTTTGACGATCGACGCGACGTTTTTGTACATCGCGCCAGGGCGCGAGCGCGCGGGAATCAATGAACGAATCGTGGCGCGCGATTCTTCATTCGCCCCTTTTTTGGATTGCGCGTGTAGTTGTATGATAGTCGCTGACGCGCGCTTTCTCGATGAACTCGACCGAGTGCCGATCGACCTTGCCGATCGACTGATCGGTCGGCTCGCGGCGTCATCCACGGACGACACGTGGACTCCTTCCAGTTTCGCTCGGACGCGACGACGGGCAGAGATGGCCGCGCCCGGCGCGTGCACCGCCGCGGCTGGCCCTGCACGGCCTCCGCCGTGCGCCCGCCGCGATGGCGATCGCGCGGCGCGACGCGCGTCTTCCTCGAGCCGCGCGGCGCGACGCGCGTCCACCGCGCGCGTCGCCTCCGTCGCGACGTCCACGACGCCGCCCGACATCTCGAGCGCCGACTTGTCTCGAGAGAGCCTCGTCGCGTGCGGATGGCACGAGCTCTGCGAGCACCTCGCCGGGTACGCGTCCACGGCGCTCGGCCAGGAGGCGTGCCGGACGCTGCCGCTCCCGTCCGAAGGGCCGTGGGCGTCCGAGGCGCTCCTGGACGAGACCTCCGCGGCGGTCGCGATGGAGAGCCATCACGGCGTGTCCCTGGACTTTGGCGGCATCCTCAGCGCGGAGGTTCGAAGGGCGCTGTACAAATCGGAGAAGTACGCGTCCCTGGGCGGGGACGAGCTCGCGGCGATGATGTCGTTTATCGCCGCGGTGAAGCGCCTGACCAAATCCGTGGAAGGGGTGAAAGTGAACGGCGCGCCGCCGCCGGAGTTGGAACCGCTGCGACTGTTGACGTCGACGACGATCGCGCACGGCGAAGTCGCGGACGCGATACGCGCGTGCGTGGACGACCAAGGCGGGTTCAAGGACGGCGCGTCGCCGGAACTTCGACGCGCGCGGTCGCAGAAATCGGCCGCGGAGAGCAAGCTGCGCCGGGCGCTGCAGTCGTTCGGAGGGTCCACGGTGTCGCACCAAGGCCGGATGGTGCTCGCCGTGGACAAGGCGCCGCCGGGGGCGCTCGTCGTCGGCGTCGCCGCGGGCGGCGCGCTCGTGCTCGTGGAGCCGCCCTCCGTGGTGCTCTTGAACGGCACGCTCGCGCAGGCGAACGCCGCGGAGGAGACCGCGATCGACGCGGTCAGGAGACGGCTGACGTACGAAGTCGCCGCCGTGTGCGTGGATTTACTCGCCGCGCTCGACGTCGTGACGCGTCTGGACGTCGTAGCCGCGAAAGCGAGGCAGGCTGCGGCTTTGAACGCGATACGACCGACGTTCGTGCTACCGCCGGGAGGGTTTAACGCGTACGGCGGCGGGTTCAGCGGAAGCGTGGACGAGGACGAGGCGAACGAAGCGAAAGCCGCGGCGGCGGCGGCGGAGCGGAGCGCAATGTTTCCGACGCTGAGACCGGGCGACGGCGTCGGCGTGAACGGCGCGATGGTCGCGGACGACGACGGCGACGACGACGACGACGACGACGACGACGACGACGACGACGACGACGACGACGGTAACGGGCAAGAGCGCGAGCTCCTCGTCGAGCTCGCCGGGTTGAGGCAGCCCGTGCTCGCGGCGCAGGCGATCAAAGCGCAACGCGCGGCGGCGAGGAAAGCCGCCGCGGAGGCGGCGCGGAAACGAAAGAACACCGCCGCGTCCACCGCCGGCGCGTTCGACTCGTACGACGACGACCTCCTCCTCGGCGGCCGGCTCGCGAGGAACGACCCGAACCGACCGGGCGTCGTGAAGATCAAAGGCCCCGTCCCCGTGGACGTGTTCGTGCCCTTGAACGCGCGCTGCGTCGTCATCACCGGCCCGAACACCGGCGGTAAGACCGCGGCGATGAAAGCCGTCGGCCTCGCCGCGCTCATGGCCCGCGCCGGACTTTTCATCCCCGCGGAGACCGCGAAGCTGCCGTGGTTCGACTCCGTGCTCGTGGACATCGGGGACTCGCAGGACTTGATGACGTCGCTGAGCACGTTTAGCGCGCGGCTCGCGAAGCAACGCGCGATTTTATCCGCCGCTTCGCCCACGTCGCTCGTGCTCATGGACGAAGTCGGGACCGGGACGTCGCCCGCGGAGGGGTCTGCGATCGGCGCGGCGCTTCTCGAACGCCTCGCCGGTGTCGCCGGGGGAAACAGCGCGAACGCCGCCGGGCTGACGCTCGCGACGACGCACCACGGGGAGTTGAAAGCGTTAAAGTACGAGCACCCCGGGGGCGTGTTTGAAAACGCCGCGGTGGAGTTCGACGAAGCCCTGCTCGCGCCGACGTATCGCCTGCTGTGGGGCGTCCCCGGGCGCTCGAGGGCGTTGCAGATCGCGGAGCGGTTCGGGTTGGAGCCCGACGTCGTGGACGACGCGCGATCGATGCTCGGGGAGGGACGCGTCACGCTCGAGAGCACGATTTCCGCGCTCGAAATCGCGCGTCGGGGCGCGGACGAGGACATCGCGACCGCGCGGCGGTTGCTCGCGGAGACGCGCAGGGCGATTCCCAGGATCGCCGCCGCCGCGGCGAAGGTCAAGGCTGCGGAGGAGGCGACGGACGTCAAGATCGCCGCGGGTATCGCGCGATTGGCGAGGGAACGACGCGCGGCGCTCGCGGCGGAGGCGCGCGAGAAGGCGTCCGCGGCGGCTCGGGAGCGACGCGCGGACACGATGAAAACGGGCGCGATGGACTTCGCCGCCGCCGCCGCCGCGGAGGCGGCGGCTAAGCGCGCGGCGGCCGCCGGCGCCGGCGCCGCCGCGGCCGCGGCCGCGCCGGTCACGCCGAGCGGGTGGATTCCAGACGTCGGCGCCGACGTCGTCGTCGTCGCCACGGGGATGGCGGGTAAGGTGATCGGGACGTCCGGGACGTCGGTCACCGTCCAGGCGGGAATCATGAAGCTCACCGTGAACGCGGAGGATCTCCAAATGAACGCCGACGCGCCGAAACCGAAGCGTCCGCCCGCGAAGGCGCGGTCGCTCGGCGGGACGCAGGCGGCGAGGCGGGTCAACGCGCTCCTCGGCGGCGGCGGACGGTCGAACGCGCGCGTCCCCGCGCCCGCGACGACGAGCTACGGCGGCGGGTTCGATTTCGACTTCGACGACGACGAGGGCGGGTTCACGATCGGCGATGTCGTGAAGATCGTCGGCGGCGTGAACAAAGGGAAGAGCGGCACCGTCGTGGACGCGAGTGGCGGCGCGCTCTCGATTCAAGTCGGGAAGAACACGATCAAAGCTCCGTTCGAAGCGGTGGAGTCGAAAGATAAGCCGTCCAAGATGAAGGTGGGGACGCTGTCGAACAACGGCGGCGGCGGGAAAAAGAGCAAGAAGAAGAAGAAAGGCGGGAGCGGGCTTCCGCGCGCGACGCAGGACCCGGGGAAGCCGGAGTTTAATCCGTCGAGCGGCGGCGGCGGCGAAGAACAAGACGACGGCGGCATCAACGCGCTGATGAACAAGTTCCGTCGGTCGTCGTGAGCCTGTAGCGTCATCGTATGATATCTCAGCGTCGGGGAATAGCCCTGATGTAATATTGATACAGCTAGAAATAATGATAGACTATCATACAGTATCGTCCTCCTACGGCACGTCACAACCCCTGGTTGGGGTCCGCGAACTTGGGACCGACTTGCGTGAAAGGGGTCACTCCTTTATCCGCGTAGTACGCATCCGCGTACCGCGTGATGTCGCACGAGTTCCTCGGCTTGTGGAACATCGGGTTGCGCGGCATCAACATCCGCGTCGCCCACCCGATCTCCTGCGACGACGTCATCGGGAGGTCGTACTTCTCCTGCGGCGGTTTAAACGCGTCGCGGACCGTGCACAGCTCTCGAAGTTTGTCGTTCGCCTCGTCCATCTCCGCTTGATCCAACGACAACTCCGGGACCATGTTGTTCGGCTTCTCGGGGAAGACGTCCAGCTTCGACGGATCGGACACGGAGAAGTGTGTGTTCAGTTTGATAGTCGCCGTCTCTCTGTCGCAGAACTCCTTCCATATTCTGTTCTTCGCGACCGGGTCGAACGCCGCCGCGGGCATCGTGGCGGATTAGGAAGCGTAAATTCCCCTTTTTGGCAACGAACGCCGATGCGACCAGACGCCGGGCGCGGGACGACGGATGCGATCGAAGACGCGATGCGCGGTCGACGCGAAGGACGTCGCGGGAATCGCGCGAAGACCGGTGGTCGATGCGACCGCGGTCGTGCTTCGTGCGGTGCGAAAGCGCAGGACTAGAAACGGGGGGCACGAGAAAAGCATGTGCAGCCGACGGATTTTACACGGACACTAGACTGGAAAGAGCACGCGTAGGTCGAAATTGGTTTGCACGGTGCGTATCGTGTATTTCAACAAGTTAAGGTCACACGCGGCTTCTCTCCTCGCCCTCAGCGCCTATCCCTCGACCGGTCTCTCCCTCGGTCGTAGTAATCCCTCCGATCGCGGTCGTCGTACCTCCCGCGGTCATAACTCGGCGGCGGCGGACCGCGGGAATATCCCGAATATCTGTCGCGTTCGTAGTAGTCTCTCCGATCGTCTCTGTACGAATCTCGGCGATCCCTCGAGGGGCTTCGTCGGTACGGGCGGTCGTCCCTCCGATCGTTATGCCATCCGCCGCGGTCCGGTCCTCGTCCGCGGTCGTAGTCGTCCCTGCCGCGCTCATACCTCGGCGGCGGCCCCCGGGGCGCCGGTCGCATGTAATCTTTGTGTTCGTGCGCCCTGTCGCCGCCGGGCAAGTATCGCTCGCGCGGGTTCGCCGCCCTCGGCTCCTCCGCGAAAGCGACGCGTATGGCTCTGCCTTCGATCTCTTTTTCGTTCATCGCCTTGATCGCGTCCTGCGGGAACGAAGTCAAGTGGGCGAGCGCGGGGGGAATCGTCGAATCAGAATCAGAATCTGTCAGGAACGAGAAGTAAACCGCCTCTGGAGACGACGCGACCGACGCGACGATCGATTCGGCTTTCGTCGGTTCCTCTGAAGCGGTGATCGATCTGTGATCTCTGTGAGCGCGCCGAGTGAAGATCGAACGCGTCGCTGACGTGAACAGTGAACGGCTGATGAAACAGAAGTCTCGTGTTGTGGCGCTCTCGTGGGTCTGGATCGATCGGTGATCGGCGATTGAACGAGGGTTGATTCGAAGACGGACGAAATCTGCGCGGGATCGGTCGCTCTGCTCGCGGTTCGGGCGTCCACGTCAGGTCACGAGCACTACTTCACTCGCGTCGTTACTAACCTCTGCTTCGTTCTTGTCAATGAAGCGCACGAACGCGAACCCGCGGCTGTTCCCAGTGGTGCGATCGCGAGGCATGTACACGTCTCCGATCTCCCCGTGCGCGGCGAACATCTCGCGGACCCTCCCCACGTCGACCCTGTACGCGATGTTGTCGACCTTCAGGGAGTACATCCCGCTGATGTCCGGCGCGGTGCTCTTCGCCGGCGTCGGCGCGGCCGTATCTTCGGCCATGACGACGACCTTAACGTGCTCGATCTGGTCGCCGCGCGCGAAGAAGTGGCGGAAGAAACATTTTTTTTCAAATGCCGAGGTGCGTTCGTTTTTCACCCTCAGCTCGGTTTCAACATTTGATCGCTTCCCCTTTCAACTGAACGACTAACTTTTTTTTCGGATCACCCTGAAGAGGCCGCGGGTTTTTATTTTCGCGTCGTTGAAGCCGTTAAATTGGAAGACGCGGGCGGGAGGGCGTCACTTCACGAGGACTAGCCTCTGGAGCGCGCGCCTTAGTTTAGCTCGAGACCGTCGCGGTCGAACGTCCGGAGGTAGTCCGGGTTCGATCGCGCGGCTCGTAGGCCGCGTCGCGCTCCGACCGCGCCCCGAAATCGCTGGTTCTTCGACTTGTTCAAGACCAGCGGGGCGGGGGCGCGGGTTTTTTACACAGCGCGCGTCCGCGCTTAGTGGGGTCGGGGCCGGCTTAGAACATGAGGCTCCACGCCGATACGGCGCTTAGACTCCTATTCTTAGTCATAGCCCTGACCCTGCCGACACAAACGAGAGGCGGGGTCGACATGATCGCCCCCGTCGCCGGGTCGTTGTCCGCCTCGAGCACGCTCGTGACGGTGCACGGGCGCGATTACGTCCCAGGGTCGAGCCCGCACGCGAAGACCGCGTGCGCGTTCGGCGGGTACGCCGTCCCGAGCAACGTGACAGACAGCTCGACGATGCGATGCATCGCGCCGCCGAGCGTCCTCGGCGCCGGGTTCGTGCATGTGGCCGTGAGCATGAACGGCGAGGACTTCACGCGAGCGAAAGCGGACGACTCGATCTTTTATTTATACCGCGACCCGGCGCGGCTGCACGGCGTGCAACCGTCCGGAGGCAGCGCGGTGGGCGGAGCGTTCATCATCGCGACGTCGAGGAGAGGCATCGGCGGCGGCGGCGGGTTCACCCCGGACGCGACGTGCGTCTTCTTCCAAGCCGGCGGCGGCGGCGCCGACGCGTCCGACGGCGAAGAACGCGCCGTCGTCGTGCGAGACGGCGCGCAGCTGGCGGATGCCTCGTCGGCGCCGTCGCGGTGGATATCCTCCGCGGTGATGCGGTGCGAGATGCCCGCGCTGCCGCCCGGGGTGCACGAGGTAAACGTGGGGACGATACCTGGGGGCGTCGGAGGCGTCGGCGCGAAGCCGTTCGCGTCTTGGTCCGTGCCGTCGGAGGCTCGAATCGCGCCAACCGGAGGCGGCGCTCTGAACGCGACCGCGACGACGGGCGCGACGAGCGGCGGCGCGGTGGTCCAGATCACGTGGGCGGCGGACGCGGGCTCGTACTTCGAGAGAGGCTGGGGCGCGTCCGTGACGTGCAGGTTCGGCACGATCGACGTGACCGCGAACGTGGCCGGCGGCGCCGGCGGGGTGGCGACGGCGTCGTGCGCGTCCCCGGCGGGCGGCGGCGCGAGCGGAACTTCGGTGCCGTTGTGGGTGGCGTCGAGCGCGAGCGAGCGCGCGGCTGCGGCGACGCTGACGCACGTGTACGAGGACGCGATGCTGGTAGAGGAGGACGAGGACGTCGAAAACAGTGTTCCAGGCGTCGTGAGCTCGGTATCGCCGCGGCATGTTCGCGCCTCGGGGTCGTTCGCGCCCGTGGCGGTGCTCGGGGCGCATTTCTCCCCGCGCGCGAACGGCTGCGTCGTGGACGGGTCAACGTCGCGATCGCACTTTGTGTCGTCCGCGCTCGTGATGTGCGAACTACCACCGCACGCACACGGCGTCGAAGCCGTCACCGTCGATGGCGGCGCCGCTGTTTCCGTCGCGACGGAGTTCGCCGCGGCGGAGACGGAGGCGGAGCTCTTGTCCGCGACGGTGATGTTCACCAGAGAGGCGACGTTGTCGCGGATGGACGTGACGCGAGGGTCGGCGTCCGGCGGCGACGTCGTGACGGCATCGGGCACCGCGCTCTCGGACGGCGACATCTTCAGCGTGCGCGTCGGGACGATAGGGTCGATCTCCACGCGGTGGATATCGAAGACGAAGGTGGAGATGATCACCCCGGCGAGATACCCTGGGACTTCACCGGTTATGCTTTATTTATCTGGGGCGTACCACTCGAGCAGCGGGCTTGAGTTCACGCACATCAAGGGCGCGCACGTCGGCGCGACCATGCCTTCGATTGGTGTAGCGTCCACGAAAGTAACCGCCTTCGGATGGGGGTTACACAACCTCGGGTACAGGCTGGCGTGTCTCTTTGATGGCGTGCAGACGACAGATTGCGCGTTGCCTCCCAGCGCGAGCGGCTTCTTGGCCGTCGGCGTCGCGGGGGCGAGTACGCTTCCAGGCAATGCCATCGCGTATCTCGATACGCCGCGCGTGACGTCGGCATCGCCGAAGAATGGCTTCGACGAAGGCGGCGCCATCGCGGTCGTGCGCGGTGAGAACTTCATCGATGCGCGCCCGGCGTGTTTCTTCGACGACGCCGCGTCCCCCGCGGCGTTCGTGTCCACGGCGCTCCTGATGTGCGAAACGCTCCCTGGTGCGCCGGGTTTAGTGCGCTTTGAAGCGGGCGTCATCACCGGCGGAATAAGGAGCGCGTCGGATATCGTCGTGAACTACCTCCCGACGATGAGAGTGACGTCCGTGTCCCCGAGGAGCGGTCCGATCATGGGCGGCTACGTCGTGACGATTTATGGAACTGGATTCGCGCACATCGAACCCACGGCGTGCAAGCTCGGGTCTATCGGTCCGCTGACGGCGAGGGATAACGACGCGACTGGTCTGAACTTGACCATCGGCGTCGAGTGCGTCACGCCCGCGAGAGACTCCGGGTCAGTGCTCGCGTCTGTTGGTTTGCGAACGTCCGGGTACGCCTCGAACGATCGGGTGCGTTACGCGTACGAATCCGCGCTGGCGGTGCGGTCTGCGTTGCCGACGTCGGGGGAGTCGTCCACGGCGCGCGTGATCTCGCTCTTCGGCGCGAGCATACCGCTCGACGGGACGTTCGACTGCGTCGTAGGCTCGCGCGCGTTTGCGGCGACGGTGCCTCGAGCCGGCGAGGCGTCGTGCGCCGTGTCCGGCGGCGACGCGACCGGGTTCGTGGCCGTCGGGTTTGGCGGGCTGAAGCTCGACGACGGATCGATCGACGTGGTGTTCGAGTTCCGAACCCCCGCGCAGACGCTGGGGGTGTACCCTCGGTCCGGGTACGCCGGCGGCGGGTCCATGGCGACGATCGTGACGCGACACGCGAGCGCGCACACGGGGTGCGCGCTCGATGGCGTCGGCGGCGCGGCGGAGTTCGTATCGAGCGTCTTGATTCGATGCGAGACCCCGGCGAGCGAACACGGTGGCGCCTCGGACGCGGGTCTGCGTTTGACCGACGGGGAGCACGCGACGAGCGCGGCGGAGCTGATTTACGAGTACCGCGCGATCGAATCGGTGACTTCAATCGACGTCGACGCGGCGTCGTCGCCGCCGCGCTCTGGCGGCGGCGCCATGCTGAACGTCGCGACGACGGGGCACCTGAACGCGCGATGGCTCGCGTGCGCGATTGGCACGATCGCGCCGATACGCGCGAAGTTCGTCACCGCCCGCGTCGTCGCGTGCACCGCGCCTGCGCTCGCGCCGTCGAGCGACGTCGTCGTCCGCGTCGGCGTCGGGACCGAGTTTGGGAACGCGGGCGGCGAGACGACGATCGCGCTCGCGTCCTTGGGCGATGGCGTGGACGTAAGCGACTCCGTCGCGTCTGCGCCAGTCGCGGTTTCGTCATCGTCGTCTGTCTCTCCGTCTGTCGGCGCGTCCACGGGCGGGTCGCTCGTCGAAGTTCACGGCGCGAACCTCTTGGTGTCGCCGTTCGTGAACGTCGGCGACGCAATCGTTGGAGCGCACGCGGTGTCCACCGCCGTGGCGTTCGTCGAGCTTCCACCGCACGCGAACGGGCTGACGACGATTTACGACGACGTCGCGTTCACGTACGTCCCTCGCGTGGTGCTTGAATCGTTCACGCCGACGAGCGTGGATTGGGAAGGCGGCGACGTCGTGACCTTGCGCGGGTCGTTCGGTTCGCACGGGCGAGTGACGTGCGCGTTCGGAACGGTGAAACCGATCACCGCGCGAGTCGTGGACGTGGACGCCGTGGAGTGCGTGACGCCGTCGCGTGACGCCGGCCTCGTCGACGTCGGCATCGCCGCGAGCGGCGGATTCTACGAGCGCTCGAGCGACGTCATCGAGTACGTGGACGACAGCGCCGCACCGAGCGGCATCGACGCCGCAGAGGACGACGCGGCGCCTCGCGTCGTCGCGCTGGCGCCGTCGACGGCGTTCAAAAACGGCGGGTCTCGGGTGCTCGTGCACGGGAGCGACTTGGGGCGCTTCATCGTCCTCGGCGGCGTGTCCGTGCCCGTGGCGTCGTTCGTGTCCTCTGCCGTGGTCGTGTTCGAGGCTCCGTACGGAGTGAGCGTTGGTCCTATCGACGTCAACGACGCGGTGAGCGGCGCGTCGTTCGCGTACACGGCGGCGATGAGCGTGGCGTCGTTCGCGCCGAGCGTTTTGAGCGACGACGGCGGCGTCGTGGTCGTCGTGCGCGGGAACCTCGGCGTTTCTAGGCGAGACGCCGCGTGTCGATTCGGCGCGGTGGGTCCGATCGCGCCGTCGTTCGCGAACGGCGCAGAGTTTCACTGCGTCGCCCCCGCGAAGGCGCCGGATTCGACGACGCTGTTCGTCGGCGTCGTCGACGGCGCGTGGTGGGAGCCGGCGAGAAGCGCGAACGTGACGTACGCGCGCGCGCCCGTGGTGTTCGGCGACTCCACCGTTCCGGCGTCGGTAGCCACGAGCGGCGTGATCCCGGTGGACGTGTACGGGTTGTGGCTCTCGGGTTCTTCGTGCGGGTCGAACGTCGCGTCGTCGTCGACGGCGACGCGTTGCGGCGCGGGGTCGTTTTCGAGCGGCTTCGGCGCGAACGCGTTCGCGGCGATCAACGTGGTCGACGTCGCGGGCGTTCCCGCGGCGTCGTTCGCGACGGCGGCGGCGCTGGTGGAGGTGGTGTTACCCCCGCGAGTGTTCTCCGTGTCGCCCGACGGCGGCGGCGGCGACGGCGGCGTGGTCGTCTTCGTGACCGGCGCCGACCTCGTCGATGGCGGCGCTCGGTGCGCTTTCGGCGCGGGCGCGGACGCCGCGCACGCGGCGTCGCATCTCGTATCCTCCGCGGTCGCGCGGTGCGAGTCCCCGGGGATCGTGAACGGATTCGGGACGCGAGACCTTGCGTTGTCCGTGACCATCCCCGGCGTGAGCGCGACGTCGTCGGAATCCGCGTCCGTGGCGTGGACGACATCGCCGACGCCGTGGATCAGGTCGTCGTCGCCGTCGCGCGGCGGCGTCGGCGGCGGAACCGTCGTGCGGCTCGTCGCCGGCGGCGTCGTCGAGAGCGTGCAGTCGCGCGCCGTCGGCGGAAAACTCCCGAACCGGGCGAGCGCGTCGTCTTCGTCTGCGTCCGCGTGCTCCGTCGGCTCGATCGGTCCGATCGCGACGCGGACGAGCGAGACGGGGACGTCGAGCAGCCTGGAATGCCTCACCCCCGCGCACGCGCCGGGGGCGGCTGCGCCGGTGCGCGTGCACGCGCGCGCGTGCGTGGCCGCGCCGCGGTCGGCTCGCGCGAGCGTCGACCCGACGTTCGCGTTCCGCTCCAGCGGCGTCGTCATCGACGCGGACTGGAGCGGCGACGCCGCGACCGCCGCGGACGCGACCGCGCGTCTCATCGGGTGGGGCCTGCTCCCGAGCGAGGGCGAGGGCGAAGACGCGAAGTGCGTCGTCGGCGCGGAGACGCGCGCGGCGTCGTTCGCTTCCGCGGGCGTCTTCGCGTGCGCGGTGCCCCCTGGCGTCGGCGGGTTCGTCGCCGTCGCGTTATCCCACGCGGATCACGTCCGCGGCGACGCGCTCGTGGTGTCTCGGCAGCCCGTCGCGACGACGCGCGCGGTGATGCCGGCGTCGGTGTCGTCCGCCGCGGGTGGCGTCGTGCGCATCCTCGGCGACGATTTGCACGCGGCGGCGCGCGTGATGTTCGACGCTCGAAGCGTCGCCGCGATCGCGGTGTCGTCCACGATGCTGCTCCTGGAAGCTCCCGGGCGGCTGGACGCGCGCGAGCTGTCCTCGACGGTCGCGATCACGCTGACGTCGATGGGCGCGGTGTCCGGGACGTCGAACGCGAGCGACGCGACGGCGGCGCCGACGGCGACGCTCGCGCTCGCGCTCGCGGCGCCTCGCGTCGCGACGAAAATCACGCCGACGAGGGGCGTCTCCGGCGGCGGCGTTCGCGCGACGCTCGTCGTCTCGCCGCCGATCACCGGCGAGGGCGCCGCCGCGCAAGCGATCGCGTGCTGGTTCGGGAGCTCCGGGCCGATCGCGGCGAGGCTGACGAGCGGCGGCGGCGTGGAGTGCGTCACCCCCGGAAAGGGCGCCGGGGACGTCGACGTCGCCGCCGCAGCGCACCCAGGGTTGGTCGCGACGTCCGTGCATCGCGCGGAACGGTCAGGGGTTTCGTTCTCGGTCCACGCCGAAAGCGAGGCGAGCGTCGCCGCGGTGTTACTGCGCGCGACCGCGCTCGCGGCGTACGGCGGCGACGCGGAGGTGTGGACGCCGTTCACCGCGGACCCGGCTTCTTCGTCGGTACTCTTCGGCGCGGATCCGACGCGCGCGAAATTGAGCGGCGACGGCGAGGGCGTTCGCACGCTGTCCGTCCCCGCGCGACCGGAGGGCGGCTTCGTGCCGATATCCCTAGACGTCGACGGCGTCAACGGCGGCGAGACTCCGTTCGCGCAGATCGAGATCGCGGCCGCGCCGGTGGCGGGGACGCTGTCTCCCGCGACGACGCCCTCCGCAGGCGGCGGCGTTCTCTTTCTTTCCGGGAAAAACCTGAGACGCGCGGCGTCGCACGTCGTCGCCGCGGCGTTCTCGTCGTCTCAAGGCGCCGGCGCCGGCGTTTCCGCGTACGGCGCGGACATTCGCGCGGTGTCCTCCGCTGTCGCCTCGCTCGAGGCGCCGTCTATGCCACCCGGCGCCGCGTCGTTGAGCCTGACCGTGCACGTCGCGTCGTCATCGTCGTCGGCGGCGGCGGTGGCGACCGCCGGCGGCGCGACGCTATCGATCGGCGTCCTCCCCGGCGCGGACATCAGCTCGATGTCGCCGTCGACCGGACCTTCCTCACCGGGCGCGTCCGGAGGCGCGCACACGATCGTCATAACCGGCAGAGGGTTTCTCGATACCGGATCCGCGTCGTGTCGCGTCGGGAGCGTCGGCCCGCTGCGCGCGGTGGTGAGCTCCGCCGGGGAGTTGTCCTGCGACGTCCCCGCGTTGACGCCGCGCGGGTATCCGGTCGAGGTGTCCTTCAACCGCCGCGATTACACCCGCGCGGCGACGTTACCGGAGACGATCCCGGAGATCGTCGACGTCAACGCCCCGAACGCGACCGCGGACGAGTGGAGCTACTTCCGCGGACTCGTGGAGAGCGCGAAACGAGGCGAGTTTGACGAGGCGATGATCATCGCGCAAAACATCTACGGCTTCCACGTCGAGGCGTCTCGCGACGCCGCGGTGGACGTCGTCGACAAGACGATCTATTGGACCGCGATCGCGCCCCCGACCGCGGTCACGGCGGTGATGCCGTCCGCGGTGTCCGCCGCGGCCGTGGGCGGCGCGTCGGTGACGATCATCGGCGCCGGGTTCGCGCGCGACGGCGTCGCCGCCCCGTGCGGCGGCGGCGTCGTGACGGTGGACACGCGCGCCGAGCTCGCGATCGTCTCCGTCGCCGGCGGCGTCCGCGCGCCGTCTCCCGCGCCGGCGTCGAACGTTTCGAGATTTGGGTACGTCGCGTGCCCGAGCGGGTCGCTGTCCACGGGCGCGATCACGCCGCAGGGGTTCGTCGCGATCGCGGCGCCCGCGGCGGCGGCGAGCGAGCAAGCGCTTTCGCGCGCCGTCGTCGGCGAGGCGCTCGGCGTCGTGGTTTTCTCCCCGCCGCGGGTGGACGCGATCGACCCACCGATCGGCGCGCACGGCGGCGGGTCCGTCGTTTACGTGACCGGGCGTAATCTGCGACGCGGCGCCGCCGGCGGCGGCGACGTCGACGACGCGTGGGTGCTCTTCGGGGACGTCGCCGTGGAAGCGCGCGCGGTGTCCTCCGCGGTGGCGCGCGTCGAGGCGCCGAAGGCGACGGCGGCGGTGGCCGCGCTGGCCATCGCGGGGGGGACCGCGACGGAAGCGGCGGCGGCGGCGGCGTCGTCCTCCGCAGGGATCGCGACGCCGACGTTCTCGAGCGCGCCGGCGCTCGCCGTGCGCGAGGTTTCCCCCGCGCGCGGACCGACGCACGGCGGGTCGATGATCACCGTCGTCGGCGCCGCGGCGTCCGGCGCGGGCTTCTCGGTGTCTTGTAAAATCGGGACGATCGGCCCCATCGCGGCGCAGCACCTCAGCAACGCGACGACGGCGGTTCGGTGCCTCACCCCCGCGACATCGCGCGGCGTCGTCAACGTCCAGCTCTCCGGCAACGGCAAGGACTGGACGGTGAACCCGCCGACGAATGCGACGCGGAGTGTGATCGACGCCTCCGCCGTCGTCCCCGCCGGGTCCCCGCCGGCGTACGTCACGACGACGATCACGACGCACGTGCCCGTGAACGAGTTTGAGTTCACCGCGACCGCGATCGTCTCCGCGGCGATGCCGCCGGCGTCGTACCCGGGGATGACCGGTCTGCACGGCGGCGACGGCGGCGTGGACGTCCTGTTCGCGACGCCGTACGCGTCCGCCGCGACGGCGGCGTCGTTGGACGCGTGCGCGTTTGGCGGGTCCTCCGCGCGCGGGAAAACGATCGGCGTCACCGGCGTCAACGGCACGATCTGCGCGCCCGTGGCGGACCCGTTCATGCAAGGATTTTATCCCATCGTGATCGACAGCCCCGGCGGCGGCGTGACCGGTCTGTACGTCGGCGACGGCGGGCGAGACGCGCCGTTCGCGGGCGTCGGCTTTGAGTTCGCGCGGCCGCCGACGGCGACCGGGTGGAGCCCGGAGCTGACGCACGTCGGCGGCGGCGCGGTGATCACCATCGTCGGCGCGGACTTCCGAGTGGACGACGCCCCGGGCGGCGGATTCCTCTGCGTGTTCGCGACTGGGCCGCGGGTCGGGAACAGCGTGAGCGGGTACGCCCCCGCGTCCTCCGCGGCGGCGGTGACGTCGTCGGCGCTGGCGGCGTGCGAGGCCCCCGGTTCGGTGCCCGAGGGCGTGCACGCGCTGTCCGTGGGTCTCGCCGGGTCGACGCCCGCGCTGGGGGCGACGTCCGCGACGGCGTCGTCCGCGCCCGTGTCCGTGACCGCGGCGCCGGTGCTCACCGACATCGCGCCGTCGAGCGGCGTCGTCACCGGCGGCGTCGTCGTGTCTCTGTCGGGGAGAAACCTCAAGCCGCGGTCAGGGTCGGACGACGTCGCCGCGCGGATCGGGACGTTCGGCCCGATCGCGCTGCGCTCCGGCGCGGGCTCGGGGCACGCGGAGACGATCGCGCCCGCGCACGCGCACCGCGTCGTCGACGTCGCGATCGGGCGAGCGATGTCCGACTATTCGCACGTCGCGTCCGAACGGTGGACGTACCATCAGCCGTTCGTCTCGCGCGACGCGAGCCCTCCCGTCGTCGCCGCCGCGGGCGGCGCGACGGTCACGCTCTTCGCGGACCTCGGGTTCCTTCCCACGGATCTCGAGCTCGCGAGCGGCGAGGACGCGCTCGCGTCGCCCGCGGACGCGCGCGCGACGCGCCCGGTTCTTCGACGCGGCGGCGTCAACGGCACGCGCTCGAACGAGGCGTCTCTGACGTCGCTGCCCAATCCGGGCGCGGGGTTTTCCGTCCCGCAGCCGCCGTCGCCGTGGGCGCACCGCGGCGTCAACACCGCGGGCTCGGAGCCTCACGCGCTGATCGGTTCGTGGCCGCAGCTCGAGCACCGACCAACCGCGGTCGTGCGCGCGGTGTTCCCGCGAATTTGCGAACCCAACGGCGGCGGGAGCGTGCTCGACCTCGTCGGCGGCGGGTTCGTCCTCGGGGAAACCGCCGCGCGTTTCGGCGAGTTCGCCGCGCCCGGGCCGAACGCCGCGGGCGTCGTGATCTCCTCCGCGCTCATGCGACTCGAGGCGACGGGGGATCACAACTACGACACGCAAGCGCCTGTGGAGGTGGCGTCGTCGCACGCCGCGGTCAGAGACCCGAACGCGTGGAGCGCGGACGGCGTGCTGATCGCCTTTCACCGCACGCCGCGGGCGCTGCAGAGCGAACCGGCGTGGGGCACGGAAGAGGGCGGGACCGCGGCGAAGCTCACCGGGAGCGACGTCAGGGACACGGGCGCGCAGCTGAAGTGTTCGTTCGGCTCCACCGTCGTCGTTTCCTCCGGGTTAATGAGCGTGAATCACCTGGAGTGCGTCTCCCCCGCGCACGCGCCGTCGCGGGACGGATATCTCCCCCGCCTCGGCGTCGCCGTGAACGGGCGCGACTTTTCCCCGGAGATTTCCCACGCGTTCGGTCCTCTGACGTTCACGTACGGCGCGCGGATCGAGGTGTACGGGCTTCAGCCGAATTACGGCCCGAGCGTCGGCGGCACCTCCGTGATCGTGCACGGGAAGAACTTCGTCCCCGCGGTGGACCTCAACGCCAAGCCGACCTTCACGTGCCGGTTCGGTTTCTTCCCCGTGCTCGCGTCCAACGCGCTCGGCGAGGAAGTCACCGCGACGACGGCGACGTGCCGCTCGCCGCCGCACGCGGTCGGGTTCGTCTCCGTGGAAGTATCCGCGGGCCCGGGGAACTTCACGACGTTCGGCGTCGTGTTCGAGTTCCAGGCTGCGCACGAGCCAGAGGTTTTGTTCCCGCCCACAGGGCTCGCGTCCGGCGGGACGCTCGTCACCGTCGCGGGCGCGAACTTTATCGCGTCGAACCAGCAGTGGGGGTACGGCCACGGGAACACCGCGCAGCCGGGCAGCGGCGGCGGGATTTTCCTCGGCTCCGGGTCCGACGCGATGAAGGGGAAAGACGCGCTGTCGTGCCGCTTCGGCGGCGTCGGCGCGTACACCGTCGGCGCGAGCGCCGTGTCGAGCGCGGTTTTGCGATGCGAGACGCCGACGTTTTCCGACGCCGCCGTCGGACGTTCGTTGTCCGTGGACACGTCCACGAACGCCGGGGAGGACTTCACCGGGTCGCAGACGTACTTCGAGCCTCTCGCGGAGGCGCTCGTGCTGTCGCTGTCCCCGCCCGCGGGCACGAGCGGCGGCGGCACGGTCGTCAACGTGTTCGGCGCTGGGTTCACCGTGGACGAGCCGGTGTGGTGTAAATTTGGCACGACGGGGCCGATACCCGCGGAATACCACGCGGAGAACATCGTGCGGTGTAAGTCCCCGGCGAAGGCGACGAACATGGCGGTGCCCTTGGAGGTGTCGAGAGGGAACACGTTCGATTTGACGAGGAACAACGTCATCTTCTCGATATAAACTAGTCTAGACTAGCTACACGACTCCATCTTTTAGACTGTGATGAGAGAAACTACAACAAAATCTGTATCATTTCTCGCACAGCTTCTACAAAATACCTCATTTCTCGCACAGCTTCACGATCCGCCGCGCTTCGTCTTCTAAATCCATGAACACCGTCCCCGTGTCCTCGCCGTCCCCTCCCTCGTGCCCCCCTCCGCCGCCCTCCTCGAGCTCGGCCTGGCACGCGGTCGCGCCATCGAGAACAGCCTGCGCCGCCGCCCGCGCGCCCGTCGCGGCGTCGGTCGCCGCCGCCGCCGCCTCCGGGGACACCGCCGCCAACCGTTTGACGCGCTCGATCACGGTCTCGAGCGACGTCGCCGCCGCGAGCGCCACCTCGGGCTCCTCCTCCTCGGTCACGACGCGCGAAAGAAGCGCGAGCGCGTCGCGCGCGAACGGCATCGCCGCGGCGACGGTCTCTCGCGTCGGACCCGCCTCCGGGTCCTCGGCGTCGAACGGGTGCAGCGAAAACTCAAACGCGCGCGCCGCCGCGGTTCGCAAAGCTGCCGCGTTCGTCGGCTCGACCGCGGACGCGAGCGCGGAGAGAATCGACGGCATCAAAGGCACCACGCTCGCGCCGCACGAGTTCACGAACGCGCCCAACGTCTCCGCAGCGGCTTGCGCTTCCGTGACGCCGCCCGTCGTGACCGCGGCGCGTCCGTGCCTCCCGCCGCCGACGCTCGCGTTCGCTCTCGCCGCGACCAGAGCGTTCGCCGCCGCGCGCGTCGCGCCGGGGAGCCACGGCGATAGCCTCCCCTCCAACACCACCGCGAGCCGCCCGAAGCACCGAAGCGAGCACTCGCGCATCGTGGACGAGGCGTCGTCGCCGCCCTGGTCGGAGACGCCCTTCGTCGCGGCGTCCAACAACGCGTCGACGGCGCCGGCGGGCGCGGCGTCTTCGCCGACCGCGGCGACGATCGTCGCCATCGCCGCGAGCGCTCTCGCTCTGACCGCGGCGGCGCCCTCGACGACGGCGAGGCGTTTCAGCGAGTCCACGGGCGCGCCGCCGGAAGCCTCCGCGCCGGCGAGCGACGCGAGCGCGCGCAACGTCCCGGGCGCGAACGGCTCAAAATCAAACGCCGCCGCTCGGGCGACGCACGCGAGCGACGCGAGGCACCGCGCTCTCGCCATCGCGCACGCGCCGACGTTCGTCGCGCCGGTCACGAGCGCGCTCACGAGCGGCTCGAGAAACGGCGCGAGCTCCTCGTTCGAGTAGTTGTCGCACAGACTCGCCGCGGCGTCGTGCGCCGCGCGCGCGAACGCCTCCGCCTCCGTCTCGCCGCCGCCGCCGCCGCCGCCGCCCTCCGACGCGCTCGCGCTCTCCGCGGCGACCGCGCGGCGGATCGCGTCGACGAACAGCGCTCCCACGCGCGTCTCGTGCAACGACGTCATCGCGTGCCCGGCGTGCTCGGCCATCTCCGCGAACGCCTCCGCCGCGGCGGTCATCGTGCGCGCGTCCCCGGACGTCATTCCTGCGCTCAGCGCGTCCAACGCGCGCGGCATGACGTCGTCCTCGGCGACGTCGCACGCGCACCCCTCCGCCGCCGCCGCCAGCGCGGCGAGTTGCCCGGGCGTCGGGACCGCGCCGGAGTCGCTCGCGGCGAGAAGCGGCGCCACGACGACCGGAAGCACCGTCGCCGGGGGGAGATGCAGCGCGAACTGTCTGAGCGTCGCGCGCGCGTCCGCGGAGCCGGCGTCGGCGACGAGAAACGCGAGGATCCGCGCGGCGATCGATCCGGCACCGGCTCCGGCTCCGTCCGTCCGATCGATCAGCTCCCCGTGTTTCATCGCGAGCGCGCTCAGGACCTCGAACGCGGGGCCTCTCGCGGCGCCGTCGCGCCGCGTCGCGTCCGCGGCGACCGCGAGCGCGATCTCCGCCGCCGGCGTCGCCAACGCGGCGTCGTCGCCGAAAATCGCGTCGACGGAGCACGACGACGTGACCGACGCGAGCGCGTTCAACGCCGCCGCGAGCGCGTCGTCGTCCTTCGCCGCGACCTGGTTCCTCGCGGCGTCGATCAAGCACGCCACGATCGACGGCGCGATGGACGCGAGGAGCGGAAAGTCCCCTCGCTCCGTCAGCGCGGTCGCCAGCTGCGCGCACGCGGCGACGGCGGCGTCTCGCACGCGGCGGCACGGATCTCCGCTCGCCGCGCGCGCGAACCTCGACGCCAGCGCGGCGTGATGCTCGTGCAGATGCGCGCCCATGCTCTCGACGAGGTTCCCCAGGAGGACGATCGTCGCCTCGCGGTGCGCGTCCACCGCGGACGACGACGCGTCCGCGAGCGCGGGGAGGAGTTCGGTCCAGCCGCCCGCGGACGCCTGCGCGACGACGTCCGCGGCGTGCGCGAGCGCTCTGAGCTCTGCGGGGCTCTCCGTCGACGCGAGCGCGGCGAGGACGCCGCGACGCACGCGCGATCGCGCGTCCTCGTCCAGCGCGCGCCAGTGCTTCCCCGCCGCGGTGGACAGGAGCACCGCCGCGAGGTGCCGCTCCGCGGGACTCGCCTCGGCGGCGGCGAGCGCGGCGGCGAGCGCGAGGACGACGCCGGGGTCCTCCGTCGCCGCGGTGACGACGCGCTCCGCGTCCGCGCGTGTCTCCGGGGTGGAGTGAGGCGACGCCAGCGCCGCGAGCGCGGCCGCGAAGGGTGGCGTCGCCATGCGGAGCGCCGCCGACGCGCGTCTCGCGACTGGCGGCGATTCATTCCTCGGGAGTCGCGAACGCCGCTGCGCGAGATCGAAAGCCTCGATGTGCGTCCGGCCGGCAGCCGGCGCTGCCTGAAGCGTACATCGCACGTTAACTAAATACACATAGAGTACGAGTACATCTCAAAAGGTCAACGCCGCGCGAAAAACGGCCGTTGGCCCGAATCGAATCGCGACCACGACAGATCCCCCCGCACCGCGCAGAGGACATCGCGATGTCCGACGAGCCCGAGACCGTACCCCCCGCCGAGCCCGAGGCCGAGGCCGAGGCCCCCGCCGCCGAAGCCGAGACCGAGGCCGCGCCCGCGGAGGCGGAAGCTCCCGCCGCGGAGGAAGCCGCGCCCGAAGAATCTCCCGCGCCCGCGGAGGACGCCGCGGCGGAAGAGCCCGCCGCGGCGGAAGAGCCCGCCGCGGCGGAAGAGCCCGCCGCGGCGGAAGAGCCCGCGGTGACCGAGGATGCGCCCGCGGCGGAGGATGCGCCCGCGGCCGAGGATGCGCCCGCGGCCGAAGAAGCCCCCGCGGCCGAGGATGAAGCCCCCGCGGCCGAGGATGAAGCCCCCGCGGCCGAGGATGAAGCCCCCGCGGCCGAGGATGAAGCCCCCGCGGCCGAAGAAGCCCCCGCGGCGACCGAGGGCGACGCCGAGCCCGCGACGAAAATCGACGCCCCCGACGACGTCGACCCTGATGAAGACGCCGCCGCCGCGCCGGAGCCGACGCCGGAGCCGGAGCCCGCGGACGTCGAGTCCGAACCCGAACCCGACGTCGGGACGGATGACGCGTTCAAGGAGAACGCCGCGCCTCCGTTCGAGCGCGCGAACGACGACCGCGCGCCCCCAGGGGAGCCTCTCTTCGCGAAGAAGCAGCCCGTGCACGCGTACCTCGCGTCCAACATCCAGCTCGCGGTGCGACACGCGCTCCGGGCGCTGTCGTCGCAGCGACCGGAGGAGCCGTTCGCGCTCGCCGCCGACGTCATCCGCGAGTGGACGCCGGAGGCGACGGCGCCGCGGTTATCGAGACCCGCGGGAGGGAACTCCATCGGCGCGAGGGAGTACCTCGAGAAGACGCAGATCTTGAACGCGCTGCACGAGGGGATGTGTCAGATGGCGAAGATACGGCCCGCGGATCCGCGGCAGTTTCTCGCGGATTACCTCCTCGACCACGCGCCGGCGCCGGAGTACGTGCAGCAGATGGAACGGTTCGGGACGGAGGAGCAGCTCGCGAAGATGGACGCGCTTCACGAGGGCGCGAGGGACGCGCTCGACGGGATGGAAGCGTGAGCGAGCGAACGCGCGCGCCTGTAGGTTTACGGTATCTAATACGCACGCGACGAGAGTCGAAACAGCGAGCGTCTGAAAAACGATGCACGAAAAATCTCGCGCCGAACTTTCCGGAAGTACTGTACGAAAAGTACGTCAAAACGGATCGTGTTCTGACTGGTCACCATACGAATCAGCGCCTCCGGTGTAATAAGTCGATCCTTCACAACACTTGAGTACGTATTAATCTGTGACTGATTGCCCATAGCGAGCACCTACATCTTCCCATCTGCGGTCGCGCGGCGTCTCGCGGTCGGCGTCGCCTATCACAGTCGCCTCGAATGCACCGTTCGCTTCGCGCTTTATCTTCCTTGCGCCGTCGAATAAAGCCGAAGACCGTCGAACGCGACGCTCGCGACCGCAGTATCCCCCGCGCGAAGACGCGAATCGACGCCTCGCGCATCGATCTCATCCTTCGCATCGCGCGTCGAACGCCGAGTCCGCACGCGCAGTTCCCTCGCGCGCGTTCCCGCGGCGTTCAGAGGCGACGGGAATCTTCTCGCGCGAAGCAGATTACGTCTATCCACGCCTCGCCTCATAAAGCGTACGCGTCGACGCCTCGGAGAGCGAACGTCATGGCGTCCACGAGCGTCGCGAGCGCGCAGTCCGCTCGCGTATCGGGCGTCTGCAGCGTCTCCGGTCGCGGAGACATCGCGGTCGCGCGCGCGGCGTCGCGCGCGAGCCGCCGCGCGCCGTCTCCCGTCTCCGTCTCGGGCGCGGCGCTCCGCGGCCACAAATCGAACCGCGGCGCGAGCGCGAACGACCGGCATCGCGCGTCGCGCGCGCCGTCGAGCCGCGTCGTGACGCGATCGATCATGGAACCGGAGACGACGTCCGCGTCGACGACGTTCGAGCGCTCGCCCGAGCAGGTGGTCGCGAGCAACGGCCGCGAGGTGGAGCAGTTCGCGCTCGAGTGCTGCGTGAAGCGTCAGACGAGCGGGGAGCGCGTGCCGAGGCCGCGCGTTCCCGAGAAGATGCTCGACGACGCGTACGAGCGTTGCAACGAGGTCACGTCCGAGTACGCCAAGACGTTCTACCTCGGCACGAAGCTCATGACCCCGGAGAAGCAGCGCGCGATCTGGGCCATCTACGTCTGGTGCCGCAGGACGGACGAGCTCGTGGACGGACCCAACGCGAGCCACATCACCCCGGAGGCGCTGAATCAGTGGGAAGCGCGTCTGGAGGCGGTTTTCGACGGGCGCCCCGCGGACGTGATCGACGCCGCGCTGTGCGACACCGTGTCCAGGTTTCCGGTGGACATCCAGCCGTTCCGCGACATGGTGGACGGGATGAGGATGGACCTCGTGAAGCCGCGGTACGAGACGTTCGACGAGCTGTACGAGTACTGCTACCGCGTCGCGGGCACCGTCGGGCTGATGTCCATGCCCATCATGGGGTGCGACGAGAACTTCGAGGGCGACCTCAGGAAGGTGTACAAGGCTGCGCTGTCGCTCGGACTCGCGAACCAGCTCACGAACATCCTGCGCGACGTCGGCGAGGACGTCATCACGCGGAACAGGATATACATCCCCCTGGAGGAGCTCCGACGGTTTGGCATCGAAGAGAGCGAGGTGATCAAGTGCTCGCTCGTGGACGCGGAGACGGGCGCGGTGGACCCGCGGTGGAAGGAGTTCATGAAGTTCCAAATCGCGCGCGCGCGAGAGGTGTTCGCGGAAGCGGAGGCGGGGGTGAACTGCCTCCACAAAGACGCGCGCTGGCCGGTGTGGTCCGCGCTGGACGTGTACCGGAACATCCTCGACGCCATCGAGGCGAACGATTACGACAACTTCACGCAACGCGCGTACGTGCCCAAGTTGCAGAAGTTTTTGATGCTTCCTGCGGCGTACAGCAAGGCGCAGCCCGCGATGACGATGTGAGCGACGCGGGCGGCGCGTCCGTCGGGAGATGAGAGACGGAGGACGGGAGAGAGGAGAGAGGAGGCGGGACGAGAGGGCGACCGAGGGGCTGAGGGGCGCCCGTATGATATTTTCGCTGCAAACTGCATTCTGAACTAAAAACGATCACATCTTCGTCGCTTTGCGTCGCTTCATGATGCGCTCCGGCGGCGGCCGTCGCTTCGTCGGCGGCGGGCGTTCCCGCGGGTGCGGCGGCGGCGGCGGAGGCGCGTTCTTCGCCGCCTCTGCCTCGTCCTCGATGCACTCCTTGCACGTCCACCGCCGCGGCGTGTTCTCCGAGTCTGAAATCCCGACGCATCGCGTGTGCATCCACACCTCGCAGACGTCGCACGCGATCATCCGCTCGCCGTCGTCGTCGCACGTCCCGCACACACACCTTACGATCCACTGGTCTAACCCGCCTTGGTACCGGAAATCGGACTCTAAGTCCGCGCCGTCGCCGAGCACCTCGAGGGACGCGCCGGCAATTTTCTTCGCGTTTAAACGCGCCTTCTCCTGCGTGGACTCGAACCCGATGACGTGCCGCACCCTGTACTTCGCGAGGACGACGTACAGGTCCGAGAACACCTTGTTCACCGCGTTCTTCAAGTCGCACAGCATCGGTTCGGGCGGTAGAAGGATAACCTCCGGCGGCGGTTTCGTCTCGATCCCGTACTTGAGCTTCTTCTTCTCTTTGATGCTCAGGCCTGACACCTTCGGTCCTTTGTTCCGAGAGTCGATCACCGCGGTGACCATGACGCGGACGCCCTTCGAGACCATCGGCGGGCGCCCGCTCTTCCCCGCGGTCGCGCTCGCCGGCGGCCTGAGCGCGAGCATGTCCGACGTCGAGCAGTACGTCTTCACAAACTGCTTCGTGTCTAACAGCACCCTCGCGGCGTGGATCAGATCCGAGCCGTGGCACTTCTTGGGCTCCCCCGGCGCCGTACCTTTCAGCGGTCGTCCCGGGCGCGCCCTCGCGGGTTTGTACGACTCGAGCAGGTTCTTGTACACGACCTTGACGTCGTTCGAGATCTTCTCCTTAGTGAGGATGTCCGCGGCCGCGTCCATCGTCGCGGCTTCGGTGAGGTGCACGACCTTGCCTTTTCCGTTCGCGACGACGGCGCCTTTCCCTCCGCCCGGCGCCGCCCCGGGCGTCGGCTTCGGCCCTTTCTTCGACGGCGGGAGGATGATCGACGCTTGCATCTTGGACATCCCCGGGACGGACTCGAGCTGGTACTCGAGCTGCCCGGACGACGCGTTTTGGCGCCGGCGGATGTGCGCTCGGATTGTTTGACCTGCGACGTGGCGTGAAGGGACCGTGTCGTGGGGGGAGAGAGGGAGAAGTTAGCTTTCGAACACGGTATTGAAGTGTGTCGTTCGCGCGTTTGCCTCGACGGGAGGAAGGAAGGCTGAGGGTGCACCCGCTGCGCGGGTCAGAATAATATACTTTTTCTCGACGCCGTGAGTTGTCAACAGTGCTCCGCAGGTGGCTCTCGATCGCGAGAACGAGGCCGCCTCGCTTTGGATTTGGCTAATACTCATCAGCCCCATCGCGCGAATGACCCCCGGGGCGATGAACCCTCTTCCAAAAGATAAATCGGGACGAGAGGAAAACGCGCGCGACGGGGAAGAAAACAAACCGCGCGCACCTTTCGGGACTGGCTTCGTCGCGGCTTTCGCGTTCGCCGGCGGCCTCTTGCGCAGGACAACCTTTCGCTCGGAGATGCTCTTCAGGACGTGATCCAACAACCCGGTGTCTCCCACCCCTTTCGCGCGCGCGAGCCCTCTGACCTCCTGCCGCGGCAGCCACTTCCCCCCAGCCTCGCGCAGCACCTCCACGCACGCGTTGGACGCGATTTCGATCCTCGCGTCGCTCCACCGCGACACCACGGGCGCGCCGGGGACGAGCTCCTTCTTCTCCTTCTTTTTCTTTGGCTCCTTTTCTTTCTCCTTCTTCTTCTTCGGTGGCGGCGGCTCTTTCTTCGCCGGCTTCGCCTCCTCGGGCTCGTCCTTGACGTCGGACGCGGGGACTAAGCCGTCGGCGCCGCGCGGTCGGAGCGGCCGCGGCGGCAGCGCCCTCGGCTTCGCAGACGACATCACCTTACCGGGGGTCCCGGTCCCGCCATTCGTCTTGGACATCTTCGACGCTTTCGAGAGCTTCGTCTCGAACTTCAGGGGCTCAAAAATCGAAGAGGCAGCTTTGCGCTTCGCCGCCGCCTCCCTCGCGAGGCCTTCCTCTTTGATCCGAATCCCCCCCACGCTCTTGTTCGCTTTCCTCTGCGCCGCCATCTCCTTGTCCCTCCGCGCCTTCTCCTTCTTCCGCACGATCCGCTGCAGCCTGAGCAACAACGACACGAGGTCTCCCAACGTCTTCGGCGCGTACTTCCCCATGATCTTCTCGTACCTGGAGATCACCTCTAAGACGTTCCCGGTGACCAACGACCCGGCGGCGCCGATCGCGTACGCGTTCGCGCCGCCCGCGCCGACCCACGCGCTCACCGCCCCGGGGTTCGTGCCCCCCATTGCTTTGAAGTCAGCCCTGACGTTCTCCAGCGTGAACCCTCGCAGGCGCTCCGCGGCTTTGCGGTGCGTCGCCCCCGTGTTCCCAAACGACCCTTTCCCAAACTGATACCCGAAGGTGCCGTACCACGTCTTCCCGCACGCCACGGGGTTCAATAGACGGAACTCGACGCCGTACTTTTGCGAGACGTCCTCGACGCTGACCTCGCGCGCGCGGAGGAGGTGGCAGATCTTCTCCCAGATCTGAATCAGCTGCTGCCCGGACAGGACCCGCGACCCGGCTTCTCGGCCGTTGATGCGTTTCAAGTGCCCGCACCCGTTCGCGTGCAGCGTGCCGTGCATGAGGTGCGTCTGGTAGTCCAGGATGCTCGTGTCGCAGTCCTTCTCGCCGCACGAGATGCACTTCTTCTCTTTGATCGGCATCGCGGCCGTGCAGATCTGACAGATCCGCTTTCCTTTCAGCTCCGGTTTCAAATCCGTTCGGAAGTCGGTGTGAATTATGAAGTGGTACTGCTTCCGCGTCACCGGGTGGTGATGCCATCCGATGCATCGGCAGCAGTCGCAGTGCACGCGCGTGGACTCGAGCATCGTCTCCTCGTACACCCTCAAATTCGTTTCGTACTTCGTCCCTTTCGCGAGCGTCACCGTGTGACCCAAGACCCCGCCCTCGACGTAGTAGTCATCCGGCTCGGTCTCGTTCTTCACGAACGCGCGAACGTTGTCCCTGTGAATTGAAAGCGGTTCATCGGGAGCGGTCGGTCAATACAAGGTTTCATCGGGGGGTAATACGCGATTTCACCGGTGGGAGGACGGACGCGCGACGGCGGGCGACGCCGCCGCGCGGGGCACCGAGCCTCCACGCAAGGGCGCGGCCGCGCGTGCGCGTCCCCCCGAAGGCGTGCGCTCGCGTTGGGGGTCAATGCCAACGGGGAGGGCGGGAAAGCGGCGAGGGCGAGGGAGGGCGAATGAGGGATTTTCGACGATTTCTCCCAGAGAGCCTCTCCACGCGTGGGCGGGGAGTCGCGCACCTGAACGGGCCGTAGTACGCGAGCTTATCCTTGCTCAGCCACGGGATAGGCTCGGGTTCGTCCATGGCGACCGAGGGGATCGATCGGAACCGCTCGAACCGCTCAGCACCCGCCTCTCGCGCCCGTCTTCACCGCGCCGCCTCCGCGCGCTTTTTGAGACGTGTCGATCTGAGCAAAACGAGCCACAGGCGGCCGACCACGACTTTCTCGCGAGACGCGTGACGGGCGATTCACCCCTTTCGCGTCCACGGACGACGGTTCGTTGATCGCGAACGCGTTCGCACGCGATGCGCGATGCCTTCGCGCGCGGCGGGCTCGGCCGACCGACGACTCGCGCGGTCGTGCGTCCGTTCCCCGCGCGACGCGTCTGTGCGCAAACCTAAGAATCGAAATACGACTTGCCAACGCGGCAGCGTCTCGATGACTGTTCACGGTTCCTGACTGTTTGGCCCTACGGAAGTACTGAAGGGTCTCCGTCGTCGGGGCTTAGGGCTATCTCCACGTTCGTCTGACCAATTGCCCATACGAGCGATCCGTACGTAGATTTTGGTTTTTTGACTGGTGTCCGCGCGTTCGGCTCTTTTCCAAAAAGTACCCGACGCCCAAAACCGAAGCGTCGCCGCGGCCGCCGACCGTCAGAGGTCGTCGCGCATCGGTCGCGCGATCGACACCCCTCCGCGTCGTCATGGCGTTCAGACACGCGACTCGGCGTCTCGCCGCCGCGGTCGCGCGGACGGACACCACCGCCGCGCGCGCGATCTGCGCGCACCCGTTCGCGGGCGGCGGATCGTGCGCGCTCGCGCGCGACAACGCGTCGTTCCGAGCCGCGGTCGCGTCCGCTCGCGCGCCGCGATGGTCGCGATCGTTCGCCGCGGGCGCTGATTGTGCGTCGTTCCCTCTTCTTTTCTCCTCGACGTCGCGATCGCCGTCGGCGCGACGCCCGCGCCGCCGCCGCGACCGATCGCGCGCGTCGCGTCGGGCGCCGACGCGCCGCGAGATATTATTTCCAAAACTAACGTCGCCGATCCGATCCCGCGCGTCTTCCCTCCCCGACAGACCCGCCGTACCAGGAGATCACGATGCCCGCGCTGTCGCCGACGATGACGCAAGGGAACATCGCGGAGTGGAAAGTGAAGGAGGGCGACAAAGTCAGCGCCGGGGACGTCCTCGCGGACATCGAGACGGACAAGGCGACGATGGCGCTCGAATCCATGGAGGACGGGTACGTCGCGAAGATCCTCCACGGCACCGGCGCGTCGGACGTCGAGGTGGGGACATTAGTCGCGATCATGGTCGAAGACGAAGGAGACGTGGGTAAGTTTGGAGGGTTCACCGTCAGCGCGGCGGCGGCGCCCGCGGCTCGAACGGCGACTCCGGCGGCGGCTCCCGCGGCGGCGGCGCCCGCGGCGGCGGCGGCGCCCGCGGCGTCCGCGGCGTCCGCGCCGGTGTCCGCGCCGCGCCATGCCGGCGCGCGCGTGTTCGCGACCCCGAAAGCGCGCGTCATGGCCGCGGAGGCGGGCATCGCGATCGACCAGATCGACGGCTCGGGGCCGGGAGGAAGGATACTCATGAGCGACGTCTCGCACGCGATCGCGAACGGCGTCGCGCCGAGGGCGGCGGCGGGCTCCGCGGACGGCGCCGCGGACGGCTTCGCGCGATTCTTCCCCCCGTACGAGGACGTGTCCGTGACGACGATCAAGAAGGTCACCGCGGCGCGTCTCACGGAGAGCAAACGCACGGTGCCGCACTTCTACCTCAGCGTGGACGTGCGCATGGACCAGATCGTCTCCGCGCGCGCGAAGCTCAACGCCGGGAAGGAGAAGGGGAAAATTTCCGTGAACGATTTCGTCGTGAAAGCAGCCGCGTCCGCTCTCAAACAAGTGCCGGACGTGAACGCGTCGTGGATGGGGGATAAGATTCGCGTGTACAAGAACGCGGACATCAGCGTCGCGGTGCAAACGGACGCGGGTCTGATGGTCCCCATCGTTCGAAACGCGTGCGGGCTGGGCCTCTCCGGGATCTCGTCGGAGGTGAGGGCGCTCGCGGGGAAGGCGAAGGAAGGGAAGCTCTCGCCCGCGGACATGATCGGCGGGACCTTCACGATCTCGAACCTCGGGATGTTCGGGATCAAGCAGTTCGCGGCGATCGTGAACCCGCCGCAGGCGGCGATCCTCGCCGTCGGCGCGGCGAGGAAAGAGGTCGTGAAGAAGGCGGACGGGAGCGGGTACGAGGAGGCGCTCCTGATGAGCGCGACGCTGTCGTGCGACCACAGAGTCGTGGACGGCGCGGTCGGCGCGCAGTGGCTCGGCGCGTTCAAGGCGTTCATGGAGGATCCAGTGACGATGTTGTTATGATCGATCGACGGTTCGACGTTGACGAGTAGACGTGTAACTGATTTGATGAATTCTTTTTTTTTGGTCAAAATACAACACGGCAGGCGCAGGCAATGAATGGTCCAAGACGGAGCGGTCAGAAGACCTCGAACTCGTCCTCCTCCTCCTGGCTGATCGGCCGCTCTGTCTCGAACGGCAGCTCGACGTCCACGGCGTCCTTGTACAGCGTCTCGATGTCGTAAAACTGTCGCGAGCTCGGCGTGAACACGTGCACGATGATGTCCGCCGCGTCCACGCACACCCAGTCGCTGTTTTGCGCCACGCTCTTCGCGATTTGCGTCCCGTACGTCTCGTTGAGATGGTCGCGGATCTTCTCCGCGACCGCTCGCATCTGCGGGCGGTTAAACGCGGTCGCTAGGAGGAAATACCGCGCCCAGTGCACCTTCTTCGAGACGCCCAAGACGCGAACGTCCGCGGCTCGCGTCTCGTCCGCGATGACCGCGAGCTCGATGGCGACGTCACGCGCCAACTTCTCCGCCGCCGCCTCGTTCTCGTCGTCCGCGTCCATCGAGTCCAGCGCCGCGGAGGAGCCCATCTCCGCGGAGGACGCGTCCGCGGCGTCCATGATCGCGGTCACGCGGCGGCATCGCGCGTGAGCGCGCGCGGGTGCGCGCGCGACGCGGCTGAGCCGCGCGCTCGACGCGTTCGACCGGAGCGCCAGCGCCGCGGGCGAGGAGGTCACCGCGTGCATTGTTGGAGAATGAATCGGCGCCTCGAGCGTGGGTCGCGCGCGCGTGACTGCGGCCTCTCTGGTATCCTCACGTCTCGACGCGGGTGCGAGAAGATCACGGAAGGGTAACGCGCTTCGACCGGCGCGCGTTGGCGCGATGCGGCGTGCGGGTGTGGCGGCGGACGACGACGCGGCGAGGATAAAAAGGTCTCGAAAAAGCGCAATGCGTGCACTGCATGAAAATAATTCACTGATGATCGACCAGACGCGCAGACGCGCTCGTCGTCACGCCTTTCGGGCGCTCTCCTTCTCCTTCTCCGCCCTCTCCTTCTCCTTGGCCTTCGCCTTCAGCAGCTTCTCCGCCTCCTTCAGCGCTCGTTTCTCTTCCAAGCGCTTCTCCGTCTTCCTCCGCAGGTTCTCCTCCTCCTCGACGACGCCCTCCTCCTTTATCACCTTCTCCCCGAGGAACATGTCCGCGAGCGCGGCGGTCAACCCGCCGGCGGGCGGTTTCGCCTCGTTGGCGCTCTTGGACGACGGCGCCACCTCGTCCGCTTCGTCGGTCGTCGTGTTTATATCCACGGTACCGGCGAGCTCCATGTCCTTCTCTTTTTGCGTGGAGAACACGAGCGGTCCTTCCTCGTCGACCACCTGCGTGAACGCGCGCGTCGGCGCGGCGAGTCTGACGTTGTTCTTCTTGCACGTCTCCAAAAACTTTTGAAGAAAATCCTGCTGCGTCGCGTAAAACTGGTCTTTGTTCACCGCCTCGACGAAGAAACTCATCATGATCGTCAGCCCTTCGGGGGTTATCTCCGAGATGAACACGCGCCGATGCAGCGACCGCATCACGCGCGGGTCGGATTTCAAGAGCGCGCGGAAGTTGGTCAACGCGCTCGCGACGCGCGAGGTGTCCGCCAGGCGCACCTTCACCTCGTGCTTGATGCGGAATTCCTTCCCGCGGCGCGTGATGTTCAGCACGGACAGCGTCGAGAACAGCGAGTTTGGGATGTAGTACATCTCGCGGTGTAACGACCGGATCGAGGTCCGGAACAGCCCGATGTCGATGATGAACCCTTGTATGTCCCTCTCTTGATTCGTCGAAAATTTAATCTCATCCCCGGGCATGAACGGCGACGTCGCGTACAACATCAAACCCATGAACGCGTTCTCGAGGATCTGCCTGCCCGCGAGACCGATGGCGAGACCGGAGATCCCACCGAACGTCACGAGCGCGCCGATGTCCACGCCCAAGACTTTCAGACCGAGCGCGACGACGACGAGCGACGTCGCGAGTTTCGACAGTTTCGACACGCCGACCAAGCGATCCGCCTGGAGTTCCTTCCCCTCGAGCTCGAGCTCGAACGCTTTCTGCGAGAAGAACCGCTCTTGCCAGCTCATGACGACGCGCGAGAACGCGACGACGAGCGCGCACGCCACGAGCTTCTCCACGACGGAGCCGAACAGCGCGGCGTGCACCCAACCCGCGCCCTTCACGCCGGCTTCTAAAAACCTCAACGCCGCGACGGCGACCAACGACACCTCGAGCGGGCCGTACACGTTGTCGAACACCCAGTGCAGCGCGGACGCGTTCCACGCCTTCTCGGACGTGCTGTCCGTCCACCAAAAGAACAGTCGCTTCGCGATGGGTTGCATGAAGAACCTGAGCGCGAGGAGCGCGACGATGCAAAACATCGCGGGAAGGATGAACTCCGAGTCGATGGTTCCGTCCGCGAGCTTCCGCGCGAGTCGAGCGGAGAAGCTCACCGCTCCGTTCACAGGGGCTAAGAGCTTCGGGTTCACGCACGCCGCGATCGCGACCGTGAACGCGATCCATACGGCGGACACGATGACGACGCCGCGCGACAGTCTCAATTTGTTCGTTTTTTCAGGAGTGCTCTCCTGTTCGAAAGAAGAGAGCATCGACGGAAACTTCATCGCGATCTGAGGGTCGTTCCATACAAAGCGATGTCGGGGTGGAGTTCAAAGGCGTCAGTTGGCGTTCAAAGGCGTCGCGGTCGGGGATTGAAAGCGAGGGGTGGGCGGAGAGACACGACGGCAAAAGTCCTTAAGGATCGGCGTTCACCACGCCAACGCGGTCGTATGGGGACCAGTGTATAGAACGCACCTGATTCACCCCTCCCGGCGGGACGATGATTTCCGCCGCCGCGGCGGCGTCCTCCGTCGCGACCGGGGCCGCGGCGGACGTCTCGTCTTTCGGTTTTTCCTCGTCCTCGTCCTTGTCCTTGTCCTTCTTCTTCTGGTCCTTGCCCTGGCTCTGGCTCTTGCCTTCTTTCTTGCCCTTGCCCCAGTCGTCGTCTTTCGGTTTCGCGCGACGCGCGGTTGTTGACGTCGCGCCTCGGCCGCCGCTGGTCCGCGTCAATTCCCCGACGCGTTCGCGCGTCCGCCAGCGCACGAGGGCACCTCGCGCGCGCGCGCGAGGGCCATCCCGACGGCATATACCGCGTGTAGGCACCCCATGCCTCGCCGCGGGAACGCCGGCGAGCGCGAACGCGAGCATCGCCCGTGCGTGGGGCGGCGACCTCGAATGCGCTTTTTCCTTTTGCGAGACGCGTTTTGTGGCTCATGAATTGCGATCTCACTTTCGTATGCACGACACCGGGTCTAGCTAGCTAGAGCTAGTCTCGGCCCCTCCCCTCCGCCGAAGTAAACCGACGCACGATCCCGAAGAAAACGGTCACGCCCGCGCTCCACAGCGCGCTCCACTTGATCCCGAGCCCCTCCCGTCCGATGAGATGCCACATCACCGAGTTGCGAACGACCGGCGCGAGGTATCTCCTCAGCCGCGCGCGTCGGACGTCTCCGTCATCCGTCTCAAATTTCTCTTTCGCTTTTTCATCCCTCGCCGCGCGGCCGAACGTCGGGCCGTGCGTCGCGCAGTGCGCGGTCATCGCCACGAGGACGACGAAGTTAAACGCGGGGACTTTAAGGAACCACTTCAGGTCTTCGTGGTGGTGTTCGTCGCCGTCGGCGTCCGAGGCCGCAGCCCCGGGCGCGACGGCGGCGGCGGCGGCGGCGGCGGCGGCGACGTCCTCCTCCGCGGCTTCCGCCTCGAGGTCCACCGCCATCAACTTCGACGTCCCTCCCAAGTGCGGCGGCAACGTCTCGCGGGTAAATATCTCACACAGCCGCTCTTTGTCCTCCTTCGGCACGAGCTTCACCTTCGGCGGGGTGTACTTCCCGAGGAACGGCTTCAAGATCTTCAGCAGCGCCCTCGACCCGCGCCCAGTCGGGAAGACGTACACGTTCCGCAGTCGTCCTCGAAAACCCTTCTTCACCGCGTTCTGTAGCACGCGTCCGATGGAGAAGAACGCGTGCAGCGGGACGTGATCGCACGAGGATAGGTCTAAGAAAATCGTGAACTTGCCCCCGTGCATCTCGCGGTCTCTCGCGTCCGCGCGTTCGCCCTCGAGGGTCGCCGGCACCGCCGCCGCCGCGGCGCTCGCCGCGTCGTCCATCTCGCCGCACACCGTCTCGAGTATCCACACGAACGTGTTCTCCACGGCCTTACCGACCCCGCGCTGGTACTGACGCATGTTCGTGTATATCACCGGCGAGCCGTCGACGTCGCACGCGGTCGGCCACATCGCGGGGGTGTGCAGTTCCAAGAACGTGAGTCTCTGCTCGTCGTTCGCGGCGGCGGCGGCGGCGGCGGCGTCGGCGTCGCGGTCACGTCTTCTCGCGTCCTTCGGGTTCAGAAGCCGCATCGTGTGCCGCTTCCGGAGCTCTCGGCGCACGCCCGGGGCGCGGCACAGGCTGCCGTCGTCGAGCCCGACGCGTTTCCTCCACGTCACGTACTCGCGAAGGAGCTTCATCGTCGCGTCGTAATCCCACGCGCGCGTCGCGGCGAACCGGCGCACGAGTCGCTTGTCCTCGCACTCGAGCGCCTCCGCGAGCGCGGCGACGACGTCCTCTCGCGCGTCGCTCTCGCGCGGCGGCGGCGCGGGGACGATCTCCGGCGCGACTTCTGGCTCCGCGCGCGCGTCCTGGGTCATCATCGCCCGGTCCGCGTCCGCGTTGAAGCACGGAGGCATCCTTCGAAGTGAGGACCTCCCCGGCCGCGCGTCGTGGCTTTCCCAGGTTTTTTTTTCCTCGAGCGAGCCAGAACGAGACTCGTGGCGAGATAATTCATCGGTCAGTTGAAAGAGGACGCGATCAAATTTTGAAACCGAGGAGTGGGTGGAAAACGTCAGCATAGAACCACCTGAGAATCCCGTGACCCGAGAGGGCTTCCGAGCCGTGAATGCGAGCCGCGCGCCGGCACCGCTTCGCGCCGTCTTCTGCGCGTCCCCCGTCACTCCACGGCGCGCCGTCCCCACCGCGCACCGCAAGCGAAATCGAGACTCGTTACGTCCTCCCAGCGACCGTAACGCCGAGATGCTTCGCCCGTCCTCGAGAACCGAGGCGCGCAAGAAGGGCTTCAAGAAGGCCACGGACGCGGATGAGGCGCGGCGGAAGCGCGAGGAGGGGATGATCCAGATCCGCAAGGACAAGCGCGAAGAAGCGATGCTGAAGAAGCGCAGGTTCGCGTCTCGATCTCCGCGCGGGGGCTCCCAGTTGTCGCGCGTGCGCGTCGACGCGCGTTCGGAAGCGACGCCGCGTCGCGTCGACGACGCGGTCGCGCGCGCGGTCGCGTCCGCGCGCGCGTGGTGCCCGGTTTTTTCGAAATCGCGCGCGCGCGGGTCTTTTACCCGCCCCGATCTTCCCGCCCCGATCGCGACGCGGGGACCCCCCGCGCGCGTCGCGACGCCCCCGCGCGACCCCACGACTGACGCATCTTTCCTTCTGCTCCCGCGCGCAGAGACGGCATGGGCGTGACCGCGGTGGGCGAAGACTCCTCCGCGACCACGTCCGTCGCGAGGGTGCGTTCGCGATCCACGTACCCCCGCCTCCTTTTTTTCGTCTTTCGCCCTCCGCGCTCGCTCGCGCTCAGATCGTCGCCCGTTCCCGTCCCCGCGCTGACGTTCTCCCCCGCGTCTTCTCGGAAAACAGCTCGAGATGCTCCCCACGATGTGTGAGGGCGTCAGGTCGCAAGACCCCGCCGCGCAGCTCGAGGCGACGACGCAGTTTCGGAAGCTCCTGTCCATCGAGCGCGCGCCCCCGATCGAGGAAGTCATTCGCGCGGGCGTCGTCCCGTACTTTGTCGAGTTTCTCAAGCGCGAGGAATTCCCGCAGCTGCAGTTCGAAGCCGCTTGGGCGCTGACGAACATCGCGTCCGGGACGTCGGAGAACACCGGCGTCGTCATCGACAGCGGCGCGGTGCCCATTTTCGTCGCGTTGCTGCGGTCGCCGTCGGATGACGTGCGCGAGCAAGCTGTGTGGGCGCTCGGGAACATCGCGGGCGACTCCCCGAAGTGCCGCGACATGGTCCTCTCCACGAACGCGCTCGGGCCGCTCTTGGAGCAGCTCAACGAGCACTCCAAGCTCACGATGCTGCGGAACGCGACGTGGACGCTGTCCAACTTTTGCCGCGGGAAGCCGCAGCCGCAGTTTGACCAGCTCCGCGACGCGCTCCCGGCGCTCGCGAGACTGGTGCACAGCAGCGACGAGGAAGTCCTCACGGACGCGTGCTGGGCGCTGTCGTACCTCTCCGACGGCACGAACGATAAGATCCAGGCCGTGATCGAGGCGGGCGTGTGCCGGAGGCTCGTCGAGCTCCTCGGCCGCCCGACGCCGAGCGTGTTGATCCCGGCGTTGAGGACGGTGGGGAACATCGTCACCGGCGACGACTACCAGACGCAGATCATCATCAACTGCCGCGCGCTGCCGAGCCTCCTCGCGCTCCTCACCACGGATCACAAGAAGTCGATCAAGAAGGAAGCGTGCTGGACCATCTCGAACATCACCGCGGGGAACAAGGACCAGATCCAGGCGATCATCGAGAGCAACATCATCCCGCCGCTCGTGTACTTGCTTCAGCACGCGGAGTTTGACATCAAAAAAGAAGCCGCATGGGCCATCTCGAACGCGACGTCGGGGGGGACGCACCAGCAGATCAAGTACCTCGTCGAACAAGGCGCGATCAAGCCGCTGTGCGACCTCATCGTGTGCTCGGACGCGCGCATCGTCACCGTCGCGCTCGAGGGTTTGGAGAACATCTTGAAGGTGGGCGAGGCGATGAAAACCGAGGGGAGCCCGAACCAGTTCGCGCAGTTCATCGACGAGGCGGACGGCCTGGAGAAGATCGAGAACTTGCAGAACCACAACAACAACGACATTTACGACAAGGCGATGAAGATCCTCGAGGAGTACTTCGGCCTCGAGGACGAGGAGGACCAGAACCTCGCGCCCGCGGCGGACGCGAACGCGGCGCAGTTTGCGTTTAACCCCCAGCCCGCCGCGCCGCAGGGCGGGTTTGACTTTTCCGGGATGCAGTGATTCTGCATCTCCCGGACGTATTGACTAACGGAACCTCCGCGGAGACGACGCGGGAGGGATAGCTGACTTAACACAACTAGCGGGGTCGTCGACGACATCGACGGCCCGACGACGTAGCCACTTAGAGCGAAAGCTACGAATTTTTCATGCAAATAATACGCGCACACGATGTACTATAAAACTACCTCCGCGTCCTCGACCGGTCCGCGACACACGGAGTACGACAGCGCGTCCGCCTGCGGCGTCCAATCTTTCTTCCAGACTTGATCGTACTCGAACGCGGCGTCGTACAACTTCGTGTCGTACCGCCCCGCGGCCGTGTCGACGTACGACAGAAAATCCGGCGCGCCCGGATACAGCACGTTGTCCGCGACGACGACCGTCCCCTTCCCGACGATCCCCGCGTCCTCGAAGCTCCGCAGATCCGGGAGGTAACACTCCTTGCAGTGATCGAAGAACACCATGTCCGCGACGTCGTCCTGACCGATGATTTTCTTCACGTCCGAGACGCGCTCCGCGCCCGCGCCTTGTAAGATGGTCACCACGTCGCCCACCCCCGCGTACGTCGTCAGCGCGCGCGCGACCGCGACGTGCCTCGGCTCGAACTCCACGCACGTGAGGGTTCCCCCAGGGGGCAGGTTCAGCGCGGTCCATATCGCGCTGTACCCCAAGAACGTCCCCACCTCCACCGCCTTCGACGGCGATCGGTCGCGAACGATGGTCGCGAGTATCCGTCCCTTCTCGTCCCCGAGCTTGTACATGGGATAGTACTCCCCGAAGACGTCCATCGCGGCGAGGACCGCGCGCGCGTCGCCCCTCGGCGCGGTCGCCTCCACGTACGGGATGATGTCCGACGGCTGCGCGTACGACCACTCCGCGTAGAACGACGGGTCTTTCACGAAGGTCGTCTTCGCGCGCGCGGACGGCGGCGTCTCGACGAGGACGCGAGAGGACAGCAGCGAGATGAGCGCCGCGCGTCGCGTCGGCGCCGCCGTCGCGTTCCCGTCGCGCGCCGCGGATTTCGACGTGTTTCTACGGACGCCATCGGCGCGGACGCGTCCCGCGCACGCGCTCCGCCCGCTCGTCGACGCCGCGTGCGACATCGCGCGCGATGAGAGTATGGAAACGCGAGAGAGATGCAGTGAGGGTCTAGCTAGGTATTTGGTTCCAACGAAGCCAACAGAAGCTCATCAGCTCTTCTGCGTCGCGCGAAGGTCGAGGCTGTACCGACTCTTCTTCCCCACCGGCGCGATCGCCTCGCTCGCGCTCGCGCCGTCCGCGCCGCCGCTTCGCTTCTTCTCCTTCGCCTTCACGAGCGCCTCGTACTCCGCTCGGAGCTTCGCCGCGGCGGCGTGCGCGAGCGTCGCCGCCTTCGCCACCGCCGCCTTCGTCGTCTTCGCCTTCTCTAGAACTTCCCTCTCCGCGTTCGTGAGCTCGGGCGCGACGGCCGCGGGCGCTGGCGCGTCGGCCGCGGCCGCCGCCGCGCGCTCCGGCGCGGCCGGCGGTTTCCCAGAGAGCTTCTCGCGTAATATCGCCTTCTCCTTCTCCAGCGCGAGAAGCTTTCGCTTCGTCGACTCCTTCTCCGCTTTGAGCTCCTCTAAACGCTCCGCCTGGGACCGTTCTAAATCCTCCCGCTGCTGCCTATCCTCCTCGCTCTCTCTCGGCGGCGAGGGCTCCGCGTCCGCCGCCGCCGCCGCCGCGCGCGCGCGTCCTCCGCGCGCGAAGTCCCTCGCCGCGTCCGCGTCCACGTCCGTGCAGTTCCGATGCCCCCACCGCGTGCACGACCGCGGGTTCCCCATGAAACTGTCGTTCGCGTCCAGCGCCGCCCTCGCCTCTCTCTGCGTCTCGAACTGCACGAACGCCCTCCCCGTGTTCGCGAACGCGCGGATTTCGACGACCCTCCCGTGCGTCTCGTAGTGCGCCCTGAGTTTCTCCTGGAAGTCGTCGACGTGACAGTCCGCGCCGGTGACGTAAATCGTCCGGATGTCCGCGTTCTTCGGTTCCGGGATGACGCGACGTCTGCGCTCGCCGCGGGCGCGTTCGAAGTCGTCGCGTTCCCGCGACGATCGCCGAGGCGCGCGCGCGCGGTCGTACCGCGCGCTCGGGCCCGCGCCGAAGCCGCCGTCGCGGCGGTCGCGGTCGCGGTCGCGGTCACGGTCGCGGTCGCGCGCGTCGTAGTCGTCGAGGTTTCCGTTCCCCGAGCGCATCTTCGCGACGAGCATCTCCGCTTTGCTTATGCGACGCATCGTGCCTTGATCGAGCCACGGCTCGGACGGGTTGTACTCCTCGTGCGCTATCGCACGCGGCGGCGGGCGCCCCGGGGGCGGTCTCGGCCCGGGAGGAAGCGGCGGGGGCGGCCCGCGCGGGAGCGGCGGCGGCGGCAGCGGCTGGATGCGCGACGCGGCGTCGCGGCGTCGCGGCGACGCGTCGCGCCGCGCCGCGCGCGGGGGCGTCGGCGACCGCCTGCGCCTGCGCCTGCGCCCGCGCCCGTCGTCGTCGTCGTCCTCGTCCTCGTCGCTGTCCTCGTCCTCGCGCAGCTTCGCCGCCATCGCCGCGGTGTCGCCCTGGAACTCGATCGCTTCGACGCCGTCGCCGTCGCCGTCGCCGTCGCGCGCGAGACCCCCCTCGACGTACGCGAACATCCGCTCCACGAACGCGTCCGTCTCGCCCTCGAGAAAGTCCCTCAGCTCTCTCTCGCACGTGAGCCTGAGCGCGCGCGTCGGCTCGTCCTTCTTCGCGACGAGCGCGAGGACGTACTTGGCGAGGACCGCGGGATCCGCGTCCGAGATCGGCTCCAGCTCGCGGAGCATCCAGTCCGTCAGGACGGCCTGGACCGCGGGGTCTTGCAGGTTCGCGCGCGATGGCATCGTATCGCGCGTGGGTCCGTCGCCGCGGCGCGTCGCCCCGCGCGCGTCCGGCGCCTCGCGCACTGGCCGCGACGCGCGCGCGCGGCGGCGGGAAACCAACGAAAAAGTCACGCTCTGCTCGCCCGATCTGATGAATCTAATCGTCGCGCGCCGCCACGACACACACCACTCCCGCGCGAGGGCACGGCGGCCATGCCTCTCGCCAGGAGAACGGACCTCGGGGACAGCAACTACGCCGGGCTCGAGGTCGACGTGTGCCACGACCTGCAGCGATGCTTGAAAGAGACGCTCGAGGGCGGGTTCGACTTCCTCGTCACGCCGCTCGCGCATCCGCGACATCGCCGCCCCGCGCCGAGCGCGCGAGACCCGTCCGCGCCGACCCCGGCGCCGTTCGCGAGGTCCGACCTCCTCCTCAACTCGACGCAGTGGAGCTCCCAGGTCGTCGGTAAGACGTCGCCGTGGATCGACGCGGACTCGGTCTCCGCGCCGATGCGACGCGACAGCGAGGCGGCGCTGAGACAGGAGCTGATGTGGGCGGCGCACCTATCGCTGCACGCGGTCCTCCTCCCGACGCCGTCGCTGAAGGCGGCGAACTACGCGCGGATCGTGAACCAGTTCCTCACCGCGCTGTCGTCCACCGCGCTGTGGGTCCGAATCCCGGTCGTGTCCGCGGAGGTGGAAGCGGCGGAGGCGAACGGCGGCGACGGCGCCGCCGAGGCGCTCGCGAAACAGATCGACCCGTGCACGCGGCGACGCGCGCACGACCCGTTCGAGCGGTGGGCGAACCTGAGAGCGATGTGCGAGGGGCACCCGCAGCTCAGCGCGTGTCTGGAAGTCGGCGCGTCGCTGCCGCCCGCGGCCGAGCTCCGAAGGTGGGTGGGCGAGCCCGTGAAAGCGGTGGTGCTCAACGCGGACGCGTTCATCACGAACAAACGCGGGTTCCCGGTGCTTCCGAAGCGTCATCAGGAGTTCATCACGACGATGCTCCAGAAGAACGTCCAGGTCGTGCTCAGATGGAGCGGCGACGGGGACAAGGCGGTGAGCTCGAGCCTGGCGGGCGGCGGGGACGAGATGGACGTCGGGGACCCGACGCCCGCGGAGGCGGCGGCGGGCGCGGCGGCGGCGGCGGCGGCGGCGACGCACCCGCTTCGCACGCACTGGGAGTACGTCGTCTACCTCTTTCGGAAGATCGACGCGGTGAGCGAGCAAGAGCTCGTGGAGTCCGGATACAGGGATTACCTCCAAGCGCCGCTGCAGCCGCTGATGGACAACCTCGAGTCCGCGACGTACGAGACGTTCGAGAAGGACGCGTCGAAGTACATCCAGTACGAAGAAGCCGTGCACGCGTGTCTCGTCGACCGCGTGCGCGACGCGGACGCCGCGGCGGGGAAGGTCACGGTGCTCATGGTCGTCGGCGCCGGTCGCGGGCCGCTCGTGAGGGCGTCCCTGCGCGCGTCCGACCGGTGCGGACGGAAAATGAAAGTGTACGCGGTGGAAAAGAACCCGAACGCGGTGATCACGTTGCAGTCGCTCGTGGAGAGCGAGGGGTGGGAGGATCGCGTCACGATCGTGGCGAGCGACATGCGGTCGTGGGACTTCGAGGAGAAAGCGGACGTCTTAGTCTCCGAGCTCTTGGGGAGCTTTGGGGATAACGAGCTGTCCCCGGAGTGCCTGGACGGCGCGCAGCGATTCCTGAAAGAAGGCGGGGTCTCGATCCCGCAGAGCTACACGTCGTACCTCGCGCCGATGACGTCGTCAAAGCTGTGGAACGACGCGAAAGCGTACGGCGACCTCGCGCACATGGAGACGCCGTACGTCGTGAAGTTGCATCGGTACTCCCTGATCGCTGACCCGGAGGAGGTGTTCACGTTCCATCACCCGAACGAGGACAAAGTCATCGACAACAACAGGTACGAAAAGTTGCTCTTCAAGCGCGCGCCGGACGCCGCGGCGGCGACGATGCACGGGTTCGCCGGGTATTTCGACGCGAAGCTGTACGAAGGCCCCGCGGGTAAGGTGCACTGCAGCATATACCCGCCCACGCACACGATGGGGCCGACGGGCGAGCCGATGTTTTCGTGGTTTCCAATTTATTTCCCGCTGCGGACGCCCGTGCACGTGCCCGCGGGGACGAACGTGGAAGCGCACTGCTGGCGGTGCGTCGGGCCGTCGAAGGTATGGTACGAGTGGGCGGTGACCGCGCCCGAGGTGGGGCCGGTGCACAACGTCAACGGGCGCTCGTATTGGGTCGGGTTGTGACGCGTCGAAGCGCGAAGCGGCGCCGCCGTCGTTTTAATATACGACCAGCTTACCGCCGTCGACTCCGAGAGTCACTCACTTGTGCGTCATCGCTTGCCGCAGCTGCGACGCTTTGTGCAACGCCGCGGCGCGCGTCTTCGCGTCCTCCGCGAGCGCGACGGACGCGTCCGCGTCCCTCAGCGCGTTCTCTAACTCGTCCCTCCCTCGCGCGAGATGCGACGCCGGCTCGAACGGGAGCTTGCCGTTTCCGCTGCGCCTCTCGCCCTTGCCGCTCGGCGGCGCGCGCGCTCTCCTCACCTCCGCGGCGGCGATCTTCGCCGCCCTCGCGTGGCACTTGCTACACAGCTTCAGCGCCGCATCCGGATATTTTCTGAGCGCCGCGTCCTTCCTCATGTCGTAGCACACGTCGCACGCGCGGAAACGAGGCAGCATCGACAGCGCTTCGCGCTCGTCCTCCTCCTTCGCGACCGCGGCGGCGACTTTCTCGAGCGCGTTCCCGCCGCTCGCGACCAGACGCCTCAGCATCTCTTCCTCGAGCGCGCGATCTTCCTTCATTCGTCGCAGAAGCGCTTCTTTCTTTCGTAACCTGCGCGCGGGGACGGGTGGGGACGGTCAGGGACGGCGAACGCGATCTACAAGTATTCGATTCGGTGCCGTTTTCTCCGCGACGACGCGATGTTGCAACGTACCTCTCCCTCGCGGCTTCCATATCCGCCTTTGCTTTCCTTCCCGCTTCCACTCGAAGCGCGCGCATCTTCAGCGCGCGCGCCTCCGCGGTGTGCCCGAGGGGCGGGTTCCGCGTCTGATACATCCTCTCGCGGCGCCGTGCGAGGGACAATGACGACGCGCGGCGCGTTGACTCTGCTCGAACGGTTGGAAAATCTCGGAGTTCCCGAGATGGAATCTTCGTCTCTTGAAAGCTACGAATAATGCGCCAACCTGGCAGCACTCGACGCCGCGCAAACGCATCTCACGCGCACGATGCCGTCGTCGTCCACGAGCTTGCTCGGATTCGTCGCCCTCACGCTCGTCGCGTCCGCGTCCGCGGCGCGCCCGGGCTCGACGACCGCGATCCTCGAGCCCGCGACTGGGCTCGCGGGGAAAGAATTCGCGTCGACGACGGAATCGACCACGACGCCGACGATCCAAACGACCGCGCGCCTCCCCGCCTCCCTCGGCGGCGTCTCCGCGCTCGGCCTGAGCCCGACGTGCTCGCAGTCGTACGACACGCTGAACCAGAACAGAGCGTACACGGACGCGGCGAACGACGTGTACCAGGTCACGCGCGAGGTCGGACAGGAAGCCGGGGGCGAGTGCGAGAGTAAGATGCAACCGAGCGCGAACCCGCTCGGGGGTTGGTGCCACGTCGACGCTATGAAGTACTGGACGCAAGACGAGACGAAGATGGCGGTCTTGCCTCCGATGCGCAGAGCCGCGGACGCGGCGCTCCCCGAGGACGAGAGAGGCACGGTGATTTGGTTAGACGAGGACTTCATCACGAAGTCGCCGACGTCGTGGCTTCCTATGCTGGGCAGCGAATTCATCTTGAAAGGGATCATGCCCATCTACATCCCGGGGCCGTGCGTCAACGAGGCCGACGTGAACGGCGTGCTCGGGTACTACGGCGCGGGGTGCAAGACCGAGGAGAACTTCGCGTCGTGCAAGTTCACGAGGCACGGCGCGGACGAGTGAGAACGAGCGACGTTTCGATTTGATCCGGGATACAGGACCCGCTGTGTAAATACGCAAAACGCAATGATAACCAACACGCCGCACCCCTCGACGTGAAATAGTCGTCTCTGGGGTGCCAACACGCAGCCGCTGTCTCGCGCGAACGGGGTATCACATGATCACGCAGCAGTTCGTGGAGGCGCCGTCCTTCTCTTGCTCCGCGGCTTGCTTCTCCGACGCGTCCACCTCTTCCTTGCTCGGCGTCGCCTTCTTGTCCATGGGCGGCGACGGCACGAGCGGGGAGGTGTCTTTTTCCTCGAGGGTGACCTCGTTCGTCGCCGCGGGGGTGGACGCCTCCGCCGCGGGCGCGGCTTCCGTCTTCGGCGGGGACGCCGGCGCGTCGGGCTCCGGCACGGGCGCCGCGTCGACGACGACCGGGGGCTCGTATTTCTGTTCCTCATCAGCCTTCACCTCGGGCGTCTCCTTCGGCGGGGACGGCGCCGCCGTGGCGTCGCCGTCGCCGTCGCCGTCGCTCGATCCCCCGGCGTCGGCGGCGAGGAGCGGCTGCTTCGTCGGCGTCTCCTCCGGCGCGTCCGCCGCGGGGACGGGGATCGGTTTCGGGATTTCCTTTTGCGCGATGGATCCGCTCCTGGACGTGTTCCCGCCGCCGCCGCCGCCTCGGCCTCCTTTTCTGCCGCCGCCGCCGCCGCCGCGGCCGCCTCCGCGTCCTTTCTTCTTGCCTCCCATCGCGTCCGAGGGGTGTTCGTCAGACGCGCGTGCGTCCCGGCGCGCGCGATTGTTGTTCCCTCGGAAACGGCACCTCCAACGGCAAGAATATTTCCACGCCACGCGGCCGCGGCCCGGCGTCTCGGAAACGCCGACGCGGCCCAGGCCTCACTCCTCTCGCGCGCACCACGCTCCCGCGACACGCCGAGCGTCGTTGCATGCCCGCCGCGGGAATCGCGCACACACCGTCGATACACGCACGCTTCGCGAGGACTCCCGTCGTCGCGTCCCCCCGCGCGCGCGTCGTCGCTCGACCGCCCCGCGCCTCGTCTGCGCGGCCATCTCCGGGTCGGTCCCGTCGTTGCATGCAGCATCGCGCGTCCGCGCCTAGAACGTCGCAGAGACGCGCGAGCACGCGACCCGCCGCCGCGAGAAAGATGTGGGCGAACGGGGCCGGGGAGGACGAGGAACAGAGGGACGCGCTGTACGCGCGCCCCGGTTCGACCGGCGCGGACCAGGGGTGGGGCGCTGGGCGCGGAAACCCTCGAGGCCCGTTCGTCAACGCGTGCGCGGTGCTCACCGCGCTCGGGGCGTTCACGATGTTCGTCGTCATCGCGTGGGCGATATCGTCCACGACCGGGAGTTTCGGGGAGCAGATCGCGTGGCTGGTGTCGAACCCTTGGGGGGTCGTCTCCCTCGTCGACTTGTACGTCGGCTTTTCGGTGTTCTCTCTGTGGATTTGGTTCCGCGAGAGAAACGCGTTCGCGGCCGCGGCCTGGACGCTCGCGATGATGACGACCGGATGGCTCGGCGGAAGCGCGTACGTGTTCAACTGCTTGCGACAGTTCAACGGAGACTGGCAGTGGTTCTTCATGGGAAACAGGCGCGCGTGATCTGATTGTCGTCGTCGTTTTACTCTGCTCCTTCGTTGAAAAAAACGCCGCGAGTGAGCCGCGCCTATTTGTTGATCGGCGCCTGCGACCGACCTTCGAACCCGGGGCGGTTCCTCTTCTTCTCCCTCTTGTCCATGCGCTTCTCCACCTTGGCGTTCGCGCGCGACTTGAGGCTGTCCTTCCGTTTCTTCTGCCTCGCCGCCATCGCCTCGGTCGTCCTCTCGTGCCGCTCCTCCCACTTCTGTCGCGACTTCTTCTTCATCCGCTGTTCGTTCTTCACGCTCTTGTGAAGGAGCTTCGGGTCGTCGAGCACCTTCTCGCCGCCCGCGCGCGCGAGCGCGGCGTCCCACGCGTACCTCTCCGCCACCTTCTTCCCCGCGCCGGTCTCCTCCCCGCCCGCGGCCTTGATCTCCGCGCGTTGGTCTAGCGCTCTCTTGAGCAGCGTCTCTTTGCTCGCGCGTTTCCTTTTGTTGACGCCGCCGCCGCCGCCGATCGCGTCGTCCACCTCCACGCGACCGAACTGGAAGTCCTCGCCGTCCTCGCCGTCGGACCCCGCGCGACCGGCGTCGTCCTTACCCGCCGCGGCTTTCGACTTCTTGGCGGCGTTGACTTTCCCGTCCAGCGCGCTCGCGACCGCGTTCGTCGCGCGTTCCTTCCGCTTCTTCTCCTGCTTGTTCTTCTTCTTCGTCTCTCTCCACTCGCGCGCCTGCGCGATCTTCTCCTGGGACTCCTCCGCCTTCCTCGCGACCCGGCTCGCTTCGATCTTCGCTTTCAAGCGTTCTCTGAGTTCCTCGAGCCGGTCGCCGCCGGTCTCGCCCAAGGACCACCCCGAGGCCGTGGGCGGCGCGCCGGCGGGCGTCGCGGGGGCGTCGCGGTCGGCGTCATCCGCGGCGCCGTCGCGGGCGCCGTCGCCGCCGCGCTTCCCTTTGCCTTTCCCGTTTCCTTTCCCTTTCCCCTCGGGCTCGGACTCGGACTCGGACGCATCGGACCCGGACCCGGACTCCTCGTCCTCGTCGTCCTCGTCCTCGTCCTCGTCCGCGCCGTCGTCGTCGTCGTCGTCGTCGTCGTCGTCGTCGGAATCGCCCGCCGACTTTTTCCCATCCCCGCCGCGCTCCTTCGCCGCGATCTTCTCGAGCGTGCTCTGCGCGTTCCCCGGCGCGAGTTTCGCGCGAAGCGCCTTCTTCGAGTTCTCCTTCGCCTCCTGCTTCGCCGCCGCCTTCGCGGACTTGGTCTTGTTGAACTTGCTCCACTCCGGGTTCTGCTCGTCGGGGACGTAGTACTTGGCCGGGATCAGCTCCACGAGACGGTCGAAAAAGTCCGAGTGCTGATGCACGCGATCCTCCAGCGCGGCGGTCGCCATCTCGCCGCGGCCTTCGGAGCGCGCGGACGAGAGGGGCGTCGCGACGCGATCGCGGTCCGAACGCCGCCGCGATCGCGATGCGCGCGTCGTCTTGTGCGTCCGCGACCGCTACCGCGAGCGAAGGAGACGACTCGGCCGCCGCCGGAAAAAGCGATTCCCAGCCGCCGCGCGGTCGGCCGGCGCGGGCTCGCTCGCCACTGCACTGCTCGGCTCGGTCTGGTGTCGACGTTATCGGGCGCGATCGAGGCGGGCGCGGCAGACGCACGCGCGCGCTGTCGTCGTCGGCACGCGCGAACACGCCCGCGATGACCTCCCTCGCGTCATCGCGACCCGCGGTCGCCGCTCGCGTCGTCGTCCGCGCTCCCGCGCGCCGCGCGACGCGCGCGCCGAGCCGCGTCGCCGCGCGCGCGATCGCGGAGAGCGGCGGTGACGGAGGCGAAGATATCGTCCTCCCCGCGGTGAAGGCCGCGGACTCGGAGATCCCCGCCCCGGTCGGGACCGCGGGGAAGGACGAGTTCATGCGGTGGCTGACGAACTCCCAGCGTCTGCCCGCGCAGAAGCTCGACCTCGTCGTGGACCTCCCCGAGGGCAGGGGCCTCGTCGCGCGCGAGGACGTCAAGCGCGGGGAGCCGCTCCTGGAGATTCCAGACGCGTCGCTCATCACGGTCGAGCGCGCGGTGAAAGAGTCCAAGCTCGGCCCGAAACACGCCGAGCTCCAGGAGTGGAGCCTCCTCGCCGCGTTCCTCGCGGAGCAGGCGCTCGACATCGAGAACGGGGACGAGAGCGGCGTCTTCGCCGCGTACGTCAAGGCGCTCCCGCGACGCACGGGCGGCGTCTTAGATTGGCCAGAGGAGGACGTGAAGACCTTGCTCGCGGGGTCGCCGTCGCAGCGCGCGGCGTACGAGCGGCAGGCGTCCGTGGACGGCGCTATCGAGGAGATCCGCGCGGAGTTTCCCCAGCTCACCCCCGGGGCGCTGCGATGGGCGTTCGACGTCCTCTTCTCGCGTCTGATTCGACTCCCGAACCGCGGCGGCGAGCTCGCGCTCGTGCCGTGGGCGGACATGCTGAACCACAAGCCCGGGTGCAACGCGTACATCGACGACAGCGGCGGTAAGGTGTGCTTACAGCCGGACCGCGCGTACAAGCCCGGGGAGCAGGTGTTCGCGTCGTACGGCCAGCGCCCGAGCGCGGAGCTCTTGATATCCTACGGGTTCGCCCCCGAGGTCGGGGAGAACCCGGACGACGAGTACGAGATCACCTTGGGGATCGACCCGAACGACCGATACGCGGACGCGAAAGCCGCCGCGCTGGAGAAGATCGGGCTCAGACCCGTGGAGAGCTTCCCGCTGCGTTTGAACGGGTACCCGAAGCAGCTGCTGCAGTACGCGTCGTTCGCGTTGTGCGACCCGGACGACCCGAAAGAGCTCGAGGGGCTCGCGGAGAAGGCGCTCAAAGGGAACGCGGTCGTCGGCGGACTCCTCGGCGCGATCACGAAAGGGAAGCGCGGGACGCAGGGAGAAGTGTTGGGCGGGACTCAAGGGGAGATCGCGGTGCGGGAGCTCTTGGCGGACATGACGTCGGAGGCGTTGCGGCGGTATCCGAACGCGTTGGAGAAGGACAAGGACATCGCCGCGCAGGACCCGTCGAAGCCGGCGAAGAGCGGGAAGAAGAAAGGGTTCGTCGCGGAGGTGATCAAGGAAGACGCGGGCGCGGACGGCGCCTTCCCGAACGCGGACGCGTGGGTCGGCGTGTTCCCAGAGCCGGTGCGGCAGACGCAACGGTCCGTCGCCGCCGCGCGCGTGCGCGTCAGCGAGCGGCGGATCCTCGCCAAGACGGACTCGGAAGTCCGGCTCCAGCTCCGGAAGTTGAAAGCGTCGCTGATGACGACCAAGGTGTAGACGAGCGAGCCGCGCGTCGTTAGGATACATCCCTATTTTTTCAAGTGAGAATCGATTACAATGGTTTGATTCCGCACCCAACCCCCCCCCGCTGTGTGTCCAGCTCCTCGCGTCGCTCAAGCGGACTCGGCGACGGGGAACTCAAAGGTGACCTCCTTCCCGGTCATTTTCTTGTACACCCCAGCGAACGTGTCCAGCTTGTACTCCGTGGTGTTGCGATCCTTCGGATCGAGGTACACCTTAAGAAGCCTGGACCCATCCAGCCTGTACCGCTGACGCTTGCCGACGATCTCCGTGGGGTACACGAGATCCTCCAACAGGTTCGCGTGGACCGCGGTCAGCGTGCGGCTGCGAGGGCGCGCGCGAGCGAAGCCAGACGACGGGACGGGGTTGATGCGGCGGTTCGCCACGAGCACCACGTCCTTGCCGCTGAACTTCTTCTCGAGTTCACGCACGAGCCTCTGCTGGATCTTGTGGAACGCCTTGAGAAGGCGGAAGGGAACCTGGATGACGATCGCGGTGCGGCCGCCCGCGACGTCAACCTCCTGCGCGCCGTTGATGTACAGGTCCCGAAGGTCCGTCTTGAGCTCGTTGTTCGTAGCCTCAAGGTCGAACAGGGCCTGGGTGGAGAGAGGGCGACGGCGGGGCGGGAAGAAAGATGATGGTGTCAGCGACGACGTCCGAGACGTGCGATGCGTGGTTTTTCGGCGGCCAAGACGCGCGCGGGCGCGACGCGCGCGGCGCGGCGACGCGCTCCCGACCGCGGCTCCGGCGCGATCGAACGCGCCGCGAGGTTGCTGACACCCCGACGACGTCGTGCACGCCGTCGCCGCGGCGTCGCGCGACGCGCGCGCGCTCGCCGCCGGGCGCTCCCCGATGGCCGTCCTTCGCTAGAAACAAACCCTAAATCGATCCCTAAAAATCGCGAACCGGACCGATCGCACACGGGGTCTAGACACACACCTGCGCGACGACCTCCTCGAAGGGGGCGAGCGTAGCGCCTTCCTCCTTCACAATCTGCGAAGGGCGGGGAACGGGGGTGGGGATAGGCGGTCAGGACGTCGTCCTCGAGGCGAGGGCAGGAGCCGGGGAAAAAAACATATGAAACATCCGTCTCGATGCCGAGACGGAAGCCGCCCGGAAAGCGCGGCTCGCGTCGTCGCGACGACGACGACGCGCGCGGCGCGGGGACGAGGTCACGCATCTCACCTTCTTGCGAGCGGTGAACGCCATCTTTGCAACTTCTAAAGCTGCGGTGCCGTTGTAAGAGACCGAGCGCTGGAGATGGCCGCGCGCTTTGTTTCGCGAAAAGTTGTTCAGGAGCGGGGCGAAGTTTGAGCGCGCGGATACCGATGAAAAACATACTTTAGGGTCGACTCGATCGCTCTCAGGTTCAAACTTTCATTTTCAGGCTTTAGCTAATACTGGTTGATGAGACGCGCGCACGAGTCCCCGGTGGCGCTTCTCTCTCTCATCACGCGAACGACGGCATCGGCTTGTACTTGATCCGCGTCGGCTCGTTCCCGCCCATCCTCTCCTTCCTGTGCGCCTCGTACTCGTCGTACGACCCTTGGAAGAACGTCACGACGCTGTCGCCCTCGTACGCGAGAATGTGCGTCGCGATCTTGTTGAGGAACCACCGGTCGTGCGAGATGACGAGCGCGACGCCGTTCCACGACAGCAGCGCCTCCTCGAGCGCGCGGAGGGTCGTGACGTCGAGGTCGTTCGTGGGCTCGTCGAGCATCAACACGTTCCCGCCCGCGGTGAGCGTCTTCGCGAGCTGCAGACGGTTCCGCTCCCCGCCGGATAAGTCGCCCACCTTCTTCTGCTGGTCCGAAGACTTGAAGTTGTACCACGAGCAGTACGCCCTCGAGTTCACCGTGCGCGTGCCCAAAGAAACCTCCTCCGCGCCGCCGGTGAGCTCCTCGAACACGGACTTGCCGTTATCGAGCGAATCTCGAGACTGGTCCACGTACATCAGCTTCACGGTTTCGCCTACGACGACGTTTCCGGCGTCCGGCTCGTCCACGCCGGTGATCATCTTAAACAACGTCGTCTTCCCCGCGCCGTTCGCGCCCACGATGCCGACGACCGCGCCGGGGGGGATCATGCAATCCAGACCGTCGATGAGGAGCCCTCTGCCTTCGTACCCCTTGGAGACGTTCTCGACGTTGATCACGGTGCCGCCCAAGCGAGGCGCCGCGGGAATCGTGATCGAGTCGAGGTCCGCGCGCGCGGAGAACTTGCTCGCTTCCTCGCACAGGTCTTCGTACCTTCGCAGGCGCGCCTTGCCCTTCTTCTGCTGCCCCTTGGCGTTCGAACGCACCCAATCGAGCTCCTGGTTGATCGTCCTCGCGAGCGAGTCTTGCTTCTTCCCCTCTTGCTCCAGGCGCTTCGACTTGCTGTCCAGCCACGACGAGTAGTTCCCTTCGAACGGGATCCCCTCGCCGCGGTCGAGCTCTAGGATCCACCCGGCGACGTTATCGAGGAAGTACCGGTCGTGCGTGATGGCGACGACGGTGCCGGGGAACGTCGCGAGGAACTGCTCGAGCCACGCGACGGACTGCGCGTCGAGGTGGTTCGTCGGCTCGTCCAAGAGGAGAATGTCCGGCTGCGCGAGAAGGAGGCGGCAGATCGCGACGCGTCGTCGCTCGCCCCCGGATAAGTTCGCAACCTTAGCGTCCCCTGGAGGGCATCGCAGCGCGTCCATCGCGCGCTCGACGGTGCGGTCGATCTCCCACGCGTTGGACGCGTCCAGTTTCGTCTGCAACGCGTCCATGCGCGCGAGGAGCTTGTCCATGTCGCAGTCCGGGTCCGCCATGTCCAGGGAGACTTGGTTGTACTCGTCGATGTCCGCCTTCACCGCGGCGACGCCGACTTCGATGTTTTCCATGACGGTCTCGCCGTCGTCGAGCGGGGGCTCCTGGGGGAGATACCCTACCTTGATCCCGTCGTCGAGGTGCAGCGTCCCGTCGAAATCTTTGTCCACGCCGGCGAGGATCTTCATGAGCGTGGACTTACCCGCGCCGTTCGCGCCGAGAATGCCGATCTTCGCGCCGAGGTACATCCCGAGGTTGATGTTCTTGATGAGCTCCTTCCCGTTCGGGGTGACCTTGCGGACCTTCCCGAGGGACAGGATGATTTTTCGCGTTTCCGTCTGATACGCGCTGCCTTCCGAGACCTTCCCGGGGGACTTGTGTCCTTGGTTCCCGCCGGTCTTCGCGCCGCCGCCGCCGCCGCCGCCGCCGCCGCCGCCGCCGCCTGTTTTCGCGCCGCCGCTCTTGCGCTTATCTTTCTTGCCAGCCCTGATGACGAGGTCGCCGCGGGCCTTGTTCGTCGGGGTTCGCTTCGGGGTCAATCGAGTCGCGCCCGTGATAAAGCGCCCATTCGCACCCAAGACCGTCGCCGCCGCGCAAGCCATGACTACTGGTGTCGCGCGCGGGATGAGGTGAGTCGCGCGAGTGTGACTACGCGCGTGTAGGACGCTCGTTCGTTCGCGAGAGCGATGCGCGTGTCGAGCGTCGAGCGCGTCGCGATATGGTGTCGTGCAATTCGCACCCAAACCCTCAAACCCGAACACGCACACGTCGCTTCACGAAACGTTTTTCTGAGAGTCTTCTTGCAGACCGGAGCGAAGCTCCCGTCTAAGACACCAGCTGTACTAACCGTACCGCTATCAGTTCGCGCGCGCCGTTCGCGCGTCGCACTCGCTAAGCTACGTCTATCTTCTCGTCGCGCGCGTCACAGCAGCGACCCTCCACCCCCTCCGCCCCCGCTCGGGACGTTCGCGGACACGGACAGCCCGCTGAACAAGTCGTCGTCGTCGACGTCCCAGCCGTCCCCGGCGCCGCCTCCGAGCGTCGGCGGAGGCACGTACCCGGGCTCCGTGAACAGCGACGCGAGGTCGTCGTTCGCGGCGGGAGGCGGCGGCGGTGGGAACGCGCCGCCGCCGCCGTGTCCGCCGATCGCAGAACCCGCGCCGCCGAAACCGAAACTTCCGCCCACGGGGTTCGCGCTCGCCGGCGGCGGACGCAGCGGCGCGATCGGCGCGACGACGGGCGTCGGCGGCGCTCGCGTCGCGGGCGTCGGCGTCGGTGCCGACGTCGCCAGCGATGTCGACGCCGCGAACGGATCCACGGCGCCGCCGCTCGAGCCCGCAGAGGTCTGTGACGGCGCCGCAGAGGGCGCGGAGGGCGTCCTCGCCGCCTCCGCGGGCGCGTCTCTGAGCGTCGGCATCCGTCCGCGCTCGACGCGGTCGATCATCGACCGCATGATTTTCGTCACGACCGCGAGCTGCTTCTTGTTCAGCCCCGGCGCGAGCATGAGCGGCGAGAGCAGCGGGATGATCCTCGACGCCGTGAGGACGTCCCCGGCCGCGGCGGATACGCGATCCGCGACGCCGGCGACGCACATCAACGTCGCCGCCGTCGCGTCCACCTTCAACAGCCGATGCAACGTCGACAGCGTGGAGTCCCACTCGGGAGGGCCCAAGCCCTCGCACACTTTCCCGACGGTCACGAGCGCGTTCACGCGCACCGCCGCCGCGGTCGTGTTCAGCGCCGTCGCCTGGAGCTTCGGAAGGATGTCCTTCTTTACCGCCGCGGGGGTGACCTTGGCGCACGCCGCCGCGGTTTGCTTCAGCGCCTCCTCTTGCACCCTGATCTCGACGTCGTCCATCCCTCTGACGACCGCGCCCATGACCGTCCGCTCGAACGTCTCGCGCGTCGTGACGAGACCCGCGAGCGTCGGCACCGCGCGGAGGATCGCGAGCAGCGCGTCCCCGGACGCCTCCACGAGCACGGGCGATAACGCCGGGAGCGTCGAAGCGGTGAAATCCTCGGGGCTCTGACGCGCGCTCAGCGTCAGGATCAACGGCAGGACCATGGACTGGAGCTGCTGCGTCCGGAGCTCCACGAGTAAGGGCGGGAGGACGCGGTGACGAAGGACGCGCTCGTCGAACATCGCGAACTGTCCTTGCAGCTGCTGAAGGAACCCCGCTCGCGCCAAGACGTCGAGTTCGATGAACTTATCCAGCGACCGCAGAGCTTTCATCCGCGGGTCCACGGTAAAGTACGCCGCGTTCGCGAGCGCGGACGCCGCGGGGCGCGTCTTCGGCGCCTCCGCGGTCATGTATTGCACGACGAGCGCCGCGGCTTGCGCGTCCTCGCCCTTCAGCGCTGGGCCTTTCCCCGCGCGGTTGAACGCGTTTCTGTACTCGGACACGGACTCGGACGCGTCGGCGACGCCCAACCACCGCGTCCCGCCGGTGACGAGCTCGTAGTGGATCGCGCCCAGGGAAAATATGTCCACCGCGGGCGTCGCGCACCCGGGATTCATGCCACTGCCTTCTTTCCCGAGAACGAGCTCTGGGGCGACGTACGCCATTCTCGGCGTCGTCGGGAGCGGCTCCCCGGGGTGTCTCCCCGAACTCGAATACGACGACGACGACGACGAGCCGTACCCGCCCGACCGTCCCGAACCCGACCCCCCGGTGGAATATCCCCCCGGCCAGTAAAACATGTCGTCGCGGTTCGCCACGACGTGCACGCTCACGGCGTGCCCGAACCCGCCGGATATCTTCCAGTTCCCCTCCGACGTGATCACCGCGTTCTCCGGCGACAGCGCGCGGTGAATCAGACCAAAGTCCGCGTGAAGAAACGTCAACGCGTCCGCGAGCTGCAGCGTCCCGTGCTTGATCTCGGTCGTGGATAACGTCAAGTCCGTCAGCGTTTTCGGCGGCGATCGTGTCTTTCCTCGTAAGTTCGCGCCCTTGGCGATGACGTCCGTCAAGGACCCGAGGACGCGCTCGGTCACGAGCGCGAGCGCGTGCTTCGCTTCTTCGAACTTGACGACTTTGATCACGCCGGGGTGAAGCATCTTGATCATCGTCGCCGCGTCCTTCCGCACGAGCTCTAAGAGTTCCTCGACGTCCTCCTTCGCGTGCGCGAGCGGCCCTTCCAGTAGGGATTTCTTGTCCAAGATCCACACGCTGACCTTCGCGCCCGGGGCGTCGAGCGCGATCGTCTTCGTCGGTTTTTTAAGGTCGCCGTGTTGGATGGAGAACAAACACCCGGGGCCGCCGCTCGCGACGACGGGGCCGAGGTCGTACTCCTTCAAGCACTTCAGCGTCGTGACGCCGCTCGCGGTCGCTTTCGCGCTCTCGAGCGCGCCCGCGAGCTTCTGTTTGATCCCCGCGTCCTCCATCGCCTTCTTCGCTTTCTGCATGAGCGACGACATCGCCGCCCGCACAGGAAGCGAGGGCGGCGGAGAGCGCGACGGTACTCCGTTCGCTCCGCCGCGCGCGCGGCGCGACGCGGAGTCGAATTGAGAGACGCCGTCGCCGCCGCCGCCGCTGAAGCGAAGGCGAAGGCGAACGCCGACGCCGCGGTTGGTGCGGTCGCTGACTGGCTCAGCACCACCGCGGAAAAGTTTTCGTTCGACCGCACGAGACGACTGCGACGATCTGAGACAACGATCCGGACGACACATCGCGGCGCCGCCGCACGTCGCCGCCGCACGTCCAAAATGGTCAGCACGAGATCGGCGCAGAAAGCGGAGGATGACTCCCTCCACGTCGCCGCGCCGTTCGCGCACCTCGCGCTCGCGCTGCTCACCGTCGCCCCGCTGTTCACGGCTGTCAACACGAATCTGAACGTCCTCCTGACCGCGTCGCTCGCCGTGTACGCGGGCGCTCACCGATCCGTGCGCCCGGCCGCGTCCGGGCTCACGGAGGCGATGTCGAAGCAGGACGCGATGCGGTTCCCCATCGTCGGCAGCTGCGTCCTCCTCGGTTTTTTCATCCTGTTCAAGTACCTCCCCGCGGATCTGATCAACAAGCTCATGACCGGGTACTTTCTCTTGCTCGGCGTCGCCGCGCTCACGGGCGCGCTCGCGCCGGTTCTTGGCCTGTGCATGCCGCGCGCGCTCGCGGTGAAGAGACTGAACTTCGGGACGATACCGACGATCAAGTTCATCACGGACGAGCCCACGCGGTTGTCGCTCACCGTCGCGGAGCTCGTCGCCGGCGTCGTCAGCGTCGCGTTTTCGCTGTGGTACGTGATGAAGAAGCACTGGATCGCGAACAACGCGTTGGGGCTCGCGTTCTCGCTCACGGGGATCGAGTTTCTCACCCTGGAGAGCGTCCAGATCGGGACGATTCTGCTCGTCGGTCTGTTCTTCTACGACATCTTCTGGGTGTTCTGCACGCCCGTCATGGTCAGCGTCGCGAAATCGTTCGACGCGCCGATTAAACTGCTCTTCCCGAAGGGTTTCGTCGTCGACGCGAAGCAGCAATTCAGCATGTTAGGTCTCGGGGACATCGTCATCCCGGGGATATACGTCGCGCTGATTTTGCGGATGGACATCGCGCTGAGAGCGGCCGCGAAGAAAGCGAGGCGGCCCAAACCGAGGTCGTACTTTCCCGCGGTGGCGTTCGGCTACGTCGCCGGCCTCGGGACCACGATTCTCGTGATGAACGTCTTCAACGCCGCGCAGCCGGCGTTGCTTTACATCGTCCCGGGGATCCTCGGCGGGACGTTCACGCGGGCGCTGTTCGCGGGTGGATTGAAAGAGCTCGGCGAGGTGTGGAGGTACGGCGACGAAGAGGACGAAGAGGGCGAGTCAACGAAGTCGAAGTGACGAGCGCGTCGACGCGAGTTGAAATGAAACATTTTTTGTCGAAATCGTCCGTCTCTCTTCTATATGAAGCTATGCTAGTAGACTATGAGTGACGACATCGACCTCGCGCGTCAGCGGATCAACCGCTGCTCGCGTGCGAGTGCTTAGACATAGACCCTTGCCGCGCGAGCTTATTCACGGGCATGGTCTTCATTTTCTCCCTCATCTCGTACCTCGCGAGGAACCCCCTCACCGCGGCTTGGACGTACATCGCCGCGTAGTAGTGCGCGGCGGTGTACTGCGGCACCTTTCCGCTTCGTAACGTCGGCAGCTGTTTCTGTATCTTATTCGTGACCTTCACCTCCGCGTGTGCGGGAAGCTCCGTGCCCGCGATCCTCCCCGCGAGCGCGTGGAGCGTCTCGAGGAAGTGGATCTTCCCGTCGTGGTTCGGAATGTCCACGGACATGATGATCTTCTGGGTCTCCTGCTTCGCGACGTTTGGCGGGACGCCTTGGCATCCCAAAGGCGGCTCTATCGTCTGCACAATCTGCTCCAAATTTGCCGCCCTGGTGTAGTACGTCGCGTGCGGATCGAGCTTCACCCACGCTCGCGTGAACGAATACATGTGCTCCTTGCTCACCGGGTTCTCCTCGTCTTCGTTGTTCGACGCGAAGTTGTCCAAAATCACCGCGATGACGAGGTTCAAGAGGACAAACGCGCAGAGGAGGATGAAGACGCTAAAGTAAAACACGGTGCCGACGTAGGATGGCGTGCATCGGTCCGTCCAGTTGTCCTCGTCCGCGCTCTTGTACGTGCTGTCGTCGTAATCCAAGTACGAGATCACACCCGTGGAAGGGTCTTTGTACATGATGCACTTGTCCGTGATCATGCAGTCGTGCATGATGCCGTTCCACGCCTCGCCCGTGGACATCCGGAACAACGTGAGCACCGCGGTCGGGAAGTCCTCAAATTTGGCGTACCGCGAGAGCTCGCCGTCGGTCGGGACTATCTTCCCGAACAAATTCATCCCCATGACGGCGAAGATGAAAAAGAACAAGGCCAAGACGCTTCCGACGTTGACGAGCGCAGGCATGGAATACAGCAGAGTCTGGAACAACGTCCGGAGGGATTTTGCCTTGGGGATGAGGCGGAAAATACGCGCGACGCGGAAGATCCGTATCATGCTCACGTACGCCGCGTCTTGGCCCGCGAAGAGCGTGATCACGACCCCGCCAATGCTGATGACGACGACGAAAAAGTCAAACCTGTTCCAATTGTCGCTGAAGTATTCCTTCGGGTTGTACGCGTAAATCTTCGCGGTCGCTTCGAGTAGGAACATCACCGCGAACGCACAGTTGATGTAGAACAACGTCGATACCCACGTATCGTTCATCCCGTCGTGCGCCAACGCCATGACGACGATGTTCTGCATGATGCTGACCATGACTATCACCTCGAACTTGTCTGAAACCACGAAGTCGTACACACTCGCCCTTCCTTTGCTGTGACTCGGCCTCCGAGGGACGCGATCGGGTTTGCACGCGACGAGGAGCTTCTGGATCGCGACCCACTTCTTTTGGCTCTCAGTGAGTAATATGCTGCCCTTGAAGCCCTCTTGTTTTTCTTTCATCTCGTTGAACTTATCGATAGTGACGCCGACGAACAAGTTCATCACGAAGAACGATCCGACGATGATGAAGACCACGAAGAACAAAGCCAAGTACGGGCTCGCGTCCCTCACCGGCTGATGGTCAAGCGACGTCGTGTCCACGCCGTGGTACATGATGAACAGCCAGTTCTCTAACGTCGCGGTTTCGAACAGCGCCAGGATCGAGTTCCCGATGTGATCAAAGTTGTAATCCCTCGGGTTCGTCCACAGCGTCGTGTAGGCCGTCGGCGAACACACGGACGTGATAGTATACGGACTCCCTAGGGTCGTAAACTCCGTCGTCGAGCCGTACTTGGCGATCGTCGCAGACCCGGGGGTGCACGTGTACTCTTTGCCGTACGTGCCCCCGGACGAGCCGGCGACGACCGAGGAGGTGAACGTCGTCCCTGAGGTCGACGTTACGCACGTCCACGCGTCGCCGGACGCGACCGGAAGGTCGAGGACGCCGGTGACGGGATTTCGTTTCGAGTACAGCGGGTCCGTAGACTTTGGGCAGTAGTAAAAGTGCGAGCCCGAGTCCACCTGACACCACGTCTTCGTCATCGCGCTGTCGTCTAAACCGACGGATTCGGGAACGAGTCGCGTGGCCGTGTCTGTTTCGTCGCTGCAGTAATACATCTTCCCCATGAAGATGTTCAGACCCATGATGCCGAAGATGAGGTAGAACAACATACACACGAGCGCGACGTTCCCGATGCCCGGGATCGCCTGGAACAACGCGTTCACGACAACTTTCACGCCTTGCGCTCGCGATGCCATGCGTATCGGTCGCAGCGCGCGGAACGTACGCAACGCTCGGAGCGACGACGCGTTCATGGAATCGTCCCCGACCACCGCGAGGATGCCGACGACGACGACCAACGCATCCAAAATGTTCCACGGAGACCGCAAATATGAACCCTTGTGCGCGATGAAACCGTCAACCATCACCTTCATGATGAGCTCCAGGGTAAATATCGCCGTGAACGTGAGGTCCGCGTAGTACAGCATCGACTTCATCTGCTCTTCGGAGTCGCTCAGCTCGGTGTCGTACAGCGGCGCGTCTTTGCTCATCTTCGGGCCGTCGATCGCGAGCGCGATGGACGAGCACGCGATGATGAAGATAATCGCGTACTCAAAATACGGGTGATACACAAACTGCGCGAGCTTCTTCCTGAATGCATTACGCGGGCCAAAAATGTACAACGACGTGTGCTCCAAACCCTCGACGTACTTCCCGTGCACAAAAGCGTGCGGTTCGAGGATCTGCGAGGATTTTGGTTTCCCCCCGTCGTCGTCGTCGTCATCGTCGTCGTCATCATTATTTTCCGCTTCCTCCGCGAAGTTGTCGAGAAGAATCGCGAGGAAGAGGTTCAAAATGATGTAGTTCCCCAAGACGACGATGCCGATGAAGTACACCGACGCCCAAGCGCTCACCTGACGCATGCCGTCGTACATCACCTCGTTCCAGTTCTCCCCCGTGAGCATTTGGAAAATGGTGATGAAACTCCAATAGATGTTGTCGAAGTTGTGCCGCGAGTAGTCGCTTCTTCCGACAAACGCGAGGTATTCCACGGATACGTCGTTGTACTTTCGATCCTCCATGTCCCACTTCTGTCCGCTGTACGATTTGCACATCCCACCCACGGTGGTGCTGCCACTGTCCGTCGTGAACGCGACGACGGAGTTCACCTGCGCGAGCGCGCACGGCGCGTAACAATCGAAGTGGTCCGGGCAATCGCCCTTCAACCCGGCGGGGCACTGCGGCACCGCGATCGACAAATCGTACTTGTCGCAGTTCACGAACTCGTACCCGTACACTTGCATCCCGAGGAGCGCAAATATGAACATGAACAGCATCAGGATCAACGACAGGAATGAGATGCTCGCGATGGAGTTAAACATCGTCGTGATGATCACGTTGAGTGCCTTCCAGCTCCGCGCGAGCTTGAAGATCCGCAGCAACCGAAACGTTCGCAGCACGGTGAGGTACCCGTCTGGGTCGTTCCCGCTCGCGAGACTGATCACGATCTCGATCGTTGACACGAAGACGACGAACGCGTCGAACACGTTCATGCGATCCGCGACGTACCGCCTCCACCCGAAACCGGTCAGCTTGATCAGCATCTCGATCACGAAATACCCGTACAACGTGTAGTTGATCCAGTCGTTGACAGTCGACATCGTCGACGGCATCCCGTTGTGCTCGCTCGCCATCACCACCGTGTTCACGCAAATCAGCGCGATCGTAAGCTGCTCGAACCGTGGACTGATCGATATCGCGTAGCACGCGCGAACGATCCTGTTCCCGCTCTTGATTGGCACGAACTCGTCGTACTCCACGGCGTCGCCCTTCTTGTCCTTATCCTTGTCCGGGTGCAGCGACTCGATGTCCGCCTCGGACGTGAACTGCACGTACAACACCGCGAGCGCGAGGTTGACCGCGAAGAACGACCCGATGATGATCAAAGAGACGAAGTAAACCCACGCCCACCGCGACACCGCGTCCATGACCCTGTACATGATCGTCGTCCACCCCTCCATGGAGATGCTCTGAAAGATCGTCAACCACGCCCATCCGATGTGGTTAAACGTCGTCAGCCCAAAATTCGGCAAGTTATCCTTGTTTGTCTCCTCGATGCAGTACGAACCCGCGTCGCACGACGTCCCCGTGTTGCTGTCGCCGTGGTTCGGGTACTCCGAAGCCCTCGGCCCCGCGCACAATTCATCCGTCGCGGTGATGTCCCACGTCGGCGACGCCGGCAGCGAACACGACGCCGCGCAGTTCGTGTACCCCGCGGATTCTAATGTCCCACACGCGCTGCACCCGCTGTTTGGGTTCGACAGCGTCGCGCACTTCTGATCCATCTTGCCCATGAACAGCTGCACGCCGACGACGCCGTAGATGAAGAACAGAAAAAACACGAGTACGAAGACGTCGAACAACTTCGGCAGGGCGCCGAGTAACGTCCCGACGATGACCCGCATCCCTTTCACGTTGGTGATCGTCCGCAGCGGCCGCAACACCCTCGCGCTTCTGATCGCGCTGAAGTTATCCACGAAGGGCAAGTACGCGAGGAGACCGAGCAACACGACGCAAAAATCCATTCGGTTCCAGTTATCCGCCAAGTACGCGCCGGGGTGGCCGACGAACCCGAGGGCGATTATTTTTAAGCACATCTCCAACGCGAACAGCGCGGTGAATAAATATTCCGAGTAACCCACCACCTGACCGGTCGCTGTCTTTTCGAACCCGGGCTCTTTCGTGTCCATCGCGAGCAAGACGCAGTTGGCGAGGATGAGGAACAGGATGAAGCGCCCAAAGTGCATCGACCGCACGGTGTATATCAACCCTTTACGTATCGGGTTGTCCAAGCTGAAGACGAACAACGACCTCTTCGGGAGCGTCGATTTGATCTCCGCCCACGACATGTGGCCCTCCCCCTTTTTCTTCTTGACGTCTTTCTCGCCCTTTCCCATCCTGCGAATTGAGCGCGGAATCGAATCGTTTGTTGGGCACGTTTGTTAGTTAGCCGAGGGTGTTCGCGTGCCGCGCGAGCGCGTTCACGGGGTTCGAGCGCGGGTTCGACGGCCGCGATCGCGGTTTCCGCTGCAAAGGATGTTCTCGACCGCGTCTAGACGCGCGCGCGCGCGCTGGGAACGTCGCCGATCGATCGAGCGGCCGTCCCCGTCCGCGCTGATGAGCGATAAATTTCCACGTCCGACGCTGCGAGCCAAAAAGGGAGCCGCGGATGGACGGATGGATGACGCCGCGAGACGCGGCGCGTCCGCACGCGACCGGCGATGACGTGAACGGAGCGCGGGGACGTTTCGTTCACGACCACACGATGCGATTCACGTCGTGCGTTCGACGTTCGAGCGCGCGGCGGACGCACGCGAGCGCGAATCCGCGCGCGCACGAGGCCGCGAAGCTGTTCAACAAATCGATTCGCAACGCGCGCACCTGTCGATGCCTCTCGCGCCGGTTTCGCCTCACCGCGTCGCTCTCGACGTGCGGACGCCCCCGCGAAGTCGATGGACGTCTACCTTCAGCACCGACGCGCGCGAGAAAGGAGTCTGACACGCGTACGCTCGCGCGTGCCCGCGAGACGACGCGCGCCGTCACCCACCTACGGGCGCGGGTGATTGTTGACGAGGAGCTCGAGGACGACGCGCGACTCACCGAAACTTTTCGCAGTCTTTTCTCTGCCAGCTGGTGCACTCTAGAACTACGAGCAGATGGACGCGCGCGCGTTCGACAACAATCTATGATCTAATCCCTCTTCGGCGGCGCGCGCGTGTACGCCATCGCCGCCGCCTCCGTCGCGTTCCTCGGGACGTACCCCGACGACCCGCCCTTGTTCGGCACCGCCTGAGGAAGCGCGGCGAGAAGCGCGGCGAACTTCGCCTTGACGAAGTCGCTCGCCGCGCCGACGTGCCGCGCGGCGACGTCCCCCACCGAGCTCCTCGTCTCCTCTATCCTTCGGTCGATCTCGCCCTCGTGCTTCGCGAGGAACGGGGACACGAACGTCTCGTAGATGTAGATCGCCCCTTGCGTCCGAGGGTGCCACAAGTACGTCACGAACGCGACCTTCGCCTCGCAGTACATCGGGAGCCAAAACACGAACCGGTCGCAGATCTGGACGAGCACGGTGTACACCGCGAGGACGAGCCAGTACACGCACCAGCTCCTGAGCGCCTCGGGCTTTCTCCGGTGCTTCTCCAGGGCCTGCGTGCGAAGTGAAGAAACACGCGAGGTCAGCGCGCGTCGCGTCGCGGGCGGCGGGACGCGAGGGCGAGGGCGAGCGGGATGGCGCGACGTTTCGAGGGGTCCGACGAGGTGAACGCGGCGAGAGAAGGCAACGTTTGTTTCGCCCCGGGCGCGGGGATCTCGTCGCGCGCACCTTGAAGCACAGGTACACGGGGTAGACGTACCCCAGCACCGCGACGAGCAGCGCGGTGAGGTACTCGCCGAGCATGGCTCGCGGTGCGTGCGCGCGCGCGGACCTGCCTCGCGCGCGAGCGATACTGGACGACGCGACGCGCGGCCGAACGAGTTTTTACAGCGCGAAAGGAAAACACGGCGCCGCGTCCAGTCAGACCTTCCCTTCCGCGACTCTTCGGAAGAGTTCCGTTGACGAGACGTCGATCGCCACCAGTAGCGCGCGCGCGAAACGCCGCGTCGAGGAGCGTGCTTCGAGCAGGAAGGCGCGTCCACCCTTCCCGAAGACATGCCGACGCGACCGCCCCCCCGGGGCGTCGCCGCGCCCGGCCGGCTCAACATCCCCGGCCGCGCGGCGCCCGGGTCCCCCGCGGGATATTCTCCGCACGCGTCCCCGGGACGCGTCGACCCGCGAGGCGGGATGCCCGTGGGCGCGCCCCCCGGGGCGTCCCAGCCTCGATCCGCGCCCGGAAGCGCGCCAGGGTCGCCGATGGTGCATCCTCACGGCGGACAGCCGCGCGCGGGCGGCGGCGAGGCCGCGATAGGCGGCTCCTCCGCGGTCAAGGTCGTCGTCCGCGTCCGCCCGCTGAACCAAAACGAGTTGGCACGCGGGGAGCAAAACTCCGTGGAGGTGACCGAAGATCAGCGCGCGCTCAGGGTGCATTACCCGGACTCGAACGGCCACTTTCAAATGCGCGAGTTCGCGTTCAACGCGTGCTTGGCCACGGACGCGACCCAAGCGGACGTGATGACCAAGTGCGGCGTCCCGAGGCTCCTCGACAGCGCGTTGAAGGGGTACAGCAGCACGATCTTCGCGTACGGGCAAACCGGCTCCGGGAAGACGTTCTCGATGTCCGGCAGAGAGGAAGTCATCAGCGAGAGGGAGTACCGCGGCGCGTCGCCGGACACGGACGGGATCATCTCGCGATCGCTCGCGCACATATACCAGACGATAAACCGGATCCCGGGCGTGACGCACGTCGTGAAGTGCGACTACCTCGAGATTTACAACGAACAAATCTACGACCTCCTCGCGGGGAACGACGTGCAGCTGCACGAGCGATGGGAGCCGCAGCGGGGCTTTCACGTCCCGGGACTCCAGACGATCGAGTGTGAGCGTCTGGACGACGCGCGGGAGATCATCAGGCAAGGGATGCTGAACCGCGCGGTCGGGTCGCACGAGCTCAACAAAGACTCGTCGCGGTCGCACTCGATTTTCACCGTGCACATCGAGTCGATCGCGGAAGTCGGCGGGCAGGAACTGGTGAAGCACGGGAAGATCGCGTTCGTGGATCTCGCCGGTTCCGAGCGCCTGAAAGACAGCAAGTCCGAGGGCGGGATGGTGAAAGAGACCGCGAACATCAACCGGTCGCTGTTCATGCTCGGGAAAGTGATCGCGACGCTCGCGGAGGGCAAAGCCGGGACCACGCACGTGCCGTACCGAGACTCGAAACTCACGAAACTACTGATGGACTCGCTCGGCGGGAGCAGCCTCGCGCTCATGGTCGCGTGCTGCTCGCCGTCGCCGCTTCACGTGGAGGAGACGATGAGCACGCTGCACTACGCGACGCGCGCGAGGAACATCATAAACCGACCCACCGTCGCGCAGGACCCGCAACAGCAGTTGATCAGCCGACTCAAGGACGAGTGCGAGACGCTTCGCAAGGAGAACGGATACTTGCGTCAACAGCTCGGGCTGCCCGCGAATCAACCTTCCGGGATCCCGGGGATGTCCGCGCACGCGGGAAGGCCGGTGAACCCCGAGGACCCGGGGTCGCCGCTCGCGTCGATTTCGCGCCCGCCCGGACGCGGGGGGTCGCTGATGATGGAGGACGGGAGCATACCGAGAAGCCCCTCGAAGGGCGGCCCGCCGGCGTCTATGGGCGGCACCACGCGGAGGGCACAGAGCAGGGAGGCGAGCAGGGAGAAGGCGAAGGAGAACGACAAGAGCCGCGGCCTCGGCGACTTCGACCCGTGGAAGGAAAACGTGAACCTTGGAAAAGGCTCACCTAATCGCGGCGGCTTACCGCGCCTGGACTCGCAGCGGTCGATCTCGTCGTCGCACAGCACGTACCGGGAGGAGATTGGCGACCTCGGGGACGGAAACATGCCCATCGACGGCGAGTTCGCGGGGATGACAAAGTACGACTTGGTGTCGCGCATTCACGTCGCGGAGGAGCTCGTGGAGAATTACGAGGAAGAGAACTCGCGTCTGTTGGAAGAGAACGACTCCGTACGCGGCTCGAAGCAACTCCTGGAGATGGATTACCAGGCCGTCCTCGAAGAGAACGAGAAGCTCGCGTCGCGATTAGAAGCGCTGGAGTACTCGTTCTTGGATAAAAAAGACGGCACCGCGGGCGCGTTCGGGTTGACGCAGGACAAGATGTCGAAGATGGCGTTGTCGTCCACGTTCGGAACGAAAGGGAACGCGAAGCGGAGCTTGGCGATGGGGAGCAAGCCGAGCAAGCCGAGCACCCGGGACGGCGGGAACGGTCCTCCGAAGCCGGGAAGCCGGGAAGGCCTCGGACAACCTAGACAACCTAGCAGGCCGACGAGCGTCGTCGACAACGGCGAGTGGAGGAAATAGCTGATGAGAGGGTGAGTTGTTTTGTCCGTCTCGTTAAAAAGTTGAATCAAACGGCTCCTCGGCTCCCCGATAACCCGGACACGGACGGCAGCGTCCTCGAGAACGACGCGTCCGCGATCGCCACGTCGATCCGCTCCAGCGCGACCTCGACTCTCGCCTTCACCCCCGGGTCGTCGCACTCCACGTCCCTCGTCGCGTACTTCACCTCCGCGTTCACGTTGTCGATTCGCATCTTCAGCGTTTGCGTCTCCTCGTTCACGTCCGGCTCGCCAAACTGCACGCCCATCATCGCGGCGACGATGCGCAACCTCGCCGCCGCGGCGCCGGTCTTATCCCTCGCCGCAATCGCGGCCTTATGCATCTCCTCCGCTTCCACGAGCCCTTTCGGTTCGTCCTCGAGCTGCAAAATCACGGACAGAACCGCGTCCGCGATCATGTCCGTGAGGGGCTCGCAGTACCATTCGATGAGCGCGTGCTCCACCCCGCGGTCGCCTTCTGGGCGCTTCATGATCGTGAGCGCGCCCCCGTTCACGGACAGACCCTCCGGCTCGGCATCGACCGGGGCGGTGGATTCCTCGCCCATCTCTTGCTTCACGATCTCCTCCTCCGCGGGCTCTTCTTTCTTCGCGACCGCCTTCTTCTTCGGCGCGGCTTTCTTCTTCGCGGGTGCCTTTTTCTTTCCTTTCGTCGTCTCCTCCTCTTCCTCGCCTGTCTCGCCCTCGGCTTCCTCCTTCACCTCCTCCTTCGCCTCGTCCTCCCCATCAGAGCTCTCCTCGCCTTCGTCCTTCCGTCTCTGTTTGATCTCCGCCGCCGTGAGCGTCGTCACCGTGTGGATCCCCTCGAACAGAGCCTCGAGCGCGAAGCGAATGTTCGTCAGCGGCACCGTCGTCGGGACCATCTGTCTCTGTTTCAACGCCGCCGTTCGAAGCTTCGTGTAGTTCGGGAGGTCCTCCGGCGCGAGGAGCATCAGGCCGAAATCTTTCTTCACGAGAAGCCCGCGGACGCGATCGCCCATCTTCGGAGGGTTCTCCGCGAGCTTGCCCATGACTTTCACGATCTTGCTCCCGCTGTATTTGATCTCCACGGATTGGCAGTTTTTTGGGGAGTACACGGACATCGTCTTCCCGTCCGCGGCGGCTTTGCCCTCGAGCGCGCGCTTGAGCTTCCCCATCTCCCCGGTTTCGCCGTGCACGAGGACGACGTGCGGGGGCGCGAGCGCGTCTAAGAACTGCTGCGTTTGCGGGTAATCCGCGTGCGCGCTGAAGGAGATGGCGTCCACGGACATCTTCAGAGGAATCTCCCCGCCGTTCCTCGAAGTGATCGACTTGCAGTCGCTGAGAATCTCCCGCGCGAGCGTGCCCTGCACCGCAAAGTCCGCGATGATGACCCCGTTGTTGGCGTCGCCGCACCACATCTCGAACAGCTCTCGGGACAGACCGGACTGTAACATCGACGGCGTCGCGAGGACGACACACGGGCCGACGTCGTCCAAGCCCCCCGCGTGCGAGAGGTGTTGCACGTGGTTGAACACGAACGGGTTCGCCTCCTCGAACGCGGCTTTCATGTCGCTGTTCAAGACGTTGATGTACGTCTGATACACCGTCATCGCGCGTCGCGCGAGCGCGGAGGCTTGGTAGATGGGCACGTTCGCCAACTCCGGGTGTTTCTTCCAGTGGTCCTCCAAGATGAGCAGGAGCTCTTGCGCGCGTCCCAACGCGACGACGGGGAGAAGGACCTTCCCGCCGCGGTTCAGGATCTGATACACGCGGTCGGTGAATCGCTTCTCGCGCTCCTCCCTCGGCGTGTGCGGAGAGACGCCGTACGTGCTCTCGGAGATGACGACGTGCGGCGGCACGGACGGGAGGTCCGCGCCTGGGAGGTGGCGGTCCGGCGTGCGGCTGTAGTCGCCCGTGTACAGCACTCGCAAGCCGTCGATGTCGACGAAGAACATGCACGCGCCGAGGACGTGGCCGGCGCGGTACGGCGTCACCTTCATGCCGTCGATGACGATCTGCGCGAGGGAACGGCGAGCGAGCGCGGTGAGTCGTCGGTCGATCGGGCGTCGTTCGGGCGGGGCGAATCGAAAATCGACGAAGACGAGCGAGCGGAGCGCGCGCGCCGCGGCGTACCTCTTGGTGAAAGTCCACGACCTCGATCATGGCGATCGCGGCCTTCAGGTCCTGCTCCGTGAACAGCGCCTCGGAGTCGTTGTTCTTTTGAAGCTTCACGAAGTCGGTCATGAGCATGTTGAAGATCGCCTTCGTCGGGTGCGTCATCAAGATCCGCCCCTTAAAGTTCGTGTGCCCGACGAGGAACGGCACCGCCGCGCAGTGGTCGAGGTGGAAGTGCGTCACGAGCAGCGCGTCCACGGTGGAGAGGTCCACCTCGTCGAAGTACGGCAGCGACGCGATCCCGGCGTACCCGGGGTGGACGCCGCAGTCGAACATCACGGACTTGCCCTTGTACGTCGCCATCACGCACGAGCGTCCGACCTCGGATCCCGCGCCGAGCGGGGTGATTCGAAGCATGTCGTCGCTCTCGGGGTCGTCGCCGACCATTTCGATGGAGCGTTTCATTCCCGCGGACACTTGGATCGGAGCCGCCATGATGCGTTGGTGGCGCGCCGATCGTTCTGGAGCGCGAATTCGTTCACGTCGCGGCGATCTGGCGCGCGAAAAGAAAAGAAAAAGTGCTGAACCCTCGCCGTCTCGGAGACCACTCCGACACGCTCCGACGCGCGCGAGAGGCGCGCGCGATGACGACGACCTCGCCTACTCCGCCCGACAGCGCGCACGCGTGGGGCGCATCCGCCACCGCGATGGAATTCACCAGCCGAAGAGCCCCCGCGCTCGGGACGCGGGGCATGGTCGCGTCGTCGCAAACCTTGGCCACGGAAGCCGGGATGCGGATCCTGCGACGCGGAGGAAACGCCGCGGACGCCGCGGTCGCGGTCGCCGCGGCGCTCAACGTGTGCGAGCCGACGTCCACGGGGATCGGCGGCGACGCGTTCGCGCTCGTGTACGACGCGAAGACGAAGAAAGTCAGCGCGGTCCAAGGCGGCGGCGCGTCCCCGGCCGCGCTGACGCTCGCGCTGTGCCGGGACAGAGGGCACCTCGGCACCGAGATCGTCCCGTCCACGGACGCGCTCGCGGTCATGGTCCCCGGCGCTCCCGCGGTGTGGGAGGACGTCATCCAGCGGCACGGCAGCGGCGCCATCACGCTCGCGGACGCGCTCGAGCCCGCGATCGAGCTCGCGGAGACGGGCCCGCCGATCGGCCCGGTCACCGCCGAGCTGTGGCGACGCCAGGAGGATCTCCTCCGCGCCCAGGGCGCGACGTGCATGCTCACGAAGGACGGCGTCGCCCCGCGCGCGGGGGAGAGGATGCCGAACCCGGAGCTCGCGAACACGTTCCGCGCGCTCGGCTCGAAGGGCGCGATGGACGGGTTCTACGCCGGGCCCATCGCGGACGCCATCGTGGACGCCGTCGCGTCCCGCGGCGGCGTGCTGACGGTGGAGGATTTGAAGAGGCACCGAACGTCGTTCCCGGACGCGATCGCGACGACGTACAGGGGCGACGTCACGGTGTGGGAGATCCCGCCGCCGAACCACGGCCTCGCGGCGCTGCTCGCGCTGAACCTCCTCGAGGCGACGCTGCCGGACGCGTCGAAGGGGGAGGAGGGCGCGGAAGGAGGGGTCGCGCGGCAACACGCGATGATCGACGCGATGCGCGTCGCGTTCGCCGACACGTTAGAGCACTGCGGCGACCCGACGCACGCGGACGCGGCGCGCGCGAAGCTGTCGTGCGATAAGCTCGTTTCGAAGGCGTACGCGACCGCGCGCGCGAAGCACGCGGGGTTATCCCCGGAGAAGGCGGCGGAGGGCCCGGAGCCCGGTCATCCCGGCGTGATCGGACTGCGGCCTTCTCCGGACACGGTGTACTTTTGCGTCGCGGACGGCGAAGGGAACGCGGTGTCGTTCATCAACAGCAACTACGACGGCTTCGGGACGGGGATAGCCCCGGCCGGGTGCGGGTTCACGCTTCAGAACCGCGGGCACAACTTCATATTACAGGAGGGACACGTGAACTGCGTCGGACCGAACAAGCGTCCGTATCACACGATCATCCCCGGGATGGCGACGCGAACCTCGGACGGCTCTCTGTACGCCGCGTTCGGGGTCATGGGCGGGTTCATGCAGCCGCAAGGACACCTACAGGTCGTCTCGCACATGGTCGACCTCGGGATGGACCCTCAGGCGGCGCTGGACCACCCGCGGTGGTGCTTGGGAGGCGTCGGAAGCGAACGCGGCGCCGCGAGCGTGTTGGGCGCGACCGTCGCCGTCGAGGGCGAGACCGAGGGCGGGTCCTCGCGCTGGCGCGAGACGACGGAAGCGCTTCGGGGGAAAGGGCACCCGATCGAGGTCATCACCGGGCTCGATCGGACGATGTTCGGACGCGGGCAGATCATCGCGAGAGACGAGCGCGGGACGCTGTGGGGCGGCAGCGATCCGCGCGGGGACGGGTGCGCGCTCGGGTTTTAACGTACTGTATTCTTATGGTAACGTAACGTCCCGCGGGTGCTCTCGCGAGCCCCCATCCTTTCCTTCCTTCCTCACAACTCGCGCGCGAGGTCCCGCAGCGCCTCAACTTTCAACCGCTCCTTCGTGCGGTTCATCATCACGACGACGAGCCTCTGCGCGGTTTCCGTGTCCGGCGCCTCTTCCATCTTCTTCCGCAGCCGCTCGTCCTGGAGCGACATCACGGGGAGGACCTCGTCGAGATACTGCGCGAACAGCAGCTTGTTCACCCCAGTCCCGTCCTCCTTGTCGAATTCCTCCTGCATCATGAGCTTCACCCTTCCGATGCCGACGGGCACGTCCCCCGCTTCCATCGCCTCCAAGTCCTCCGCGGAGAACACGTCCATGAGCGTCGAGCCAAACTCCAGCGCGGCTTTCGCGCCCGGGACCGCCATCTCTTTGAACTTCCTGAGCAGGACGGCGTGCACGCTCGCGAGGAGGGCGATGATGTCCGCGTCTTGCCCCGCGGCTTCGTTCTGCTCGACGACGACGCGCGCGGCGTCGACGACGCCTTTCGTGAGGAGACCGTTCTTCGCGATGAGGTCGACCTTCTCCTTCACCTCCTCGCCGGTGTCGCTGTCGAGGAGCTCGACGACGAGGGCGTAGTCCTCGGGCGACACCGCCTCCGGGTCCACGTCGGGCTCGAGCGACTTCAAGTCGTCCGCGTCCGCGTCCGCGCGAACGCACACGCGCCGGCGCGCGCGACGGTCTCCGAGACCGATCGTGGACGTCTTCACGTTATCTGCGCGCGCGGTCGCGACGCGCGCGCGGGCGAGGCGGCCCCTGAGCGCCGGCCGCGCGGCGACGCACGCGGCGGCGTGCGACGCCGACGTGCGCGGGACTGCGGTCGACATCGAGGACATGCCTCGGCGTGGCGTGGTGCGAGGCGAGTGCCAGCGGCGGGCGCGATCGTCCGCCAGTTGTCACTTCTGGCGGTCGGGGACGCGACTTCACGTCGCGTTCGTCGAGCAGTGCTCACTCTGCTACCTACACGGCGCCTAGCTAGGCTATCACGCATCCGGACGCGCTCTCGTCCTCTTTCACCTTATCCTTCTCGTAGTTATCCTCGTACGACTTCTTCTTCGCGGCCATCGTCTCCTCGTGCTCCATCCTTTCCCTCTCCGCGTCGTTCTTCCCCTCCCCCGCGAGCTTGAACCCTTGCTTCCGGAGTTTCTTCAGCCGCGCTTGCGTGTGCGCGAAATCCTCCGTGAGGTCGTCGACCATCTTCGCCTGAAGCTCGACCTCGTCTGCGATCTTGAAGCTCGTGCTCTTGAGCTTCCCGACGAGCCCGTCGAGCTTGTCCATCGCCTCGTCCTGCGCCTCGATCTGCATCCGCTGCGTCTCGAGGAGCTCCTCCGCGGATGTCGCCTCGGTGACGTCTGGAACCGCCGCCGCCGCCGTCGACGCGTCGCCGACGCGTCGTCCGTCGGACGCGAGCGCGCTCGAGGCGCTCGAACCCCCGGGTCCCGCGCCGCCGCCGCCCATCGCCGCGTTCGCCCCGGACGCGTCGCCGCCGTCGCTGAAACCCGCGCGAAAGCGCTTCGCTTCGTCCTTGAAGCCTTCGATCAGCTTTCGTCGCGTCCCGGTCTCGCCGGTTGGCGAATCCGGCGCGCCGTCCCCGAGCAGCGTCTCGAGCTCGCTCACGATGCTCTCGAACCGCGTCAGCTTCCTGCGCTGATGCGCGTTAAACTTGACGCGCTCCGCGTCGGTGTGGTTCGCCGCCTCGGGGCCGGCGCCGGCGCTGCGGGAGGAGGAGGAGGAGACGAGGACGGGGTGTTCAGAATCGAATCGAGCACGCGGGAGGGGGCGTTCGCGCGACCGCGCGATCGGCTCGGGTTCCGCGCGAGCTCGAACGAAGCGGATTCAGAGACGCACCGCAGCTCGTTGAGGACTTGCTTCGCGTCTCGCACGCGCGCGGTCCACACCTCCGCGCCCATCTCTCCCCGCGACGACGCCCCGGGGCGTCCGTCACGCGCGGAGGGTTCTGCCTTTCGGTCGCGAGCTCGGTAGCATACGCCAAAGTTTCGATACCAAGCACCACAATTTTTGGACGCGGAAAGGCCACGGAAAGAACATCAGATTCCACGGCTGGATTCCCGGAGCCGTGCTGTGATTGGTCCGATTCTTGCCCGCCGCGTACTTTTTGGCCCTTTCCGCGACGAGGCGACCGCGCGCGCGTTCACTCGTCTTCGAGCCCGACGCGCGGCGCGAACGCACGCGATCGAACGCCTCGGCCACCTCCGCGTGGTACGAATCGCTCGGACCCGCGCGCGCGCTCTCGCGGAGGCGCCGTTCGCGGCTCGATTCGACCGCGGGGAAAGAGATTTGCCATTCGAGGCTGAGTGGAGTGCTTGGAATTGCGCACGCGGGAAGCTAGAGATGGGGGACGACCGACCCCCATCCACGCGCGAGCGGCGGTCGAAACGGTGCGCGTCGTCGCGAATATAGATCATCACGATTGTGATCATCCCCCGCCCGCGGCGCGGGGCGTTCGCTCTCTCGCGCTCCCGCGCCGCGCCGCCGCGTTGTTCTTTTTCTTTTTACGTCCTTTTTTCTGACCGCGAACGGACCCCCCCTTAACGCAGGCTACGGAGCTCCACGGCGACCACCGAAAGCGCAGAAGTCGAGCTCGCCGCCGCCGGACGCGGAAGCGTACGCCGCGGCGCAGAATGAGATTCAGATGATGCGCGAAAACGAGGCGAAGATGCAACGGAGCCTGAAGGTTCTCCAGACGCATCTCTCGGAGGAACGCGCGAGGGTAGCGGAGCTCCACGCGAGGCTCATCGGACGGTCGCGCAGTCAGCAAGACCTCGCCGCGGACGCGGAAGCGGCCATCGCGCTCGGCTGCCCCGGATTCTCGAAGAAAGGCGAGATAGTGAAGAAACCCGCGTACGAATTTCCGACGCCGCGCGTTCCCATCGGCACCGTCGCCGGGAAGTGCCCGTTCGACCACGGCGCGGCGGCGGCGGCGGCGAAAGACGAATTCCACCGCTTGAGCGATGATTTAGACGTGATGCGAGATCGATCCGGCGAGATGGAGAACGCCGCCGCGACTCCCGCGCCGGACGCGGAGGAGCAGCCGAAGCGGGACCAAACGAAGAGCCCGGCGAAGCCGACGAGCGACGGGTTCGACGCCACGAGGCTTCGGTACGCGGAGATCGACAGGCAGCGGTCCGACAAGGTGTCGCAGCTGGTGTCGAAGCTGTACAGCATTCGCGAGGAGCCGCCGATGGCGCTCGCGGCGCTGAAGGAGCTCGCGATGGACTCGCTGCAGGAAGGGGTGACGATCGCGGACTTTTCCCTGCCGGATCAGCCGCTGATTTACGCGAACCACGGGTTCGAGCTCATCACCGGGTACAGCATCGAGGAGACGATCGGACACAACTGCCGTTTCCTTCAGGGTCCGGACACGGAGCCAGAGAAGCTCAAGATCATTCGCAAGAGCATCAACGCCGGGCAGCCGTGCGTCGTCGAGCTGCAAAACTACCGCAAGAACGGGGAGCGGTTTGTGAACTCGCTGTCGCTCACGCCAATTCGCACGGCGGAAGGGAAGGTGACGCACTACGTCGGGATTCAATCCGACGTCACTGAGCTCGCGACCGTTCGAACCGCGGAGCTGGACGCGCTCAAGAAAGCGACGATCGCAGAGGCGGCCTCGGACGCGAAGTCCAAGTTTCTCGCGCACATGTCGCATGAGATTCGCACGCCGCTCAACGGGCTCATCGCCGTCGGGCAACTGTTAGAGAGCACTAACCTCAGCAGGATGCAGAGGGATTACGTCAGCACGATGCGAAGCTCTGGGGAGACGTTACAGGCGCTCATCTCCGACATTTTGGATTTTTCACGCGTCGAGGCGGACAAGCTCACGCTGAGGCGCGAACCGTTCCACCCGCAGGCGGTGATCGCGACGGTCATGAAAATCGTCGGGCTGCACTCGTCGAGGCTCAAACTGAACATCGGCTATCACGTGGAGGATGGCGTCCCAGAAGTCGTCATGGGAGACGCGATGCGCGTGCAACAGGTGCTTTTGAACACGGTGAACAACGCGATCAAGTTTACGGCGAAGGGCGATATCATGTTGCGTTTACGAATCGGTCGCCCGGGCGAGGCGACCACAGCAGCGAAGAAGGCGACCGAGGAAGCGAAGAGAGCCGCGGAAGAACAGTTGAAACAGGGAATCGACGACTCGGATCGAGAGTGGAGAGATATGAAGACGGCGCAAGGGATGGCGGAGGTGTCTAAAGAGATGGCGACGATGGACTGGCTCGGAGAGAAGTCAGACGGAAGCGCGACTGCCGCCATCGCCGCCGAGAAGAGCGAGGGCGATAACCCCCCGGGATGGACGCTTCAGTTTGACATCAGAGACACCGGCATCGGCTTGAACTGCGGCGACGTGAGCCGGATCTTCAACTCGTTCCAGCAGGTCGATCTCTCCCCGACGCGAAAATACGACGGCACGGGACTCGGCTTGGCGATCAGCCAACGCCTTTGCGAGGCGATGGGGGGACGGATGTGGGCAGAGTCCCCAGGTCTCGGCCGCGGCAGCACGTTCCGATTCGACATTCGGTGCGACGCGGTCCCGGGCGAGGACACGGGGGCTCCGGGCGACGTTGGCGAGGGCGTTCCTGGAGGCACAAAAACGGAGAAGGCGGAGGCGGAGAAGGAAGCGATCGCTCGTCGCCGCGTGCGAGCGAGCGGCGCGGACACGACCGAGTACAAAACGACGCAGCGCGTGCCGGCGGCGATCACGTTCAAGGACGCTTCCAAGGACTCCCCGATCCACGTCTTGCTGTACGACTCGAGCGCGATGGTTCGACAGACCTTGAGAGAGACGATGTCTCGGTGGGGCGTCGTCGTCACCGCGGTGTCGACCGGGGACGAAGTCGTGAAGGCTCTGAACGACGGCACGCCCGCGAGCGAGGGCGCGCCCGCGGGTTCGTACGCGATCGTCGTCGCGGAGAAGAACAAGGAGTTCACCGGCGCGATTCGACGGTGGGCTTCTGGGCACGATAAGCTCGTGAAGCAGGACGGCAGCGGCGCGGGGAACGTGCGCGAGCGGTCCCCCGGGGGCCCGTGGAATTGCCCGGCGATGATCTTGATGACGTGGCCTGTGGAGGCGAGCTCCTCGCACGACGTCAGCAGCTGGGGCGACATCGGCGCGCTGAAGAAGCGCAACAGCTGGGATGACTCGGTCAGCCCGAGCGGCAGCGACGGACCGGACTCGGACAGGGAGCCGTCCATGGACGAAGAGGTTGAGGATTTCTTCAGCACGCACGACGCGGAAATCGTGCAAAAGCCGGTGCAGCACGCGCGCCTGCAAAAGCTCATCGGGACCGCGATCGAGAACAAGTCATCGACGACGGGGGAGACGAAGCACAATAGACGCGACAGCGGGGAACGCCCGACGGGATCCGCGGGCAGCCGCGGCGCGAACTCGAAACCGACGCCGATTCCGAAGGACCTGCGGATTCTTCTCGCGGAGGATCATCACATCAACATGAAAGTCGCGTGCGCGGTGCTCGCGCGGTGCGGGCACAAGGACATCACCCTGTGCAAGGACGGCGTCGAGGTTATCGAGAACCTCGCTTCGCTTCCGAACGGTCTGGATTCGTTCGATCTCGTCTTGATGGACCTCCACATGCCGAGGATGGGCGGGATGGAGTGCACGAAGCAGATTAGGAAACTGTACCCGGACAGCACGGTTCCGATCGTCGCCGTGACCGCGGACGCGGTGGAGGATTCTCGAGAGCGATGCCTGAGCAACGGGTTTAGCTCGTGGATCAGTAAACCATTCCGGATCGAACAGCTCGAAGGGCTGCTAGACGACGTCACCCCCGGGGGTGGAGGCACGTCGCGCGCGGCTGGCGGATGAAGCGAAGAGGAGGATGGGTGTTTCGTCGAGACGAGCCGCCAAATTTCACTGGCGCCGCTCGATGACGCTTGAACTAGATTGTAGTATCACACGCAGTTAGATCACGCACGCATCTTCTCTCACACGCGCTCCATGACGATCGTGTGACTGTACAGAACCGCGGGCTCGAACGACGCGTTTCCCATGTTCCCCATCGACGGCACCGGAGCGCCGCCTCCTAGGTTTGGCATCGCCGTGAGTCGCATCGCGTCCGAAGGTTGGATATACCCCGCGGTGGACAGCGCGCACCTCACGCGTCGTATCGATCCGTCGCTCTCGTACGTCGGCGTGTAGCTCCACACGTGCTGATAGTCCGTGTTCACGACCCTGGCCTTGTTGTAGTCCTTGGAGTATCCCAACGTCACCTGCCGCAGCGCCTCGGCGGCGAAAAACGTCCCGTCACTCGCTCTCGTCTCGCTCTCCCTCGCGTTGCTGAACAGTTCGATCCTCTCCGCGTTGTTCGACACCCCGGGCGCGAGGCGCACGGTCACCCTGTTCGCGTCCGACGCGGCGTCGTACTCCACGGCCTCGACCGCGTCTGGTCTCTTGAGATACGCGTCCACGATCGATTTTAGATTGAAGACTCTGTCCTCACACACGCCGCCGTCGCCGTCGTTCGCGCGAACGAAACGCACGAGGTACTCCACGTCCGACGTCCCGACGTCTGGGACGTACACGAGGCTCATCTTCTGGAACCCCGGCACCGTGGGCTCCTTCAGGAGCGCATTCTTGTTGATGTTCTTCGACGGGAAGTCGAACCCTTCGAACGTGGACGTGCATCGCCACGTGCCTTCGAGCCAGTCCGGGAAGCGCGTCGGCCCCGGGCGCGCTTTGTTGAACACCGGCTTCGATAAGTCTCGTCGCTCGACGCGCTCGGCGAGCGACGTCGACGCAGCGAGCGCGGCGGGCTCGGGAAGCGCGAGCGTCGACGCGAGGAGCCCGCCCGCGAGCAGCGCGGCGCGTCGATCGAAATCGTAGTCGGCACCGTCTCGGGCGACGAACGCGCGCGCGCGCGAGACCCTCGCGCGGGGCGCGACCCTCGCCTTCGCCGTCGTCGCCGGCGTCGGTGCTCCCGCGAGTGCGCTCATGATCCCCCCGTCTCTCTGATACCCCCCTCTGACGCTGCGGCGCGCCCGCGAGAGTGCGGGCGCGAGTTCCAAGATAACGCGGCACAAGACTCTGCCATCCAGATCTGTGACTGCGGTGGACGAACATAATCCAAACGGGGCGGGGGCGCACTCTTCACACCGAAGCGCACACCTCGCCCTCTCGATCGAGGATGAGCGGCGGTCAAGACGCGGAGCGTAACAAACGCAAACTCGATGCCGTCGACGCACCGGGTGGCTCGGGCAGGGGCAGGGACGGCGGCAGCAGCGGCGGTGGCGGTTCTGCGGCGGGAATGACATTGGAGGCCGCGAAAGCGCTGCTCGAACAGCGGGGTATCAAGGTTCCGAAGGCGAAGAAAGCGAAGAAGGAGAAGAAGGAGAAGAAGGAGAAGAAGAAGAAGGATCGGAAGGAGAAGAAGAAGCACAAGTCTAAGAGAGACGGAGACAGTTCGAGCTCGTCGTCCAGCGATGACGATGACGCGAAAAACGGCGGCGGCGGCGGCGGACCGTCGGCGTCGCGGAAGTGGAAGAGCGGCGGCGGCGTGAAAGATAAGGACAAGGTAAAGAATATCAAAGACGACGCGTCCTCGTGGGGACCGCCTCCCGGGCCGGACGTCCAGATCGAGAACATATCCGAGGACGACTACTACCTCAAGAACCACGAATTCGCGGCTTGGTTGAAGCACACGCGGAAGGTGTACTTCACGGACTTGCTCGCCCAAGACGCGCGAGAGGCGTTCAAGGGGTTCATTACGGAGTGGAACGCGCGTAGACTTCCCGCGAAGCTGTACGAGGGCATCAGCGTGGCGGGTAGGAGATGACGACGTGCGCGCGCGAAGCGTTTATCAAATCAAAAGTCGCGTCCTACTGTAGCTAGTTGAGCTCGCCGTCGCGGCGCCGTCCTACGCCTTGCTACTCGCTAACACCTGGCTCGGCTTGGCGCTATCCACCCCGACGCGCCCACCCGGGAGACTGTCGCCCTGTCGCAACCGCGCGACCCCTCCCTCTGCTCTTCGCCGTTTCGCCACGCGGTCGTACATGACGACGCTCCCGCACGCGGCGACGTTGAACGACGCTGTCCGGCCCTCCGCCGCCGGGAGCGCGACGCGATGCGCGCACGCTCGCAAGACGCTCGACGGCAGGCCGTTGTCCTCGCTCCCGAGCACGTAGATCGCGCGGTCTGGGTGCTCGAACTCCTCGAGCGGCGTCGCGTCCGTGCCCATCTCGACGGCGACCCAGCTGCACGCGTGCGGCTGCGCTGACGCGAACGCTCCCCAGTCCTCGTACGCGTACGCGGGCAGAGACGTCCACACCTTGACCGTGTCCGCGGACGACTTCGCGAACCTCTGCGCGACGGTGAACGTGAACGCCGCGCCGCACGTCCAAGCGGAACGCCACAGCGTCCCTTGGTTCGCCTCGTTCTTCCCGCCGACGACTCCGATGCCGAAATACCCATCGCGCTCGTCTTCGCCTTGGAGCCGCCTCGCGTCCGCGGGTCTGGGCACGGGCTCGAGCGCCACGTCGAGGCGCATCCGGTCCGGATCGTCGAACGCTATCATCGTGTCCGGCTCCAGCCTCGCCCATCCCTCGTTCCTCTTGTCCTGGAAGCGCAGCTGCCAGCGCGTTACGTCTACGCCATCGTTCGCGAGCAGGTCTCGAATCTCGCACCCGCTCAAGAGCGTCGCCGCGCCCGCGGTCACGAGTCTACCGTTCCTGGGCGTCACGCCAGGGTAGACGTACCGCAAAACCGCGGGAGTGCCGCTCGTGCTCGGCACCTCCATCGCGCGGCGTCGAGTGAGCGCGAAAGCGCGTCGAAGAGTGTTTTGGATTTGGTGAGTTCTTCGTTCGTTACTACAAGGTCGCCTTCTGTTGTTCCTATCATCACAAGTCGATCACCCTGGACAGCTTCTGGATCCGGTTCAGGAGGTGATCGCCCTCCTTGATGTACGATTGGTACAGCGCGTTCTTCGCGTCCGGGCGGTTCGTGATGATCACGCCGTTCACCTTGTCGATCTTCGCGTTGAGTCGCCCCGCCACGATGAAGTTCGAGAGCTCCTCGTCGAGGAAGGCCTCGCTCACCGAGAACGCGGACGCCATGGACGCGGTCGTGACGCTCTTGTACGACTGCAGGAACTGCCCGTACGCCATCACCCGCGTCTCGCGCAAGAAGTACCGATGGTGCTGGTGCAACCACGTGCTCGCTTTGACCTGGTCCGCGACCACCGGAAACGCGTGCATGAAGTCCCTGTACTTGCAATCCTGCAAAGAGTTCACGAGCACGCTCACACCGGGAAGCTGGTCGACGACGGAGAGCACCTCCGGGGAGTCGATGACTTTCTCCTTGAGCTCCGTGCGTTTCAACGCCACGACGGAGCACACGCACGTGTAAAAAATAAACTCCGGGTACGTCATGAGCTCGTGCGACGTAAACGTGGACAACGACTCGAGGAAGAGCTTCGTCGCGCCGGCGAAGTCCCGGCTCGCCATGAGTAAAACGCCTTCGTACACCTTCAGCTTGTTCTTTCGCTCCCAGTCCGCGCCCCCGGGCTGCTCGAGCAGATCTTTCATCTTCGCGATCTGCGCTTTCAAGTTGACCCAGTCGCCGTGGAAGAGGTGCACCCTCATGACGGTAAACACCATCTCCATCCTTTGACCGATCGCCACCGTCTTCTTCTCGCACGCTTCAAACGCGGCGAGCGCGCTCGTTCGATCCCCCACCTCCACGTAGAACTCCGCCTTGGCGAGCATCGCGTCTCTGACCTCGCTGTCGCCGAGGTTATCCTCCGCGTCTTTGATCCTGCGATGCGCGGCGCGAACGGGAGAGGTCGGTCAGCGTTTGTTTGTTTTCGTGGCGACGTTCGATCGTCGACCGATCGATCGAACGTTCGTTCGATCGATGGACTTTCGTTCGGGGAAAAGTCGAGGGTCGGGAAGCGGCGAGCGTCGGGGTAGTCGGGGGGCGTACTTCGCGTCCAGTTCCTTGACCTTCTCGTCGTTCTTCGACTTCATCGCCTCGACCGCGCTCTCGTCGAGCATCCAGCCGAACTTCTCGCAGTAACCCGGGTAGAGGGTCACCATGCCTGCGGGGAGAGGGGGCGAACGGAGGTCAGCACCAGATCTGAAAAAAGGACGCGACGTCGACGACGTTCGATGACGCGTGGAGACGCGCGGGGGATGATCCGCGATCGCGATCGTGTTTCGGGGACGCACTCTTATCGATGACCGTCTGCTTCACCTCCTCCCCGAGAGCGACCGCGTCGTCGCACAGGGTAGGGTTCGAGAGGAGGAAGATCTTGTGACAAAGAAGAATACACGGGTCGACTTCCGTGTTTTCCTCGGGAAGCGCGGTCTCCATCGCTTCAGGTTCTTCCGGCATGGCGCCCGGCGATCGATGAGCCGCGGGATGCGATGCGCTCGTTCGCGAAACGTGCGCGCGCTACTTTGCGCCGCGGAGTTATGTCGCGCAGGAGACGACTGGTCGTTTTTAAACCGACATAAAAAATGTGACTGCCAGGCAGAGAGATCGGAAAAGTGCCAGCCGAGAGAGTATTGCCGGTCACTCTGCTGGGCGCAGATGGGGGGGTCGGACCCTCTTCCGGGCGACGATCCCCGCGACGAGGCACCGGCGGGGATAACGGACGACGCGCGTCGTGATGACACGACGGCGAAGACCGACTCGACAGTGGAAGCGTCGGATGGCTCCGAGGAGGAACATTCTAATCGAGGGCTCGCCGAAGTAGACTCCACAGACGCGGTCGCGTCCGTCTCGGGTTCCGACGACGACGAGGAGGTGGAGGAGGAACTCACCGGCTTGGCCGCGCTGATCCGCAAGCTCGCGTTGAAAGCGGAGGAGAAGAACGCGACGGAGGCGGCGGCTGAGGAGGAACCAGCGACGTTCGACACAACCCCGCTACTGTCCACGTTCGACGTCGCCGGCGTCGCGGAGTACATCACCTCGGGCAAAGCGAAGAACGTCATCGTCATGGTCGGCGCGGGGATAAGCGTCAGCGCGGGAATACCGGACTTTCGAACGCCCGGGACGGGTTTGTACGACAACCTGCAGAAGTACGACCTGCCGCACCCGACGGCGGTGTTCGAGCTCGATTACTTCCGCGAGAACCCGTCGCCGTTCTACCTCCTCGCGAAGGAGCTGTACCCGGGGCAGTACCCCCCCACGCCGACGCATCACTTCATTCATCTGCTGCATAAAAAAGGGATCCTTCTGCGGTGTTTCAGTCAGAACATCGACTCCCTCGAGGCCGCGACCGGGTTGCCGAGGGAGCTCATCGTCCCCGCGCATGGGAACTTCGACACCGCGCGGTGCCTGAACGGGCACGACGCGGACGTGGACGAGGTGAGGCAACACGTGGACGACGGGATCCCGATGCGGTGTAAAGATTGCGACGAGCTCGTCAAGCCGGACATCGTGTTCTTCGGGGAGAACCTCCCGGAGCGGTTCCACACGCTCGCGCGGAGGGACTTTCCCGAGTGCGACTTGCTCGTGATCGCGGGGACTTCCCTGGAAGTGCACCCGTTCGCGGGGCTGATCGATTTCCCGAACGAGGACGTCCCTCGGTTCTTAGTGAACCGAGAGAAGGTCGGGGAGATGGACGAGCGCATGCGGGAGTTCAGCAGGCTCGTCGGGAGGGGTGCCGGGCTGAACTTTGGCGAGGACAATCGCCGCGACGCGCTGTTCCTCGGCGACTGCGACGCCGGATTCGCGGAGCTCGCGCGGTTGCTCGGGTGGGGCGACGAGCTCGACGAGCTCGTGCGAGCCGGGGTGGAGAAGGTGAAGAGTCCGACTATTGATAGATAGACGAATAGCTAAGCTAAGACTAACTTGCGCACGACGCGAAAGTCAGTGCGTCACTTCGCTTTCGCCGCTTTCGCTCTCGGTACGAAAGGCGGCTTTCCCTTCGATTCGAGGAAGGCTGCTTCTCCCGCGAATATCTGCTCCTTCATCCAGCGAATCTCGTCCCACGCGCGATGTATCTCTTGATGTCCGTCCGGCTTGCCCGCCTCGTTCATCTCGTGCGTCGTCTTCAGTAACTTGCGCAGCCGGATGAGGTCCATCTGTATCTCGATCTCCGCGTCGGTCATCATTCCGCCGTTCGGTTCCTCGCGGATGCCGATCGGATTCGCCACCGCCGCGGGCGTGCTCGGGGGCATGAATCCCACCGCGCCGTTCAGCGCCACCCTTTGATTGAACTTCGGCATCGCTCTCGTCGAGGTGTGATGATCGCGATGCGCGCGCGAAGTGTCGGCGCGCGACAAGAGAGCGACGAAATTATCAATTGTTAGCGGTCGGAAATTGGTTTGACCGGCGGGCGGCGCAGGCAGGCGTCGGGTTCGTTTCGTCGTCTCGTTATTACAAGCCGTCGCCGCTGCTCTTGCGTCGCGTGTCGTCGTCTATTCGTTACGCGCGTCCGTCGTGCGTGCATCGTCCGCTCACTCTTCTTCTTCTTCTTCTTCTTCCTCCTCCTCCTCCTCCTCCTCCTCGTCGTCGTCGTCCCTCGCCTCCTCCTCTTCCTCGTCGTCGTCCTCCTCGTCGTCCTCCTCGGACTCGTGCTGACGTTTCGCACCCCCGGTTTTCGGGGTCGCCGCCGGCTTCGCCGCCGGCTTCGCCGCGCCCGCGCCGGAGCCGATACCCGCGTCCCCGACGAAGTGCAGCGCCTCCTCAAGCGACACTTCCCGGACGTTGCTCACCTTGTGCGAGTGCTGCACGCCCTGGATGCACCCCGCGACCTTCACGAGCTCCGGGCGGAACGTCGTCGTGATGAACTGCGTCCCGCCATCCGCCTGCGCGCGCACCATCGCTGCCACCGCGGTACGGTACTGCGGGTCCAGCGCGGCGTCGATCTCGTCGAACAAGTAGAACGGCATCGGGTCGCACCTCTGGATGCTGAAGATGAGCCCGACGGCGACGACGGTCTTTTGCCCGCCGCTGAGCTGCTTCATCTGCATCGTCTCCCCCGCGCCGAAGGACACCTTGATCTTCACGCCGCTGTACTTCTCCGCGAACCCTTGCGCGGCGTGAGGCTCCTTCCCGCCCGTGGGGGGGGTATTCTCTGCGCCGCCCGCGGTCGGCTTCTTGCGCTGCATCACGAGCTCGCCTTTTCCGCCGGGAACGAGCTTGGAGAAAACCTCGCGGAAGTTCAGAGACACTTGCTTGAACGTGCGCTCGATCGCCTCGTCTTTTTTCTGGTCGAGGTACGACATGAGCTCCTTTATTTTCTCGTGCCCCTTCATCAGCTCGCTTCTTCGGATCTCCAAAGCCTCGCGCTGCTCCGTGAACTGCTGGTACTGATCGAGCGCTTTCTTGTTCACGTGACTGAGCTTCGAGAGCTGCTCGTTCGTCTTGCTCAGCAGCGAATGCAGGGACTTGAGCGCTTTCCCGCGGTACTTCTCGAACGCATCCGAGGGCAGCGACCCGAGCTCGCGAATCTTCCGCTGAAGCCCTTCGCGCTTCGCCTGAAGCGTCGCGCGCTTGGACATGAGATCCTCCATCTCGCGCTCGTCCGCCTCGAGACCGGCCTTGTTGTCGTCCTTCTCGTTCAGTAGCTGATCCAGTTTCCCTTGCGACTCTCTCACCCCAGAGGTCGCGGCGGCGACCTTCGCGGCGATTTCCGTGTGCCTCGCGCTCGCCTCCGCCTCTACCGCCGCCGCCGCGGCAGCTTCCGCCTCCGCGCGCGCGAGAGCGGTCATCAGACCGGACATGTCCACCTCCGTGGTGGTCTCCTCGATCCGGTGCTGCCGCCTTTCGAGGTTAGACTCGAGAACCGCGCGAAGCTCCCCGAGCTCAGCCTCCGCCGCTAATCGCGCCGCCGCCGCGGCGAGGCGCTCCTCCTTGAGCTTGTCGAGGCGAGGGTTAAGCTCTTTCAGCTCCTTGGACTCGTCCGACGTCAGCTTCGCGTCGAGTGGGGTGTCGATCTCCGCCGCGAGGTCCGCCGCTTGGGCTTCCAGATCGCCCACGGTGATTTGAATCGTCGCGATCGTCTTCTCCTTGACGCCGAGGGACTCCTCCGCGAGCGCGCACGCCGTGGCGACGTCTTTGCCCTCCGCCCTGAGGCGATCGACCGCGGTGAGGCGGTGCCTCCGCGCAGACTCCATGCGCTGAATGTCCCCCAACACCCCCGTCACCGCTTGCTCCGCGGTCTGCAGCTTGTCCTTCACCTCCGCGCTCTCCTTCCTGAGTTCCGCCCTGAGCCGCTGCGTCTGTTGAAGCATCTTCATGTTGATCAGCCTCGAGCGACCAGAGTCTTGGTACCCACCGCTGATCGCACCGCGGTTCGACACGCAGTCGCCCTCCATGGTGACGCAGTCGAGGTTAGTGCTCCCCGCGTACTTCACCGCGACGTCGAGGTTCCTGCAGATGAGCACGTTGCCGAACAGTTTGTCAAACGCCGGGCGGAGTTTGTCGTCGAAGCGAATCTTGCTCAGCATCGGGAACACGTCCTGGGAGTCCGGGTACTCGCGCGGGCGGTTCTGCAGACGGTTCAAGGGCAAGAACGTCACTCTTCCAGCCTTCTCCTTGTTCAAGTACTCGATGATCTTCGACGCGACGTCGTCGTTATCGACGACGACGTGGAACAGCTGGTTCGTCACGGACGCCTCGACCGCGGCGAAGAACCGCTCGTCGCACTCCATGAGCTCGATGAGGGGACCGTGCACGCCCTTGATGCTGTGGTCCTTCGCGATCCTCTGCACCGCAGACAGCCCGCGGAAGAGCTCGCGCGGCATCGTGAACTCAAGCTGCTTATCGCGTCGCTTCACCTCGTCCGTCTTGGACGCGACTTCCGAGTCGAGCTCCGCGTCCCTCCTCTGCAGCTCCTTGCGTTCGTCCTGAGCCTTGTTCCTCGCCGCGATCTTCGTCTGGTACTCCCCGTCCGACGCCTGAAGCGCGGCCTCCTCCTCCGCGAGCTTCGCTTTGATGCTCGCCGCGTCCTTCTTGTCCGTGTCGATGCGCTTACGGAGTTTGTCGACGTCCTTTTTAAGGATATCAATCTCGTCCGCTTTCCTTGCGAGCGTGCCCTCGCAGTCCTTCACCTGCGCCTTCAGCCACTTGTCGCGCTCTTGCTTCGTCGCGAACTGCGATGCGCGGCCTTGCTTCTGGTGCAGCACCTGCAGACGGCGGTTCACCTCCGCGATCTCCGCCGCGGCTGCTTCCTCGCGTCGCGTCTCTGCGTCCACCTTCGGCTTGACCGCGTCAATCTTCGTCCGCGTCTCCGCGACTTGCTGGTCCAGCTGCGCTTGGTCCCCTTGCACGAGCTTCAACGCTTCGTCGCCCGCGGCGAGTTGCTCCCCGAGCTCCTGCACGTCGAGGTCCGCGGCGGTCTTCTTCTCCACCGCGACCCGGAGCTCGATGTCCGCGGTTAACAACTCCTCCTTGGCGACGGCGACGGCACGTTCGCGGTCTTTGCACTCGCGTTCGGTCTGCTTCAGTTCGTCGTGCAGCGCGTGCGCGCGCTCGTCCTCGTCCCTCGCCTTGTCCACGTGCAGCCTGCGCTTCTCCTCGGCGTCGTCCAGCTTCGCTCGCGTCTCGCTGAGTTCCTTCTCGTGAATCGCGTACTCGAGCGAACGCCGCGCGCGGTCGTGGTCCATGTACGCCTGGAGCTCGTCCTTCTCCTCGTCCAGCTCCGCGAGCCTGGACTCGATGAAATCGACCGTCTCCTGGATCTGATCCCGACGCGACTTCGTGTCGTCCATGATCTTCAGCGACTCCCTTCGCTTCTCCTCGTACACGGACGTCCCGCCGATCTCTTTCAAGAGGTCGAGGCGCTCTTCGTCCTGCATCGTCGCCATCTTCATGATCTCGCCTTGCTTGACGCAGTAGTACGGGTTCGTCCTCGAGAAACCCGCGGACTCGAGGAGGTTGATCACCTCCGCTTTCGTGATGTGCTTCTTGTCCAGGTAGTACTCGTCCTTCTTCAGGCCGATGCTTCTTCGCAGGCGAACTTCCTCGCGGTCCACGGGGAGGCGGTTATCGCTGTTGTCGAAGACGATCTCCGCGTACGCGGACATCACCGCGTGCCCGGCGCCCTCGTGCAGGAGCTTCTGTCGCTCATCCGCTCGCAGGTTGGAGAAGATGTCCGAGAGCACGAACCGGATGGCTGTGGACGGAGGGACGGCGGGAGGGGGGGCGTCAGCGCGCGTTCAGATCTCGTTTTTCGGGCGGTCTGGGCAAAACGATTCGACGACGCGGGGTGGGGTGAGCAGAGGACGCGCGCGCACCGTGGAAGAGGTTCGATTTCCCTGAACCATTCGCGCCGACTGCGTGGGGGAAGAGGAAGACGAAGAAGGGTGCGCGGCGTCAGGACGTGAGCGGACGGTGGCGGCGTCGGGGCGTCGAAGGACGAGACTCGATTCAAGATGGCGCGCGGTCTGCGCGAACGCGAAACACGCGACGGACGTACCGATGCAGTTCAGGTGCGGCTCGAACTCGACCACGGTCTGCTCGCGGTAGGTCTTGAACCCCTCCACAACCACTTGCTTGATGTGCATGGCGACGCGCTGCTGCTAATCTCGCGCAGCGCGCTCGCGTGTGAAGCTCTCTGAATTTCAAACCGTGCTGTGATGTGAGCGCGAGCAGCTTCACCGGCCAATGGTCGGTCAGTCGATGAAGTGACGCGATTTTTGCTTTCGAGAAAAAACATTTGATCGGCGGGTTCGATCGAGAAATGGTTTGAAAAAGTTCTGAATTTTTTTCCGTCGGTCTCTCCTCCGCGCCGCCGCGAAACCACCCGCGTCGCTCCACTCCGCGCCCGCGTGCGCTTCTTCAATCGAGATGAATCGTTCGCGCGGATCGCGCGTCGTCTACAACTACTGTATCATAAAGCTACTGTACGCTACGCTACGCCCCGCCCTCGGTCTCTCGCTTCCCCTCCCCCTCTGCTAATTTGGCGATCTCCTCCGGCGACAGCCCGTCGAACGGGTCGTCGTCTCCCTCTCCGGGGTCGAGGAAGCTCCGCGTTCGGTGCTCCCTCAGCGCGCCGCCGTCGATGGCACGGCGCGCGCGCTCCTCCGTCTGCGATCGCGCCCTCTCCCTCGCCTCCGCTTTCCTCGTCTCGCCTTGGTACGCGAAGTGACCGCAGTACCCGAACACGGCGACGACGGCGGCGACGAAGACGTAGTTCGCCCACCGCGGGATGGCGCGCCCGTCGTCGACGTCCACCTCGACGTGCGAGAACAGCGGGCTGCTCCAGCTCTGCACGTCCTTCGCCGCTAACTTTTCCGCGGTCGCTCTTCGCGCGGCGGCGGAGTCCTCCGCCGCGTTCGCGGGGGCCTTCTCGTCGAGGGAACCCTTACTCGTGGACAACGCGCGGGGGGCGAGGGATTCGTGCGCCGCGGCGGGTGGGCGCCGCGCCGCGGCGAACGCGACGCGCGCGGCGTGACGGAGCATCGGCGCGTGCGCGGGCGGAACCTCGCCCGGGAGATTCGAGCAGCCGTGGACGGGGCAATGCGGCGCGCTCGGCAATGCGCGAGGGCGACGTGGCATCACGACGAGAAATAACAACGACGTGCCGACCCTAGATCTCAGATTGCGCCGCGCCTCGGACGCGCCGCGCCGCACCCGGTCGTCGACATGCGCGTCCGTCTCCGCGCGCCCGACGGGCAGCATACCGTCGAGCTCGCCGACGGCGCCACGGTCGGAGACTTGAAAGCCGCGGTGCACGAGAAGACCGCCATCGAGCCGTCTCGGCAGGAGCTCCTGTGCGGGTTCCCACCGAAGCCGCTCGCGCCCGCGGACGGGGACGCCGCGAGCTGTTCCTCCGTCGGCATCGCGAACGGCGAGAGCGTCACCGTGCGCGCGTCCGCGGCCGCGGCGGCGCCCGCGGCCGCGGCACCCACCCCCGGCGCGGGCGCGGGTTCGAACGCGACGACCGCGGAGGACGAGGACGAGGCGCTCGCGCGCGCGATAGCGGCGTCGTTGGACGACGCGCACCCCCCCGCGAAGTCCGCGCGCGTGGACGCGGGGAACGACGCGCCGTCCTCGCGCGGCGACGGCGCGTCGCGCGAGGACGACGACGGCACCGTCGCGACGCGGCGGGTCATCGACAGCGACAACTCGTGCCTGTTCAACGCCGTGGGGTACGTCATGAACCGTTCGCTGCGCGACGCGCCGGCGCTGAGGAAGGTCATCGCGGACGTCGTGTCTGGTGACGCATTCACGTACAACGACGGGTTCTTAGGGAAACCCAACGCGGAGTACTGCCGCTGGATCCTCGAATCGAACCACTGGGGCGGCGCGGTCGAGCTCTCCATACTCGCGAAACACTTCAAGCGCGAGATCGCGGCGTATGATATACAAACCAAGAGGTGCGACGTGTACGGCCAGGGCGAGGGATATCCCGAACGCGTCATGCTACTGTACGATGGTCTCCACTACGATGCGATGGTTTTGACGTACGAGGGCGCGCCGCACGACATGGACATCACGATGTTCCCGTCGCGAGGTCCCGCCGCGGACGCGGCGGGGCGCAAAGCCTCGAAGGTCGTGAACGAAGCGCACGCGGCGAGGCAGTTTACGGACACCGCGAATTTCACGCTTCGGTGTTTAGTCTGTCAGAAAGGCCTGAAAGGCGAGAAGGAAGCGCTGGAGCACGCGAAAGCGTCGGGACATTCTAACTTTTCGGAATATTAAACGTAGCGATGTATTGCGTCACGCCGTTCTTTCGTTATTCCTTCCCAAAGCCCTTGAACTTGACCGCCGTCTCTCCGCGAAGGCGGTCCTCCGTCTCCGTCGCGTCCTTCACCGTCGTCCCAGATTCGGATATCCCACTGCCGACCCCTAAACCTAAGTCGTCTCCCTCGACGTTGCTTCTCGTCCGCGTCGGCGTGTGTCCTCTCGCGCGTGCGCCCGAGTTCACGAGCTTCTGCGTCACAGGAGACGTGAGGGCAGCGTACGCGTTCGCAAACGCTCGAGCTCTTTTCCACCGCTTCTTCGCCACCGTCTCATCGACGAGCGTGACATTCTCCGCGGCGGCTCTGTCGATCTCTAAGTTCGCGGCGGCGATTGCAGCGAGCGCTTTCTCTTGCGCCGCGGCGCCCGCGGCCTCGTCCGTCGTCCCGGGGAAGTACTTCAGCGGTAAGACGCGCATCAAGAAACCGACGGGGATCGAACCGAACCCGAACCCGATGGAGCAGAACCATTCCGCGGTGGTCAGGTTCATGAAACCGATCGCGGGACCGACGACGGTGCGCCCGACGCCCTCGATGAGCGCCACCTGCGTCAAGAACGTGACGATGATGATGCCGCAGAAGATTGGCGAATTTTGGATGTTGTCCAGGATGTTAAAGTCGGCGATCTTGCGTGAGTTGATCTCGTTGAATATCTGCATCATCACGAACGTGTTGAAGATGACGGAGTTGAGCTGAAGCGTTTGGTGTTCGGAGTCTCCGTCGTCGACGTCGATCCCCAGCATCTCCTTCCCTGCGAACAGCAAGATGAGACACACGAGGAATTGGTAGAAGGCCTGGACGCAGATGTTCCTCCACATCTCCTGGTTCACGAGCGGCGCGCTCCTTCCGAAGGGTTGGCGTTTCATCAAGTCCGGCGACGGCGGCTCCGTCGCGAGCGCGAGCGCGCCCATGCTGTCCATTATCATGTTCACCCACAGGAGCGGCACCGGACCGAGCGGGAGTTCTTCGAGGCCGTAGCACGCGGAGAAAAAGTTCAGCGTCACCGCGACGACGTTCACGACGAGCTGAAACTGCAAGAACTTCCGGATCGACATGAAGACGTTCCTGCCCCAGAGCACCGCCTTCGCCATGGACCGAATATTGTCGTCCAAGATGACGATATCGCACGCCTCTTTCGCGATCTCCGTGCCCGCGATGCCGAGCGCGAACCCGACGTCGGCTTCCTTGAGCGCGGGCGCGTCGTTCGTGCCGTCGCCGGTGACGGCGACGACCTCGCCCAAGGCCTTTTGCACCTCGCACAACATCAGCTTGTCGGACGGGGACGAACGCGCGAGCACTTTGATCTTCACCGCGACCGCCTCTTGCTCCGCTCTGCTCATCTTGCGAAACACCGGGCCTTCCAGGATGAGCCCGTCGTCGCCGTCGACGAGAATTCCAGCCTCGCGCGCGATCGCCTCTGCGGTGAGCGCGTTGTCTCCGGTAACCATGCGAACGGTCACGCCTGCGTTCCGCAGCAGCGCGACTGCCTCCGCGGTTTCCGGTCGGATCGGATCCTTGATCCCGGCGATCCCGATCAACGTCAGGTTCTCCTCGGGAGGTCTCTCGGGGTCGAGCGTGGACGGATCGACTTGCATTTCTGAATACGCGATGCAGAGCGTGCGCAGACCGCGAGAGGCCATCTGCGTGATCGCTTCCTCGGCGCTTTTAAGGTCGTCCGCGCCGAAAGGCTCCACGGTTCCGTCTGCCATCATCTGTTTCGTGCAGAGCTTCACGACGATCTCGGACGCGCCTTTGCAGTGCAGGCGCGTGCCTTGCGTCGAGCCAGAGTGATGCATCCCGATCGCGGTGCTCATGCGTTTCCTCGCGGACGTGAAGTGGTACCGCTGCTCGACCTTGTGCTTCTCGCGTCCTCGGTAGTACGCGAACCCGTCGGACTCTTCGAGGTTGCCCTTACCCGCGGTTCTGAGGTCCTCGACGAGCTGCAGAAGCGCGCACTCGGTTTTCGAGCCGATGTGGTCGACCGTCCCGTTCTCGTTCATCGCGAGGTTCGCGTCCGAGTTGACGCAGATGCTCTCCGCGAGCATCGACGCGAACGCGTCGGAGACGTCCGAGGGAGGCACGTCGCCTTCGCCGTATTGTTTCCCGCCGAGGTACGCGTCCGTGACGGTCATGCGGTTCTGCGTCAACGTCCCGGTCTTGTCCGCGTTGAGCTGCGTCGCGCTGCCCATGGTCTCGCACGCCTCGAGCCTGCGCACGAGGTTCTGATCTTGCATCATCTTGCGCATCGCGAACGCGAGGCCTAGGGTGATCGCGAGAGGGAGCCCCTCCGGGATCGCGACGACGACGATCGTGATGCTGTTGATGAGGTACTGCAACACCTTCGTGCCGTCCCATCCTTCGCCGCTCGCGCCCTCCGAGGTCCAGCGAATCATCGAGACGACGAACGTCAGGATCGCCGCGCCGATGCCAAAATTACCGATCGTCACGACGAGAACGTCGAGCCTGTCTTGCAGCGGCGTGCTGTTCGGCTCGACGATGAGCGTCTTCAGGATCACGCCCCACTGCGAGTTCGCGCCCACCGCGACGACGATCATTCGCCCGGAGCCCTCGGAGATGGACGTCCCGGACAGTACGAACGGGTCTTTTTCGCGGTCTTTGGCGATGTCGATGGGCTCTCCCGTCATCGCGGACTCGTTCGCTTTGAACTTGCTCCCCTCGACGAAGACGCCGTCCGCGGGGACTTTGTCCCCAGCCGCGAGCTCGACGAGGTCGCCCACGAGAATCTCGCCCGCGGTGACCGCGACGACCTCGCCGCCTCTGACGACCTTCACGGTGTAGTTATCCTTCACGCTGTTGAGCGCCCTGAACTTCTTCTCTTTTGAGAAGTCGATGTACGCTTGCAGGAAGACGACGACGAAGACGACGAGGATGATCGCGATGGCTTCTAAATATGCGTAGTGCTCGCGCTCCTCCGTGACCGCGGTGCCGACGATCATGCTGACGACCGCGGCGAAGCATAGGATCTGCACGGTGATGTCGTTCAGGGCTTCGCGGCACAGGCACAAGAACGATTTCGGCGGCGGGTACTCGAACGTGTTCGTCCCGTACGCCGCTTTGCGCGCATCCAACGCCTCGTCCGTCAACGCGCTTCCCGAGAGCCCGAGCTTCAGATTCGACCCGAGCTTCTCCGCGAGGCCGTCGACGCCCCCGGCGGTCGTCACGAACACTTTGTCTCTGTCCGTGATGCACTCCTCCAGCGCCTTCGCCTCCAGGTCGAACGCCATTTTCGCGGAGGCGTGCACGAACCCTCGCGCCGTCGTCGAGTGCGCGGCAGCGGCGACGTCGATGTCAACTCAGTCATGTCAACAACAATAAGTTTTGAAAATGACGTCAACGCTGTCGCGCGCGGCCCGTCACAGCGGACGGCGCGAGGTGGCGTGCGCGGTCCGCGACGGTCGTATCGACATGGGCGACGTGAGGGCGGAGTTCGTCCTGAACACCGTGCTCGATGCCGTGTCGACGGCGTCCACGCGCGACGCGCTGTACGCGCGCCTCGCCTCGGACGAGGACGGCGCGATGCGAGCGTTCCTGGACGACCCGACAACGACGGTGTTCCAAGCGACGTCGTACGCGGGCGGGGACGTCCGGTGCGGGAACGTCGTGTCGTTCGACACGTCGTCCGCGTGCCAGGTCGTCCTCACGAAGCTCGTCCCGAGGGCGCTCACGGCTTCCGACGTCCCGGGGTCGGTGAACGTCTCGACCATCTCGCACTCGCCCGTGGAGTCGCTGTACCATCAGCTGCACTCCGTGTACGGTCCGCTGCTGAGCGAGGGAACGCGAGGTGGAATGATCGACTCCAAGCTCATGAGCTTGGTCGCGGAGCTCGAGGCGGGGCTGGGTAACGTCCTGCGGCTCACGGGCGGGTCGAAGGACGCGAGCGTCGACCCCGGGGACGCGCCGCTCGTCGGGATCGCGTCGCCGCTGGACGAGTTCAAGCTCTGGAGCGAGATCGCGTTCGCGCGAAAGGCGGGACCGAAGCTTAAAGCGCGAGCGAACGAGATGTATCGCGCGTTCGAACCGATGAAAGAGCGCTTCGAGAGATTAAACGCGCTGCCGGACGAGGAAGCCCTCGAGCTCGTGGACACGTGCTACGACTGCTTAGACGTCGCGTGGGGAATACCGGACGAGCGCGGGAAACGAGCGTTTCCGCAGCGACGCGCGGAGCACTTGATGAAACTCATCGGCTCGTCCCTCGTCGCGCACGTGCAACGCAAGCTTCGAGACGTGAACGTGTGGAGCGATTCGTTCAAGACCGTGGAAGGGACGTTGCGGTTCGGTCACCGGCTACTCGCGAAGTGGGAGAAGACCGCGAACGAGTTGACGTCGATGACGTGGCAGGGCGCGTGGACCGGTCCCGCGTTCGCGGACGCCACGATCGTGAAAGCGCGCGAGCGTTTGGACGAGGTTTTCAAGATGCGAGAAGCGCAAGCGGAGCTCGAAAAGCTTCTCACGTCCGAGGAATCGAGATCGCTGACGCTTTCCGAGGTGTTCGGCCCGTTCAACGGGATCGACCCTCTTCGAGTGAGCGACTTTACGGAGGCGACGTGGCAAGCCGCGTGCAGCGACTACGACGAACGCATGCGTCCGATCGAGGACAGGATGTCGCAGAAGCTGCGGGAACACTTCGGCGCGAGACTTCTCCCTTCCTTGGCATCCGCGGTGAAGAAGCACGGGGACGAGCGCAGCGCCGCGATGGCGCAACCGCACCAGGTATTACGAGAGGTTGCTCGGTACGCAGAGCTCCTTCGACGGCCGGCGGTCGCGAACGCGCTCGCTGGTGAACGAAAACAGCTCGCGGACACGGTCGAGCAGTTTCTGTCTACGATAAAAAGTGACTGCGATAAGCGAGCGAACGCGCTGCTCAGGTACGGGCAGAGCGGAAAAGCCGCAGCGAGGGTAGGACGAAACACGACCGAAGTCGTCGATGCGGTTGTGTGGACCGTGCAAGCGTTGGAGCGCGTCGCCGTCGCCGAAGAGGTGTGCGGCGCGCTCGTGGTCGTGTCGCACGATAAGAGCGGAAACCGACTGCGAGATGCGAAGCAGGACGCCGCGGGGCAACAAGGCATAGAGCTGATGCGCGAGTCTAAGGAGTTGCACCGCGACATAAGGCTACTCAAGAAAAACCTCTTCGATGAGTGGCAAGAGGGTATCATCTCTCGCCTCGACTACTTCAAGCTCGACCTTGGATCGAAGTTGATGGACCTCGACTCGTCCTCCACGGGTCACGTGAAACTGCACTACAACTCCGAACTCGTCAGCCTGCTGCGCGAGGTCAGACAGCTCTCCGCGCTGGGGTTCACGATACGAAGGGACATCGCCGCGGAGGCGGACACGGCGAGGAAATTTTACCGACACGGCATGGTCTTGCGCCAAGTCGCGAACTTTTACAACAACATCGCGTCTGAGATGATCACGTGCCAGAAGCCGATGATGCTCGACGACGCGGTCAAGTTCGAGAGCGTCTTAACGAACCCAAAGGACGGCCTCGGAAAGGTCATCACGTGGAACAACCCGACCGCGCTGGAGAAGTACATCGGTAAACTCCAAGGCGTCGCCGGGGTTTTAACGGACAAGAACCGCCGGCTTCGAAAGTGGCACCGGACGCTCGCGGAAAAGGTGTGCGCGTTGTTCGCCATGGACCTCGTTCGACAAAAAGAGGCGTGGAAGCGAGCGGTAAAAGAGCTCAGAGCGATATTTCTGAACCTCGAGACGGAGTTCCGTAAAGATTTGCAAGGCGCGTGGAGGGTGCACTGGGACCACCAGCTGTACAAGGCGCTGGAGTACCAGTACCACCGCGGGCTCGAGACGTTGAACGAGATGTTGCCGCAGGTCACCGTCAACCTCGTGTTCAAGCAACGCAAGCTTCAGTTCGACCCGCCACTTGAGGAGATTCGCACCGCGCACTACAAGCAGGTGAAAGACTTCCTGAACCTCCCCCTCGTCTTCAAAGGCGTCAGCGACGCGAGCGAAAAAGCGGGGTTCTTCCGCGGGATGATGGACTCGCAGGTCGGCGCCGCCGGGTGCGCGAAGGTGTACGAAAAAACCGAAGCGCTCTTCGTCAAACTCGCGGACGAGCAAAAAAAATACGCGGACTGGGTCGCGCTCGGTACCGTCGACCTCGATTCGTTTGTCGAGACGCAATACGCGGACTCAAAAGACTTCGAGGAAGGATACACGCTCGTGAAGACGGCGATGAAACAAGCGGACCGCATTCCATTGGAGATTAAAGTCGACTGCTACACGATTTCGTGCATACCGCTCAAGTCGGCGGTGGAGAAGCAGATAAAAGAGCTGCAGGACGCGCTGTCCGGATGCTTACAGCGGAAAGTCCTGCGCTCGAAGGAAGAGATGGAGGCGTTCATCGCGTCCGGCAAGATTGTGCTAGACACGAACGCGCAGACGGTTGAGGAAATTGGAAACTTACGAATTGAAGCGCAAAAGCTGATGGCGGAGTTCTCCGGGCGCATGTCAAAATTACGATGGCAAGTCGGCGATCTCGCGAAGCTCCTGAAACAGTCCGGCGGCACGGGCGCACACATGGCGGCGGCGATGGACTTCTCTTCGTTGGATTCGGAGTGGGAGAACCTCTCGACGAAGCTGGGACAGATGGAGACGAACCTGGAGATGCAAAAGGAAAACCTCAAGGGCGTGATTCTCGCGAAAATCGCGGAGTTCGAGTCCAAAGCGGAAGCGTTCAGCGCGCGATGGCACGAGTTCAAGCCGAAGGGCATGCCATCGGGAGATCCTTCGTTGATCAACGGCAAGCTCGAGGACGACTACCGTGCGCTGCAAGAGCTTCGAGAGGACGGGAACAAGCTGTGCTTGGACTGCGAGCACTTCAATATGCCGAGGCCAAAGTTTTCTATTCTCGACGACGTCGCCGTGGATATCGAATCCACAAAGACTGCGTGGGGTCGCTTCGGCGAGTTCATCAACGAACGCAACGGACTCTCGAACCGAGACTGGATTTCGATCCGCGGTAGGCTATACGAGCTCGACGACTTCATGGCGAAGTGGGGAGAGCGCGTGCGCGAGAGCGAGTCCAAAGACGCCATCGCGGTGTTGCTGCTCGAGCAAATCGACGAGTATAAACGGGCGCTCCCGGGTCTGAAATTTTGCCGCGGTGAAGGATGGGAGAGCTCGCACTGGGCGCAGCTCTTCTCGATTCTTAGATTTCCGACAAAGGGCCCGGAGGCGGTGACGCGCGAAAACTTGACGCTCCAACACTTCCTCGACAAAGCCGACCTTTTGATTGAAAAAGCGGACGAACTGAAAACGTTGCACTCGCAAGCGCAAGGCGAGGTTACACTGCGCGAGGCGCTGCATCAGCTGAAAGTCTGGGGCCTCGATCGTAACTTTTCGCTCATCAGTCACACGATGCAAGGTCCTAAGGGCGGGATCGTATCGCTCATCAAAGAGTGGAAGGACCTGTTCACCGAGGTCGCGGACAACCAGAACCTCGTGTCGTCGCTGAAAGACTCGCCGTTCTTTGGGCCGTTCAGGGAAGAAACGAGCGTCTGGGAGACCATGATGGCGACGTTGTCCGACCGACTGACGCACATGAACGCTATCCAGCGAAAGTGGCTCTATTTAAAGCCTATATTCGCGCGCGGTGCGCTCCCGCACGAACAACAGCGGTTCCGGCGCGTGGACGAAGACTTCCAGACCATTATGCAAGCGATTAGCGTCAACCCGCTCGTGAAGGCTTTCGCGCAGTACCGCATGCGTGATAGTCACCTCAGCGAAATTTCCACGCAACTCGACATGTGCCAGAAAGCGCTGGCGGAATACCTCGAAGAGAAACGCTCGATGCTGCCGCGATTCTACTTCATCGGCGACGACGACCTCTTAGAAATCTTAGGACAGGCGAAGAATCCGGAGGTGATCCAAGCGCATCTGAAGAAACTCTTCGCCGGCATACACTCCGTCGTGTTCACCGAAGGCGCAGGGAGCATCACGGCGATGAAATCCATCGAAGGCGAGGTCGTGCCGCTGCTCAAACCCGTCGTCGTCAGCGAGGCTGTAGAAGTTTGGCTCGCGGATATCGCGGATGGCATGGTCAACTCGCTCAGTAACATGCTCGTCCAGTGCCTCTCGACGAAGGATTACGAAGCGTTTCCGTCGCAAGTTTTGAGCCTCGCGGAGCAAGTCCACTTCTCGCGCAAGGCAGAGTCCGCGATTTCACGCGGGAGTCTTCGCGATCTCTCGAGCGAGCTCGGACAGCAGCTGCAAGAGTACACGTCATTCGACCTCGAAGGCATGCGCGTCATGCAGCTGAAGGTGCAGAGCTTGGTGATGGATCTCATTCACTCCATCGACGTCGTGGATCAGCTGCGGAAGGATCGGTGCCAAGACGTAGGTCAGTGGTGTTGGCAGCGACAGCTCAGGTATTACGAGCGCGGACGCGGCGGAGAAGTCGCGGTGCGGATGGATAATGGGTTGTTCTCGTACAGCTACGAATACCAAGGCAACGCGCCGCGACTCGTGTACACGCCTCTCACGGACAAGTGTTACCTCACGCTGACTCAAGGGATGCACTTGGGTTACGGCGGGAATCCTTACGGCCCCGCGGGTACGGGTAAAACAGAGTCCGTCAAGGCTTTAGGGCAGGCGATGGGTCGACAAGTCCTCGTGTTCAACTGCGACGAAGAGTTCGATTTCAAGTCCATGGGACGCATCTTCACGGGTCTTCTGAAGTGCGGCGCGTGGGGTTGCTTTGACGAGTTCAACCGCCTCGAAGAGGAAGTCCTTTCTGCGGTGTCGTCACAAATCCAGATGATTCAAGCGGCGCTCAAGTCGCGACAGTCTGCGATGCATTTCATGGGTCGGGACTTTAAATTGAACCACGACGCGGGCATCTTCGTCACGCTCAACCCCGCAGGCAAGGGATACGGTGGGCGCAGTAAGCTCCCTGATAACCTCAAGCAGCTCTTCCGCTCCGTGGCGATGACGGTGCCAAACTTTGAGCTCATCGCGGAGGTGATTCTTCTGGCCGAGGGATTCATGACCGCGCGACAGCTCGGGAGTAAGCTCGTCTCGCTCTTCTCTCTGAGCAAGCAGCTGTTGTCGCCACAGCAACACTACGACTGGGGACTCCGAGCCCTCAAGACCGTGCTCGGCATCGCCGGGAAGCTGTTGCGTGACGCCCGCGCCGCTGCCAGCACCGGCGTCGGACCACCCGTGGACGCGGAACTTGAGTCGCAGCTCATCATTCGCGCGGTCAGGGTGACTACACTTCCCAAGCTTACCTTCACGGACGGGCGGCGATTCGCGGAATTGCTCAACGACGTGTACCCAGGCGTCAAGGTGACCGACGTGAGCGACGCTGAATTAGAGGGCGCGATACGACTTGTTCTCGCAGAAAAACACTACGAAGACGTACCCTCGCAAGTGGAGAAGGTTCTTCAGCTGCACATCGCGTGCTCGCAGCGCATTGGCATCATCATCGTCGGCCCGTCCGGCTCGGGCAAGTCCACGCTATGGCAAATTCTCGAAGGGGCGTACAAGAAACTCGGCCGCCCGGTGAAGCGTCACGTCATGAACCCGAAGGCGATCCACCGCCAGCAGTTGTTGGGTCACATGGACATGGACACAAGAGAGTGGTTCGACGGCGTGCTCACGGATGCCGCGAGGCAAGTCGTGAAGGAATCACTGGATCAGCACAGCTGGATCATCTGCGACGGCGACGTCGACCCGGAGTGGATCGAGTCGCTCAACTCCGTGTTGGACGATAATCGCCTTTTAACGCTCCCATCCGGCGAGCGCATTCAGTTTGGATCCAACGTGAACTTCATCTTCGAGTGCGACGATCTTAAGTTTGCATCACCAGCTACGGTATCTCGCACCGCGATGCTTTTCCTGTCCGAAGAAGCCGTGGACCCTTCGCTCATCGTCAAGGGATGGTTAGCGAAACAGCCGGAGAACATCCGCGGCCACTTGGAAGCTTGGTGCAACGACTACTTCTTCAAGGCGCTGTCTCGCGCGTTGAAGCTCCCGAACGCCACGCGCACGACGAAGGTCGGAACGATCAAGAACGCGCTCAGTCACCTCGTGGGCGCGGACAGCAGACGCGCGTTCGCGCGTGGTCTCGCCCGCGGTCTCGCGTCGAATATGGCGACGAAAGCGAGGAAGGATTTTTTGAACGAACTTTCAAAACTCCTCGGCGAGCAGGACTTGCTTCACGTCGCCGCCTCTTCCATCGACCGATCCGAAGCTCCCCCCGCTGGGATCCTGGAAGGGAAGTGGCGCGGCGTCGTCATGGTCGATGCGGTTGCGCAAGTGCAGTCGCTGGTCATGCCGTGGTTAGAATCGGGTCAGCCGTTTGTGCTCGTCGGGCCGGAGGGATGTGGGAAAGCGCTGGTGCTCGACGACTGTTTCGCGCGACTGCGATCGACTTCCGTCGCGACGATCGCGTGCTCCGCGCAGACGACCGCGTCGAACGTGATCCAGAAGCTCGCACAGTGTTGCGGGCAGCCTCAGAACACGAGCGGCGTCGCTCACAGGGTGCTCCGTCCTCGCGACTCGGAGAGGCTCGTTTTGTACTTGAAGGACATCAACCTCCCGAAACCGGACAAGTACGACACGATTCAGCTCATAGCGTTTTTGCAGCAGCTCTTGACGTACGAAGGCTTCTACGACGACACCCAGGAGTTCATCGGTCTGATGAACATCCAGTTCGTGTGCAGCATGAACCCCGCGACGACGGTAGGGAGGCATCCGATCACGTCGCGGTTCACAGCGATTGCGGGGATCGCGTACATGCCGTATATTCCGCGCGAGCAAATGTCTGAGGTGTACGAAAGGATGTTCGGCGAGTTCGTCGCGAACACGAAGTATGCGAAAGACGCGCTCCGTCGGCAACTCGCGGACACCGTGCTTGAAGTGTACGAAAAGGTATCTGAGGCGTTCAGCGCGGACGACCACAGACACTACAAGTTCACCCCGAGGACGATCACGGAGTGGATTCAGGCTTTACATCGATACGACCTGCAAACCGTAGATCTCGTCCAGGCGTTGTATTACGAAGCCGGCCGGACGTTTAAAGACCGACTCGTCGGCGCGCAAGCGGGGAAGCATTTCGATACGCTCGTGTCGAACGTGTTTCGCGCATATTGGCGCGTGGACGCGCTCGAGAACTCCGAAAGGGTCTTCACGACCTGGGCGGTCGCGGACCAGCGCACGCTCGCGCTCGGCGTCGCGTCTAAAATGGGCGCGATGCCGGCGAAGGGGTTCGAATCCCACGTCCGATCGAAGCTCGTGTCGTACGAGCGCGAGCTGAAGGAGCTCAACATTTTGTTGTTTCCCGAGGTGCTCGAACGCCTCGCGCGTTTCAACCGCGTCCTCAGCCAGCCCGGCGGCCATTTACTCTTGGCAGGTCGATCAGGTGTCGGTCGCAGGTCCACTGCCGCGCTCGTCGCGTTCATGCACGACTTTGAGTTTTTTAGTCCGAAGATGACGCTGACGTACGACGAGCGCGCGTTCAAGATGGACCTGAAACGCGTGTTAGCCGAGGTTGGCGTGGAGAATAAGGAGACGGTACTGTTCATCGAAGACCATCAGCTCGTGACTCCCGCGATCCTGGAGACGGTGAACTCGCTTCTCTCGAGCGGCGAGGTCCCCGGACTCTTCTCCAATCTCGAGCTCGATCAGATGCTCGGTCCTCTGAAAGAGGAGATGCTCGCGGTCGGGACGATGCAGAGCTCGTTCGATTTCTTCACCGCGCGTGTCAAGGCGGGGATTCACATCGTTCTCAGCATGGATCCAGCGGACGACGAGTACGCGGCGCGGACTGAGTCCAATCCCGCGCTCTTCACGCGGTGTTCCATGCACTGGATGGACACGTGGAGCGAAGAAGGGATGCTCGCGGTGCCGCACATGTTGCTCAGCAAACCCACGAACGATGACGAGGAGGAAGAGGAGGAGGAAATCGTCGTCGACGAAAACATCGTGCGACAGATGGCTTCCGTGCAACAAACCGTCGGAGGCACGCCGCGACAGTACGTCACGTTCGTGAACCAGTACCGGAGAATTTTCAAGGCGAAGCGCGAAGAGCAGACGGAACAACGCACGCGACTCACCGCGGGCTTGTCGAAGCTCGACGAAGCCGCCGGGAAAGTCGCAGAGCTCTCGACGCAGGCGGTCGAGCAACAGAAACTCCTCGCGCAGAAGCAAGAGCAAGCGGACGAAGCACTCCAGCGAATCACGGTGAGCATGTCCGCGGCGAGTGAGCGCAAGAAAGAAGTCGAAGCGTTGCAGGTGAAACTCGGGCAGGAAGAGCAAGTCCTCATCAGCCGCAAGGCGGGCATCGAGGACGAGCTTAAGGACATCCAGCCCGTCATCGACTCCGCTCGAAAGGCGGTCGGGCAAATTAAATCCGACAACCTGAACGAGATCAAGTCGCTGCGCGTCGCCCCGGAAGCGATCCACGACGTCCTCGGAGGTGTCTTGACCCTCATGGGACAAACGGACACGAGCTGGGCGACGATGAAGAAATTCCTCACGCCGAAAATTAAAGACGAAATCATCGATTTTGACGCGCGCACAGTCACGCCGCGCAATCGCGAAGCGGTGAAGAAGCTGTTGCAAGACAAGGCGGCGTCATTCGAACACGCGAACATCTTTCGCGTTTCAGTCGCTGCTGCGCCTCTCGCCGCCTGGGTCAAGGCGAACGTGAAGTACTCGATCATTCTGGAGAAGATCAAACCGCTCGAGGATGATTTGCAAGACCTGGTGGACTCGTTAGAACGGTCGAAGCAACGCGTCGTGCAGTGCGAGCGAGACCTCGTGGATCTTGATCAGGAGGTGGTCGACTTGAAAGCCGAATTCGGACGGCGCACGGGTGAGGCGGAGTCGCTGAAGCTTAGCCTGAAGAAAGCGGAGGATCAACTCGAAGCCGCGGAGAGACTTCTTGGTAAGTTGGGAGGGGAGAAGGCTCGTTGGGAGGAGCAAGTGTCCGCAATTGACGCGACGACGCAGGCGCTGCCGCGCGACTCCCTCCTCGCTGCAGGGTTTATCACGTACCTACCTTCGCTTCCGGAAGATAAGAGACAGGACGCTATGACGCAATGGACTTCCATTCTAGGCGTGGGACGATTCGACTTGAGGAGATTCATGTCGAGCGAGAGCGAGATGTTGACCTGGAAAGCGGAGGGTTTGCCGGGCGACGGGCTGTCAATGGAGAACGCAATCGTCATCTTGCAGTCCGTGCAAGCGCCGCTAATCATCGATCCGTCCACAAAAGCGAGCGAGTGGTTGAAAAATCACGCGGGCGCGAAAGAAAAGGCCTCGCTGGAGACGGTGACGATGCACGACAAACGTTTCAGCAACAAGCTCGAACTCGCCGTCCGCTTCGGTAAAACGCTCGTCATCGAGGAAGTCGACAAAATTGAACCGATCCTGTACAGCATCGTGCGCAAGGACCTTGAACGTCAAGGTCTTCGGTGGGTCGTCCAAGTCGGCGACAAGACGGTCGATTACAACGAGTCCTTCAGGCTCTACCTGGTGACGCGTAACCCTTACCCGACTATTCCTCCGGCCGCGGCTTCTGTGATTTCCGAGGTGAACTTCACCGTTACGCGCTCTGGGCTCGAAGGTCAGTTGCTCGGCTTGGTGATCCAGCACGAGCAACCCGAACTCGAGAAACAGAAGAGTCACTTGCTTCAGGTCGAGGAAGACTTAAAGGTTCAGCTCGCGGGTCTCGAGAAGACGTTACTTCACACGTTGGCGACCTCGACCGGGAACATCCTCGAGAACCAGCAACTCATCGATTCCTTGGACGAGACGAAAGCGAAAGGAACGACCGTCAAGGAATCGCTCGAGGAATCGACGTCGCTTCAAGAGTCGCTCGACGAGCAGCGAAACGCGTACCGTCCGATCGCGGAGCAAGGATCGAAGATGTTTTTCCTCACGCGAGACCTTCGAGCGCTGTCGAACATGTACCAGTTCAGCTTGAACTCCTTCGTCGCGTTGTTCAAATCTGCGCTGAGCGGCAGCGCGCCGTCGTCGAACTTACGCGAACGGATCGAAGTGCTGTCGCACGCGCTGCTTCAGCTCGTGTTCTGTCACGTCAGTCGAAGCATCTTCAACGTGGACCGACTCACGTTCGGAATGCACTTCGCGAGGCACCTCTCGCGCGACCGCGCGGACACGGAGGAGTGGAACCATTATTTCGGCCTCGACACCGGCGACGGGTCGAGATCCGCCGCCGGTCGCGGCGCGGCGCCGAACTGGATATCCCCGGAAGCGTCAAAGGGATACGAGAACCTCGTCGCCGCGTTCCCATCGGTCGTCACCGAGTACGGATTCAACGACGGCGCGATGTGGGGCGAATGGATGCGTTCCCCCGCGGCGGAGACCTGCGTCCCCGAGCGCGGGATCGACGTCAAGCCGTTCATGCGGTTGCTCCTCGTGCAGGCGCTGAGACCGGACCGCCTCGAGTCCGCGATGACTTCGTTCGTGTGCGACCAGCTCGGCGTCGAGTCGATCGCGCCGCCGCCGCTCTCGCTCTCGAGGGTGTGCGAGGAAGCGAGCTGCACCTCTCCGGCGCTGTTCATCGTGACCCCCGGGTCGGATCCGAGCCAAGAGCTCGAAGAGCACGCGTTGAAAGCGCGAGGCAACGGACGGTACCATCAACTCGCGATGGGGCAAGGGCAGGCCGAGGAGGCGATGCGGCTGCTCGTGGATTGCGCGAGAGACGGCGACTGGCTCTGCCTTAAGAATCTCCATCTCGTCGTCGCGTGGCTGCCCACGCTCGAGAAGGAGATTTACGTCTTGAAACCGCACGCGGACTTTCGTCTGTTCCTCACGTCCGAGGCGCACGCGAAGTTCCCGTCGTCGCTCCTGGAGGGTTGCCTGAAGATCACGTACGAAGCCCCGCCCGGGTTGAAACGCAACGTGAGCCGGACGTACGAGACGTGGTCGCAACAGTACATCGCCGACGGGAGCCCACTGCGCGCTAAGCTCCTGTTTCTGCTCGCGTGGTTCCACGCGGTCGTTCAAGAGCGCCGCGCGTACGTGCCGCAAGGGTGGTCGAAATTTTACGAGTTTTCCTTCGCCGACTTGCGGAGCAGCGCGGACATCATCGACCAAGCGTGCGGGAACGGCGCGGAACCGCAGTGGTCGCAGCTTCACGGGCTGTTAGAGCGCGCGATATACGGCGGGCGGGTGGACAGCGACTACGACATCCTCGTGTTGCGAACGTACCTGAAGCAATTCTTTAGCGACGAGATGACTGGCGCTTGCGGATCGCGCGTCCGGGCGCTGCCGGGGACGAACATCACTTTGCCGAACTCGACGAACCACGCGGACTTCACCGCGACGTTGACCGCGCTGGACGAGGCGAACTCGCCGTCGTTGTTCTCCCTGCCCGTGAACGTGGACCGCATGGTTCAGGTGACGAACAGTAAGAACGTGATCACGTCGTTGCGCACGATGGTGCTCGCCTCTGGCGCGAGCAGCGGATTCGACCGCGACGCGTGGTCCGCGGCTTTGCGCCCGTTGTTGCGGTCGTGGGATAAGCTCAAGGCTGCGAACCCGGGGATCATGTCCGCGCCTTCCGCGCCCGGCCCGTCCGAGGCAGCGCCGGTGGACGCGTTCGTGGAGCTCGAGAAGGCGCGCGGTCACAACGCCGTGGACGAGGTCGATAAGACGCTCGCGACGCTCAAGGCGGTTTTGAAGGGCGCCGAGCTCCTCACGCCCGCGATTTTCGCCGCGGGAAAGTGTCTTCTCAACAACACCGTCCCGCCGGGTTGGGAGAAGCGATGGGAAGGACCGGAGGAGCCGGTGAAGTATTGTAAGGCTATCGTGCGTCGGATGGTCGCGGTCAGCGCGATGATGGAGCGCGTCAAGCAAGGCGCACTTCTCGCGAAGCCCGTCCGGCTCGAGGACTTTTTCCACCCGGAGACGTTTTTAAACGCGTTGCGGCAGCAGAGCGCGCGAGAGGCTGGCGTCGCGATCGACTCGCTCGAGCTCGTGACGTCCTGGGACGCGGCGAAATCCGCGTCCGTTCCCGGTGCGTTCGTGGACGGACTGCGGTTGCAAGGCGCGGTGTTCGACGGGAGGAGCCTGCGCGACACCGCCGCGGACGCGGCGCCGTTCGCGAGGTTACCGGTGGCGAGGTTGTCGTGGCTCGTCCCCGGGCACCCGAGCGCGTCGGGACCGTCTGGGGGCGGGAACGAGCCGCCGATGCGGGTGCCGCTGTACCTCACCCCGGAGCGCGAGAAGGCGATCGCGGAGCTGCAGTTTCCGGTGTACGACTCCGAAGAATCCGCGAGATGGATCCTCGCCGGCGTCGCGGTGACGCTCGCCTGAGAAGAGCGGGGGGCGAGAGAGTCTTCCAGTTTTTTCATCACTGCTCTTTCTGCTGCGCTGTTCTCGAATTTTTTAATCCTCAGATCTAGACATAGAGACCAAACGCTCATAGTCGGTTGCGCACCTCTTCGCGCGCAACCGCTACCGCGATGCCGCCTCGACGTAATCTTAGGAAGAAGGTAGAGGCCGATGACGACGACGGGGACACCCCGGGAGTTTTGTCGGCGGAGCCTCCGAAGGCGAGTAGCGCCAAGCCGAAGAAGGGCACCCGGGGAAAATCGGACAAGAAACCAGGGGCTTCTCTGCTGAGCTTCGACGACGAGGAGACGGAGGCGGACGCGTTCCAGGTGAAGAAGAAATCGTCGGGGAATAAGAAGTCCATGGCCGCGCCGGACGCGTTCATGATGCGCGACGACGGCGGCGGCGCGTCCCACGGAGATCCGAAGAAAAGCGCCGTCGGCGGCGAATACACGATCGATCGACTTCGCGAGCTCGCGAGCTCGCAAAAGAGCTTCGGCGCGCGGCCGGTGGAACATCTCGATCCGAGCGCTCCCGCGGTGTTCAAGTTCAGCGGCAGCGACACGGCCGCGGGAGGGGAGTTCGGCGCGTTGGATCCAGTCGCGTTCGTCCCGCCTCCGCCGCCAAGGAAGAAGCCCGTGGCGTCCGAAGACGTCGCAATTCCAGACGCCGCGTCGATCAAGGCGGCGAAAGCGAAACGAGAGCAAATGCGCACTGGGGGCTCAGCCGCGCCTGATTACATCCCCGTGTCCGGCTCGGAACATCTCGAGGAGCTCGCCGCGCGAAGAGGAGGAGGGGGAGGAGGAAGAGGAGTTGACTGCCGAGGGGAATCCGACGGCGAACAAGACGAAAACGTCAGGGTAAAGTTTGGGGTCGGCGGCGAATCCGCCGGGGGCAAGGGCGTATTTCAAGCCATGGTCGTCGACCACGCCGGGGACGACAAGGATGATTTGAACTGGGAAGACGAACAGCTCAAGAGAGTCATGGGCGGCGGCGGCAGATTCAGAGCGGCGAAGAAGGCGCCCGCGAGCGTGTCCGCAAACGGGGAACGAGCGCTCGCATCACTTCGCGCTGGTCTGTCCCGCGCGGACGGGTCCAGACGCGCCGCGCTGGATGAACTGAAGCGCGCGGACGAATCACTCGCGTCTTCAGATGCCGCGCTCAAGTCGCACGAGGAACGTTTAGCGACCGCGGGGGAGAGGTACAAATTCGTGCAGGAGCTCAAACACTATTTTCGCGATCTGTGCGCGTGTTTGAAAGACAAGGCGCCTATCATCGAGGAGCTGGAGGAACACGTGCAACGCTTGCACGAGCAAAGAGCTGCAGCGGCGACGGCAGCGTCCGAGGGGGAGGCGCAGGACGAAGCAGCAGAAGCTGAGGCGGCCGTCGAAGCCGCGCAAGCCGCTCTCATGCGAGGCGAGTCTAGTGCGGAGGCTGTCGCCGCGTCGACAGCCGCGGCTGAATTCGCCGCGACGGCGCGGTTCACCGGCACCCAAAAACTCGACGAGTTCGGCCGCGACTTGAATCTCGCAAACAGAGTCGCCGCGGAGAAGCGCACCACGGCCCGACGCGCGCGCCGTGCTGCAGAGGAAGCCGCTTCCGGAGACGCAACATTCGCGCACGCCCCAATCCTAGGAGAGGCTGACGACATAGAAGATCCCGGCGAGGTCGAGTTATTTTACAAAGGATGGCAAGACGCGCGAGAAGCAGGGTCGTGTGTACTGCGCGACGCTGGGGCGGATTTTGCTTCCATCGCCCCGGTGAAAGCAAAGTCAGAACAATGGAAAAAGCGGTTTCCGAAGACGTATCAAGACGCGTACATGGCCGCGTCGACGCCTCAGCTATTCGCTCCGTTCGTTCGACTCGAGCTCCTGTCTTGGTCGCCGCTTTACGCGCCGTCGTCTGAGTCATCATCTGGTGAGCCCGCGTCGCCCATCGACGGGATGTCGTGGTACTCCGAACTCTTCGATTACGGCATGGGGGGCAGCTCAATCGAAGACGACGAGGACGCGAACCTCGTTCCGACGATCATGGAGAAGTTATTAGTTCCCATTATCGAGCACGCGGTCAAAGAATGTTGGGACGCAACTTCAGTCGAGCAATCAAATCGAATCGTCGCGGTCGTCAAGGAGCTTCTCGTGTACCTGGAACCGTCATCGTGCGAGCCAATGGCGAAGCTTCTCGCGGTGGCGAAGAGCAAACTGCACGAAGTCGCGATGAAGAGATGTTCCATCCCATCGTGGGCGCCCGTCGTGACCGCGTCCGCGCCGATCGCGGAGATGTACGCTCGACGACGACTAGGCGCTGCGTTGAGGTGCGCGCGCGCTGCAGTAGCGTGGGAGGGGGCGTTGCCCACTCGAGACGTCAAGTCCGCGGTGTGCGACGGAATAATCGCGCAGCACGTCGCGCCGCATCTGCGTCTTCTTCTCGCTCGACCGGGTGACTGCCTCGCCGTCATCGAACGCACGCTCGCTGTTTTGCCGCGCGAGTGGGTGGTTGGTAACGCTGTAGCGTCCGTGCGTAGCGTGGCGTCGACGCTCGGGCAAATGGTGCGCTCGCAGCCGGAATCACACGGCGCGGCGGCGGCGGCGGCGGCGGATGCCAGAGGCAAAGCCGTCGACCCTCAGCGCCTCGTCGCGGTTCTCGCTGCTTTAGGCGACAAGTCCGAAGCTCAGACGGTCGCGGAGCTCTTCGGCATCGCAACCGTCTTATAGACTTACTAGACTACTGTAAGTTCTCACATTCTAGCTAGCTAGCTACCTTCGTAGATAGCTGAAGAAACCAACGCTCATCAATCGTACAGGAAATACACGACTTCCAAGTTCCTGACCGGCGCGGACGACAGCATGCACTCCGCGACGTGTTCGACGAGCATATCCGTTCGAGCGTTCAGATCCTCCGGGTTCGCGGTCGTCGGATCCGGATTGAATCTCACGAACCTCAGCGGGACGCCGAGGGTGGCTTGCAGCTCCTCCATGCGCTCCTCTTCCGCGCTCCAGCTGTAGTGCTTCCCGCGTCGGTGCGCGAACTCGTCAACTTCGATGACCAACCCCCACGTTGTCACCACGTCGTCATCCGCCTCGTCAACAACCTCGATCACGATGTCGGGCTTTATGCGTCTGTCCTTCGCTTGCACCGCGTAGTTGTAACGCATATCCCTCACCCTAGCCCGTGCGTCCTTCCAGTTCTCTCCGTCCTTGCCTTCGCCTTTCCACCACCCGTGAACTCGGTCGAACACGAACTGTTGCTTCTCCTCGTACGCGGCCGACTTTTTCCCCCATCCGCCGACGACGGGACCTTCCTTGGACTTCTTCGGCTTTTCTTTGAGCAAGACGCGGCTCCCCTTGCGTTGTTTTTCCGGTTCGCGCGCGGAATCGTCCTCGTCGCCGCCCAGCCACGTTACCCCGACCGAATTTTCAGAGCTCAAGTCAGAGAGCCTCTCTCGCGCGTTCGCCCCGCCGTTCACGAGCGCCCACGGCGACATCTTTTGCCTCACGTGCATCATCATCTTAGGCTTTGTGCCTCTTTTCGTGACCCATTCGAAGCCGAGTTTCTCGAGGGCTTCGATTTTTTTCGCGCTCAACGTACCCGCGCGGCGAGACTTGCGTTGATACGCGACCCAGCTCCCGAGTCCGATGTTATGTCTGTACGTCGCGGGGACGTTGCAGTGCCCGTGCACTTTGCGAAACGAGCCGAGCTCTTGAAGGCGCTCTGACCAGCTCACCCTGGGGCTCGTGTTGAGATCGACGCCCAGGCTCTCCAACGCGACGCGGCGTTCGTTCACTAAGCTATCGTTCCCCGCCATTCTACGCTGGTTCACCAACCACTGGTGCAACTTCGTGTCGCCGCTGTGCACTTTCGTGTGGCCGTTCTCGTCGTAAAACGCGCGAAGCTCGTCGAACTTCTCTTTCCATCTCTCGTCTTGCGTTTTCGTGTTCGCGCGCTCTTCGCTGTCGTCAGAGCGAGACGACGAGACCGCCGGTCGTTCCCACTGTATGCCGAGCTCTTCGAGAGCGACGCGTCTTTCTTCGCTCAGGGTGCCTTCTTTCCGTTTCCGGCGTTGGTACACGATCCACCTACACAGCGGAATGAAGGAGGGGTCCGCGCGGGGCACGACGACGTGGCCGTGCTTCTTCTTGAACGCGCGCAGCTCCTTGAACTTATTCTCCCACGCCGTGTTCGATCTTTTACTTCTAGCTTCTTCCCTCTCCCCCGCGCGCGCTTTCCTGTCCAAGGAAGGTTCCCAGACGAACCCGATTTCTTCGAGGGCGCGTTGTCTCTCCGCGCTCATGTTTCCTTGGCGCCTTTTTTGTCGCTGATGCGCGACCCAGCCGACGAGGTGTTTGAACGTTGGATCGCCACGCGGGATGACGATGTGACCGTGCTCATCCTTGAACGCGCGGAGCTCCTGCGAAGGTGGAATGCAAACGGTCAGCGAGTGCTGAGATGGACGCCGCGAGGAGAGGGACGAAGACTTCGCGCGAAGGAGCGCACCTCGAATTTGTTCTTCCAACGAACTTCGTAGGACACGCCTGATACCGCGTCGTCGTCGTCCGCGGACGCGAGACACAGGTGGGCAGACCGGCGGCGGTAAACATTCGACCATCTCGAAGCACACAGGCCGGAAGAGCGCGCGTCGCCGGGGTCAGACTTCAAGACGAGTCGCCGCCGAGATCCGATCGACGATCGGAGCGAAGACGCCGTGTTTTGACTTCCACCGCGTGCCCTCCCAAGGGCACCACCGGACGGGCACGGTCTCGCCGTGTGAGCAACACACGCCGACGTCATGACCCACCGCGCCGACCACACGAAGGCGGTACCAGCGCGAGGTGCACTCGGCGGCCTCAAAGTGACGTCTCGACGTGGGATCGTGATATCATAGTTTTTTGCGCTGCTGCCAATACAGGTACATAGTGATATTTTGACGAAATAGGATACTCCGTCCTCGAGCACGGCGAGCGTGACGTGGTGTTGCTTCCGTCGTCGAGTAAGCTAGATCTATTACTAATATCTAATACAAATAACACGACCGTCCATCCGTCGTCGTCGCCGCCGCCGCCGCCGCCGCGTCGCCCTCATTCGTCTTCGTCATCGTCCTCCTTCCCGCCTTCCTCTGCCCTCTGACGCGGATGATGGAATCGGCACGCTTTTCGGTTGGGACACGCGGTGCCGTTGGGACACACCATCGTGTGCTTATTTCGACACTGCAAACCCCTCGGACAGTACCCGTCCAGAAATGCCTGACACACCGGCGCCGCCGGGTCGACGTTGACGTGAAGGTACGGGCACTCGCGCGCCGAACACGCTCCGGCGAGGAAATAGCTGCACGTGGGCATCCGTTCCGGCACCGCGCGGTGCTGCAGCGTGCACTCGCCGTCGTCGTCGCACTTGCCCGCGAGCCACTTCGTGCACACCGCGACTTTATCGGGATCGTGCGCGCGCTGGCATCTCGACGCCCCGGTCGCGAACCGCCGCGAGCACTTCCCCGTGCGAAGGAACCGGCCGCACAGGAGACCGCCGACGGGCGCGGGCTTCTTCGCCTTCGCTGTCGCGATCCGCGCGCCGCTTCCCCGACGGCTCGCGGGTCCTTTGGGTTTCGCGACCGCTCCACCGCGCACGGCGGTTCGGGGAGCGGACGCGGTGCTCGCCTCGCCCCTCACCCACGTCCCTTTCTTCTTTCTCTGCGGCCGAGGTGGCTGAGCGTTCGTCGTCGTCCCGGACGCGCCCTCGCCGCGGACCCAGACGTGTTTACCTCGCCTCGTCGGTTCGACCGCGCGAGGTGGGGCCATCGCTTTGCCCCCTCCATCGCAGCCCGCGTCCTCGCGATGCCACGTATTCTGCCGTAGTGGCATATTAGCCCTAGGGTTCGCACGCGCGCGTCATCCAACTACGTGCGTGCGCGGAGGATTCTGTGGACGAGATCTGACAACTGAGGTCGAAGTTTGCCAAAAGTTTGCACTTGAATATCGTGCCGAAGAGTACGCGAACGACGGCGCGGAGTATCTGCGCGATCACCACGTAGCCTAGATCTACTAGAGACGGCACAGCCGGCGGACGCGGCGGCGAACGAAGGTCGAGGAAGCGGCGTGATATCATTCACATCGGCGGCGCACACAGGTCGAGAACCCTCCGCGGCGGCGCCAGGGTCAGTCGTCCAACAGGTCGTCATCCTCGACGTCCGGGTCGTACGCCGTCTGCCTCATCCCCTCGCCGTCGTCATCACCCCCCGCTATCTCGTCGTAACTATCGTATCCACCCCCTACGCCCCAGCCGTCGTCCGCGCGCATCCTCCGGCCCTGTGCGCCGTATCCGCCGCCGTCGTCGTCGCTCCACGCGCGTTCGTCGTCCGAAGACGTGCGCGAAGATGGGTAATCCGCGAACGGCGCGTCCTCGCGGTTCGAATCCTCGGAGTCGACGTCATCGTCCGGACCGTCGTCTACTAAACCGTCCATGACGTCGAAGAACAGCTCGGTGTCGCTTCCCCCGACGTACACGACGTCTTCTGCGTCGGACCACACTTTCGTGGCGGAGTCGTCCGTCTCGTCGTCGTCGTCGACTTGCACGTAGACGTCGTACACGTAGTCGTCGTCCGTCGCGGGCCTGGCCGCCGCCGCCGCGGCCGCGCTGCCTTGGGTCGACTCTAAGTATTCTTTGACCATGGGCATGTAGTCGCACATCAGCGTCGACGCGTCGAGCCCGGCGTCGTCCGTCCCCGGCGCCGGCGCGTCCGCTTCGCGAGGTGCCCACTTTCGCCCCATGGGTCTCCTCGCGCCGTCGTTCCCCGAGTCCCCCGACCTCGCGTCGGGCGTCTCCCGCGCCGTGCACTCGAGGTCATACATCCTGAAATCGCGTTTGCGCGACGTCGCGCCGTGCACGAGCTCTCGCACGCGTCCATCTTCGTTCGCGTCGGACGCCGAGAGCGTCGTCTGCACGCGTTGAAATCGGCGCCGACTTGGTCGTTCGCGTGGATCGCGACGCGACGCCGCGACTCGCGAGCTCGCGGTCGCGGCGGAAACCCCTGGCGCGTCCCCGACCGCGTCCGATGAAGCCCCGGCGTCCGCGTCCCCGAACGCGCCCGACAGCGCTTCGTCCAAGTCCGCGGCGAGGGCGGCATCTCGCGCGCGACGTTTCGACGCGTGCCCTTCCTCGGCTTCGATCACGAGCGTGTCCGCGGGCTCGAGCTCGCGCTTGCGCTTCACGCGAACGACGACGGGTAATCGCGCGGTCATGGCGCGCGAGCGCGTGCGATACCCTCGCGCCGTTCGCCGATCGTTCGCGGTCCGAGACGCTCGCTCCGCGTTCGCGACTGTGACGACGCCGACGCTTGGCGGGCGGCGCGACGTGAACGTTTTCAACGACCGGCGAATAAAGTACCTGCTGTGAGGGCCAATCCATAAAGTTCATCGGTCAGTTGAAAGGGAACCCGATCAAATGTTGAACCTGTGGGGTGGGTGAAAGTTTATGAGTCGCTCCTGTCGTCGCGCTCGGGACGCGCGTCCAGACAGGACTCAATTATCGAAGAGACGCCGCGCAGTGAACGCCCGCGCGCGAGCACGTTCGTCCGGGAAGGCGGCACCGGGCGCGCGATGAGCGACAAGATGCCGGTGCGTAAGGAGGGGGGGAGGCCGGGGAAGCAGTGTTACATGATCTGGTGCGCACGAGCACGCGCGCGCGACATTTGGTTCGCCACCGGACGATCAAACTCCGGGAGGGGCACTCGCAATTCGCTTCCGCTCGTCCATCTAGTGCCCGCGCTCACCCGTTTCTTCCCACCCACCCATCGCGCAGGCGGAGTCTCTTCGAGATCGACGAGAAATACGTCCCGATCAAACCCATCGGTAAAGGTGCGTACGGAGTCGTTTGCTCGGCGAAAGACTCGGAGACTGGGGAGAAGGTCGCGATCAAGAAGATCGCTAACGCCTTCGACAACGTCACGGACGCGAGGCGGACGTTACGGGAGATTAAGCTCCTGCGTCGGTTGCAGCACGAGAACATCGTTCTCTTGAAAGACATCATGAAACCCCCGAGCGCGTCCGACTTCAACGACGTCTACCTCGTCTACGAGCTCATGGACACGGACTTGCATCAGATCGTTCGCTCGTCGCAAGGGTTGTCAGACGAGCACACGCAGTACTTTCTGTACCAAATCCTCCGCGGGTTGAAATACGTTCACACCGCGAAGGTGCTGCATCGCGACTTGAAGCCGTCGAACCTGTTACTGAACGCGAACTGCGACTTGAAGATTTGCGATTTCGGGTTGGCGCGGACGGACGCGGAGAGAGGGTTCATGACGGAATACGTCGTGACGCGGTGGTATCGTGCCCCTGAGTTGTTGTTGTCGTGCGAGGACTACAGCGCGAGCATCGACATCTGGTCCGTGGGGTGCATTCTGGCGGAGATATTAGGACGTAAGGCACTGTTCCCGGGGAAGGACTACATTCACCAGATGAGGCTGATCGTCGAGGTGCTCGGAACGCCAAAAGTCGAGGATCTCGTTTTCATTCAGTCGCAGAAGGCGGTGGCGTACATCAAGTCCCTGCCGTACAGTCCGCCGGCGAGGTTCGACACGATGTACCCGGACGCGAACCCGGACGCGGTGGACCTTCTGTATAAGATGCTCGAGTTCAACCCGAAGAAGCGGATCACGGTCGAACAGGCGCTGGAACATCCGTACCTCGCCAACTTGCACGACCCTAGCGTGGAGCCAGCGTCCGAGCCCGCGCCGTACGAATTCTCGTTCGAGGACGAAGAGTTGGAAGAGAACCAACTGCGAGCAAAGGTGTGGGAGGAGATGTTAGCTTTCCGTGGAGAAGGAGGGGGCTCGGGTGTCGTTCCCATGTTCAGCTGACCTGTTCCGTAGAGTTATTATTTCAGCACACTAGACCAACAACCACGAGCACAGAGTTCTACTCGCCGCGCACGAGACCATGAAAGAACTCGCCGCCGCGATGTGCGACGGCGTCACGCCGCTCGTCGCATTCATCGGCATCGCGTGCTTAAACGCGGCGGTTCTCGTACACGTGCGTCTTAGGCAGTGGAGAGCGTACGGTGCGTTCGACGACCTGCCGCGCGTAAATTCTCTTCGCACCTCGTTCGCGTTACCCCGCCGCTCCCCGCGTAGACAAACCTGATCGATGTACGTATATCGCGTCGTCTCGCAGGTGGCAAAGGCGGCGATACGCCGCGCGCGTGGAAGAACGTCCTGCTCGTGATCTCGCACCCCGACGACGAAGCGATGTTCTTCGGGCCGACCATCCAAACGATCCACTCCCAGGGTGCCCAAACCCACGTCTTGTGCCTGTCCAACGGGGACGCAGACGGCGCGGGCGCGGTCAGAGCGAAAGAGCTCGAGAAGGTCGCGCGGTATCTCAACATACGGTCGCTCACGCTCCTGGACGACCCTCGCTTGAAGGACGGGTTCGGGGAGACGTGGGACGAAGCCGTCGTCGCGTCTCACGTCGACGACGCTGTGAAACGCGTCGACGGCGTCGACGCCGTGCTCACTTTCGACGCGCGAGGGGTTTCGAGACACCCGAACCACGTTGCGACGCACGCGGGGGTCGTGGCGTGGATGAAGACTATCAGGGACGTCGGAGGCGGCGCGCGCGCGACGCGGGGACGTAAACCGAAAGCGCCGGCCGCGTGGGCGCTCGTGTCCGTGAACGTCTTGAGAAAGTTCGCGCTCGCGGCGGACGCGTTCGCGTCGTTCTTCCTCGAGCCGCACGTCCTCGTCGTCTCGTCAAACCCGTTGGCGATCGTGCGCGCGATGAGCATGCACAAGAGTCAGTGGGTGTGGTACCGGAAACTGTTCGTCGTGTTTTCGAGGTACACGTACACGAACACGTTGAAGCGAATGTGACGAGCGCGCCGTGAAAGTAACCCGGAAGGAAGTACGTAAGTATCTTATAGGTAGACGAGTTGTGAAGGTGTTGATCCAGGACTCTTATGTCGTTTTATTCACACATCATCGTGTAACGTCGCTCGCTAGTATAACGTGAACGGTATCATTCCCGCGTGGCGGTGCTCCCCGCGTTCGCCAACGTGTTCCCCCCCGGGACTGGCTTGGACCAAAAGCCGATCGACCCGTCGTAAGACCCCGAGTACACACAGTCGGCGTCTTCCCCAGTTGACGTGAGCACGCGCACGGCGTCGTCGTGTCCCTCGTATTTCCCCACGCAGTTGAACGTATCCGTGCTCCAGAACCTGACCGTCGTGTCGTACGATCCGCTAATGAGATGTCCGTCCATCACCGTCAGTGCTAACACGGCTTCGACGTGTCCCTCGAGGACGTGGACGCACTCGAGCGACCTCATGTCCCACACGCGAATCGTCTTATCCCACGACCCACTGTACAGAAAATCACTATCCGCGGTGAGAACGCGAACGTTGTCCTCGTGACCTTCGAAGACGCGCACGCACTGGAAGGTGGAAGCATCCCACACGCGAACCCTGGAGTCGTCCGAGCCGGAAAACACGTACTTCAAATCCTCAACCGGGGAAGCCGCGAGCGCTCTCACCGCATCCGTGTGGCCCTCCAACACCGCGACCGACTCCAAGGTCTCCGTGTTCCACACCCTGACCGTCTTATCGTACGATCCAGAGAACAGAGACGTCCCGAGGATCGTGAGCGTGCGCACCGGACCGGTGTGACCTTCCAACACCTTGAGCGGCTTCAGGGTGTTGATGTCGTACGCCCTGAGCGTGGCGTCGTACGACCCACTGAAAAGTTTGTCCCCCGCGACCGCGAGCGAGCGCACCGCGTCCGTGTGTCCGTGCAGGGCTTTAACTCGCCTGAACGTTCGCATGTCCCACACCCTTATACTGCAGTCGTACGATCCCGAAAACAGCTTGCCGTGCCTGTGGCTCACCGCGAGCGAAAGAACCGGTCTAGTGTGCTCTTCCAGCACGTGCAAGCAGCGCCTCGTGGCCGTGTCCCACACGCGGATCGACTTGTCCGCGCTCGCGCTGAACAAGTGCGACGGCGTCGCTTCTACCGCCCACACTATTTCTTCGTGCCCTTCCAGCACGGTGTGCCCGATTGTGTTCGAACCCTCGTTGAGCGAAGTCGAAGGCTCCCCTCCGTTCACGCTGTTCACCACAGCCTTTTCCGTCACGCTAGTGAGCTGCCGATCGCTCAAGGTGATGCCGTGCTCGGTCGCAAATTGCTGAATCGCCGTGCGAAGGGCGAAGTTCGGGGTGAGCTCGAGATGCCTCAGGCGCTGGCCGGTCACCGGACAGGTCTTGTGACCCTGTTCGAGCCACCTCTGGATCGAAGGGCGGTCGTAGGTGTGCCCGGTCTGGATCATCACCGGATCGGACATAATCTCCATGGAGACGGGGCACTGGAAGTGCGAGGGCGTTTCGACCTTCGCTTTCGCGTCGATGCTGAGCCCCGCCATATTCAGCCCTGACTTCGCAGATCCGCCACCTTTGTCCATGACGAAATCGAACGGGGGAAAGAGCGCGTCTAAAAAGGTTTACACGTGTTGCCCACGCGGCTCCTGAAAAAGGGCGGCGCCGCTTCGAATGCGCGCGGAGCCTGCGTCTCGCACGCACGGCAAACGCGTGTTCACGTCGCGTGCAGCCGCGAAGAGCGAATCACAACCCGCGATCCGCTCGAGCCGTGCGCTCGACCCGCTCGGAAGTGAGCCGCGGACGCCCGAGGCATTTTTACCGCGTCCTCCCAGAGACCGATCGGCGATTCGACGGTCGGCGACCGCGGGGCGTTTTGCAGGTTGCGTTTTGCAGTCCCGGCCACGGCGGGAGCTCACGGGTCGTCGGCTCGTCCTGGAAAACAGGGCAGTCTCCACCGCGCGCGAGGGCTGCCGACGCGCGGGGACTCATGAACGCGCTCGCGGCGAGCGCTCGGGGCTTCGTCAGGACCATGGCGACGTCCTCGAGCTCGGTTACGCGGCGAACGGGAGGCCTCGTCGCGGTGGTGTACGTGTCCGAAGGGAAGAACGAGGGCGTCGTGGCTAATCTCGAGCGAACCGCCGAGGAGACGTGCGAGAAACACGGCGCGAAGGTCGTGAACGTGTTCCGCGACGTCGAGTACAACCGCACGGGGTTCACGCTCGGGATGGGTATCGCGTCCGCGGCATCCCTAGAGCCTGCGGCTTTGTCTGGGGCCGTCGAGCCGCTCCGGCAGAGCGCGTTGGCGCTGACGGAGAAGGCGCTCTCTCTGATCGACCTCAGAACGCACACCGCGACGCATCCTCGCTGTGGCGTCGTAGATCACATCAGCTGCCACGCCATCGGGGATGCCGACGATGCAGCGGCGGCGTGTTTAGCTAAGACTCTAGGCGAGAGAATCGGCGTGGAATCGCGCGTCCCCGTGCTCTTGTACGGAAACGCGTCCGGGGTCGGGACGCAACTTGCGGCGTTGCGGCGACGATACGGGTATTTCAAAGAGACCGCCGCCAGGACCGGGGGATGGGCGGGTGAACACGTCGTAGACGGCGGCGAGGTACTCTCAGACTACGGACCGTCGATCGTGCCGCCGGAAGCGGGCGTCGTCATGCTCGGGGCGACGCCGTGGATATATAACTACAACGTCCCCGTCGCGGCAGAATCGTTCGACGGAGACGGCGGCGGCGCAGAAGACGTTGCGCAGGTCATGACCGCGGCTCGCCGGGTCGCGAAGAAAGTGAGCGAGCGAGGTGGTGGGCTCGTCAAGGTGCAAGCTATGGCGCTGCCGCACGGGAAGGACGGGGATGCGGTTATCGTGGAGATCGCGTGCAACTTACTCGACGTGTCCGTGACGACGCCCGCCGAGGTGCAAGACGCGGTCGAGCGAGCGTGCCGCGAAGAGGACGCGGTGACGTTCCGCGTCAAGGAGGGGTACGTGACGAACTTGACGCCAGAGGAGATGTTAGCGCGATTGTCCGCGCAGAGCTAGAACTAGCGAATCTAGTAAAATAGCCGCCTAAGTTATGTTCACTCATCAGGGGTGCCCAGCTCAGATATCTTCTCTCATTCTGGACGAGGAAAATACGTTTGCGCGCCAAAATTCCTGACGGCACTTCGCGTTCCCGCACAACAACGAGGAGCGAACGCTCGCACGAGGTCGCACGCGACAGGATGTGCGCAACTTGCTGATGCCCGACCGTCGTTCATGAATCTCTGAATCACCGCGAGCAGCGAAATCACGCGCTATGGAGAGAATGCCCGCGTCAGAGTTCTCCAACGAATTGCTCGCCGTCCTCGCGAGCGAGGAAAGACTGCGCGACTGGCTGGCGAGCCTGCGAGACGCACTCGGGCGTCGTCCGCTCTCCGCGGCTGATGCTCTCTTAATCGGTGTCGTGCTCGCCAAGAGCCGCTCTGTCGAGCACGTGGAGACTGTACTCGAAGTCGAGCGCGTGCTGAAGCGCGCGATCGCGCGAAAAATGCTAGATCCGATCGCCCTTCGCGAAGCCGCGTCCCTCGCCGTCGAACTCGTCGCTTCTCACTCGAAGAAAGAGAAACCGGCTAAGAAACGAGCGAAAACAAAAGCGATGGCAGGGAAGGACGATGCGCGACTCAGCTTGTACGTGCGCGACGCACTCCCCGCGCTTGTCGCGGCGCTGTTGAGTTTTCGGTCCCCTAAAGCGTGGGCGCTCGCAGAGGAAAGTATACCGTTCCTTGTCGCCGCCGCGCCTTCTTCATCACCCGACGCGATCGACAGCTGTGACATCGTCGACGCACACGTTCGTGACGTCGTGATGCCGATTCTCGAATCGCTCATGCGGTCATCCCTCTCGGCCTTGCGCACGAGCACGGAGAAGATTCACGAAACCGAGGCGACGACAAAGGGTGAATCCAGGCACGCGGGCGACGGCGTCGCGGCCCATGTCTTCGCGACAGCGCTTCGCTCGATACCCGAAGCGACGCTGGCGATGGACGGACCTTGGCGGCTTCTTTTAGATTCGTTGCCCGTGCGGTATGGTGGTCATGTAGACTCCTTCGATGTCGATCCTCTGTTGTCTGCGGCTGGACGAGCGCTCGCGCGCGCGGCTTGTGTCGACGACGCGCGACGAATCGAGCTATGCGGGGTCATCGAACAAAAACTCAAAGGTGTTACAGCGTCGCGCGCGGTTGGTCTTGACGTACTTCGGGTGATGTTGAACGGACCAGAGCAACCGCTTTCGCAAGAAGACGTGCGACTGGCCGTGCGGTGGGCGCTGCACGCGGCGTCTTCAGCAAAAGTAAGCGCTGATACCGGAGCGATGTCCGCACAACGATTGATTATTCCAGCTGCGGCGGTTGTAATTGCGGCATTACCGTATCTTGAACGAGATGACATTGCCGCGATGCGTGACGGATGGTTGACACCGCGACTCTCAGCGCAGGCGCTCACTTGGCGCGATGGCACGACTGCGAGTGGCTTCCCACCTGTTTGCACGGTGAGAAGTCACATGAGCATTCCAATCGAGGAAAGGCTTCCCGTTGACGCTATTGCTGCTCTGTTTCATGCAGATTTAGTTCTCGCGGCATACGTTAACCCTATGGAGTTTCGGACTCGCGTAGTCAACGGAGGATTGGAGCTTGGCGTCGCGTCACTCGGAAGAAAGGTCAACGCGAACGAGAAAGCCCAAGCGGGCGTCGCTGCTTCGTGTACGAATGAGAAGTGGGGTTATCTGATGGGAGCTGCGGCGATGACAGTGCTTGCTAATTTGTTGCATGCGTGCCTCGATGCTACGCAAATATACGATGGCGACAACGCGCCTAGTTTTTTTGACCTTGGACTGCCGACGGCGGATGTTCGACGAGCTTTGCTCCACCGTCTCTCGCATCTGTTGGCTTTGCAGCGTGGTATTCAGATTGAAGTAGACGCAGAAATAGATGATGCATTCGCGACTGCTGCGTCATCCTTGCCTCGAGTCCAAGTATCCACATGGTTATCTGCGGTTGAAGCAGTCCTCGCTGAGGATGGACCGCAAACTTCGGGTTACAGTCGATTTGACGTGCCTGATGTCGAACCACAGGTCCAGGCGGGGATATTGTCGCGAGCGGCGGCGGCGTTTTCAACGTCCACTGGGCTCACGAAGCATGAAGCTGGACACGTTTCGACCATAGCTTTCGACCCCGGATTTATTCTACGTGAATTGGTTCGAAGGGGGATTCTGCACAAGTCGCTCATTCTCGCCGAGCGCTTGGCTCCGAACGTTTCTGAGACATCTGCAACTGCTGCGATGACGGTTCAAAGTTTCCGTGGAGCTCAACCTGACCGTTATCAGATGCTATCCGAGCGTTTAGCCGCGCCACCTAGCGCGAATTCTCACGGCGAAGGAAACGAACTGGTCATCGTGAAGCCAAGCTTCGGGCGATGGACGGACACGTCAGCGAGCATCCGTGCGGCTATTGTCGCGGGTTGTTTCGAGCTTTGCACAATCGCGGCGATGTCTTCCTCCTCTCCCGCTATCGAGGCATCCGTGATATCTGCTTTGGCTGCGCCGGTTCTGCAGCTCGATTCTTGGGATTTGAACAACGCCGACGGACTAGCGATCACGTTTGCCGCACAAGACTCAGCGCAGGACGATATGGCATCGGACATGGCATCACACACGCGACTAGCTGTCCTTCAGTGGGTCACCGCACGTGCCACCGAGTGCACCGCTCTCAGGGCGGCGGCACCTGCACTATCTCTTGGGGCGACTTTGCTTCTAGGATTACCCCGAGCTTCTGTGACGGCGTGTTGTCCAACTCTCGTCACTGCGCATGCTTCAGCTGCACTTTGGGGTCGTACGGACTTAGACACCAGTCAATCAGACTCGTTCGAGTGCAGATCGCTGCAGCTTACGCGCGACCTCTTACAAGGATATGTTGAATGCGCTGTTGATGACATGATTCTTTCCGAGCCTCAGTGCGCAACTGACTTTAGTGACGGAACATCTTTCGAACGTGCACAACGCGTGAGCCTTTTGAAAACGGCACACCATCTGACACTCAAGTGTGATGGCGTTAATGCCGCGATCGCTGTGATCATGGACGTTGTGCACGTCATCTCGAATACGACAGATCCAATGCCTTTGCAGTCCTCCTCGACTGCAATATCGGTCGTGCTGGATTTGTTAACTTCACATGTAGGACGAATCATCAAGGACGTTCGTGACGATGCACTCGGATTAAACCAGCGCGACCGTGAAGTGAATATCGACGTCAGCGATCTGCTTATGCGCGTGGGAGAATTGATCGTGCAAACCATCGACGCCGCAGCGATGCTAGTCAACAACGAAAGCGGAAAGAAGAGAAAACTGTCTGCCGTCGTTTTGGTCGACATCATCCATGGCGTGAGTGCAACATTGCTCTCTCTGATTTCCATTAGCGTTTGGATCGCATCAGTGCGAAGCGGCGACAATAAGAAATCGCGTCGATTAGATGACGTAGCGAAGGCTGCTTATGAAAGCAGCGGAAGGCTCGGTATCGCGGTCGACTCGCTCGAAGGCGAGGGTTCAAACGCGAGCGTGAAACGTGAGAGCGCGCGAATGAGGTCGAACCGTGTGTCTTTGCGCGCGGCGACTGCGCTGCGTGCCGGGGCGCAGTTGACTGACCTTTCAGAAGATAAAAATGCGGCAAAGACGGGTCGTAGACATCGGAAGTTTCGAAAAATGCGCTGGGTGGACATGGAGGCAGAGGAGCCCTCGTCGGATGAAGGCGGCGTGGAGGGAGAGGCGGATGACGACGAAGACGACGCGATTTTTTGCGTGCGTCCAAACGGCGACGGCATCGAAGGTTGGGAGATGCATCATCGTCAGTCCGAGAAGCGTCCGTTTCCCGAAGTTGATGGCCCAGTTGAGACCGAGACTACTGCCGTCATAGTTCCACAGATACGTAGAGTCAACGCGTCGCCGAAGAAGAAGGCACACGGACAAGACGTACGAGTTCGAGAGGCTGCGAATAATTTAGCTTAGCATCTACATTCGACACACAAATCTAACGTCACTATCACTTGCTCCAACACACGATCACGAGGACACCATTCGGGGATATTTGGTGTTCCGGTGGTGGATGAATCACTTCCGCTCGCGTTGCTCCGCTCTGCAACGCGGCTTCAAGGAACGCTTGCCGACAACCTTTGGCCCGCTCGTTTTCTGGCTCCGCTATGACAACATGACCGTCTCCGGCAACCAACGCATGACATGCGCTCGCTAATAAAGCTGCGGTAGCGGGATCATACAGACAATCCGCTCCTAGAACTACGTCCACCGGCTGGGAGAGCGTTTGCGGTGCTGACCAATCAAGCAAAGCCCCCGCGACTCGACACCCGCTCGAGCTGTTGTTCACGTCGTCGACGGCGACCACCTCAACCTCGTTTAACGCCGCGGAAGAGAGCGCACAGTGAATAGCTAACGGTTCTCGGTCACAGAAAATCACGCTTTTACTTCCACCGAACATCGCCGCGGAGAGTCCCGCGAGCCCGAGCCCACATCCGACCTCCACAACACGCTTAGAACGCAGCTCAGGCAGAGACTCGACGCAAGAAGCAACGCAAGATGCAAGGATGCGCGACGTGAACCACAGCTTCCCCCAGCTCGGATCCGCCTCCATCTGCCCCTTGGATTCGTACCAGTCCCACAGGTCTTCAGCACCGGGTGGCTTTACGACCTTCAGGCGATCTTCGCCCACTCTTGTTACGACCTCGACGAGAGGGGGTAGGGCGTCGTTTCCCTCGGTCAGAGAGGCAACGATTTCATCTTCGTCGTCGACACCGAACGACCGCACCGCCGGCAACGAGGCCGCGAAAACCGGACGGGGGCGACGAGGGATCCGCCCGGGTGATAATCCACGAACGCGATATGGTGACGCTAACATTTGCACACGGTTCGAGCCCGCGTGCAAGGCGCACTGTGTGTCAAGGCGCACTTGACGAGGGAGGCGCTTCGAGATCGTTGAAACGGTTTTTCATTCATTTTCTACCCCAACACAACTCTCTAAGGCGCCTCGTCCTCCTCAATCCAGTCCGGATTGGGTTTCAAAATCACGACACCCTCAAGGACCGGCGTGAGCGGGATGAACTTCCCAGTAGCGAGCTCAGCTCTGTCGCCCGTGGAGAGCAACACCGGCGTGGTGTGGGTCTGGAAACCCGTGATGGTCTTTGGTTTCCCCGCTTGTCCGACGACATCCACTGCCTGACCAACACGCACAGAAATTGGAAGCGGCTTGCCCTCTTCATCCACGGTCATGAGCATGCGAGGCTGGGCGGCTACGAACAGGTAATAGAGCATGTAATGGTGCTTGCCAAGAATCGTGTGCTTCATGTCGAGCATGGAGAAAGCGACAGTCATCAGTCCTGCCCAAGCGACGTTCGAGTGCAGCGAACGGTCCGAGTGCGAAGGCGAAAGCGTGAGCAGACCTTTTCCGAGATGCACGAGACCCTGAGCCACGCGCACGAGGAAGATCAGGGACGGATCCTTGTAGTAGTAGCTCGACAGCTGACGGAGTTGAGTCGCGAGCCGCGCGTTGTTCGTACCGGCGCCCACGATCCCGAGAGCGAAGGTAGCAGCTTGCGCGACTTCCTCGTTGCTGTCGTGGCTGAGGCGTCCGAGGACATCAGTCACGTTCAGCGTAGGGTTTGAGATGTGTAGAAGCGCTAATCCCACCGGCGCGGCTTTGCGGACGGCTGCGTCGCCGTACTGGATCAAGTGGTCGTATGCCCGCACGGCCATGTCGCAGCCGAGTTCCTCCCCCGACGCGATCAGCGCCACTCCCAAAGCGGCGATGGACTGAGGATCCGCGAGCCACTCCCGAGCCTCTCCCTCACCGTCACCACCTTCCCCGCCTTCGTTCGTTGTCTCATCTGCTTCAATATCAGGGTGTTCTCCGCAGCGCGCGAGCATCGCTTGCACTTTGAGAACGTTACCGCTGCCTGTGTACGCGCACACCTCGAGGGTCACCTGGAGGAACTCGCTGATGCGCGGGCACAGCGTCTTCGCGACTTCGAGCGTCGCCTCGACTTCGGCTTGTCGCTGAAGGAAGAGGAGGCCGAGGCCGAGGCAGAGGAAGTGCGCGAAAGGATCTTCGAGATCCTTCTCCGGTCGAAGCATCAGCGCCTGCACAATCGCTTGCACGCACTCTTCGTGGCACGTGCCGACGAACACCAACCCAAGAGACAGCGCGGCGAAAGCCGCGACGTCGAGCGGGGTGGAGTCGTCCGTGATGATAGGAACGAGCAGCTCTTGCACCTCTTCCTTCTGGCATCCCGCGTACGCCAACCCAAGACCCATGATCGCACCAATACGGACGGACGCGTTCTCTTTGTTGACGCTCTCGTAGAGCAGACCGTACGCGGGATCGCAGTCGTTGCGCACATTGACGTTGATCAAGCCAACCGCGAGGAGACCGCCCGCGACAACCTGGTGCTCCATGCTGTACAAGTAGTTGTCCACGCGGGGAAGACCGTCCTCCACGTCCCACATCAAGATGGATCCGAGACTCGCAGCGGCAGACATCTTGCCATGATCTTTGTTCTTGAAGATCCAGCTCACGTTGGAACCAGCACCCGCGGCCGCACCCTCGCCCTCTGCGGCGGCGCCGTCCCCCTCCGGAACGGTGAGCAGCTTGTCTTGTCCGAACCCCGCGTTCACGAACGCGTTCACGAAAGTGGCGGCCAAGTTCGCGCGGGCGCTATCTACGGCAGCCCCGGCTGGAGCGCGGCCTTCCATCAGGTGCGTCTTGTAAATGTCTTCGGGCGTCTTCGCTTCCATGACGTCGAGGTCTCGCGCGAGCGTCAAATAGTTCCCGCTGAGGTTCGAGTTGCTCATGATGTTCTGAAGCTCCTCGAGCTCGTCTTCGTCGGTGATCTCACATGGGCCCTCGTCGAGCCTGAGTGGGTGTCCGTGCCTCGCGAGCATGTGGCAGAGCTGCCGCTTTTCCTGTTTGTCCGTCGTCGCAACGAAAGTCTGCTCCATCGTCTCCTGGAGTCCGAGCTTCATCGCGACGCGCATCGCGTCGGTGAACTTGCCCACCTTCATGAAGACTTCGTGCGCGACCTTGAGCACTTCCGAGTCTTCGGGCTCGGGTAGGTAGTTCGAACAGCTGAACAGGTATAAGCAGGTCCTGCCGTAGTTGGTTTCATTGACGTGCTCGGGGAGGAGACTGAGATTCTCGACCTCGATCAGGAGGTCCACAGCTTCCGGTTCCGCGTTATGCTTCATGTGAAACGGCACGATGTCGCGCACGAGCGACATTAGATCCTCGACTTCCGCGTCTTTGCCATCCTTCGCAGCTAAGTCTGATCGACGGTGGTACTCGGTTCCAACCTCGGCAGCCAAGTTGCGGACGTACTGCGCGCGAGGGACGAGGCGTGGGAGGGAAGAATCAGCGTCGACTCAAAGAGGGAAAAAAATACGTCTCGAGTCTAGCAAGACAGGGAGCGATCTCGCTGGTTTCCTCGCGCTTCTCACCTCGTGACCCCATGTTCCGATGTCCTCGCCGGATCCGACGAGACGATACTTGAGGGATTCGGGCATGACGTCCTCGACGGGGGCGTCGGTCATCGTCAGCAGAGAGATGATGTCTGCGAGCAGCTTCTTGTTGTCGCCCTCCTTCAGACTCGCGAAGGTTTCCTTGAGCTTGGCAAGGTGCGGGCGAAGGAACTTGAGCGGCTTCGGGACGCTCGTCATCGAGCTGCGAGCGCGAACAGGAGGAAGGAGCGCGTGAATGATGTGATTTCAGAGCGGGAACGGCGAATGTGCGCGAGATCGAAGAGGATCGCGCCAGATCGCGCGCCGACGGTACGGGCGCGAACTCACCTCGTCGCGGACTTGATCTCGCTCCTCATCGTCTCCATCGCTAGCTTCGCGACGCCAGCCTTCTTGTCCGCGGTCCTCTCCACCAGAAGCTCGAGGTTTTCCTTTATTTGCAAGTCCTCTTCCGAAAGTTCGACCACCTTCTTCTCGTCCTTCTTCTTCGCGCCGTCCGCGGGCTTCACCGATTCGTCTTTCTTCTGGCCCTCATCGGGAGGCGTGTTTTCGCTGACCATCGCTCACGCCGGGGTGCTCGCGGCGACCTCGCGAGTTCCCTTCCCCGTGATCCGCGCGGATGACCTACGACAACCCTCCGCTGATCGCGAATGTCGCTTAATTCTTCTCGAAGTGAACCACGGGTCGCTTGCGCGCGAGATCTGACCGCGATCGGCGGGGGAGATGGAAAGACCCTCCCTCGGGCTTCGGCTATTTTAAACCCACTGTCACGCTTTAGTGTCGAAACGCAGGCTGGTGTGCCTGACTCGAAGTACGCGAGAGGCGCCGGTCCTTACAAAGAGCTAAATCCGTCACGCCTCTCCTCCCGTAGTCTAATCCGCCTTCTCCGCGTTCGCTTTACGAGCGATCTCGTCGATTTTCCTGAACTGCCACGGCCAGCGCACGTTGTACAAGAACGGCCTCAGGTCGAACCGGTTGTCCTCCGGCGAGTAGTTTTCCGCGTGGTACGACGGCGTCAGCGTCGTCATCTTATGCCGGTTCGCGGAGTAGAAGAAGAAGAACCGCTTCACTTTCTCCGCGATCTCGTCCACGGAGAATCTGTCCTTCCACTCGAGCAGTAAGCGCCTGAACATCTCCACAGGCCCGAGTCGAGAGATCTTTCTGAGGCGGCCGTACACCCCGAGCTCTTCGTACGTCATTCCCATGTCGTCCTCGTCGTTTTGGACGTAGTCATCCCGTATCGGTTCGAGCTCAGCCGTGGGAGGTGCTTCCTCCACGGACGCTAACGTGGGAAATCCGAGGTTCACCGCGCCCCAGCGCAGGAACGACCTCAGGTCCCCTTTGCTGATTCCACCGATCGGGTTCACGTCCGCGGCGGAGCAGTCGTATTTCGTCATATACCCTCTTAAACCTTCGTCCACGTTTGCGCTGCCGAGAACGAGGAGGAACCCGTTTTTTCCTCGGACCCAGGGCATTAACTGAGCGAGCACGAACGAAAGCACCATGCGGATTCTCGCTTGAATGTTCTGAAGCGCGAGGTTCTCCACGGTGCTGCCGCCGTCGACCTTGAACTTCGGGGTCCTCTGCGTCACGGAGTGGAAGAAAGAAACAACCGCTGTGATGACGGCGTCAATCTTCACGTCCAGATGAGATGATCCTATCTCAGCGGCAAGCGACGCGGAGCGACTTCGCGTGTCTACACTGCTATTTTCGGAACCTAGATACACAGTCGTGAATAAGTACTGCGCGAACTCCTTCGCGGATGGCAGCGGAGCGTCGTCGGATAACTGAGCGATGCGACGAACGTCCGCCGCCGCGCGTTCGTCACCACTCGCCGCGGCACTTGTCGCAAGTTGGCACATAGATCCCACGAGGGCTGCGGTCGATGAGCTATCCGCGCCGCCCGATAGAGGTAGGAGGTACCCGCTCGCTCCCGATCGCCGAAGATAATCCCACAGCCAACACGCGGGTCCGTTCGCGATTTCCTCGTCCGCGGTGTGGTAGCGCACCGGACGCGGTGGGTCGGGTACGTGCGATGTTCCGTTCTCGAAGCACAGTTGGAACGGCACTTTAATTAACGGGTGCTTCTCGCACCCCGCAGCCTGGACGGCCATGCTCTGAAACGCTCCTCGAAATCCGACGACGGTGTCCAGGTCAACGTCCGCGGTGACGACCTCTACTTCTTGAACCGCGAACTGCTGTCCCTGCGCGACGATTTCTCCGTTCACCGCTATGCACGCGCATCCGTCATAATAAAGCCTGCCTCCGTCGCAGCCTCGTTGGTTCGCGTACAGGTAGACCCCGCCAGCCTTAGCGGTCGCGGACTGGATAAGGTCCATCCGAGTGTTCAATTTTCTAAGCTGATGGTGACTGCCGCTTCCATTACTGATGATCTCAACGCCGCTCAGGGCGAGTTGGATGTGCGGCGCGTTTGGCGTGAACAGCTCCTCGCACGTTTCGCTCGCTAAGGTCGAGTCCAAGAAGTCCAGCCCGGCGTCGCCGAAGTTGACGTAGTTCTGTGACGTCACCGAGACGACGCTCATCGGAAGTCGATGCTGCTCAACCTTCTTCGGGTGCTGCCACGCGGTGAACCAGCGGGTTTCTCGGTAGTTTCCATCATTCGCGAGGCAGAGCTTCGGGCGGATGAGGACGATTTGCCGGTTCAGCACGAACACGCGGCAGTTGTATCGAACCCCCGCGTGGATGACCGGCATCCCGATGTCACACAAGATGTCATCAGTCGTGTCGTCGCGCAGCAGATCCGCGAGACACTCCCACGAGTGTTCGATGGTGTCGACCTCGAGGAAGTGGTCCTCGCACCCGTACCCGGGAATTTCCAGCTCCGGGCCGACGCGGTAGCGCGCTCCTGCTTCCTTCGCCTGGAGGATCGAAGCCTTCACGCGCGCGATGTTCCCTTCAAAATCGAGCGCCCATTGGTTCAGGGCACACGTCGCGAGACGTGCGATTCTCATCGTGGCCGTGTCTCGACGAATGACGCGCGCGTCGCCAGAATCGGACAGAAGAGTTCTTCAACCATACTCGCGGTCGGGCAGGGTCGTGGAAAATCTCTCGAGTTGAACCTCGATCGACCTGCACTTTACGAGGCACCGACGCGCTGGCAGGATGGGGGAGAAGCGAAGTCTCGAAGACTCGGGTCGGGACGCGTCTGACTCGAAGGTTTTGAAGGCGTCGAGCGATGTCGCGGCGACAGGGGAGAAGGTACGTCCGCGGTCGCACCCCGAGCACCACCTCGTAAATTGTTCGGCACCTGCACCTCCAACGCGCGTCCTCACTCTCCCTTCTTCCTCCGTTCGTCGCGCAGAAGAAAGAGCTCCCTCCGTTCTTGAAAGCGAAGCTTCGCGCGCGGGGAATTAACGTCGACGGCGACACCGCGAACGACAGCGGAGAAGCGACGACCACAGCCGCGGGAGCGGGAGCTTCCTCGACCGAAGATCCCCTCCCCGAAGGCTGGGCTGAGGCGATCGATAAGACGTACGGAACGAAGTATTACTACAACGCGAAGCTTGGGCAGAGCTCGTGGACGCGACCGCGAGCCTCGGTTGCGCCCGCGGCGGTGAGCGTGACCGCGCCGTCGTCTACGCTCCCCCCGGGTTGGAAAGAAGCCGTGGATCCGAAGACCGGAAGAACGTACTACTGTAACCCGTTCACGTCCTCGACCAGCTGGGAGAAACCGATAGACGCGGCGGCGATCGCGAAGATGAAACGATGCAAGGGGTGTGGAGGTTTCGGCAGGGGGCTCGTTAAAGCGCACGGATTTTGTCTGCACTGCAGCAGAATCCTGAACAAGCCAGTCGAAGGACTCGCCGCGACGACGCGAGTTCCGATGAAAAGTCCAGGGGCGCAACACGTCGTGCCTGAACAAAGAGCGAGCGCCGTGGTCATATCTCGGGGACCGGAAAAGGTTGTGGCACACGCGGTGGCACGTGCTGGAATAGGCCCGACTCCACATCCAAGGGTTGTTCCCGTGGCGAGCACGAGCGACCCGGAGCCAGACACCGCGAACGTCCGTTCTAGACCGCCGCCGATGGGAAAACCAAGACGCGCTGCCCCGGCGGGGATCGATCCCATGGATCCGTCCTCGTACTCTGATGCGCCCGTTGGAGGATGGGGGTCGGGTCTGCCCCAGCCCGGGCAGCCGAGAGCTGGTGGGGATAACACCGCCCTTCCCGCGCCAGGTGCGGTCTTGCGACAGAATAAGAAGGCAGAAGAAGCGAAGAAAACACCGTTCATCGCGGGCAAGGACGGCTTGGGGGAAAACGACATGTAGCTCTGTCTAAATAGCTAAACTAGTCACTCAGTCGTCAAAGTAGATGAACCCGTTGCTAAACAAGTCGTGCAATAGCACCTTGCTCTCGCCGTCCATCTCTCCCCCTTGAATCCAACCGTCCGCCTCTATTTCGTCATGGTTCGCGACGTGACGAGCGAACTCGATACACCTTGGTGACTTTACCGTCCACACGCTTCCAGCCGCGAAAAATAAGCACCCATCGAGACTGCCATCACTCACGTCTTCTATGATTGCAAACTTAATATCTCCCCGCCGAAAGAGGAAACCGGTCTCGGTCCACTCCGCGATCAACTCGTCAGCAGTGACGTCGTCGACAGGGGCGAAGAACGCGTCGTCGACGCCCCCGCTTCCGGTGACGTGACAACCGAACCATCTCGCGACGTCCGTCTCGTTCTTCGGCATCGCATTTCGAATGATTTCCGTCGCGTGTGTTACCGCCGCCGATGAGATCTTTCCGACATCGCATTGTGGTTCAAGCCACGGATCACTCCAACGCTCCACAGCGGCGCGTTCGTTCACAGAGGCTTGGGCAAAGGACGAGACTAACTCGTCGTGCGTAGGCGCGAGGAACCCGACGCTGTAGGTCACGCACACGGTGTCGCAGCCCTTTGCGACGCCGTGGTGAGCGACTTTGGGAGGCAAGTACAGCATGTCACCTCGTTCGAGCAAGCTACTAGACGTGGGTCGGAAGTCCTTCAACACCCTCACGTCGATATCCTGGTAAAACGCACTCTCGTTATCAGGCGCGTACTCGGCACTATCCGATATCGACCACGCCTTGTTTCCCTCGGCTTGAATAAGAAACACATCGAACTGATCTGAATGTGGTCCTACGCTTCCGCCATCAGCAGATAGACTCGCCTGAACGTCCGCGACACGCCAGCGCGGGAAGTGGTCGAACAAGGCCAGAAGCCCCTTCACCTCGCGAATGTGTTTCTCTAAATCGTTCATGATCAAACACCACGACCCGGCGGTAGGAAGAGCGCGAAGCTCGTCTTCAGAGAACGGCCCCATTTCTAACGCCCAGTCTGAACGTCCTTCGCCTTTCCTAATGATGCGAGGCTGGAAGACGTTCTCGCACGCGAGTCCAGAGAGCTCGTCCGCGTCGATTTCCGGGATTGTTGAATTTACGGCCCCGCGAATCACACAAGGCCGCTTCTGCCAGTACTCGGACATGAACATCTTCCACGTATCCCTGTCGAAAGGCAGCTGCGCGTGTAGTTCGTCTATCGCTACGACGCCTTCACGTAACGATGACGACGCGCACGCGCGCGAAACCGGGGCTCGCGTATGACGCGCCGGAGCCCGAGGATTCGGAGTCCGAGGTTTCGCGTGGCACGCCGTCGGTATCGCACGGACTGCAGACATGGTGACGGATCCCGACGGTTCGGCGATCAAAAGAGATCCGCTTGTGGATTATCGCGCGACAGCAACCGCTGTCATCGCAACGCCGCACGCACACGCGCGGTTGAGTATGACGGGGGAGATACAACAAAATCAGATATGATTTCAACTCAATGTGTACTCGTAAATTGCTAGTCTAAGAAGTCTCGACGCTGTGCTCCTCACGTCGCGTTCTCGAGACGGGACAGCGTGGCGTCTCTGTGTGTTTGCTTACTAGTACTCAGTTTCATGAGCTCGCGGAGAGCCATCGTGGCGTACGAAGACGTAGGCAACGCGAGACTCAAGCGGAGGGCGAGGAACTTTTCGTCTTTCTCCTCTCCGTCCGCAGAGACGATGTTCGGCACGCGTAGGATCCGAGACATGTCCGTCTCAGTGAGATCAGCTTTCGGATCCGAGTAACTTTGGAACTCAAATTCCAGTTTGTCCGGTTTCACGAGCAGCCGTCTGTATGCGCCGGTCAGGAATCCGAAGGAATACTCCTTGATCGGGTGCGCGCACCCCTCGAGCAGCACGCCTTCCGCCTTGCAAATGTCTTCGTACAACACCTTCACGCGTTCAGGATATATCACCTTAAACCCGGGAAGTGGAAGCAGCACGTCGGTGATTTTGTACGTTCCGCGCGCGGCTTCCTCGGCTGTGACCTCTCGCACGTTCGCGAACATCACGTCGTTGTTGTCCTCGTCGTCGCTTTGATAGATATCCCCTCTGTCGTCAAATATCAAATCCCCCTCGACAGCGCGATCGGCGCCATGCAGCCTCACGCGCTCGCTCGCCGCGCGGTTGAACATGTAGCTCTGGTACGCGTGGACGTACATCATCCGAGTTGGGCGTGGAATAGCGTTTATCGCTCCTATGATGTCCCCTTTGCACTTGACCAGACCCTCCAAAAGTCCTCTCTCGGCAAGGCAGAAGCGAGGCATCAACTTCAGCGCCGCCGCCGCGTCGCGCGTTTCCTTGTAAACTTTTCGTGCCTCCGCGACGTCGTCCTTATCCGCATCTCGCGGTTGCATGATTAAATCCACAACTTCGGACCAGGAACCGCGGAGAAGCGCGGAGCCGATCGCGTGCGTCGGTATCTTGTGCGTCCCAAACCGCTGTAATCCAAAATAATTGACGAATCCGCTTGACTTCAACGCGTTCACCGCCTTCATCACCGTTTCTTTGGAACCGCGTTCAAGGCCGCGTAGCGTCAACGTGAATAGGTTGCCTTTCAAATCACCGAGACCAAGGCTACGGTCGACGTATCGAAAGTTTCCTAATTTCATTCCGTGGAGCGTGAGCTTCGCAAGGCGCTTCGCGCGTACTTTGTGCACGGTCACGAGTTGACTTGTGACGCCTCTGCGGTCCTTCGTGCCGGCGAATCCAAATTGCCTCGGCTTGACGTGGAGGATCCTCGATAGAACGCCGATGGCATCCCCCGTATCTTTGTTCTCTTTGCAAAGAACGAATTCGAGGTAGTGCGGCTGATCGGAAGGCCAACGTTGATGACCACCCCATGCCCCGTCTTCACGACTTCGCTTCTGGCCTCCGCCGCCTCTGCCGTTGCCCTTTTGCTTCACAGGTCGTACCCTCACGCACATCAGAGGTTTGTTAGATCCCGGCCTGACGGGGCCAGTCCCTTCGCCTTCACCCGGTGGCTCGATGGTGTCCGTGGAGAGCTGGGGGAAATGAATTCCGAAGAACGCGTGCAAACTCGCGCGGTAGTCCTTGTCGTTGCTCGTGGACAAGACCAGAGGCCTCGGAGCAGGGGCGCCACTGGAAGAGGAAGACGGCGTCAGGACTCCGGGCGTCTCTACGAACGCTCTCAATCGTTCGGCGTCGGTTTCCCCCGCGATCTTCGCGAATTCCGCGATGGCGAAGTTTCTTCGCGTGAGCTCCTCGACGGTGGGTCCCGCGTCGGTCGGTGGCGCCACATCGTCATTTTTCTTCGCCGCCGCCGCCTCTGCTGACGCTTTCCTCTCGTCCGTCCCGGTATCCTCGCCCGTCGCCTCGGGCTCTGGTTCGCTCGCCGCGGCCGCGAGCTCGATCCCTTGAGGGGGAGCGGCCCCCAGTTTCGACCTCTTCAGCCGTTCAGCCTCCTCGATTTCGTCGTCCACGACCGGATCGAGCGACGTGAGATGCACGACGTTTCCTCCGCGATCGATCTCGTTCACGACGAAGTCGGTGAACCGCTCCTTCAGGATGGCGTTGAACCCCTCCGCTTTGTTCGCGTAACATTCTATTCCCACGGATTCCTCGGTGGTACTCGCTGCCATCTTCGACGGAGCGGCGCGGATGCGCAGTGGCGATGAGCACCGCCTCCGTGCTGCCGAACCCCGTTCGCGGTGGCGTGAGTGACAGAAACGCGTGCCGACGTGCCGACCGCGAGGAAGAGATAGAAAGCCTCTGTTTGCTGCCGCGGGCCAAACTCAAACCGAAAAACCGGCTGGCCGGGTTTTTCCGTCGCAAAAAATCAAAAAGAAATCGAAAACAATCAAACGTTTGGGCTCCCAAAGCAAAGAAGCCGAAAAGGCGTTTTTCTCACGAGCTGTCTTCGGTCGACGCGGCACCGGCCATCCCCCCGCGCGCGCGGTTTCAGCCAGCACACGTCGACACGCACTCGTGTTGACGATCATAATGACGTCTTCGGATACGCTCACATCGGGCGATGACGATTTCAGGTGAGCGCGCGAAGCACGGACCGGGCCGCTCGGTCGGTGGACGAGAGTCCCCTCTGATGATGTCGTGTCACCTGTCGCGCGAAAGCGAATCTTCGTTTCCAACACACACGCGCCGCAGCGTCTGACCGTTCCATCCTCACTCAGGGCCATGAAAGCTGATTACATAAAGAAACAAGGAGACGCCGCGTTAAAGGCGGAAAACGCCCGGGACGCGTACATCAAGTGAGTCGTCCTGTCGAGACACCGCGGCCGTGTGTGTTGTTTTCCTCCGCGCATGAAATGAGGGAGAAGACGTGCGCGCAAGGCGGGGTATCAACTGACCGCATCCGACGTGCATCCGCAGGTACACAGAATGCGTGAGCATGATGCCGTCCAAATATCTAGATGCGCACGCGGTGTACAGCAACAGGTCGATGGCTTACTTGAAGGTAAATATCTCAATCGCCCCGCGGGCTGCAACATTCGCGCGGCGCAACAGGTTCTGACGTGTAGTACTATCTATTTATTGCACGCAGGCTGGCAAATATGAGTTAGCGCTAGCGGATGCGGAGAAGGCGTGTGTGTTGAAGCCTCAGTGGGACAAAGCGTGGTGGCGAAAAGCCTCTGCGCTGAAAGGACTGCGGCAATACGTCGAGGCCTTAGAAGCGTTCAGAATTTCGTACGAGCTCGTGCCGGACAAGGAGACGAGTCACAAAACGTACCGACTTGCGGTCACGGTAAGGAGATCGATCGCCCGGCGGGCTTTTCATGCGATCCCTATAATCACACTCGTATTCAGGAAGTCTCGAAACTCATGACCCGACAGCAGCTCGCGGATCAAGTGCTGTTTATCCTGGACGACTACGAGGTGAGAAGAGACTGTGTGCTTCTTTTCGACAACCAAAACTGTTGAACGAAAATATTTCTCTTTCCACTTCTACAGAAAAAGGGGCGGATCTCGGCTCCGAAGGAACAGACCGCGACGGAAATCGAAAAGCGAGAGGCGATGTTTCTTCACGTGAAGGACTGGTGCGAAATTTGACGAGTAATAAACCCAGAAAATCAGAGACAAATAAAAATTGACGCAGGCAAAAGGAGAATAAAAGAAAGGAACCGAATTATGCCACATACGTCACGAGTTGGTTTTTCGAGCCTATGAGCGAAACGATGGCCTATCTTCAGGCAAGTTTCCTAAAACCGCGATCAAATATAAACAATAACTAAAATTTTCTGCGGTGTCTCAGCGCGCTTGCATGCACAAAGAAGCGAATTGCTTCAGGCAAACGATAGCCGACGCGCAGGTAGCACCTTTGATCATCGATGCGATTAAAACCAATAAATCAACGCGCATCCTGCGCGTCTTTTCTGCAGGCAGCACTAAAAACCGCTTCTCCTTCCGGAGGAGAAAATGAGAACGTGAAGGACGTGCTTGAGCAGACGCGCGTCATACAACCTAACACAACGATGCCATATGGGATCAAAAAGTACCTGCCGAAACCCTTTGCGTGGTTATTGATGGGGCACGGATTCCAGGCAAAAAAGGGCGAAGGTAATATGAACCAACTCTTGAGGTAAAGAAACTTACTGACAAACGCTGCCATACTTACAGAAAAAAATCTGGTTAAGGCGGCGACCTGCTTCAAAATCGCGGCAAAGTTGGTATTAATTTTAAAATCTAAACAAAACCGTGAACATCAGAAGGCTTAAGTCGCCATTTCATTCTCCAAGGACCACACAAACGACGAATATCAAAAGGCCTTCGACAGCATGAGCAACTCTTTAAAGACCGAAGAAACGGAAGAAGTTTTAGCGGAAGCGAACGATATGCGCGTAATTGCGAAGCTAGGACTGTCGGTATGTAAGCCGCGCGACTAAAAAGATAATATCCTGACTGTGTGTCAAAACAGGAAGCAATGGAGGAATTCGCGAAAGAAGGCAGTATATTTACAGTTCAGGTATGTTAAACGCCCATCAAAATGCGTTCGAGGACACTTTTAAACAGCAAACACAGGGAGTTTACTTCTACAAATGCGAACAAATCTCTCGATTCAACGCTGTCGCAAGACAAGCTTTGCAGCGAAAACTTGCGACGCAGTCGGCAGGGCCTGAGATCGAATTTTCAGAGCTTGCGACAGTAAATGAGATTTGTTCTTTACATTTCTGTAACGCTGACCTTAAAATTGGGAAATGTCGAAAAGGGATGTATTAATCGAGAAGGTGTCGATGCTTAAGAAAGAAAATGGCCGTAGTCTCAAGGTTCGCCTCCTGGTCTCATGCGCGGTGGCTTAACTTTTTCCTAATGCTTTTCTGTTGCTTTTGAATAGGTCGAATTTCGAGTCCACTTTGGAATAGACAAAGAAAAAGCTTTGGTGAGTGCAAAAAACAAATTCTTGATCTTTTTGGGGTTGACATCGTAACGAGCAGCTTTTCGTCGACCGAATGAATCGCGATGTCTTCGCGGTTGACGATGATGATAATGATATTTTGAATTACTGCGTCGGCCACGTCGTCGAAAAAGACGTTCGCTTCGAAGATATCGATGTATCAGCCGAAATGGGTGAATCAATCGAAGAACGTATCTTTACGTCTAATTCCAAAGCCGTCGTTGAAGCGTCGCGCCCGACCATGGAAATGGATCTTCCCTACAGGTGCATGATTTTTTTGTATTTCGTTTTTTTGTCTGTGTATCGTGATTTTGATATTATTTTGCAGAACGTACAAGTTGGTGAGAGCGAACGGGATACCGATAGAAAGAATCGAAAAGCACGCCTTCTGTATGGCGCGCGTGGTTTACAATAACACGGAAATTCAAGAAGACGTCTGGTTCGAACCATCAGAAGGGACGCACCGCTGGCAACAAAGTGCTGGAGAGCTTCGAATTCTCGTTCTCTGTGTGGAGGCCGGGACGAAAGCTAGTGACATACAAGTCGATATTTTGTCTCACAGCGTGAAGGTTTCAAACTTTAGTTCCGGTGCCGTTTACCTCGAGGTACGTGTTCCGTGAAAATCTGCGTTCATTGGGAAATTTCTTGAGTTATTTATTCGTGAATTGCAGGGAAATTTCGAGCACAGCGTCGTTCCGGACGAATCCGCGTGGGATTTCGGAGACGATGGAATCATCTCACTGTACGTCCAAAAATCCAACTTGGAGCTGTTTGCTGCAGGTGGCGGCGACCACTCGAAGTCCGAATGGAGGAAGCTGTTTACGTCGTCCTGTGAGATTAAATGGGACGACGCCACGAAGGACTACTCAGGTGCGATGATGTAATTGGTGTCCTTGTGAACCGCTCGATGTGCAACCGCGTTTCGTGCTCACCCGTTTGTCCTCCTTCGCAGATTTGCCCGCGCCGGTGATGAAGGAAATTCGGAAGAGAGAAGAGCTGGACTCGTTGAACAGGCGCATCGACTGGAAAGAATCCAAGGCTCGTGACAAATGCCAAGAGCTCGACGATCTAAGACGTCGCACGAGACAACAAAGACTAGCCGCTCTGCGCGGCGGCGCGTTCGCTCCGTGGATTGACAAGAACCGCGGTGACATCCTCGGATAATGATTTTGGGGGAGAGGTGTGTTGTTACGACGACCAAATAGCTCCGTTCTTTCACAAAGCTACAACTCTGCTAGCTACAATAACTCGTTCGAACCCATCGCGGCGAGTAATTCCGTTTTCTTGGACTGCGTCCACGCGAACGCTCCAGCGATTTGATTGATCAAAGCAACCTTCTGTTGAGACGTATACTCCGGGTGCGTTTGGCACCAATAGACGAGTTCAGAATCTGGCGTGTAGAAAGCCTTGATGTAATTCTCCACGAGTCGAAAATCTTGGCTGGAACCCGAGGGCGCCAAATGTCGAACATTATTGTAGAGCATCTGCACATCCAAAGCCATGCCCGCTCGACCTTCGGACGAACACTTCCGCACGCGCGCCAAACCTGCGACGATCGAGGATGACGTCTCCGCGATTGCAAAATTCCAGAGCATAGTGAGTGCTTCCGCGGTAACTTCAGCACAGGCCAGCTTCGCGCCGAACTGCGTAAGTTCCGTGGAAAGATCATCAACCCACTTGTTATGATCCGTGCTCACTTCCCTCTTCGCGTACTTACCAATCTTGAGTTTATCGCTCAACTTGTCACTGTCTCCAACCGCCTCGGAAACCCACGAAAGGTTCAGGAGTAAACCGGAAACGTGACAGTACACGTGTTCGCGAAGATCCTCCACGCTCGAGATAGTCTGTCCAAAAAAACGTTCAAGCTTGTGTTCTTCTTTAGGTGGAAGAGCCTGCGTGAGTCCTGGTTTAAGACGCTTGAACTCTTCCGCGATGCACGCGAGAGACTCCAAGGCAATCACGCGTTCTTTCAAACCGTAAAGATTTCCAGAGGAAAGAACGCTCCACGCTTCGGTGCCGATTCCCGGACCTTTACTGGGCATTAGAGCGGCGATCGTGTCACCGCTAGTTAAACGGATGAGCGTTGATCGAAGCCGAGGCGTGACCTGATCTGAATTTGACTGCAGCGCTTCGTACCGCCCAAACGCTGCAAACATGCGCACGAGCGTTGTCTCAAAGAGTGCGCAGAGGCCCTGAAAGATCACAGGCACTGACGGAGTGAGCGTTCGCATTAACCGAAGATATTCTGCCATGCCCTGGAGCAAGTAGAGTGAAGACGCAGTGAGCGTCGGCTTACGCGCGGAGAGTCCTTTCCCTTCGCCTTCTCCGCCAGCAGCGGCCGAAGCCTCGGCAGCAGCCGCAGCAGCGCGAGCTTCCCGACGCGCTTTCCTCACCTCTGGATCCATGGTGTCGTCGTCGTCATCGTCTCCCTCGTCGATATAAGCGGCGTTGACCTCGATATCCTCTTCATCGTCGTCGACGTCAATCGGCATATTCACCACGGCACTAGTACCGGCATCCGATGATGCAGGTCCTTCGCTCGAGCATGAGGTTGATTGCTCCCCAGTTTTACTAGAAACACTACTGTTCGCCCCCTCGGTGAACGGATTCCCCTTATGCACTAGTGATTCGAACGCGCTTCCATCCTCCGCGACGCCTCCGAACGCTGCGACGCCGAATCTCCCGCTCCCTGACACGTCTATCGAGACTCCTGACGTGTCGTCTGCTAATTGGCGACTCGTGTCGGTGCTCGTTCCGGACGCAATTCGCCCGCCTCCACGCGCCGCAGCAGCTCTAAGATCCGCGCGGACTTGCTCAGCCGCGGCGTCTGGAAGCCGTGCCCACACTTCGCTATCTAGCATCTGCCGCAAAGCTTCGAGACGTTGCGCGTGTAGGGATTCGAAATAACGATCCCCAGCACGTTCTAAATGTCCTCTCAACGTGGACGCTTGCGTGCCGGAGAACGCCTCTGCTGCCTCTATGAAAGCCCGGGCCCAGTCGAGGACCGCGCGGAAGTGACCGGAAGAAGGAGCAGATGATGCTTGGAGTAGAGCCGCGATGCGAGCCCCAGCCATGTCAGCGATCGCACGACGACTGCGTACCAGTGCCGCGGTGACGGCTTGGCAAGATTCGATCTTTTCACGGACTTGCACTTGTTGTTTACCACGAGCAGATGCCCTCGCATTTTCGTCGCCAACAGAAGAAGAATCCGATGACGCGCCCGCGAGTTTCGCTCTCAGAGTTTGCGCTTCAGCCTCGTGCCACTGCAGCATCCTATGATGGCTACACAGCAAATCGAAAAGAACCTCCAGGGTCTTTTGGAAGCATGGAAAGAACTGCGTGGACGAGAGTTGTTGACAAAGTTCCTTGTATCCCATCCTGGATTTTCTCTCCACTACGTCATCGTTGTCCGCTCGTCCTCCTCGCTGCATCGAGTGCAGCCTCAGCATTCCTTCGGTTTGATTTTCCACAGCGCGTAAGAAACATTCCTGAACCTTATCACCAAGAGGCTTCACCTCAGATCCGAGGAGCAAATACGCTTCGAAGAGAGGAAGGTAGCGGACAGGTTGAAAATCGCCGCAGATCGTAAAAAGCACGCCTTCGATGCTTTGAACTAAATCCCACTGAAGTGAACGGAGATCTTGACCTAACGTTTGAGCACAGTTCAGCCCTTCCAGTGTTTTCAACGTACGTATCGCGGCAGCATATTCACACACGGCATCGACATAAGAGCATGACTCCAGGCTCGCTCGAATTTCAGCCTCCAAAGATTGGCACTCCCTCACACGAACGAGAAGGTCAAGCGTTGACAGGAGAGAACGTTTGCGCGTGTGAGACTCTGCAACACGAAGCGCACCGGCGACGCTGTCTTTAGCGGAGGAGATGTTCCGTCGTCCATTCTTCACAATCACGAAGCTTTGCTCGAGGTTACTTGTCAGCTCTGTGATATTGCTCCATCCCTGAACGAATTCAGTTTTGTGATCGAGAACCTCCTTTGAAAGTTTTGACGACACCACCTCGACAACATTTGACAGCTGCTCTTCTTCTATATGAAGCACGTCCGTCGTGAGCTCTCCTTTATTCGCTGCGATCGATTGAAGGACGTGTCTCACGGGGTCGAAATCTTCCTCGGGAAGGTAATATCCGGGCTCAAGAGCTGCGAGTACCGCGTCGCCGGCGGTGGACGCATCGCCCTCCGCGGCAGCATCTCGCGGTTTGGTTTCCTCCGCAACGCGTTCGAGTCGAGCAGCTTCCGCGTCCGGATGCGATTTCGCAGCCGCGGCGGATTTGTACGGACTCGATCCAATCTTCGAAAATGCATTGCTCAGCGACGTCGCCGCGGTCGCCGCGCCTGAAAACCCGCCGAGTCTCGCTGCTGTGCTGCTGCCGCCGATTGGATTTCGCGCTTGCGCAAAACGTTCGCGAGCCTTGTCCACCCCAGTCATGACCTCGACATTCTCCCTCAGTCTCCGTCCTTGTTCGTTCGCCATGCTCATCCGTTGTTTCGCCTTATCCTTGAGCTCCGCAGTCTTTTCCTTGAACGCCTTGAACATCGTGCGAAGTGCCAATGGGCTGCTACTCGTTCAGGTCAATCGGTTTCGTCCTCCGCAGCTAAGATGTTGAGCACCTTCTCCGTGAACTCTCTAAAGTCAGGGTCTTCACACGCCGCGTCTAACGCTTGCTCAGCCTTTATCGCCGCGTCGATACGGATGACGGTGTTCACGACGCGCTCGTCGCCGAGCGCGGATCGAATCTCGTCGCTCGTGGCGATGGAGATCAGGTGCTTCCTTCGAAGTCGAGCGCCGTCTTCGTCCTCCGCGTCCTCTTCCTCGAACGGCCGCTTCGGGCGGGGTTCCGAAGCGGTGACGGGCTGATCTTTCCGCGGCGACGCCGTAGAGGGTGCCGTGGTGTCGGGTTTCGAGCACGGTGTTTCTGCGCGGGCGAGAAGATCGTGGTTACTTAGATGAGTTGGGCGCGACGCCGAGGACGACGTTCGGGAATCAATCGAGGAGCCGGAGAATGCGACCGCGCGCGCTCTCACCTTTGTGCGTGCGGCAGCAACTCACAGAGCAGTACGGCGAACGACAGGTTGGGCACTTGTACTTCGCGCTCGTCGCACCGCAGACTATGCAATGCGCCGCCGCGCACATCTGCGTCGCGTAGTGTGAAGGTCACGGACGAGGGTGAGCGCACCACGGAAAATTTTCCGCCCGAGGTGCAGCAGCAGCACCTGCCTCGTTTGATTTCTCGCCGAATTTCGCGACTTTTTTTCGACCCAAGCGGGCCTGCATCGGCGTTTCCGGGTCGGCGCGGCCGGCGTCGCCAGTCAGCCAGTCCTCTCTCTCGGGAGACGAAACGCCGCATCGCTTCCATCCCGAGACGACGGCAGCACCGCCCCAAAACGATCGACCACCGACACGATGCGCATCATGGAAGACGTCAACGACGAAGCGGTGAACGACCGCGACGACGAGCCCGATATCGAGGCGCTTACCACGGACGACCTGCGAAGAGAGGTGGAACGCATGTCGCTTCTTCTGAAAGCCGCGACGAACGCCGAGGAGAAAAGAGCCGACAACGACGTGACGTTAGAAGCCGTCAGCGACGACGACGACGACGACGTCCCCGCCGACGACGCCCTCGATCTCGCCGCTATGCCCGAGAACTGGTCGCCCGTCGAGGAAACCACGCTAAAGTACACGAACGGGGACGTGTACAAGGGCGAGGCGGTGGACAATCGAATACGTCACGGGAAGGGAATGCACCAGTGCTCGAACGGCGATTACTACGACGGCGCCTGGAAAGACGACAAGCGTCACGGTAAGGGGAAGCTTACGTACGTCAGCGGCTTATCATACGACGGCGAGTGGATCGACGACAAGGCGAATGGGCACGGCGTGTGCGTCTACGTCGACGGAGGCAAGTACACGGGAGAGTGGAAAGCCGACCTCAAGCACGGCTGGGGTACGTTTCGCTACGCGACCGGGGACGTGTACGAAGGCGAGTGGGTAGACAACGTCGCCGAAGGAAACGGGCGATACACGTACAGCGGCGGAAACACCTTCTTCCAGGGGAAGTTTCTGAACGGGTCTCGCGTCAAAGGCAAGCTCGTGTCCGGGGACGAGGGCGTGGAATACGATGGGGAATGGAAAGACGACGCGCGACACGGGAAAGGGACATTTCATTTACCCGGCGTGTACAAATACACTGGGGACTGGAAGGAGGACGAACGACACGGCGTCGGGAAATGCGTGTACGCTGACGGCGCAACGTACGACGGCGAGTGGAAGAGCGACGAGAAACACGGGAAAGGCAAGCACAAGAGCAACGAGGGAGTTTACGACGGGGAATGGAAGCAGAACATGAAACACGGAACGGGGACGATGGTTTTTTCAGCGAGCGGAGGGAAATACGTCGGCGAGTGGAAGGAAGGGAAGGAAGACGGAAATGGGAAACGTCTGTACCCGGATGGAACCGTTTACGAAGGGAACTGGCAAGACGGTAAGCGGCACGGGAAGGGAAATTGCGCCTTCGCGTGCAAGGACGTGTACAAAGGCGAGTGGGTGCGCGATATGCGACACGGCTACGGCGTGTGCACGTACGCAGACGGCTCGAAATATCGCGGCGAGTGGGAAGAAGACTGCTGGCTGCAAAGCACCGCGGACCCGGCGTTCACGAAGGTTTTCGGACCCGGACTGAGCCGAGGCATCGCGGGAGAAGCCACAGTCTTCGGCATCGAAGCCCGCGATGAGCTGAAGAACAAGCGAATGAACGGCGGCGACGAGTTCTACGTGCGCTTTGAAAATGACGAAACGAAGGCAGTCGCGTTCGGGGAAATTACAGACAACGACGACGGGACATACGCGGTGAGCTTTCGCACCACCGCGGCAGGTTCATACACGTGTTCGATCCTGATCGGTGACGAAGAGCATGTCGCGGACTCGCCTTATCCCGTTCGGATCCTTCCCGCGCGCCCTTTCCCTAAACGGTGTCAAATCTCAGGCGAAGGTCACCGCGTCGCGACGACGCTCGAGACGGCGTTTTTCTACGTCGAAGCTTTCGACCGACACGGGAACGCGGTGCAGGGGAATATCGGAGATCACCTCCCGCTGAACGTCACGATCACGTCTCACGACGACGAAATCACCGAAGTTGATATCTGTGATACCGGAGAAGGGCGGTATAAGATGTCGTTTACCCCGTCGAAGAAGGGTTTCTACCGCGTCGTCGTCGAGTCCTCTGGAGTTCACATCGGCCAGAGCCCGTATTCGCTTCAGGTTCGATCAAACGAGTCCCCGGAGACGGCCCATGTCGACGACGTCGACATCGATGTCGTCGCTATTGCACCGCCGCCGGATAAAGTCCGACAGTGGGAAGACATCGCTATGACGGAATACATTCGCCTCGACGGTGATGAAGGCGGTTGGGAGAGCGAACCGGAGGAAGAAGAAACTCCAGAACAAAAAGCCATCCGCGAGAACCCTGACGTTCCCGTGATTTCGAATCTCGAGGACTTGTACAAACTTCCACGGCTTCAGAAAGCGATGCGCGAGGAGAAGCGCAAGAAGCAGGCGGCTAAACTCAAGGCGATGCGGAAGCGTTTTGAGGCTGAGGAAGCAGCGGCACGGCAAAACACACAGCAAGTCACGGCGGCGGAGACGAAATCTGTCGAGCCGTCGTCTTCGAACACCATCGCGGACTTAGACTGACACGTCTTCGCTGGGCTGGTGCAGTTGCTCAATCCTCCTCTTGAAATGACAACAACTTCGCGTTCGTGTTTCCCTTCACTTTTACCTTCTTCGCCGTGGAAATATCCGCGTCGTCGCTCCCTTTCCTCTTGCTTTGAAACGTGAACTTCCCCGCCGCGAGCGCGCTTTCCTCCGCTTTCTTCGCTTCCTTCAAGCTCGATTTAATCTGCTCGTTATCTTCGTCCAGGGCTAACGCTTTCTCATAGCTCTCCCTCGCGTCCGTAAATCGGTTTAGCCCCATGTTCGCCGCCCCGACGCGAGTGTACCCTTTCACCCAGCTCCCGTTCAGCTTCACGGCGGCGAGCCCATCTTTCAGCGCTTCTTCGTATCGCTTCAGCTTCGCATACGCCGCGGACCGATTGCTGAAGTACACGTGGTTCAGCGGCTCGAGCTTCACGCAAACGTTGAAGTGTTTTATCGCGTCTTCGAAGCGCTTTTCCTGGAAGGCTCGGTTTCCTTTCCCTTTCTCCTCCTTCGCGAGCTGTTCCTTCTCCTCCGCGTCGTTTGACAACCCCAATGCTTTGTGGTTCACCGCCCCGCTGCCTAATCCTTTTCTCGCGTTCCCTTCGACGTCGTCCTCGTCCCCGTACTTCGCGAGCTGGTCGGAGTGCGCGTAGTCTTCCCACGCATTTTTCGCGTCTTCCTGGAACCCTTCCTGGTTGAGCAGATGCGCGTGGGCTTGCAGGAACTTTGGCAGCTGCCGCTGGTACTGAACATTTGATCCCGGCTTCCCGCCCCCCGCACTTCCGCCACCTGTGCCGCCCCCTCCTCCACCGCCGCCGCCTCCTCCGCTCTTCCCTCCAATGTTGCTGTCGTGGTCTCTCCCGCCGCCGGACCAGCCGCCGCCATATTGGTCCTCGTACCCCGAGTCCCCTCCGCGACCACCACGGCGCTTTCCCATCCTGTCTCGTGCTGAGGAAGTGATTTGTGAGATGCATCGTCCGGTCAGTTTTGAACAGAACGCGCCGCGCATGGAGGACGAGCATCTGTGGGCGTCCGATGACGACGACGGCCTCGCACCGTCTAATGAAAAGCTGGATGCCGCTCGAGTGAAGATGCATCGGCGAAGAGGCGACGGGGGCGACCATGCGCGGGACCAAGGTCAAGTTGCGCGCGGGGGAGGCGCGCACAACAACTCGAGAAAGGGGAAGACGGCTTCTCGAACGCGCAAAGGGAGCGAGAAATGCGAGAGCAGCAGGTCACCCGCGGAGAAAGGGCACTGGGAAGGTATCGATGAGTTCGGAGCAGACGGAAACGAGGCATCGCGTGGCGTCGGTACCGTGGATGAGGCCGAGGACGAGGAACGCAGACTAGAAGATCAGGCGAGGCACCTGGAGGAAAAGTTGGCACTGCTCCGTGAGGAACAGGTAATGGTCGCGAAGAAGCACGAAGAGGTGCGGATTCGGAAAGCGGCGAGGAGGGAGCTCGAGAACTTCAAGTCAGAACTGCAGGATGAATTCGATGGTGTCGTGTTGGCGCTGAGCGAGGAGAAGAACGCCAAGCTGAAGGTCGCTGGTTCGTTTAAGCGGGAAATCAAGTCGCGCATAGCCGAGCTCGAAAGCATGCTGACGCAGCTGGGGGATAAAGTCAGCGCCGTCACGGATCTGTACGACGCCACTGTGAACGAGCTTCAAAAAGAGCTCGCGGAGGCGGTCAACGAGCGGGAAAAAACCCTTGAAGCTGAGCTCAGGGACGAACTCGCGGGTCGGTTCGCCACACTTCGGAACAGCGGTGAAAACAAATTCGTTGGACTCGTCTGAGGATATGAGGCACGCCGACAGATTTATATAGATTAGAAACGTAGAACTAGTCATCTTACGAATATCAGCGACGCGTGGAGGTAACAACTTACTCGCGTCGCCACTTCTTCCTCGGCGGCCTGGACACCCAGCTCCAATATTTCTTCGTCGTCGGGACGCCGTATTTAGCACACGGATCTGCGAAGTATTCGATGACTTTCATGAGAGCGGAGTTTTTCCTCCCTTGCAGCCACCTCGGTATCGCGGACTTGTCCATGAACGAATGTTCGTTGATGAAGACAACCGCGGTTGCGAGAAGTGCGAGCTGCATGACGAGGGTCGACACGGAGAAGAAGCAGGAAATGCACAGCAGGATGTTCTTCAGATCTGCATAAAACAGGTTGATGTCGGACTGGAAGATGAGCGAGCACAACATCGCGTTGAAAGCTACGATAGTGGACTGCCAGGTCATGCGATACCCAACGTTCCAGCACCACGTTTTCATGTAGCAGCCCTTGCATGAAGGGCTCAGAGTTCCGAAAAGGTAGTTGCCGCGGTAGTTCACGAGCGTGTCAAGTTGGATGCGACCCAAAACGAGGCTGTCTTCGCGTTCAAGAGCCTTGCGCGCTAATTCGTACTCGATCATCGCGACGCCGAAGTTGTTGTGCATCCTCGCAGGGTCGCCATGGTGATAGCCATCCTTAGACGTGCACGTGCAGCAGATGGGACAGCTCCCCTTCGCGGTCTTGTCTGAAAACGGGCACTCGCGGTTCGCCTCTGGCGCGTCCACCGCGGACGCGTCCGAGGCGAGATACACGTTCTCCCCGTTCCTCCACGGGCGCGAATCGAACACCTTACGGAGCTTTCCGTACGTGTCTGTCTCGAGCATGACGTAAAAAATCACGCTTATCATCATCGTCAACGTCGCGAGTATGACGGTCAGCCAATCTGCGCCGAGAGGACGAGGAGGCGGATTTAGACGTCGGTTCGAGAAGCGAGTTCCGGGAGGAACGTCGAACGTCGCCGAGTCGGACGCTCGACAGTCATCGGCGCGCGCGCGGGTTTCGACGTTCTGTTAGAGGGAAAGCAGCGCGTTGTAACCCACCGACAGTTTTATACGTGAACGATTCCTTCGGGTTGAAGAGCGCGATGCGCTGCAAGAACGAAATGGCGAACGGAATGACGAAGCGGTTTCGAAGCGCGTTCAAGATGCCGAACGGCTGAAGGGTGACCTGTAAGATGGTCATCTCGACGCCTTACGTGTCGCGGCAGTACTGGCGTGTGCGTGAACTTCGATGGATGCGTGCGCCGCACTCTTCACGCGCACGCGGACTACGGCGCCGCTCGCTCGCTCGACGGTTTAGGACGGAAACGCTCGGACGGGACGAAAACGGCACTCGACCCAACCGAAAACGAGCGGACGCGTGAAGTGCTTTCGGCCAGTTTCGACGCCACGAGGACGGAGTGGGCGCGGCGCGCGATCACTCTTTCGACGCGACGTAGCGGACGACCGACGCGTCCACATGTACTGTACGTCAGCGTGGGCGAAGACTCGTCCCCGGCTCGCTCGCGCGTCGCCACAACCGACTGAGGGACGCGCGCGAACGACGAACGCGAAAAACGACCTCTATGTTCTCGCTATTCCTCGCCGCGGTCGCTTTCTCCGCGGCGTTCATCGCGCCTCGAACGGCCGTGGCGTTCTCGTGCGACAGCGCTGACGGCGATCCGACGGCGGCGGCGCGCGCGCTCTCGGACGAAGCGTTCGATATACTAGGCGGTGACGGATGGCGACGGGACGAAGGCGTTTTTCACTTTACGCACGACCACGACGCTGAACTCGCGGCGCTAGAGGAGACGGGGACCAATTGGAACGGCATCGGGAACCCGGCGATGATCTACGCGCGTCCATCGTTCTCGGGCGGCATCTCGCCCGTCTTTCGCCTCGGCCCCTCGGACGCGCTCGTGATGACGTTCTGCGCTCCCCCGCCGTCTAGGTACTTCTCGGCGAGCACGTACGTTTGGCGACGAAGAGGTCGGGTCGTGTCCGCGACCGCCGGTAATAACCGCGTCAACATGCTCACGCTGAGGAACTCGACGTGGAATCATGCGTGCGATGCAGAGCTGTTCATGGGCGAACGATGTCCGGTGTTCTCGAAACCTATAGTCCTCGTCTCGACGAAAGACGAGCTGACGTTTGAAAGGGTCTCTGAGGCCTTCCTCACGGCGGGAATCGACGAGGTCGCGTTAAACGTCGAAGAGCTCGCTCCCGATCGAATCATGGATTCGGATCAGCTTACCTTTTCATTTCGAAGCGCGATGTGGCCCGGGAACGATGCCCTCGGTGAGTACTCGAAGCTTCGGTGGAACAGCGTGTTCATCGCTCGAGCGCCGAGGAACTTTCGCGGTCGGCTCTTCGCTTTAAAGCCGCAACCCTCGCCATCGAGGCTGATGCACGACGAGCGCCACTTGCAGAGCTCTTTGTACAGACGCGCGGAGCAGCTCAAGCGGGTCCTTGTTGATTCCGGGCTAAAGTACATGCAAACGGGGAAAATATCTACAGTGAACGTCGACCGAGACAGGTGTTTAACTTCGCGGTCGTACTCTCCTTTCCGAACCGGGGCCGCGCGACAGATACGCATTCAATCCGCGTGCTTCGGGGAGACATCGGACTGCGCGTACGGTATCAGTGATTTAGCCCTGCCTGACCGACCGTTCGTCGCGCTCTTCGTCGGCGTCAATCACGTCGCAAAGAAGAACGCGATGTTCAGCAACATCGCGGCGTATCAAAGCGGTGGTGCCACGAGTTTCATCTCCGCCGCGAACGTTCGAGTCGTGTCATCCGTTGACGACCGCGCGTGGGGTACCGACCTCGTGTACGCGCACGCGTTCGCAAGCGGAGGACTCTGTCGTTATTTCGCAAAGGGCTGGAAGACGGCGTGCACGGAAGTTCCTTCGAACGGCCAGGAATCGTTCTTCATCACTCGCGATTACTTGGACCCGAACAGCGCGACGGCACCGAACAGCGACGAGATGATCAACCCGATGATTTTATACTTCGCGTCGTAGGAAGAGAGGATTAAGTCGCACGTGAAGAGCGCTAGAGCTAGCTAAAAGACCGCTAAACAGCCGCTCGCTCTTCGAGTTCGGCGAGCGCGCTCTTCTTCGCGAGGAGCTCGGACACCGCCGCCTGAACCTCTGGATCGGCGTTCGTTAATCCGTCTCCTTCCTTTAGATTACGCACCTTCGCGGCCGCTTCTTCCACGGCTTCCGCCGCCGCCGCTATATCAGACGCAGACGGCGCGGCGTCCGCGGTGGCGTCGCCGTCCCCAGCCCCGGATGACTTCTCCACGAGCTCCCCCCCGTCTGCGACGGTCATCTCCGTCTCCTCGCCGTTCTCGCCGAGCCACGCGAACGTGTCGAACCGCACCGCCTGTCCAGTCTTGTTCCCTTCTCTGTCCGTGATCGTCCACACCGTCGCCCCTGTCACGCGGAAGCGACGCCCGTCGCTCGCTTGCCTCACGCCGCTGTAGTCCTTGATGACCCCGGAAGCGGCGGCCTTATCCAAAAGCTCGCGGCGTTCGGATTGGATCGCGTCCTCGTCCGAGGCTGACTTCGTGGACGGCATCCCGACGAAGTCGTCCCAGGAGAGCCCCCACAGCTCGAGCGCGGCTTTGTTCCCGTAGTTGAACACGTCCGACGCGTCATGGCTCGCGCACACGAACGGCGCGTTCCACAGCCTCTCCGCGGCTTCCTGAACCAATATTTCCCCATCCAAGAGCTTCTCTCCGGTCTTCTCCTTGTACGACCCGCAAATCGTCAGCGACTGCATGACCGCGGAGGTGCTCTCGTACGGCTTCGGAGCCGACGGCGCTTTCGGCTTCTCGGGCTCGTCGTTCCCGCCTTTAGATTTCGATGTCATCGTCTTCATCTCCGCTTTCTTCTCCGCTTTCCTCGCGGCTTTGCGTTTGTCTTTTTTCGCCATCGCGACCACCTGCGGCGCCCCGCGTCGCGCGACCGTCGCTTCCTTCGCGGACCGGGAGAGGCGCAGCGGCGATGGCATCGCGTTCAAGCGTGAAGACAGCATGCTCATGCTCATGACTTCGACCGGCTCGTGCGGCGGAGGAGGAGCTCCTCTCGGTGTGTTCGCTGTTCTCCGAGACGTGGCGGCTGTTTCGCTCGTTTTCGCCGCCGCGCCGCGCCGCGTGAAGAAAACTACGAGAAAAGGCCCCGACAGCATCCGCGCGATATTCCGCGCCGCGCAAACGAGTCGCGTGAAGTATCGCGCGCGCCGTCGACGTGTGACAGTCGACCGATACCAGCACCGACGAGCGGACGCGTCTTAGGCCACTCGCACGTCGCCTCGGTCCGTAGCAGGCGAGATCTCGTCGCGGCACGTCGCCAAGGAAAAAGCGCCCCTTCGCTCCGTGAATTGACCGCTTCGCGTGACCTCTCGCAGACGCGCGTCGTGGTCGTTCCGTCGAGGTCTAGCGTTGCGCGCACGCGAATTACCCGGAGATCACCTTCGATCTCACCGTGCGAACGCTCTCGCCGCGCGCGCCTCGGGGACTCCAGCGGCCGTCGTGATGGAGCCGCTCCTGCCCCCCGCCGCGCCTCCGACGGAGGGCGAGACGAACCCGCCGCGGCAGGGAGCGGGGGAAGGGGAGGAGCTCGGGAGGACGGACGCGGCCGTGACGCGCTCGCAGAAGCGTAAGAGAGACGAGGAAGAAGCGCTCGTGGAGAGGAAAACCTCGGGCGCTTCCGCGGAGACGGTGGAAGGGACGAATCGCGCGACGTCGTCGAAAGGCACGTCCGGGTCTGGGAAAGTGCATCAATCACCGCCGCATCGCCCGGACGACAAAGACGGCCACTTGCAGTACGAACTCGGGGAGAGCATCACGCCGTACTATAAAATTCTCGCCCCGCTAGGAGAAGGCACGTTTGGACGCGTCTTAGAGTGCTGGGACCGAAAGTCTCGGAGCTACTGCGCGGTGAAGATCATTCGGAACGTCCAAAAGTACCGCGACGCCGCGATGATCGAGATCGACGTCTTGAAGACGGTGCAAAAGTCCGACCCGGAAGGGAAGTACAACTGCATCAAGATGCAGAGCTGGTTCGACTACCGCGGACACATATGCATGGTGTTCGAGAAGTGTGGGCTGAGTCTCTTCGAGTTCCTTCGAAAGAACCACTACAAGCCGTTTTCGCTGAACCTCGTGCAAAACTACGGCCGCCAGCTCTTACGCGCGGTCGCGTTTCTGCACTCGCTGAAGCTCGTGCACACGGACTTGAAGCCGGAAAACATTCTCCTGCTCTCTAGCGCGTACCAGCGCGTCCCGGTGTCGTCGGGGAGCAAGTTCACTAAACGAGTTCCCACGGACCCGACGATCAGACTCATCGACTTTGGCAGCGCGACGTTCGAGAACCAGTACCACTCCACCGTCGTGTCGACGCGTCATTACCGAGCCCCCGAGGTCATCCTCGGCATGGGCTGGTCGTACTCGTGCGACGTGTGGAGCGTCGGGTGCATTTTAGTCGAGCTGCTCACTGGTGACGCGCTGTTTCAGACGCACGAAAACCTCGAACACCTCGCGATGATGGAGGTGTTACTCGGGCCGATTGGGAGAAACGTGATTTCCCGCGCGGATCGACACGCGCAGAAGTACTTCCGCAACGGAAAAGAGCTGAACTGGCCGGAGGGGAGCCAAAGCCGAGAGAGCGAGCGGGCGGTGATGAAGATGGATAGGCTGCAGGACATCATCTACGGTCGACTGGACGGAGCGACGGCGAAGCACCTCACGAACCTCTTGCACAAGCTCCTCGAGTTCACCCCAGAGGACCGAATCACCCCGGCGGACGCGTTGAAGCACCCGTTTTTCGAGCTCGAGCTCGAGCCAGAGGAGAACGCGCTGTTTAACCCGCTTCCGACGTCACCGCGCGTGGACCAATCTAGGAGTGCGAACAGTAACCAGGGAGCGAGTAAGCAGGGCACCGCTCCTCAGAGTATTCCCGCCCTCGCGCCCGCGATCGCGCAGCCGGTGCAGCAGCAGCCGGAACCGGAACGAGAAGCGTGAAGAAAGTTAGGATAGAGTTTATCACACGCTGTCACAAGTCGTCGTAGTCGTCGTCCGAGTCGCCCAGCGTTCCGACGGAAGGTAGGACAGGCGGTGGCACAGGTTCACCCTCTCCTGATCCCCCCAGCGTTCCCTCCGTCGCTACCACGGGCGCCGGCTGCGCCGGCTCCGGCGCCAGTTCCTCGACCACCTCCGGCGCCGCCGCGGGAAGCGCGTCGTCCTCCTCCTCGTCCAACTCCTCCTGTTTCGGCGTCGGTTTTCTCTTTCGTTTACCGGCCCTCGTCGGCTCTTTCGGCGGAAGTTTTGGCGGCTCTTCATCGATTGGACCGTCGAGTGATCCCACCACAATTTCATCGTCGAGAGAACCGTGCGCGACCGTGTCCGCCGCCGCTGGCTGTGGAAGATCTGGAACAGCTTCGACGATGTCCTTCAAAAAGTCGAATTTTTCGTTCCCCATGATCGCCGCCCTCAAGTGCCCAGCGCTCGCCGTCTTCGCGCTGTGCGCGGTCGCGATGCTCGTCGTTGCGTTCATGAGTTCCTCGACGAATAAATCCAGCGCTCGTACTGCGGTGAGAGAGGACGCAGGGGATCAGCGTGGTGCTTTACAAAACTCGGTAGAAGTGGGGATTTGAAGCGCGATTTCTTGGGGTTGATGGAAACGTACCCATGAGAACTGGAGTCGCCTGCGCAATCTTTCCGACATCCTCGTCGGCTTGCATGAGCCGCTTTATTCGTGCGCATAAGGGATTCTTTTTTGGTGGCATCTTGACTTCGGCAGCCCTACCGCGTGCCGTGGTCGCACGCGGAAATACACGCGAGTGAATCCGACAAGTGACGTCCTTTGAACGAGAAAACGAAGACTCGATATTTTTGCTGCTGACGCGTATACTCGTTCACTTCGCGTCTCGCCGCGAGGCCTCCTCGAGAGCGCCGAACCGATGGGGTGGCGAGTTTAGGCCATCGAGGACCGTCGCTTCAGCCCGCGTGCGATGACGTCGGTTCCCGCGGAGTACGTCTTCAATCGCGGCGGCGAGACGGTGTGTTCCCGCACGTTGTTACGAATCTCGTCAGCCCTTCCAGTTCTCACCACCTCGTCCGCGCCGCAGGTTGTCGTCCACGCCGAACGCGCGGCAGAATTTCCGGAGGAGACGTCGTCCCGAGCGTGCGATGAGACCGGGCACGTCGCGTGGCAAGCGCTGCCGATCTTGTGCCACTTCATACTATCCGAGAGAGGGCAGAGGTTGATGCGAGATTCGCGTGTTCTCGAGCTGGGAGCTGGCATAGGCGTCCCCGGCCTTCTCGCCGGGCGCGTGTGCAAGGAGGTCGTCCTCACGGACAGCAACGACATGGTCGTGGAACGACTGCGACGCAACGTTGAACTCAACGCCGCGGACATGACGTGCGCGGGCGACGCCGTGAGGGTCGCGAACGTCGCCTGGGGAGCGGAGCTGTACCCGCGAGACGACGTCCTCGAGCGCGGCGCGTTCGACGTCGTCCTCGGCAGCGACGTCGTGTACTCCGCGACCTCCGCGAGGACGTTCCTTCAGACCGCGAAGCTCGCGATGGCGAAGACGCGCGGGGTGACGGCGTTGGCGTACATCCCGCGCTGGCCCGCCGTGGACAGGGCGCTTTACGACGCGCTCCGTGAGTTGGAACTCGCCGCGGAGGTCGTCCCGCTGCGTTCGTTCTCACCGTCGGGGGTTGACTTTTCATTCGATGGGCATTCGCTGCCGAGAGGAACGTGCTTACTTCTGATACGGTGTGTTGGTGATTGTGATGATGACGAAGTCGAGGAGATTGCACCGCCGCCGTCGATCGTCACCCGAGAGCATGTGCTCGAGGTTACCATCGGTCCCGAGCACATCGACGACATTTTACCGGAAACATGTCGTGCTGCCGGGTTGGGGAATGAACGTTCACCCGCAGGGTCTCTTATCGTCGACGCGACTGGCCCGTTTGCCGTCACCCAAGATCAAGTTGAAGTCCTCAGCAAGTCACTTGGTGCGTCGCCTCTCTGTGGAAGCGTGTCAAAATTCACAGTGCGCGAGTGTTGGATCGGAGACAAATGGCCTTCCATGGCGCGCGGGTTGTCCTCGTGTGCACAGTCGCTCGCTCTGCTCCACGCTAATGGAGACGAGATAGGTTCCGTTGCCGCGGGTGTGGTTGGCGATTTCACGTCGTCTTGCCCGAATTTACACACCCTGGACTTGTCGAGAAACCCGTTCGGTGATGCTGGCGCAGAGGCGTTCGCCGTCGGCTTCGCTTCTTGCGCCGCGCTTTCTTCGTTGACTCTTGCACACTGCCACATCGGTGACGGAGGAGCGGCAGCACTCGCGAGGGCGTTCCCGCGATCACTCACGACGCTGAATTTGTCCAATAACGAAATCACCGCGCTCGGTCTGTCAGACATCGCCACCGCACTTCGTCTTGGGAAGACACCTTTGTTGACGCACTTGATTCTCAGCGGGAATGAAATTGGTCCTGCTTGCGGAGCGGAACTCGCGGAAGCACTTCCAGTTGGCACTCCTGATCTCGAGTACATCGACCTACGCGGGTGTTCACTAACCGATCCTGGACTCGCGTGGTTGGCTCCTTCGCTTCCATCTTGCAAAAATCTGACAACAATGCACCTAGGAAGCAACGGCGTAGGCGACGTCGGCGCTGCCGCCCTCGCGTCGTCGCTTGCGGCGTGTCCCAAATTGAAACATCTAGGTCTGGCGATGAACTCAATAGCCGATGGTGGCGCTTGGGATCTCGTCGAGGAACTAGTGGGGTGTAAATCGCTCGTGAGCTTAAATCTCAAAGGCAACGGACTAGGCGACGAAGGCGCGTCCGCCATCGCGGATATCCTCGCGGAGGTACCAACGCTCGAGGCTGTAAATTTATCAGACAACGACGTGGGAGAAGAAGGAGCAGCCGCACTCGCGGAATGCTTCGAGAAGGTGTTCACGGACTCAGCCGGGATTTTTCCATGGGTCAGAGGTTTAACTGTCGTACTGGAGAATAATGAGTTGTCCAAAGAGGTGAGACAGAGGCTTGAGACCGCGGCGAGTAGCGTCGCAGCTACGGTGAAATTTTCTGCGTTAGTCGTCCGAGGAACAGGTTTTGGGCGCTGACAACGTGTCCATGATGGATACTGTGGTGAAAACAACGTGTCTGTATTGTGTTTTTGTGATGCACATTACACGTGGATCGACTAGATAGGGTATAGAGGCACTATAGTAACATATGAAGGTAGACGTCATCCTCATCAGCTTGACCAGACTGTCGTCGCGTGCTTCGCGTTGACTGCCATCACATAACTTTTCCTCTCTCGTCATCGAATCGTTCCCCGATACGCGCTCTCGCTATTTCGCGTCGCCGCGAGCACTCGACTTCGCCTTAGGTTTCGTCCTATCGCTGCGGGTGAGAAACCAGTCCGTGATCGCCGCACACACCCTCGCGGACGTCGGTTTCTCGTGCATCAAATCGTGAAACACATTGTCCACCCACTGCAGCGACTTATCACTCGACGCCGCTCGCTGGTAGAGCATTTCCGAACTCTCCGGGTCCGTCATCGGATCGTCTCTTCCGTGAAACACGATGAACGGAACGTTCATCTCGTGCAAGCGCTTCTGTATGCGTTGCGTCCCCAGATAGTACTCGGCGGCCACTCGCGCGCGCGTGCGTTTCACCCCCGACGGCCACGTCAGCGAGTCCATCTCGACCTCTCTCTGCGAGTGAGGAAATTTCGTGTTTCTCGCGGTCTCCGCCATGGGCAGGGTAGGTAAGAACCTGGATATTACCGTCAACAGCGGGAGCAAGACCCGATTTATTCCTTTGGACGCGAGTTTGTTCAGCGACAACATCGGCGCGAGCAGCGCCACACCATCAGCGATCGTCTCGTCGTTGATGGCCGCGTTCACGACGACGTAACCGCCCATGCTCATGCCTAACAAAAAAGTCGGCAACTCGGGTCCGACCTCGTCTCTTACGAGCCTCACGAATCTCGAGAAATCGTTCACCAAGTGGTCTATTCTTTCGAAGAACGACCGCTTCCCTCGCGCGTAATCCGAGCGGCCGCAGCCTTGATGGTCCAGCGCGAAAACGCTAAACCCGGCGTCGTTGAAAGATTTCACCCACGTCCCATTGTACGACGTCCGTATCCCCGGGGATTTTACGCTGGTCAAGAGCTCGAACGTCGCGTGCACGCCGTGCCCGTGGCTGAAGATCACCACCCCCGTCGGATTAGGCACTTCCCACGAGTAAAAAGCTATGGATAGGCCTTGCTCGTTCTCGAACGTCCCCGCTCTCGAGACCTTACCCTTCTTCATCGCGCCGTTGTAGTCCCATTCTTTCCACGCGCGCTTGGGCATGAACTCCATGCTGGCGGAGGGACGCGAGGCGTGCGTGGTGCGTCTCGAAGTGCGCGCGCGCGACGATCAAGTCTTCTCGAAACTTCGTTTTTGAGTGGACATGGACAGCGCCCAGCAGGGGCAGTTTTTCACCCACCCCATAGTTTCAACATTTGATCGCGTCCCCTTTCAACTGACCGATGAACATTTTTTAAGGCAAAGCCCTCCAGTCACTGTGAGCGCGAGCGGTCCAGTCGTCGCTTTCGTCCGCACAGTGGTCGGCGCTGCGGGGGCGTAGCCTCGGGTTCGCGCGCTATGGCCGCGATGCGAGGCACGTCGAGAGCACTGCGAGCGATTCGGATCAATCGCGGCGCGACCGTCTTCGGTTCCGCGCCGCCGCCCGCGACGGCGCCGCGGTGGAGCGCCGTGCCCACGCCCGAGCGACGATCGGGGATGAGCACCCTGATACCGCCGGGGAAAACGCTCGGGGAGGTGACGCACGTCGACCTCCTGGAGAAAGAGAACGCGGACGTCGTCGTGAAGATCTGGCGCGAATATCACGAGGGGAAGTCTGGGAAGACGGGCGCGATCGTGGAGCCGAGGGTGTACGACGCCCTGAGCGATCGCTCGAAAGTCTGTCCCATGTTCGTGATGCCTCTGCACAAGAGCATGTCCCAGTACCTCACGTTGGTCGTGCAGAGCAAGATGCCGTACGTCTCCTTCACCGCGATCGAAGACTTCAGGAAATTGCAAGACGCGGCGACGCCGATGTTGGTCGCGTCGCACTACCCTGAGCTCGCCGCGTCGAAAGGTCTCGCGCTCGTGCAGGCGGTGCACGTGGACAAGACCACCGCGGGCGCGGCAGAGCACCTCACGACGCAAGAGGCGGTTCGACTCGTGCGGCTGTGTCACACGTTCTACGCGGAGGATGATTTATACGAAAAATTCGTGAAGCCGTTCAATCACAACCAGAAAGATTTCGACTTCGACGCGATGGTGTTGAAGGTCAGGGATCTGACGTGGTCCGACGAGCACTTAAATGCGGGGTGGGGGCAAGACGCGAAATGAGAGTTGAACCCACAAATTAGGTACGTGTAGGCATAGCGTTTCGTTGAAACAAAAGCAAGACTGTGAGCGTTGCGTGATTGACTCAGTTGCGAATCCACTGCGTGGAGTGAGTCGAGGGCGACCAGTACAGAACGTTCCTTCCGTTCGTCGCCGTCTCGAGCGTGCCTCGCGCGTTGAAATCCCTGGCGCCACCGCACGCGGTGAACGCGGCGGAAACGGACACGACTCCGTCCTCCGCGATCGTTATCGGTCCCGTCGCGGTCTCCCAACGGCAGCTGGGATTCGTGCATCCTTCGCATCCTCTCGGAGAAGCGGTCAACGTGACGCCGTCGTCGGCGTTGAGGACGATCGCGCCCATCCCGGCGCCGCCGCCGTCTCCGCGCCACGTCCCTCGGAGAGCGGACACGACCTGGTCGAGCGTCGGCTTCACGGGCGGCGCGGGGGCTTCTGGAACGGGGACGGGGACGGGGACGGGGACGGGCGTGTTGACTTGGATCGGCACCGGTGCCGCGTACGCGAGCGCTCTGTTGTTCCACAGAGGATCGTATCCGTATCCGTACGGATCGTAACCCAGCCCGCCGACTCCGAAGCCGCCGACCCCAGGATAAAAGCCGGCGCCGCCGACGAGACCGCGACCCCCCCGTCCACCGACGAACGTGTTCCCGCCCCGAATGAAGTTGTTCGTGACGCCTCTGTTGAACCCGCGTCGACCGGTGGAGGCTCGGGCGAAACCGCCTCCTCCGACGCGAACGGCGCCCGCGCGTCCGCCGCGTCCGCCGCGAAACCCGCCGCCGCGGCGTTGAAGAAGCTTGCGGTTCCCGCCCCAGCCGCGCTGTTCGTGTGTTTCTTCCTCGTCGTGCGTTTCCATCTCGTGCGATCGATCGATTTGAAGCGGATCTATGAACAACGAGACGTGTTCCAACGTTGGGAAGACGACATCGTCTCCCTCCTCTGGGGTGATGTCGAAACCTTTGGCTTCTTCAAAAACGGTTTCGTTCAAAATGCGGACTTCTCCGTTCGCCGCGAATACGTCCGCCCCCGCGGGAAGGTCGAACCTCACCTCGCGAGGTTTCTTTGGGTCAAATGATACCTTTCCTAGTACGGTACCGAGTAAACGTCGATACGGTACCGTCGACGACGCACCAGCGTCGTTCGCTTGAGCGGCGACGTCGGATGGTAACTCGCCGCTGAGAATCGCGTTCGGCGGGTTCCTGCCTCCGAAGAAGTCCACGACGGTCTGATACTCGAAAAACTCCGTCACCGGTATCGCGTCGAAGGTTCGATACGGTCGATCCGCGAACGAGACGATCGTCTCCTGGATGTCCGTCAGAAGCAGCGTCCCGCCGACGATGCCGCCGTCGTCGTTCGGCTCCAGACGCGCGCGTCGAGCCTGGAGCACGAAGAGAAGGTCCACCGGCGGGGGAGGCGGCGCGTTCGGTGGAAGCGAAGACGTCGGCGCCGCGGCGCCGGCGGGTGATTCCACGCCGTTCAGGAGATCGCGAAATTGCACCGGCGGCCAGAGCGCCATCTCCGCGAGTTGATCATTCGAGAGCTTCCCCGCAGGCACGGGCGCGGACGCTTCCTGCGCGGAAACGAAAGTCGAGAGAGAACACACGAGCGCGAGAAGAAACGCTCCGGTGGACGGCTTCAGCATGGTATCGCGGCGTCGTGCGAAGGACGAGGCGGCGTGTTCTCGCGTACGCAGCGGAGGTGGTGTGCGAGCGCGTGCGTCGCGCGGCGTCGAGTGCGACGGGCTTTCCTTCACGTCGAGGCACGCCGCCTCGACGTGGCTTCTGTTCCTGTCTTGGTCCGTCCGAGACCGGAGTCAGGTAGTCGAGCCTCGGTTTGAAACCCGACGCACACCTCGGCGCGCCGCGACGACCATCCGCGCTCGCTGCGGCCGCGGTCGTGGGAAATGGCGACCGCGCATTCCATAGAGATCGCCAACGCCGCGAAGGACCTGCCCGCGCTGGAGGCTCTCGTCGTCGACGCGATGCGTCGCGCGGAAAACGCGTCGTCCGCGGAGTCGACGATCGAGACCGCCGCGCCCGCGGCCTGGCGCCTCGCCCGCGACGGTCCTCCGGACGTGAGACAAGGGACGTTGGCGGTCATACGACGCGCGGTGCAGTGGCTCGCCTCTCGCGGGGACCTCGAGAGCGCGTACGCGCTGTCGCACATGACGAACGACGTCGCGAGCTTGGAGGACGTGTACCGAGCGGCGAGCAGAGGGCGAGGAGACGGGGACGCGCGAGTGATGGCCGCGGTCCGGGATCGTCTCGCGGAGGCGCAGAACGCGATCTCGTCCTCGAGTTGACTAGCTACTAGCATCTCTAATACATTAGTCTACCCCTCGTCTACTCCCCGATCGCGACCTCTATGCGAGCGAGGACCGGGAGGTGATCGGACGTCCGCACCCCCGGGACGGACGCGTACACGTCCGCGCCGTGTGGGCACGACAAGCGTCCCCGAGCCGACGAGATCCACATGATGCGGTCCGTCCACGACGGTATGCGCTGTTTCGCGGACGTGTCGTACTCCGTGGCAGACCCACGGTTCAGCTTGTACGTCGGCGGAAACGTCAGCTCGGCCTCACACCACCCCGCGAACGCTCTCCCCGCGTTTCTCTCCACCGCGAGCTGATCGTTCGCGTGCATCACTTCCCACATCCCGAGCTCCATGACTTTGTCCACCGCGGTCCTGTTCCCCTCTACGCGGTAGTTTAAGTCCCCCATGAACACGCACAAGTCGAACCCGTCCGCGGCGGACCAACCTTTCTTCTTGAACAGTCCTCCGAACATCTTCGGCGTCGCCGGCGTCGGACGCGTCGGGTCGATCGGCGTCCCGGGCTGCGACGGCGCCGTCGGGTATATCCGCTCGCTCGTGAGGTCGTCCGCGCCTCCCCACCCGTCCGCGTCGGCGGTCTCTCGAGCGACTTGCGCGTTCTCTTTGTCGTACAACGCCCTGGACTTGCGCCCTTTCGGGGCGAACATCGTCTTCACGATCCGGTGGTAGTCCGCGTTTCTCTGTTTGACTTTTTCCAGGTGCGCGGCGAGGTGCGCGTTTAAGAAGCACATCGACGCGCCCGCGTACGAGAACGAGACCCCGACCGCGCCTTTGTTACCGTACACCTTTCCGATCCCACACGATACCGCGTCGACCTTGAAATCGGAGACGTACTTCACGAGCTTCTTCCTCATGAACAGATGCAGTTGTATCCAACCTCCCGGGTCCAACGTGACCGCGTCGAGGTGCGCGAACTTCGAGAACCCGCCCAGGGCGTGCACGACGGCGTCGGAGAAGCCTTCCATCTCCTTCTTCCCCGGAGCTTCCTGCACGCCGACGACGAAGACGTCGCACGCGGACTCGGCGTCCCCGGGCGTCGTCCGACCGTCGAACAACGGCGCGAGCATCGGCGTCACGTCTTCGGGGAAGCGTCGGTTGTTCATGTTCCACGTGACCGCGACAACGCGCAAGAGTCGCGCGTCTAGGACGTCCTCCTCCACGGTCGGGGCGTCCGTGTTCACGCGCAGCGCCCCGGGCGGGGTAGGCCCCTTCGGCGGCGACCCGTCGGCAGCCATCGCGCGCGTCGACGAGTGCGCGACCGATGTTTTCTGCAACGGGAAACTCCGAGGCCGACGGTTTCGGACCAGAAGAAAAAACCGGAGCGCGCTACACGACACTCTACACGACCGGAAAGCGGATGACGCTCTTCCGGTAGTCCGGCTTTTCGCGGGGATTTACACGTCGACCCCCACAACGCGAGCGCGCCGTCTACAGGACGCGAGCTTCACACCTTTAGGCACAAGATGGCCGCTATGATGACCACGGCGGTTCTCGTCCGCGCGAGCGCGCCTCGCACTTCCGTCACCTCCTCGTCCGGCGCGACTGGTGCGCGAATCCCGACGCTCGACTCTCGCGCGAACGAAATCTAGCGGCGGAAGCCGCGTCCGCCCGGACGCGGCGGCTCTTCCCACGCACGAGCGTGTTGAGTCGTCCCGCGCGCGTCGCGTGCGCGCGTGTAGGCGCGGACGATTCGTCCGCGGCGTGCCGCGTCCCGTCGACGCCGCCAAAGGCGCTTTCGCGCTCGTCGAAGGCGCCACACCGAAACCCTATCCCTCGAGGGTTAATCGCCACGCAGAGGTCGATCGATTCCCACGCCTCTTCCTCCGGACGCGTCGCTGACCATCCAACTCCTCGCTCCGCTCCGTTGAACTACCAGGGTTCAAGACGGTCGTCCGCGCGACCCCGGTGTCCCTCAACGTCGCCGCGCGCCCGGTCGCGAACAGGGCTGCGAGCCTCCAAGTCGTCGCGGCGAACAAGATGTCGCGCCCGAACCTCGCCGACATGGAGCAGTTCAAGGAGGGCCCGAACGACACCGGGTCTTCGTCGCTGCAGATCGCGCTCCTGACGAAGCGCATCGAGAGCCTCACGGAACACTTGCTCGTGAACAAGAAGGACTACGCCTGCCAGCGGGGGCTGCGCATGCTTCTGGGGCAGAGAAACAGACTCTCGAAGTACCTGCTGAAGAAGAACCCGGCGCAGCACGCGAAGGTGTACGCGGCGCTCGGCCTGAGGACGAAGTAACGGGCGCGCGCGGGTCGTAGTCTCTAGGGTAAATCATGCCGGATTTTTTAAATATCACATTAGCTCACGTGTTCCGAAGACTTCTCGCAGCAGCCCTTTGGCGAACTCGAACAGAATAATGCATTAATGTTTCGGCCTCTCTGTGAGCGTGTTTCATCACTTCGTCTCGCACCACTCAAGCTTACATGGCTGCCCTGCGTCTCGCGAGCACCACCGCGGCGTGGCTCGCGCGTACGTCCACATCGGGGGTGATCGTCAAGTGTTTCCCGACGCGCGCTCGTCGGCTTCCTCGTGGAGGACTAACCCAGATCCGAGCGTCGGTGGGCACGGCGCCTCGACGACGCGTCATGACCGCCGCGGGGCGTCCGCGCGGTGCGCGTCGCGTCACCGCGAGCGCGGTCGCGGACGCGGACGACAGCGACCGGTACAAGATGCCCCCACCCGATGTCGCGCAGTTCGTAGAACGGCCGCAGAGCCCGGGCCTGAGCTTGAGCCCGGACCGATCGTCGCTGCTGTACTCGTTTCGCCCCCCGCCGTACCCTTTCGTCTCCGAGCTCGCGCGACCGGAGCTGAAGCTCGCGGGCCTTCGCATCGACGAGACGCAGAACAGCCGCTCGAGGATGTCCGGGCAGACCGGCATCGCGCTCGGGCCGATCCCCGCGACCGAGGACGAGATAAACGCGTTTCAGGACTTCAAAGGCGTCCCCCCGGGCGCGACGTTGAACTACGTGTCGTGGTCCACGGATGCCAAGTCGATCGCGTTCACCGTGCGGTTCGCGGGTCCGGACGTCCCCGACGAAGACCGCGCGCCTCCGGAGCTGTGGGTCGCGGACGTAGAGACGAAGCAGTGCCGCGCGCTGTTACCCGGCCGCGGGCTGAACACGCTGTTCGAGAGTTATTCCTGGCTCGACCCGGACACGATCGTCGCTTGCGTCGTCCCAGAAGGAAGGGGAGGGAGGCCGCAGAAGCCGCCGACGCCGCGCGGTCCGAGGGTGCAGTCGAACACCAGCGGGAATGTCGCGCAGGCGAGAACGTACGCGGACCTCCTCAAGGACGCGCACGACGCGGACCTGTTCGAATACTTTTGCACGTCCGAGTTCGTGAAAGTCACCGTCGGCACGGGAGAGGCGACGCCGTTCACGAGCGAGAGCGCGATTTACACGAGGTGCGAACCGTCTCCGGACGGGGAGTACGTGATCATCTCCTCTGTTGAGCGTCCGTTCTCGTACGAGGTCCCGTGCGGACGATTCCCGAAGCGGACGTGGATCGTAAACCGCGCGGGGAAGACCGTTCGCGAGGTGTGCGCGTTGCCGCTCGCAGATAAAATACCGATCGTGCACAACTCCGTGCGCGAGGGCCCGAGAGCCATCAACTGGCGCCCGGACAAGCCCGCGGAGCTGTACTGGACGGAAGCGCAAGACGGGGGAGATCCGCGGATAGACGCATCTCCGAGGGACATCACGTACACGGCAGACATGCACGAAGACGCGAACGCCGCGGGGGTGCCGACGTTTCAGACGGATTTGCGCTACGGCGGAGTATCCTGGGGCGCGGACGGGCTCGGTCTGCTGTACGAGTCGTGGTACAAGACCCGCACGCTGCGCGCGTGGGTCGTGGACACGTTCAAGCGTCCGAACCGCGCGCCGAGGCTGTTGTTCGATCGCAACTACGAGGACTCGTACGACGATCCGGGCTCGCCGATGACGCGACGGATGCCGAACGGAGCGTACTTGCTCGCGCAGATGACCGGCCCGCTCCCCACGGACGGGTGGAAGCCCGCGGAGTTCAAGGAGGTGGAGGGCGACGTCCGAATGCGACCAGGGCCCGTAGAGTGGGAGACGGGGGTGACGCTCATCTTCTCCGGCGAGGGCGCGAGCGACACTGGGGACAAGCCGTTCTTGGACCTCTACAACGTAGACACGGGGGCGACGCGACGACTGTGGCAGTGCCGGGGCGAGGGTGCGCTCGAGCGCCCTGGGTCGATCATCAGCGACGCCGGCGGCGTGGAGATCACTCTAGACACGCTGAAGATTCTGCTCTCGAGAGAGACCCCGAGCGAGAACCCGCAGTACTACTCCTTAGAGCTCGGCGCCAGCGGTGACGCGCTCACGACGAGACGCATCACCGATTTTCCGCATCCGCACCCCGCGCTCGTCGATCCTCCGAAACAGATCTTACGGTACAAGCGCGCGGATGGCGTGGATTTAAACGCGACGCTGTACACCCCGCCCGGGTACGACGCGGCGCGCGACGGTCCTCTGCCGACGATCATGTGGGCGTACCCGCGAGAATTCAACAGCGCGGAGGCTGCGGGTCAGCTGAGAGACTCACCGAACCGGTTCACGTCGATCTCTCCGATGTCCCCGCTCGTGTGGCTCGCGCGCGGGTACGCGATCTTAGACGGTCCATCGCTGCCGATCATCGGCGCCGCGGCAGACGGCGTGGAACCGAACGACACGTACATCGAACAGCTCGTCGCGGGCGCGCGAGCGGCGGTCGACGCGTGTGTCGAGAAGGGCGTCACGGACCCGAGACGGATCGCTGTGGGCGGCCATAGTTATGGAGCGTTCATGGCCGCCAACTTGCTCGCGCACGCGCCGGATCTCTTCGCCTGCGCGGTCGCTCGATCGGGAGCTTACAACCGCACGCTCACGCCGTTCGGGTTCCAAGCCGAGGAACGGACGCTGTGGCAAGCGCCGGAGACGTACATGGCCATGAGCCCGTTCATGTTCGCGCACAAGGTCAAAAAGCCTATTTTATTGATTCACGGGGAAGAGGACACGAACAGCGGGACGAACGTCATTCAGACCGAGCGGTTCTTCGCGGCGCTCAAGGGTAACGGCGCGGAGGTGAAGATGGTATTACTCCCGCACGAATCGCACGGCACGCGAGGGTTCGAGTCTGTCTGTCACACGCTCGCGGAGACGAGCGATTGGTTAGACGCTCACACGTCGGTTTCGGCGGTCGAAGCGGCGGCGGAGAAAGACAAGAAAGAGGCAGAGTTGGCGGCGAAACTGTAGATAGAATTGAACTCATCGAAACTTAGATCCCATAGAACGCGCTTGAAATCTAAAACACCGACTGAACGTCGACCTCGAGCATGCCAGCTTGAGGCTCCCAAAACCGTATGCGCGAGCTCGAGAGGTACTCCGCGACTGCGACTGGCAACCGCGATGGCGTCCTCGAACCCTTCACGTGATGACCGGTCCCGACGAGCACGTGCACGACACGATCTCCCGCGGCTCGACAATTCGGCAGCTCGCGTCGTAAGACCGCAACCGCCTCGGTGCAGTGTAATCCGTGCATGTCGAGCAGGCGCGGCCTGCCGTCACTTCCATCGGACGAGTGCACCGTGTTCGAGTTTCGTTCCCTGAAGATCTTCACCGCGGCCTCGTCGTGCGCGGCTCGCATCGCTTGGGCGTGACCACGACCCTTCCTGCTGAGTTCCTTCGCGAGCGCTTTGTTCCCGGACAAGTACGCTTGCGTCGCTTGCTGGAAGCAAATGTTTCGCATGCGCATGTGATCCCGCGCGTCCTCTCTCGTCGCCGCATACATGTCCGACACCGCCTCGCCAGTCTCGACCCACGGCTGGTGCGACGCCGCGGAGCTCCCGCCGCGGAAGTTTCCTGTTCCGTACCCAACCTGCACGCTGCCTCGGTCGTGCGCCTGCGGGACCGCGCTCTGCGTCCGCACCCTCGCGGCGAAGTTCCCGTTCTCGTCCGCGGAGGTGAACCGCGGGGCGTCCGCGGGCGATGGCAAGCGCATGTTCGATCGCCCGCCGGATATCGTGAAACTCCTGAAAACCTCGATCGGCGGCGGCGGCGCCTCCGGACCGCCAGACCCGCCGCCGAGGGAAGGAAAGTTCGATTCGTCGTCCAGCGACGGCGGCTCCGGCGGCTCTTCCAACGTGTCCATCTCCGTCAGCATCTCCACGGTCATCTCCATGTCGTGGTTATTCGCCGCGAGCAGCTCCTCGAGGCTCTCGAGGCTGTACCCGGGGAAGCTCTCCATGAGAAGCGATAGGAACTGCCGCTCGTCCATCTCTCCGCCGTCGTCGTGCCCGTCCCACGCCTGCTCGTACCCGTACTCGTTCACCCCCGGGTGCGCATCGTTGTCGTGTCCGCCGTAGTACTCATACTGCGGCGCGTACTGTTGCTGATGGGGGTGGTATTCCCCCACGTACTGCTGGTGATGCGCCCACCCCGCGTCGTCGTACTGACGTTCCTGGTTCGGCTGGTACTCGTAATATCCCCGCGCTTGCTCCGCCGCGTACGCATCGCTCTCGCTCGCGACGCGCTGCTCCGCGCGCTCGCGTATCCGCTGCGTCAGCGGCGACGGCGCGTCGTCGCCGTTGTCCTCGCCGTCGTCCTCGGAGACGAACCCGAGGGAGTCCAACCCGAGGTCCGCGAAGGACTTTTTCTTCGGGAGTTCTCCGTCTTGCTCCGCGTACGTTTCGGGGTAGGACTCCACCGGCTGCGCTTGTGCCTGGGGGTAAAACGGCGTCGCTGCCGCCGCCGCCGCGACCGTGGATGGATCCGGCGCTTTCTGTGGACATCAGGGGGGATGATGACGGCGACGACGACGTGAGCCTCGAGATCGTGGTTTTTGAAGAAGCGATTTTATCGTGGTACGAAGGACGAGTTCGCGTCTCACCTTTGGCACGAACGACGACGCGGTGGCGCGCATGATTCTCTACCAAATCGCGACTGTCGCTCAGAGCTCGGGCATTCGACGCGGCGCGCGCGGCGCGGGTGCGTGATTCCGCGCTTCCTCGCGCGCTCGGTTCTCTTCCTCCGAAATATCCTGTCAGCGTCCTCGTCTGACCCGGACCTCAAGAAATCCAGTGGCAAAGCGGCTGGGACGTGACGAGAGACCATCGGACGTCGCGCATTGGCGCACAAACCGCCGCGCGGGTGAACGCGCGGGGTGAAGATGGACGTCGACGCCGCGATCGGGTCGCTTCTCCCGATCCTCGGCGATCCCGACCTGGGAATCTTGCCCGCGGTCGAGGTCGGGGGAAGCGCGCCGAGCGTGGGGGCGGGGGAAACGAAGGAAAAACCGCGACCGTCGAGGAAAAACGACACCGCGAAAGGACCGACCCCGGCGTCGAGGGCGAACGCGTCCGAGGCGGGGACGTCGAGACCGTACCTGCAGCAGAACCCATACACGCGGCAGGAGTCGCAGCGAAAGTTGGAGGTGCGAGAAAAACGACGCGGCGACGCGCGTCGAGCGTTCGTCGCGATCGATCGTTACCCGAGCGACTCTCCCGACGTCGCGCGTGTGAATCCTTCCAACTTGGACGCCCGTCCTACCCGCGACCCGCGCGCGCGCTAGCTCACGTCACGTGATCTCTCTTCGATCGTCGTCGTCGTCGTTCGTCGCAGAAACATCTCAACGCCGCGGCGCACACGCCCGAGTTCAAACCCGGCGCGTACAAAGCCCCGAAGCTGTCCGACGACGCGCTTCACCTGCTCGCGGACTTCATCCGACGACCGGCGATTCGGAACCAGCTCATCCCTCTCGTGGGCGAACTCCCGGACCGTAAGCGACGGAAAACGAAGGCGGAGAAGAAAGAGGTGAAGATTGTCGTGTCCGAGGAGACGGGACGGAGATTGAAGACGAGGCTGTCCGCGCAGCAGACGGCGTCGCTAGAAGAGAGATACAAGGAAAAGGCGCAGTGGAGACCGACGGAGTGCGAGAAACTGCTCGAAGGGTTGAACGCCCTCGGACCGGAGCTGAGCACAGAGCAAGTCTCGAGATGGTTCGATAACAAACGAAGATACGTGAAGAAGCAGCAGGCGCGCGCGAGAGACAGCGCGACCGCGGACGAGGGCAACGACGAGGTCCACGCGGAGGAGAAGCGGAAAACGAAAGTCGAACGACGAGTGCGGCACTCCGAACGCGAGATGCTCGAGGCCGCGTTCGCGCAGAACAGCGCGCCGGGCATCAGCGTGCGAACCGCCCTCGCGACCGCGATTGGGATATCCGAGAAGCAAGTCACCGCGTGGTTCACGCGCCGGCAACAGACCGGCAGGGCTCCGTACGGCGTCTCCGCGAGCGTCGAGGACGTCGAGAACAGGAGCTCGAAACGCGCCAACACGGCGGGTTCCGACGCGGTCATCGCAGGGCACCTCCTGCTCCCTGAGGATCTCGCGCGCGAGCGCCTCGGCCTCGTCTTCGGAATCCTCCCCCGGCGGCGCGTTGATGGCCGCCACGAGCGCCGCCTCCTCGAGCGCGAGCGCGTCCATCGGCATGGACGCGAGCTCCGCGCGCAGCCGTCGCTCCAGCGCGTCGACGTCCTCGAGATCGTCGTCGTCGTCGTCGCCGCCGCCGTCGCCGTCGGAGCCGCTCAGCTCCGCGAGGAGCGCGGCGTCGGAGAGGACAGCCTTCTTCCGCGCGCGCGGCGCGCGCTTCGGCGGCGGCGCCGCGCGCGGCGCC